CCCCCCCCCCCCCCCCCCCCCCCCCCCCCCCCCCCCCCCCCCCCCCCCCCCCCCCCCCCCCTCTCTAACCTGTCCCAAATGTGTAATTCTTTGCAATATCGGGGCCGAACGGGAATGCAAGTACCACAAGCAAACAAAGGCCTGCGAAAGGAAGCAAAAGTATCCAGCGGAGCTTCCTCGGTGTGTTTGAACCGAATAGGAGAAGAATAGGCGTGGTTAGCCATATGGCACCCACGAAATCAGCACGCTCGAGAGGCATTACGACGAGCCAGGGCGACGTTGAGAGGCTGTGTAGGTTGATTGTACAGGCGCAATGGTTTTGTGGTCTAGGCAGATTTGACGGCGTCAAAAAACATGGCAGATGCTACTTAGGACGATTATCCTTTACATGCTCGGAGACGTATTCAAACTACTCGATCACTCTGGCTAGCCGGTGCGCTTCCTGCAGGATGTCTCGGCAGCCATTTCCATCTATTCCTAGCTTTGACATGGGTAATTGACATGCTGAGATGCGCAGGCTCAAACCAAAAGTATGATGACATTATTTGACTCAGATGAACTGCTGCCTGTAGGCCATAAGACGTCGATACACCGCTCCTCGGGGGAAAGGATCCGGGCAGAGACGACGCTATTGGAACGCCTTCCTTATCGGGAAACACGGCAATGCAACGCCGACAACGCGGCCCGTCCTCGGGCTCCACTACAACGAATCCTTCCGAGCAGACGGATCGGCCCACCGAACGCACCCTGTCCCCCACACCTCCGGTAGGGCTCCATCTTACTCCGCAGACAGTGCCGTGTAGATAGAATCTCAATCACCTCACTATTAGCCGCTGGATCCATCCACGTTAGGGCTTACTCATTGTTGAGTTGCAGTTCTAGCCAGTCCGACCTTCACCGGGCGGTTTCATTCAGTCATTGACCAGTCAGAGATCCTGTAATATGCGATAACAAGCCTTTTCGTCATCCTCAACCCCTGCAGACAGGGGTCAAACGGAGTTCTGAGGCATGTGAGATTTTACGACATCTCCCACCCGGCTGATGTGAGGCAGTGCTATTGCTGGATTGCATGGCTGGACTTACTGTGGGACTAGGTTCGGCATTGAATCTCGACGAATGAAGAGGTCTAGTCCAAACTTGCTATGAAGTGAAGACGACTCAGTCTATAGCAACCAAAACTTGCAGCATGTCGCCGTGACCACACACCTGTTCCACTGCGCTCTCAGCTACCCTTCGTTCCTTCTCAACACCAGCGAATATTGGGCGAAGATGTCGATATTCGTCGTTCCCGTCGAGACTACCAAGCCATTAGTGGCGCTGGCGGCGTTGTCTCTCGTCATATTCCCTATCGTCTACTTTCTCTATCTCACGGTCTATCGTCTTTTTCTCAGTCCAATTTCGCGTTTTCCAGGTCCAAAGCTGGCAGCATGGACATACTGGTATGAATTCTGGTACGATGTTGTTGCCGAGCCTGAATACACTTTCAAGATTGGCAGATTACACAAGCAATATGGTCAGTTTACCTCCCTGCGAACATGAAAACATGGAAAGCTGAACTGACAATCTGCTAGGGCCTATAATTCGCATCAATCCGGACGAAATCCACATCGCAGACCCGGACTTCTACGACACGATCTACGCTGGCAGCGGACGCAAGCGTGATAAGTGGGACTGGATCACTCGGTCTTTTGGTGTCGACGAGAGCTTGATTGGCACCCTTGGACATGACGAGCACCGCACGCGTAGAGCGGCGCTTTCGCCGTACTTCTCCAAGCAGAGCGTTCGTGCTCTGCAACCGCTGGTGGACCGAAACATGGGAATCCTTCTCGGACGCTTCCGCGAGTTTGCGCAGTCCGGAGCCCCTCTCAAGCTGGATGATGCCTATGCCGCACTCACCAACGGTAAGAACTCACTCAGTTGGTGGTATTCCTAGTTTACTAAGAACGAATTACAGATATCGTCGAGGACTACGCCTTCGGAAAGAGCGAGAACCGACTCCAGGCCCCTGACTTTGATCCATCCTTTAGAGATGCGATGCTTCAAGGTGGCAAAGCCGGCCACGTACTGAAGCACTTCCCCTCACTTATGGACATGCTGCGCAAGCTGCCCGACTCCCTTCTCCTCAAGCTGAGCCCAGCCATGGGTGCCTACTCTCAGCTCCAGACCAGCGTCAAGCGCCAGGTGGCCGACATCCAACACGCACACCAGACGCACGCGTATGACAAGACACGCCGCACCATCTTTCATGAGATTCTGAACAGCAAGCTGTCTGACTATGACAAGTCCACGGACCGGCTTTGGCAGGAGGGCGAAGTCGTTGTTGCCGCAGGAACCATCACGACGGCCTGGGCGCTCGGCGTGTCGACTTACTTCGTCCTCGATACGCCTGAGATCCTCTCCAAACTCAAAGCCGAGCTCGAGGCCGCAATCCCCGATCCGTCTCAGCCGCTCAGCTTGCTTGTACTCGAGCGTCTTCCCTTTCTGACAGGTGTAGTACAGGAAGGCGTCCGTCTCAGCCATGCCATTTCGCATCGGCTGCACCGCATCTGTCCGGACGAGACGCTCGTATACCGGGCTGGCGACAAAGAGTGGCGCATTCCTCCCGGCACTCCTCTCAGTATGACCAGCAACCTGGTGCATCACGACGAGCGAGTTTTCCCCGACTCTCACGCCTTCAAGCCTGAACGCTGGGTCAATGACCCCCGGCTGGATCGCTACTTGGTGTCTTTCGGTAAGGGCGGTCGGGCTTGCCTTGGTATCAACTTGGCATACGCAGAGCTCTATCTCACGCTAGCGGCACTTTTCAGAGTTTATGGGACAGAGGCAATCCAAGGGAAAGACGATGTTGGCACGTTGGAGCTATTTGAGACGACAGCTTCGGACCTAGTCATCACTAGCGATACCGTGGTTCCTGTGATGCCGGAGGATTCTAAGGGGTTGCGGGTGAAGGTACATCAACGGACTGAGTAGATAGTAGTCGCATGGTATCGTTACAGAACACTGTATCAAGAGCAATCATACCGACCTCATCTATAACTCTGGACGTAATACAAATAGGTCTGATTGAAGTCTTGTAGGCGTGAAATAGAAATCTTCACTGCCAACATGAACACCGTTGTAGATTCGTCACTTAAGGAAACCTATCAGCCACACAAAGACATGATGCAACTTTTCTATCGTACTATCCCGACAATTCCCTGTATGTCAATGCTTATAAATGGTCAAAGGGTCGATGCAGACAAGCGCCAGCATGAGCTGTATGTTGGTGCTGGATCTGACGTTGGGCTGGACTATCGATACTCAAGTTTTCTGACTTGACAAGATCGATCAGCGCACTTCAGGCTCATGTGACCATGTGAGCGTTGATCTCATAGATCTACCTGAAATTGTTGATGGCTCATCTGAGAGCCAAAGTCTCGGTTCATCTCGCTGCGGACACGCCCTCTACGAGACATCGGACTTGAGCGGGGTAGAGGCTTCAGGGAAGCATGCTGACAGTACGCCTTAAAAAGGATGTTCCCTCGAAACAGAGACTAGTTTATAAGCTGCCGAGTTAGTGACAACCGTGGTCTTTCGATTGTAATTTCCAGTGTGAGTTAGGCCAACCCAGCCTCCGAATCTTGAACGTCACATATTCTAACGCCTTTCAGTGATAACATCCAATCCATAAATGTCATGGACTCGTGTTCTTCTGTTACAGTGGCCTCTGACTATGTGAATGGAACTGAGGACAACCGCGACCCGGCGGTTAGAGGATACTTTGATTACACAAGGCGAAGGGCCGTAAGTCAAGCACGAGATGCAATTTGAGCAGGACTATCAGACTAACTCAATCCAGAGCCCATCACGGGCATACTTGGACACAAGCATTTCTTGGGTTCCGGCTGTGATCACATCATCTATCGCCCACGAAGCGATTACCGGCCTCAACACCAGCAACTGTGATTTTGCGGAGATACAGACCTGCTTCAGCGCTGCAAAGACGACTGGGAGCATACATAACGCAGCAATTCCAGGCTTTGATACAGGCAACGCCTTCAAAGAGGACGTTGGAAGTTTTGCAGGACGGTCTGCTCAGAGTCCGGTAACCGCGAGGGCTCACGAGTACCAGCCCGCTGGTCTCAGCAGCGTGGCTGGAGAGCTCAGCGTATGGCTGAAGCTCATCTGTCACAAATACGCCGGCATTAGCGTACTTGTGCTTCATGGTTCGACAATACGTCAAGACTTCGTTGACCTGCTAACTTGGTTTGCACCCAAGCCTGGCTGCAGAGGTCGTTTCGGAAATTGCTGCGTCCTCAGCGATTCAGAGGACACCATTTTACAACTCAAGTCTAAGCTTTCCAAGACAGACCTTCAGCTTAATTACCAAGTCGCTGATATGTCAAGATTTTCAACCCCGGATCAGGCACGAGAAATGGGAACTTACGACATCATTCTGGCACCAGTCGGAATCCATCTTGGCCTGAGCCAGTTATACATTTTCAGGCAACTACTGGCCCCGAAGGGCCATCTTGCTCTCGTCAGCTACTGCTCTGACCTGTACCAGCACATCGACTGGAAAAGCTTCGTCAGCGCCGCCGGTTTCTACCACATAGTTGCCTCGGTCGACAAGCCTGGGTCACAACTCATCATCAGCGCTGTTCCTACTTAGCCTGGGCTCGAAGAGCAATTGAAGCATTTTATTTCAGCGCTAGGAAGAAGGTTGCCTGCTGTCAAGAAGGAAGTGAAGAGAGGAAGCAGTGACATGGATTCTATCGCATCCTGTGAGCTAATGCTTTTCGCATGCGCGCATTTAGACCGGCGAGCTTGCGTATAAGATAACTATCAGACGATCAATATAAAGCAATCCCAGTTGAACGCCTTGATCAAAGATTGTTTTGCTGCCGCATTGGGTGCTATGTTCATGATTCAGGCAAAGAAACCTTCTGTCATCACTTCATCGCGTGACATCACTTTGCTATCAACGAAGCAACTTGCCATGCGGGTTTGTAACTATCTAGAGTTGTTAGCCGGCAGAGGATACAAATAACCCTTGCACTAGCAAAACTAATTGGGAAGGTGAAGTAGACCGTGTTGGCCTCAGGACCTAATTTGTTGCTGTTGGTTGCTTGAGAAGTGGGTTCCGAAGCGTTCTTTTCCAAGCTGGAATTCTGAATCTGTGGCAACTTCAAGACAGCTTGCAACTACCTCTGGACCAACGAGCTTGTTTCTTCTGTTTCTTTCTTCCAACCATCCATCTTTTTGGAAATGCTCTTGATAGAAGACTTCAATCATGAGACCACTGCCGCGAATACCATCTTTGCCTTGCCGCCTTCCCCGAAGATTTCCCCATTCTACGACGACTGCTTCAACACATCGGCCACGGTTGTCCCAGGCACGAGGTGCCAACTCTCGCCGAATATCTTCCTCAAGTCCGAGACCACTTCGTCTGGAGCGCGTGGACTCATTCGTCCCAGAATCACTCACAGACCCCTTCGCAAAGGAAAACGAACTCATCGCCGCCATGCAAGGAAAACGTCTACCCCAAGGCGTACACGGCGGTCTCGGACCGAAAGCCGATAAAGCCCGCTGCACCGTCAAAGGCATACGGCACCACGAGTCCTTCGCCAGGTCCCCTGAGGTATCCCGTCTCGCATCCCAGCGGAACGGTGAGATCTTCGCCAGAGCGCGCAACGCACGCCTCATCATGAGCAACACCGTCCCGGACATGCCAGTCACGAACACCAGGCCGTATTGTATCTGGTACCCTGACCTCGCGAGTGAGGATACATACCGCGAACTCGCGCGGCGGTACCCGGAAATGGGATACCACGTCGGGCGCGCGTGTGCTGTTGCAGGGTATACCGAGTTATACCACAAACTCGGGCTTTTGCCCGACGTGTCTATTGCAGAAGAGGCTAGAGATAATAACAGCTCCGACATATTCGAGTTCATCATGGGCCATGATATCAAGTACGCGGTGATGGACGACTACACACGAACAGTAAACCTCAAGACCCCAAAGCCCGGAGCCATCCTCAACTGCGACACAGCAGTACATTCCTCCCTCGCCTTCCACCGCACCCTCGGAGACGACACGACGGATGAGGACTACATCCACTACTTCGACATCCAAGAAGACGGACACATCAGCACCTTGCGATCCCCTCAACTCGGCTCTAGCCGGATCGCCGACGACTTCGCCAGTCTTCTCTACACCCCGCTCCCTCGAGACCTCCCTAACATAAACAAGGACATACTCATCCTCGCAGCAGCCTGGGACGGGAACATCGACCGCTACGCGCGGCTACGACGGCCGAAATACGTCCCGGGCGAAATCTCAGCCGTCATGCGCGGCGCCCTGCATCACACCGCCTTCGCGAGGTGGCTCGATACGTGCGTGGACGATTCATTCGACGAGGATGGTGTCGAGATGTTCAGACAGGCTATCAACGCCCGCTTCATCATGAACAATGACCTATCGCGTATCACGTCTGATACGGACGGGAGAATACTGCCCGAGATATTCTGGTGGCCGCAGTGGCCGCACGAGGATACCCTCCGAGAGCTCGCGAGGCGACGGCCTGATATGGGTCATCAATGTGCGATCGCGTGTATCGTCGCCAACTATCGCGGGTTATTCGACGAGCTTCGGGTCTCGCCGTCTCGTTCGCAGTGGGAGGCGGCGTGCCAGAGTCCGAGCCCGTACTACAGAAAGGACATCGAACAGCGGGCAACAGCGGCCGGTATTGACATCGGAATACGACATGCAGTCTTTGTAGAAGGCGTGCCGGATAGTGGGTGGAACAAGGGATTCCTCCGACGCGATAAGGAGCCATCTGGGAATGCTGAGATGCCCAGGGGGCTTGGGTTGCACGCGGCAAGAAAGCCCGACACCTTGCACGGATTTCTAGAGGAGGTTGAGGTTGGTGGATTCTTTGACGAACACATGCAGAAGCAGATGGCAGCGTGGGCCACATACTTGAGCGCCACGGATGAGGCAAGGAAGAGCTCGTCTGTCGGCCCTGATAATTAAGCCGTGAAACAGCATAAGAGGAAGAACGGACAATGGTGTGAGAGAGAAATAATGACGCGAATCGCACGCTTTGGCATTGGTCTTAACAACACATCTTCCGAAAGGCCTAGTACTCAACCGACTCTAGTACGCATAAAACAACGTCGCTTCCTGGTCACTGGCCCGAATCCTTCTGTTTTCCTTGACTAGCATCCACTTCATAAGCCACGCCCCAGCAGCACACGCGACGCAAAACGCCGCACTGCTGGCCATCGGGATGACATATCTCGGGGCATCGGACGTGGGCCAAAGGTACTGGTATTCCAATGTCAGCAAATCTGAATCACCATTGTCGACGTCTCTCCCGGAGCAAAGTGAGCTTACCGGTGTCCAAATGAAGCTGATGCTGGCGCTGGTGTTCACAATAGCCAGCGCCGAAGCCTTCTTCTCCTTGGTCTGGCCACAGGTGCTGCCGACCCAGCCGAGCAAAATGCTGTTCACGCCGTAGGTGCCGACAGTGAAGACCACCATGGCGAAGTACCGCGCGCCGGTGTTCATCGTGGCACAGGCCAGCACGAACCCGAAGAGCGCGACGGCCTTGGAAATTGTAATGTGCCACGTCCGCTCGTTATACTTGCCGGAACTCCAAGCCCACACGATGGACAGCGCGCCGGCAATGAGGTAGGGCGGGCACGTCAGGACGAGGGTGACAGTCGTGTTGAAGTTGAGTGTCTCGACGATCGTCGGGAAGAAATTCTTGAAACCGTTGGTCGCGAGGTGCATGTGTTGCATGTAGATAAAGACCCAGACCTTGGGATCCGTGAAGGCCTCCTTGAGGCCGCCCCAGGTGCTGCTCTGCATGCGGCTACCCACGGTATCGCGTGCGATTCTGTCGTGTGCGAGTTGCCTCTGCTCGGGGGAGAGCCAACGAGTCGTGAGGGGCTCGTCGGGAAGCGTGAAGCAGGCTATCATCGCGATCACAAAGGTGACGGCGCCTTGGAGGATGAAGAGCCAGCGCCAGGCCGCGAGTCCACGCGTGCCGTCCATCCCGTTGAACACACCAGCGGCAATCAAGCCAGCAAAGGCAGTAGCCAGGATGTTTCCGGAATACAGTACGCTAATTCTCGTTGCAAGCTCCTTCCTCGTGTAGAAGATTGACAAGATATAGAGCGCGCCCTACTTCTCATTAGTAATTGTCGGTGTTAAAGAGACGAGAAGGATCGAGTGGGCTGGCCGAAGAGTTGATACATCGGAGGTCGGCGTCACTCGGCGCCGGCCCTGTCGGATCATGCCCGGCGCGCACACAGAGTGGCGAGCGGACCGACAGTAATCGCTTCATCTCAATATTGACAATAAGAATGCTATGTGGCTCTCACAGGATAATACGGAGCTTCGACGACTCCCAAAAAGAACCGCGTGAGGATGAGACCTTTGTAGTCGTGAACGATAGCCGTAAGCGCACTGACGATGGCCCAAGCCATCATGAAGGCGCCCATGTACAAGGACGGTCGTACGCGAGTGAGGATCATGTTGCTGGGGATTTGGCCGAGGATGTAGCCGACGAAGAGGATGGAGACGCAGGTCGAGTACTGGACGCTGGAGAGGCCGAGTTGCTTCTCAAGGCCATTCAGCCGGGCGAGGGCGATGGCGTTGCGGTCGAGGTAGCTAGGCCGTCAGTCGATATGGTTGATATCGCGGAGAAGTTGACTTACTTGAGCCAGTACATCAACCAGAGAGTCGGCTGCGGACAAGTCAGATACTGTTCATAAGCCGGTGGTGTGTCCTGCGACTGACCATGATCCAGAGATCCAACTTCCGCACAAGCTTGATCTCTTCCGGGTCTGTCTTGGCCGCGGCGCCTGAGTAGTCGACGGCCGGAGCAACTGTCTTGTCATCATCCGCGATGTGAGAGTGTTCCTGGTGCAGGACCTGTTGCTTTTCGATGTCGGCTGCCGACTGAGTTGTCTGGCCTTCTGGCCTCGGCTCTGAGGAGATTGCCATCCTAAGAGTCGATGATCTCAGCCCAAAATTTCAACCTTATGGAACAGATTCAAGAGATTGAAGGCGGATGACAGGATGGAGTCGCATCGAGCCTCCGACGAAGGGGAGAGCTTGTATTTGTTTCCAAGGCTCCGGTAGGCTCTTCCCCGCAAACAACCCCGGATTCAACATGCTTGGCTTGCGATATCTGTGGAGAGGACCACAACCCGCATACACCACTCCTGGCACTCCACGGTTATTACTCCTGGTCGAGTACTTCAGGGAAAACACCGGATACCAAGGGCAATACTAGAGCTAACAGCAGCAAGGATAGGCATAGAGGTAGCGAGGAGTAGTTGCAAGGGAAATAACCGTGGAGGACGTTGAAAGCGGCAGTGAGAACCGCACTTCGGTCTGCGGCGCCGAATGCCGAAAAGGAGATTATCAATGAGCGGTCACCCAGAGGGAGCTCCCCCAGGCTTGTCCCCTCATCCCCCGCAGTTCCAGTGGATCGGGACACTGGAGGTGGACCAGACTTGCATCTTCTTATCCATTTCCGTGGCTAGTCCAATCATGTTCGAAATAGATGGCAAACTTGATGCCCTTGTAACATTAGTTTTGCCTGGTTGCTGGATGGCAGATTGCTGAGAGGCCTGGAGAAGTTGTGCGGAGTAGTTTTCGGTCTCGGGCCCGCGCCCGTCTGTCTCGGCCTCTGACGCCGCTTGATTTTGGGCTTTGCGCTTCCGCATTCCGCTTCAGGGTGGAGGGAGCCGCGAATGCTTTCTGCGAGCTCTGTGTTACCGGAACCTGTCCGATGTGAATCATATCTCCTGCCATAGTCACAAGTCCGCGATCGGCGGCTTGTGCTGCGAGTTGAGTCGGTTCCTTGACGTGTCTCTGCCCTTGCAGGAAGGTCCGAAGGTATCCGCAATCTCATGCAGGGCGAGGCGGTCCTGGAGGCAGATATCAAAGCGTCGCATACCGCATTTGAACCTGTTCCCCGTTCACAACCGTGATGCACTTCGTTTCGTTTACACCCTCTCAACGTTCACCATGATCGAGAAGCCTCCCATCCGGATCGGAAATGTCTCCGGCGCAACAGGAGACCACCCGCACGCCATGGCGCGCATGGTGCGCTCCGGCAACGTCCAGATCATCACCGGTGACTGGCTCTCGGAGATGAACATCGCCTGGAACGCAATCACCAAGCGCGACGTCGACCCAAACCTCGGATACGAGAACGGCTTCTACGAGCAGCTTGAAGACTGCATCGATGATATAATGGCCAAGGATATCAGGGTAGTGACCAACGCTGGCGCCCTCAACACCACTGCCCTTTTCGATAAGATCAAGGCGTTGTGCAGACGGAAAGGATACCCAGAGAGCGTCGTCGCGGCGGTTTTGGGCGATGATGTGTCGGGTCTGCTCGAGGATACGACGAGAAGCAAGGACTTGACCTTCCCGCACCTCGATCATCCCGAAGTTACCCTGAACGACTGGGGCTTCAAACCGTGCTGCGGGAATGCGTACATCGGCTGCTGGGGCATCGTCGAGGCTTTGAGAGCTGGCGCCCGCATCGTAGTCGCTGGAAGGTGTACGGATGCTTCGCCAGTCATGGGCGCCGCCGCGTGGTACTATGGATGGCAGAAAGACCAATACCAGGAACTTGCCGGGGCGTTGTTAGCGGCGCATCTCATTGAGTGCGGGCCGTACGTTGTCGGAGCAAACTTCTCCGGGTTCAAGGAGTTTCTTCCCGAATTGGTTGACCTCGCGTTTCCAATTGCCGAAATCAGTCGCGATGGCGAGTGCGTTATCAGCAAGACGGCAGAAGGAGGCGGCCATGTCACTCAACACACAGTGACGGCACAGCTCCTCTATGAGCTGCAAGGCCACCTCTATCTGAACCCAGATGTCGTGGGAGACTTGTCCAATGTCCAGGTCGAACAACAGACTGGTTTTGGCGAAGATCGTGTGCGAGTCTGGGGCGTAAGGGGCCTGCCTCCCCCGCCAACGACCAAGGTCATGTTTGCTGCAGAAGGTGGTTACCAAGCCGAAGCCACGTTCTACATCAACGGACTAGATGTCAACGAGAAGGTATCCATGATGAAGAACCAATTGACTTACATGTTCAGAGACAGCAACTTCAGCCGACTCAGCATGGAGCAATATGGCACCCAAGTATCAAACCCGAGCTCCCAGCAAGCAGGAACCGTACAGCTGCGAGTCTTTGCGCAGGCGCGGAGGAAAGAAGACATAGCGGCGATGAAGTTCAAGATCCCGATATATGCCGTGCGAATGCAGAGTTATCCGGGCTATCATATGTCCCTCGACTTTCGCACCATGGATCCGAAGCCTTTCATGGAGATGTTCCCAGCGTTGATACCACAATCAGTCATCGACCATCGCGTCTTGCTGGGCACTGGCAAGCTGATATCGGTTGATGCACCTCAAAACACTTCCGAGTACAAGGTTCTTCGGCCGTCTTCCGAAACTGCGAACCCAATAGACCTCGTGTCTTTGGGACCAACCGAGTTCGCACCTCTGGGCAGCGTCGTCCATGCTCGTTCCGGTGACAAAGCCGATAACTCGAATGTTGGCTTCTTTGTGCGGAACAACGATGAGTATCCGTGGCTGCGGACCTTGTTGACAGTCTCAAAGCTGAAGCAGCTGCTGGGTGATGACTGGCATAAGAACAATCCCAACAGGCGAGTGGAACGAGTTGAGTTCCCCGGCATCAACGCCGTTCACTTGTGAGTACTCTTCGTGTCCTCGGTGCGCAGGGATTAATATTTTCTAGCCGTATTCTCGATAATCTGAACGGTGGTATTGCTTCTTCGGATAGAATCGACGGTTTGGGCAAGGGGATTGCAGAGTATCTGCGAAGTAGACATGTCGAGGTGCCGCGAGCTTTTCTTCAAAGGGGTCGGATATGATTGGGATCGTATCATAAATTGTATTATTCTGTAAATCAGTTGGTGGATATGTTGCTCAGAAATACCGGCTGGGATTATCTCCCAAACCAAAGAGCCATTCCTGTGAAAGCTGGGCAATCGCATCGCTATGGTACTGATCGTAGTATATGTTCTGTAGATCTCCGAAGCAATCTCGAAGCGTCTCGTCCACCGTCATGTTTACAAAGTTCTGATTCGTGCTGTGTTCGTACAGAGCGCCCGTGAGACTGATATCAACCTGCTGTGTCATATGAGGAGTCTGCTGAGATGGGAATGGTGCGGCTGCGGAAGCCTGGGGTTGTCCGCTCTGAGCCTCGACCACATCTGCGACTACAGCGTCACTGAGGCGGTCAAAGACTTCGGAGCAATTCCGTGCCATGGCCCATCTCTCAGACAGAGCTACCAGGACTTTGGAGCAGGCTCGCGTGTCATTGACCACTTGACTGATAGTTGGAGTTGATCGCAACGTTGCGTTGGCCGCATTGCCGTTCGGAAGCGGCCGGTTCTGGATATGCTGAAGGTGGTTGCGCAGTGCATAGATGTAGGATAAGCCAGCAATAAAGATGGAATGCAGCGTGACCCATGAGTAGTTGATCTTTCGCGAGCGGTGCAGGTTGGCGTAGAGCTTGATTGCCTCCTGCGACGAGTCGAACATGTGTTGCAGGACGTTGCTATTCTGCGAAGCGTCGCAGATTGATGGTGACGGTCGAAAAAGCATCAATATGCCGTTGTGGTACAGGAGGGTGTACCATTCTTCGGAGCGAAAGCTTGACCTGCTGGCTGGAGAGGCCAGCGGTGCATCCGCCGGTATGAGCGGGAGGTTGGTCGTCCCTGCATGCCACTCTTTGAGCTCCTGTGCCAAAGCTTCCCGCGTGACCTCATAACTGGCATTGCTTTCTCTGTTGATGGTGCTGCGATGGAGCGAGTTGAGTATCTTGCCGCAGATCAGACGATACCGCACAATGTGCACGAATATCGTGGTAGCCATCTGCCATTCGGGCGTGCCAAGAGGTGCAGTCGACAAAGATTGATGGATGGGAACCTCGACTGCGACCGTTTCGATCTGAGGAAGCTCCGTGTCAATATCGTCCAGCTGGATAGCCAGCGGCCGGCCGAGAATGAGACTAGCAATGCGATCCATGGATACGGCACTCCAGAAACACCTTCGCTTGATCTCCAGATCTTCGGCCCTCGCATCGCGGTCAACATCGTCGCCGTCCTGAGAATGAGGCAAAGCGTTAGTCGAAGACTTGTGCAATCCAAGCTCGAAACATGTCCGTGCTGCTACTCCGATGAGATGCCAGACATTGGTGCTCGTATCGTGTGATGTTGTTCCCATTCTGTATTGGCAGATAAGAAGAAGGCCCTGAAGAGCGGTGATCCCTCCACGTCCTAGAACGTCACCAAGACGCGTCATGGCGCGGTTGTAGTGAACTTCGGCATCCCAAATCCCATTCCAATTGAGCTTGTACACTTGAGCCGTTCCTATCGCTAGCGTCATGTCAATGAGAAAACCATCCGCTGGGTCGATGGCGTCGGGGCTGCCCGCCTCATACACAGCATCCAGTGCCCTGTCCAGGGCTTTTGGTGACAAGAACGGGTAGCAGAGGCGGTCGTGATTGCAATACGCGTCGAGAATTTCTGTCGCCATGCCCCTCGGGGGCAGGCTAGACGCTGTGTTGATTGACAGGCTGCCCGTTGGATCTGTCCTGGCTGAAGCGACGCGTGACGACTGACCGACCATATGACTGGCAGAGGCGATCGGTTGGTTATTGGGCTGGAGTAAGTTGGCGAGGAATAATCCGCTGGTCGAGCCGACAAAGTCTCTTCCTCCGCCAGCGCTGAGAGAGAGATGAATGACCTGGCTGGCAACCTCGTTGCTCCCTGTAGGTGCTCGATGCTCGTCCGTGTGCAGACCGAGGCTTGAGGAAGTGGCTGGCGTAGCAAGCCTCTCCCCGGTGCTTGCTCGTTCCTGACGTTGTCGTTGCTGGGCTTCAGCCAGTTTCCCCGAAAGATCGCTGTTTTCCGCTTGTAGGTCTCGCAATCTTTGCTCAAGTCTTTCAACGTCCTGGCGACGGAGCTCGATCTGATGCTCTCTTGCTGCGTAGGTGCATTGCACGTTGATCCTGGCGCATGGCGCGCAGGAGGGCCGCGTCCGGTCGCATCGGACCTTTCGGCGGTGACAGCGCTGGCACGCGCCAGTCCGGCTTGCCGAGCCGGACGGCATGGATAGGCCTCAGCCTGATGGCAAAATCAGGACTCGAGAGTGGCTCTTTGGACTGTTGATGGCAAGGAGCTGATCATCCTGGCAGTGGGTTGAATGTTGCTGGGGGGAAATTATTTCCGAGAAGTTGGAAAGTCCGGGGTAATTACAGAGTAATTTAGCGGGGAAGGCATAAATGCAATACGCCGCGCAATATAATATAGCTACCCTTATAATCTAGCTATTAATATTATCTTACTATACCTAATAAGTATATATTTAATATTTAATATTCTAAAAGAATATAACTCTATTCTAATAAGCTTCTTAATATACTTAGTAGCGCTTATAAATAGCTTTACTCTTAAGGTTAAAGGGGGTAAAACCTTAATAAGAGATATTAATCTATAAGAGACTATTCCTTCTACTATTAAGATTATATTATAAACTTTATCTTTTTATTTATTTATTTAAAATATTATTCTATATCTCTTATCTTATATTAGCCCCTATTATTACTATCTTTAGTATAATCTTAAGCTTTAACCCTTTTTAGTCCCTTAATACCTTTAAGAATAATATCCCCTTCTACTTAAACTATATTAATAATATTCTTTTTATATATTATATTAATAAGAATATTATAATAGATATTATCTTTTTAAAGGAATAAATAATTTAGTAATACTATATAGGTTATATAATATTATAGTAATATTTAAACTTATTTATAGCTTAAATAGTAGCTAAGATAGAGTATAAGCTATTATTAATTTTTAGCGTATTATAATATAGTAAGCTATATAATAATATAGGGCTTAGCCTACTTAATATCTTAATAATAGTAGGATAGTATATAGAGGTGCTAATTAGGATCTAGACGTATTAGATATAAGGTTAGTAGTTTCTATAGATATATTAGGTATAATTAGGCTTAAATCAATCCTTATTATTAAATAATAGCGCTAATATAGGAAAGGTAACATATAAGGCGGGGAAGGCACGGTGGGTCATCAGTGCCAACGGCCACCCGCTTTCGGACCCAGCCGTCGGTCTCGATATTGTCGATGAGGCACCATCGCCCCCCGCGAGATGACTTTTGACGTGAATGAGAAGGTTGGCATCAGCGTGTCGGATATGGAGCATTTCATATCCCAGCTCCAGCCGTACGGCTCCGCCGTTGAGGACATCCTTCTGGGACATGTCGCAGTAAAGCAGGAACAATCATCACAATGCTACATGGCCAACACCAAGCTCAAAAATGATTGATCGTTGATGATCACGGGTTGGGGCGTGTTTGAAATAATGCAAATTACTCTCCGTGTCTATGCGCTACCGTGTATCCCAGTCATTCTCTCTCCCCAGATGCAATGTTACACCGCTGTGACATCAAACGAAATAGCCATGCTTCAACGCTCCATAGGACCGAGCCCCTAGTACTGTACAGCGTGTTGTGGCGAGTGCCTTTCAACGAGTATGACGTTTAAATGAAGAGCTTGCTGCCATGGTACTTGGTCTCCTTAGCGTAGGTGGAGGCCGCCGCAGCATCGACGCGCTCAGGGAAGCCCTTGAACGAGACTGCGTACTTGGCGACGGAATGGGCGACCAGCTAGGAGGACAACATTAGTATCGGTGTTGGTGACTTTTAAGGGTATGTAATCGTGCTTACCTTGGCGTTGAGCTCCCAAGCAGTCAGGTTGACGTTGCCGACATCGTCGCACAATTGGTGGTAGCAGGGGTCGTACCAGTCACCAGCCTTTCCGCCAAACAGCTTAGCCTCCTCCTTGGTCTTGATGCCCTCAGCTCCGGTGGCAATACCTCCACCCGGGATGCCGTTTCTGATGAACGCGTCATAGTCGCTGCGGCCATCAAAGGGGATGAACGTGTAAGCAAGGTCGTGGGCCTTGTACCAGTCAACGTACAGGTCGCGAAGCTCCTCGGAACCGGTAGGGTTGACGGCGTTGGTGGCGTTGTAGACCTGGTAGGCGTAGTTGGGGCTGCCGAGCATGTCGTAGTCCATGAAGAGACGGATCTTTTGGTTCTCCTCGGGGGACAGGACGGAGACGTAGTAGTCAGAGCCCAGCAGGCCCTCCTCCTCGGCCGCCCACCAAGCAAAGCGAACGCAGTTGTTGACGCTGAACTTGGTCAGCTGCGTGGCGATCTCAAGCAGAGTCAGACTGCCAGAGCCGTCGTCGTTGATACCAGGGCCCTCGGCGACGCTGTCGCTGTGGCCACCAAGCATGACGCAGTTGTCGGGGTCGCCCTCGGTGGTCTGAGCGAGGATGTTGGTCGTCTGAATGGTGTTCACGACGGCGTCGATGTACGCAATACCATCGACCTTCTTACCCTTGCGGAGCTTGTCGAGGACGGGCTGGGCGTCGTCGAGGCCCAGGCCGAAGGTTGCGACGTGGTTGGGGGAAGGCGTGCCAAGAGTGCCGTGAACGGTCTCGCTCTCGTAGTTGTAGACAATGGCCGCAACAGCGCCAGCCTTGCCGGCGTTCTCGCTCTTGGTGCCGAAGGGGCAGGTACCACGGAGGATGAAGGCGATGTTGCCGTCGACCTCGGCAGGGTAGTCGGAAACATCGCAGCCCTCGTTCTTGACGAGAACGAGGTCGCCATGAACGGGCTCCTTGTTCTTGGTAGGCGGCGTCAAGGACATGGGCGAGGCAGACTTGGGCACCTCGTCGCCAATGACGAGACGCGACTCGAATACATTGCCAGAGACGGCGGGGAAGGTCTGGTTCCAGACCTTGTAGTAGTCGCCCAGCTTGGCGAGATTGAAGTAGATGTACTCCAGAGTTCCAAGGTGACCTGTAGGACGGTGAGCGTGTGCAAAGTTGAAGGGCCTGCAGGTATAAACAAACCATCGCTACCAATGACGCGCGTAGGGTGGTTGTACTCCTCCTCTCCCAACTTGGCAATCTCGTACAACTCCTTCGCGCGAGCAAGCAGATTGTCGGCGCTGATTGTGTCCTGCAGAGCCTCTGTTTCTACCAAGGGCTTCTTGGATGAATAGGTCGAGGGGGATGTCGAGAGAGGCGCCTCGTCGGCAATCAGCGGCGTTTGAGGTGCGAGTACCTGCTGCTCTCCAGCCTGCATATGCAGGGCGGCAGTTCCAACAAACAAGGCCGAGTAGGCCAATCTATAGCACCAGAGAGTCGCCATTGTGTCGGTGGCAGCTCACAGACAAAACCTTGAGGTATTCAGGTAGGATGATGATGAGATGAAGTTGGAAGCTGTGACAGTTGGATGTGTCACAGACGGCGAGGTCAAAGGTCACACGGCCGAGCGCTGTTGCGATAGACGACCGATATCGCGAATCAGGCATCTTATCGGTTAGTCATCCAACCGAGGCAGTCTGTTACAGCTCTTATCTTATCGCAGCTCCCAGCTCGGAAGCTTATGTAAGATTTCAGCAGATAAGACACCCAGCTTGAGGTGTGAGCTGATTAAGCTCGGCAAGCCCCCGGATGGTCCCTCGCCTCGCTGGGCAAACACAGTCATCCACGGTTATTGTTTCCTTGACCTCGCTACCTCTGTGATTGCCCTTGTCGTCAGTAGCTCTAGCATTGCCCTTGCTGCTGGTAGCTCTAGTGTCCTATTTATTGTCCATCGTCGTTGTTACTACCATTCGACTACGAATAACCGTGGTATAGGTAGTCCATGTACGTTACGTACCAGGTGCATTACTAGCGCGAAAAAGGCAGATTGCAGCTGTCAAGGGCCGCCAAGAGCCACCACCGGCACCCGATCTTCATCTGCTGAGGCGGCCCCCCGAGACTCCGTCACCCTTGTTTTCGACTGTTTCCAGGGGCCAAGCCCCCGGGATGCGCATGTTTTCATAGGGGGGAATCAGGACGTGGTGGATCGCTTCAGCTGCAGGGCGTTCATGTTCATCATTGAGGACCTGCTGGCCCTTCCCCTCGGGTTCCGTGTCCTCCTGAACAAATCGCTGCACGGCAAACTTGGGACGAAGACGAGGCACGATCCGTCTCTCGTCCGTCCGTCTGTCCAGTTTCTCTTTTATTTTTGTTTGTACGGATTACATTACCTTAATTCTGCCGATTCCCACTTCTTACCGTCTGCATCCCCGTCGTGCAGAGTTAGCCATGATATTGAGCTGGACCTCAACAACGACGACCGTCCAGAATGGGTGATACAGGAGCTACCGGAGCTTGGGCGAGAGGTAAGTCGTCGTCGTCTCGTCTTCCACATGTCAAACTCGACCTGCTCCGGGACACCCGTTCTTGTGCTGACTTTGCTTTTTTTTCTTTCTGATTCGCAGACGCCGCCTCGTGGGCCTCGATCCCGACCGAATTGCTGCTCGCCGAGCTTTCGAAACGACATGGCCATGCGACGAGCAACGCCGAGGTTGCCGGAGCCGGCGCGACGAAGCCGCAATGCGGTTCCTCCAGGAAGGAATCCTACGATACGGCCTTGCACATTGGTGCGCTGATACTGATTCTCGCATTGAGCACAATATGTGAGTGGTTTTGCCTCTGGATCTTGGGAACATGACGGAATGCTTCATCTTGGCCCTCAAGGTCGTTTTGCTGGATACGGACAGGATGCTAACTTGCATGCTACAGCTTGCGGTATCCCGCTTCTGCCCCGACGAGCCTCGAAAGGCCGATCCCAGAGCAGGATCATCTTCTACTGCCAACACTTTGGCACCGGCGTCCTTCTCGCAACATCCTTCGTCCACCTTCTTCCGACAGCCTTTACCTCTCTTACCGATCCATGTCTCCCCTCAGTCTTCAATAAGGGCTATCCGCAAACGGCTGGCCTGATTGCCATGATAGCAGCTCTATCCGTCGTCGGCCTCGAACAATACCTGGCCACCCGAGGAGCCGGTCATTCCCACTCCCATTCCCACGAGTACGAATACTGGGACGAGGAGGATAACGAGGGCGCTTCGGGCGGAGGCAGGCAGGGAGTAAGCAGTCTATCCACGCGCAGAGTCGGCGCCCACCGACCATCCGACATCAACCTCGACAACATGGACTCCACTCAGGGGCTGATGGCCGGCGCATCGCCTCTCCCGAGCTCTACACCGACGAACGCGAAGTCAAATACCCGGCTTGCGAACGGCCGCGACAGCTTCGACGACGATGCATCCGATATGGATCTCAACATAGACGAGCTAGATCCCGCGACTGCCGAGACACCAATCCACCGAAGCTCGGCAGACGGCCGCCCGAAGATCACGGTAACACCCGGTGCGGCTGCACCGCAGGTTGTCACGGAGGAGGAGCAGAGCCGGCTGCTCCGCCAATGTCTCCTACTAGAAGGCGGCATCCTCTTCCACAGCGTCTTCATCGGCATGGCCATCTCAGTAGCCACAGGCCCGACCTTCATCGTCTTCCTCATCGCCATCAGCTTCCACCAGACCTTCGAAGGCCTCGCGCTCGGCAGCCGCATCGCGGCCATCCAGCTGCCCCGATCATCAATGCGACCCTGGCTCATGGTCCTCGCCTTCGGAGGCACGACGCCGCTCGGACAGCTCATCGGTTTGATTGTCCATAACCTGTACGATCCGATGAGCCAGACCGGATTGCTGATGGTCGGTTTCATGAATGCCATCTCGGCCGGTTTGCTCCTGTTTGCGGGGCTGGTGCAGCTCTTGGCGGAGGACTTCCTTTCGGAAAAGAGTTACACGATACTTCAAGGGAGGAAACGGCTCAATGCCTACCTGGCCGTCATTGGCGGTGCTTCGCTGATGGCCATTGTGGGCGCGTTCGCATAATCGTCCCACTTGGCTTAGAGCGAGAGAGAAGTAGACTTTATGGTTCAATTAAAGCGTTGCCGAATTTGACTCTGAGCTTTGAGTTTGTGATTTATCCTGCCGGATCTTCCCCAGCGTGCTAACTAGATTTCTTTTTGCTCGACTTCTCCCAATATCTCCGATATTAATTCCCCTTGTTAGTGATCAATGGTCGATGTCGCGGAGGAGATAAGCATTGCGACGCTATGTCACGAGTGTGAGCCCAACGCCTGGTGGTGAATATAATCGCCGTGTCTCTATCAGCCTCATTGCTTGTTCACGCCCAGCTACCGGATTACGGCGCGGACCTTCCAGGGGTAGAGGTGCCGAAGACACATGGTGGTCGTCGCGTCAGGGCCTTCTTGCAGTACATACATGCATCGTAACGACGCACTTAAACGCCCTCGTTCGGCTACTCTTCTGCGTCCATCAGTATCCATAACCTATTCCACGAATAAGCCGAAGTCGACAAGATCGCCTTTTTGAAATGTAAGCCACGGATCACCGGAGGCCGGATACGCCATCAGACCAGTGGCACGAAGAAGACTGCAGCCTGAGCGTGAGGCTTGTTCCACCTCTCTCTCTCTCTCACACACACACACACTTACCTACCTAATTAATGCTGATATATCGACAAGCCTGTCACCAATGAAGCGATTAGTTTGCTAATCCCCGATCCCAATTTGAGTTCGTGGTTCCTCGTGCTGAACCTTCCCCCCTCTGCGCACGAGACTTCACCCGGCTCGTGGTGCCAGTTTGTGTTAGCTTTCCTACCCATCTCTCACCAACCCTTTATTTTGACCTCATTCCCATCACAACCGCTCAGTCAGTCGCGGAGATCTCGGTGTGGAGTTCATCCAGAACACGACGCAGAAGCGCTGCTTCTTACCTCCTGCTGAACAGAAAAGCTGCTAAATTCACTAGTGATAAGTTCTCCCCCTCCTTCATTTGGTATCTTAGTATTCTAACGGCACGGTTCACGCGTCCCAGAACCGATATCACTCCGTCGTCCTAAGGCAAACGAGTATAAGGACATAGACTGTCCCTAATGCATCTCTTCTACCCTCACGGTCTCAACCGCGGAACCAGCCCTCGCTACAACGTCGTCCGTTCCACAGTGCATCTTTACTGGGTCGAAGTCTGCAATCATTGCAGCTACCCATCCACCTCCTCGCAGCGACCATCTCCGTCCTTCAACATCCGTATGATATTCCGCGGAATACATCAAGGCTGACAACAAATTTGACCCAGAGGCTCCTCGCCGTTGTTGGATTCATACATTGTCCACCGATCCGTCAATTTCCCTTCTGCAGATGGTCAAGTATTTGTGGTATCTGCGCTGGCGACCACTACCCGGGCGCAGAACTTCGGAACTGCCGTACTGCTGTTTAATATATATCACGAATGCATCGACAAGTCTGTTACAGCCATGGAGGGAATGAGAATGTCAATCACCACCTGCAGCCGCTTTGCAGGGTGAGGTACGCCGTACATTGACACAGGTTAAAAAAGGGACAGACGTCCCTCTTGAGAGAAGAAAGGCCCGGAGGATTGTCAAGATCCATGGGTTCTCTGGGTACGCGCATGAAACTGAATAGCATCGACGAATCTGATGGCCAATTCAGCAAAGGTTCAACGCGGCTCTTGACTGTCTGCGGGCCCGTCAAACATGTCTAACACTCCGATTTTATTCCAAGCCGATACATGATGGACCACACCGGCGACAACCAGAGAGCCGACCCGAAGACCCAACAGGCGGAAAAGCCACATAAAGAGTATCCAAGCTTGTACCAGCCCGGGAAGTGGGATGATGTTCTGGAAGCAGACCTACGTTTGCCCTAGTTCCCGATGTTTGCTGCATTGTTGGCTTCAAGATACCCTCTTATAAATAAAGGTCATGTTGACAGACCACCTACATCAGATCTCTTCAACCTCAAGGCCACGCCCAAGCACATCAGCAGGCTCCGACCAAAAGGCAAAAAGAGAACGCGCAATCGCGGACGGGAATTGAGCCCGACGTGGGGGTCGAACCCACAACCTTGAGATTAAGAGTCTCACGCTCTACCGATTGAGCTAGCCGGGCAGATCTGGTGATCTGCCATTTGTTGTTGAGTGGGCATCTGGTTGAGTCATTTAAGAGGGCTGGCGGCCGTGATGTGAAGAGATTTTTTTTTCGTGCGGGTGGGGCTCCGGGGCCGTGCCCCCGCCCGGCTCGGCGGGTGTCCGGAGCTAAGGGTCTCGGGCCACCCGTCGAGATCCGCTGGTGTATTTCTTCGCGACCTCGATTGCAATCTTCTTGGACACCACTAGCGCGCATCGCATCTGGCAGTGTTCTCGTAGTTGAAGTTCGACCTGGATGCTGCTTTCGTGCTCTCCCGATGATTGGGGCTTGCGCCAGAAGCGGATGTCAAGATCTCGCATATCCTTGCCTTCTATGTTCTGTATCTTTCCCTGGTTATTATACAGATACGACCCGGAGGCTTCAGTCTATACATGTCCATCTTTTAACGATCTTGGCAAAATACTTGGGAGATCCATCAAGATCCCATCTGTCATTGGTAAAACTGACCCTGGACCGGGGCTCTGACAGGCTGGGCTGAAAAGGAACAGTGCCCCATCTCGCGCTCGTCACCCTCCGACTCCAAAACACCCCATCGCAACAACTCTCCCGAAGCGTCTTTCTCGCTCAGGTTCGGGTGACAAGCCGCCGAGATGGCCGCGCTGCAGCTGCCGGCGACAGGTATCCCGCCGAACCTCAGGCGTCGCCCGGCCGACACGAGAAGGAGTCCGAGCATGACAAACCCAACCGCCACGACCAAAGCGACCCCCAACGGCGACCATCCACAGGTCTTCAAAGTCCCTGACGAAAAGTTTATCTCGTACGGTATGGAACCATTGTCATCGATGTTGGTCCACTGGGGGGTCATGGACATGACATTCTCAGGCAGGTACGAAGGATCGTAAATCTCAATGTTGACAAAGAATAAACTTTGCGACACGAGCCAGTGTAGACCTCCGGAGCAAACGAGGAGCGGGATCGAATATCTATATGGAAGGTGGAGAAAGTACGTGTCGCGTTGGGATCCTTGGGGCGCAGACGATACCCTCAGGCCTTTTGCGCCCGTCCGGTCGCCGAACCTATCCCACTCGGTGACGAGAGAAAGATTCGTGTAAAGAGCGTTGTAGGTGAAATAGAAGAGCGAGAATATGACCTGCGGCGTGTTTGCTAGCAGTGTATACGGAATCAGCGATTGCTGATGAGGTGCGACTCCATTGATGTCGAGAACGGTCTTGGTGTTTAGGCCGAGGCCCATAGTAATGACGTTTTTATCGCCGGGGGCCTGGCGTAATCCAAAGATGAGGAGCAGAGTGTAGGTAGTAAGTAAGACGGCAAAGCTGTCAGGCGCTGGTTAGACGTCGGACACGGCACTGAGATGGGGATAGGGACGTACAACAGAATACACGAGATCCACCTCGCAGGTGTACCCGCAGCGAATTTCCTCCTCGACTTGGCATTGAAACGCTGGGGAGACTTGAACCAATTGCAATCGATAAAGTCCTTTTTCGACTTGAGGCACATATTTGTCGTCGACTCATCCGGATGAGCAAGGAACGAAGCCACAGCATCTCCAACGGTCAGGAGGGGCTGGTCGCGAGTGCTTGCAAATGCCACGAACAGCATCAAAATGCCCTTGAACAAGTTGACGGAAATGACGATCCAGCAGAGTGAGGCGCTAAAGAGAATCTTGCAGGACTCCTCCGTCTTCTGGCTGTGGCATTCCTTAACCGCCCGTCCGTACGGGCGCCACTCGTCTGCTTTGATTTTCCGGAGTTGGTCGTCGCAGCTGAAGTCATCAGGGCTAGCTCGGTCGGCATTCTCGCACATCCAAGACGAGGGCTGTATCATTGAAGTATCATAGGCAAAAGTATACAGGTCTGGATACTCTAACCCCACATCCCCTGCTGAAATGAGCAGTAGGTTTGCCCGCGTAGACTGGAACGGAGTTCTGTAGGACGTCAGGCAGTCGGCCACGGTCAGCTTCTCCATCTGACCGCTTCGAAAAGCGTCGTTAAGAGCTTCCCAACGCTGGGCAGCCTCGTCATTGAATCTCGGACTGTCATTGAGGCTTGGAAACATGGCGCTTATGTTTCTTGCTTCTAGAAAGCCTGTGTCTGTGTGGAAAACGAAGTACTCGTTCACTGGAGTTGAGGTGAATATAATGGAATTGTAACTGCAATTTGATCAGTAACCCAAGATATTCGAGGTGATAGGGGATGGTGTTGTACACAAAATGCAACGGGAGCGACGAGACAGCTAAAAGGCCCCAAATGATCTTTCTCTTCCGTGAGATACTCCACAGGTTTCGAATGCTGGGCACGCCGACATCGAGCCAGCGTCGTTTTGCGTGCGCGTCGTCTATCTCGGTTCGCGTTGGTGCCATCAAGCACTGCATGCAGTAGTTGCTGCCGGCAAGAAGAATGGTGCTGAGGGCGTTGATGACGACGTGTATTCCTGTACTCCACCTCTCGGCCGTCGGACAGCTCTGCTCTGCCAGGATTCCCACGCCGTCCGTTATCGTCGTCCGAGATGTTGCCCATAGTACGAACACAAGGTTGATCAGGAAGGTTACGAAGGCTGCAAGAGAGAAGGCGAGCGCGGCTCTCTGCCAGCGAGGCCGAGGCAGTGCGAGTCTGAACATGCTCTTGCGTCAGTAGACGAGCAAGAGGCGAAAATGATTGGAATGAGAGACGAGAATGATTGAAATGAGAGGCGAGAATGATTGGAATGAGAGACGAGAATGATTGAAATGAGAGACGAGAGTAAATGGAACGACAGACAAGAGTGCCGGCAATAAGCGGCAAAAAACGCCTAAAGAAAAGTGAAGAGACGACGGTGCGAGTAGGGGACTTGAGGTCGAAGATGGAAGTGGAATTTATTTACACGAGAATAGACTTCTTCGAGAACCAGCCTAGCCGTTGAGGCCGTTCTTGCTAAGTTGTGGAAGGGACTCCATTCAGCCTCATGAGGCTGGCCTTGCCGTCTCAAATCGCGCCTCTTCTGCTTCTAGCAGGCGCCTCGATCGTTCAGCCAGCCAAAACTAGGCCATTTATGCCTTTGTTTTCACATTCCCCTGGGCTACAGATTGCAGACCACCTCAGCAATGGATCACCGCCAGTGACTTTCCAACCCTCGAGGCTTACGGAGATGGAAATGAAATGCCGCCATAGTTGTGAGGGCTGAATAACGTCCCGGTCAGAAACATCCGGTGGGCGAGGGACGTTGACTAGATAAACGTCCATCCACCCAGGACCGGGACAGGCCCGTTTTGGTTCACGCCAGACACTAGCCACGCAGAAATGCGGTTTGAACTACGATAACGATGCGGCTGGTAGCATTCGTCTGTCAATACGCACGCAGTGAGTTGGATTTCAAGGAGCTTGACTGTTTGGCCAGTGATCGCCCCTGACTAACTCTTGGTTGTCCTAGGTCTAGTGGAAGTGAGATTCAGCCCTCGCTAGTACATTCGATGTGAGACTGTTGCATAGACTCTTGAACTAAAGAGATAAGGTTATTTCACGAGCTATGGAAACGTAAAAAGTCACGATGTGAGACTTCTTATTCTTATGGTTAGTGCGATTGGAGAAAAGCCTCCTCAAACAACAAGCAGAGGTAGAAGTCAATGTTTAAAGGCTTAAGGAGACAATTCCTTAGAGACGAGGGGAGGGAAAAAAAGAGATAAGAGGGAATAGAAAATACTTAGTTTTACGAATAGAAACGCACGTTATTTATTTTACTCTACTGATTTCACTAAAGCTCCCGAGTACTCACAATCATTAGAAGTCCAGCTTCTAGAACCCCTGCAGCAATTTTGGCACCATGGCGACGATAAGAGCAAGCCCAACAATAGTCTAGAGATGTATAATGATTTCGGAAGTGAATCGTAGAGTTATTCAAGTACAAGCTAACAAAAATCAGTGGTATGACACTTCGGCGCTCGTCTCCGTATGACACCGGCTCACTTGAACCTTGAGGACTGAATGGCGAGAATGAATGACTCACCTGGGCCGTCATAAAACAACTGAGCCGCTCTGATCCCACCCATCTGAGATCTTCCTTCTAAACACCTATGGTTTGTAAATACTCCCAAGGAGTATCCGAACGAAAACCTCATCGACTTCGACATTCCCGAGGAAGAAGACGAGGTGAAGTTCACCTGTCCCAGTGTTGATCTCCCAGCACTCCACACACCTAAATCGGTACGTACCCATCCACCCATCCACCTTTCCTCCTCCCCCAGCAGGCCCCTTCCCGGCAATCACAGATGCAAGGCTGCCGCTGAAAGCTGCAACTGAGCGAGAGCTGCTGCGACCCTGGGAGGGGCGGGGCAATTCTTTTTTTTTTCTTTGCGCCCGCGCCCGCGCCGACCTCTGATGTGCCTCGCAAATCCAATCCCAACATCGTCGCCGACCCTCAATTTCCGACGCAGCAACCTTTTGCTCTCCTGTCTTGTTCAATTGGCTATTTCCAGCCAAAAAAACACATGTTTGGCCCTAATAAGCTTCCAGGCAGCCGTGCATCAATCCGAACAGACGAGAGCTAGGTCGTAGTCGGAGACAGTGGGCATCGCCATTATTTATCCTAGGTCGTCCACACCCACCTTCGCTCGTTCCCATCCCGATTATTCGAATCCAACACACCCTCCACGAAGCATAATACGAATACTCCAATCCGGACGGCAACCTCGTAACACCTCCCAACCCTCCACCGAAAAGCCGCCGCAACAATGGCCACAACACCAGCGGCGCCCTCCCCGGCTGCCACCACCTCGAGCACCGACTCCAAGCTCGAGGTGTGGAAGGAGAGCCTCTACGACGCCTTCCAGAAGGCCGGCGACGAGAACCAGCTCTTCTCCCAGTACGACATCCTCGAGTTCGACGTCATCCCCAACCGCGACACCGTCACCCTCCTCAAGGTCCTCCAGAGCCTGACCAACGACCGCCTCCTCATCGCCGTCTCCTCCCAGACCGGTCTCGCCTGGCGATGGCGTTCCACGGAGGATGCAGAGAAGTGAGCAATTCCCTCCCAGAAGAGAGATTCGAGAGACGTGAAGCGCAATACTGACACGACTCCTCCCCCGCAGGTACAAACTCTGCTCGACCGACGAACAGCGCATGGTCTACGGCGCCATCGACGAGGCGGGCGGCGACGGCATCTGGTCCAAGACGATCCAGCACCGCCTCAACATGCACGACTCGGTCCTCAAGACGGCCCTCAAGCAGCTCCAGGGCAAGGGCCTCATCGCCCCCTTCAAGAACGTCGAGCACCCCAACAAGCGCATGTTCATCAAGGCCTCCATGCGGCCCTCCGAACGCGCCACCGGCGGGCCCTGGTTCACTGACAGCACCCTCGACGAGGCCTTCATCGAGGACCTCCAGCGCGTCATCTTCGACCACATCAAGCTCAAGACGACCTACCACAGCACCGGCGCCTCGCGGACCCCGAAGAAGGGCGTGCTGAAGGGCGGCCTCGAGAGCAAGGGCAAGAAGAGGTCCGCGGGGGAGATGTCCAGCGGCGGCGGCGAGGACGGCGGACAGGGCTCCTCCTCCGCCTCCGCCGTCCCCCCCGCCGTCCAGCAGCCGCCACCCAAGCGCGAGCCGAGCTGTCTGCCGCTCCCCGCGGGGTACAGGGAGTACCCGACGGTGCGCGAGATCGCGCGCTTCATCTCCAAGTCGGGCATCACGAGCGACACGATCCTGGGCGAGGAGGACGTGCAGAAGCTGATCGACGTGCTCGTCTTCGACGGGCTGATTGAGAAGATCCGCGTCGCGGAGCGGTGGGGGTACAGGGTGTGCCGGGCGCCGAGGCAGAGCCAGATGACGTGGGCCGGCCGGCAGGACGGCGGTCCCGACGAGGGCGGCCCCGAGCCGTTCGTCAACGGGTACACGGAGGCGCCGTGCGGGCGGTGTCCCGTGTTCGAGCTGTGCGAGGAGGGCGGGCCGGTGAGCGCGAGCAATTGCACGTATTTCCAGCGGTGGTTGGGGTTGGAGTAACTATCAAGGCCTGAGGCTGGGAGAGGACGGAAATTGGTCTGGAGTATGTGGGTTTTGGGACTGACTGATTCATTCGTATCACGGCAGCATTGCATTGGCGTTGGCACTAGGTAGTAAAAAGGACGGGCGGTATGCTTTACTGAGGTAGATCTTTACCCTCCCAAGCGGCAAGCGGATTAGCTCTTGACAGTCGGATAGGCTGTAGAATGTATCATTCTTGCATTTGCAACCCTCAATCGACCGCCGACATGTATTATGTGAGTTCACAATGCGAAGGGGACATGCATGGCAGACTCGGTGTTACGGGTACACATCACAGCACTTAACGCACGTCACAATCAATGGCACAACAGATGGCAGTAACTTTTTGTCTTGGCTCGCTAATTGTCAGCAGTCGTGCTGAACCTGGCCAAGACGCGCGTCGGCGCGTTTTCCCAAGCAATCACCAAATCCTCCATCTTCCCCCACTGGTTTCGCCCCTCTCGGGACTACTATCGGCGGAGTAGGATCTAACGTACAAAGCACGAGCGAGGGGCAGTTTACAACTGGCCAGAGGCGACGATGGTGGGGCGCTTGCCGTATTTGACAGTGCCGGAAGAGGAGCCAGTGGCCTCGAGGGCCTTGACGATGTTCAGACCCTTGTCGTCAGCAACCTCGCCGAAGACGACGTGGCGGCCGTTGAGCCAGGAGGTGACGACGGTGGTGACGAAGAACTGGGAGCCGTTGCTGTGAGATGTTAGTGTGATTCCGTGGTCGACCAGAGGACGTGGGAGCTTACGTGTTGGGGCCGGCGTTGGCCATGGAGAGCAGACCGGGCTTGTCGTGCTTGAGGGAGAAGTTCTCGTCGGCGAACTTCTCGCCGTAGATGGACTTGCCACCGGTGCCCTGGGAGTCGTTAGCATGCATGATTCAACAAGGGCGATGGAGGACACGTACGTTGCCGCGGGTGAAGTCACCACCCTGGAGCATGAACTCGGGGATGATGCGGTGGAAGGCAGAGCCCTGGTAGCCGAAGCCCTTCTCGCCGGTGCAGAGAGCACGGAAGTTCTCGGCGGTCTTGGGGACAACGTCGTAGAAGAGGTTGAAGACGATGCGGCCGTTCTGGACTGTTGATGGAAAAGTTGGTCAGCAAAGCTCGGTTGATGTTGGCAGGATAGCCGAGGCGATGAACGCGGCAGGAGCGAGGGGAAAACAATCCAGGCTCTTGGGGCGAGAGTGGAAAGTGGTTTGGAAGGAGGCATGGAGATGCTCGTGGTTTCCAGGGAGGAATTGAGGATGGCGTTGGATGGGATTTGATGAATGAGGCAGCTTACCCTTGACGTCCTTGGTGACCTTGCCGACGTTGTCGAGGACGGGGCCCTCCCACTCGAGATCGAAGTAACTGCGGCGGAGTGGTCAGTATGGCGTCATTGAGAGCTTGTGATGGTTGGACAGAGCATCACGAAGGCATCGGGAGAGGACAGAGAACTTACACCTGGGGACCAGACATGATGTTGGATGCTGAGAAGAATCTAACGGATGGCTTGGTGGTAGATGCAGACAGAGGAGTTGATCGGAGAGGTTTGAGAAGGGTGGAAGGTCGAGAAAAGGGCGAGGGTGAAACGGAGAAGCAGGCGAGGTTATGGCGGGGTAGGAGGGGTCGCAAAAGGGTTGGTCTCATTTTTTCAACAGCTTGGTGGAGGGGTTTATTGTTAGCGCAGGAGCTCCCCACTGGCGGGTGCCGAAAGGACGAATCAGAACACGACAAAGGAGGGCAAAGCGGGGGGTATTCGGTCACGTGAAGTCAGCTGTTGCTGAGGTCACTGGAGGGAAGGGGGGGAAGGTACATGACAGGGTGTACCTGCCGCCGCAATGTTCGGCGGTACGTCCCTTTTCCCTCCCCTCCACTTTGTGCTTGACGTTGTGACTGGGGGGAAGGAGGGAAGGGACGTGGCGGCCCCGGAGAGAGAAGGAACGGGCGGAAAGGGAAGGGAAGAGAACGGAAGGACCGAGGGGCAATTGTTGACGGCAGGGCAGCACTTGCTTCCTGCTCTGAGATGAGTGTTTACTTTGGCTGCTCCTGCCTTCCAAGAGCTGGCTACCTTATCCGTACGCATTGACGAACTGAGGGGAATGACTTCATCAAGAAAGAACCCCTCACTGCCTCAATTGGCTTAGCTCAGCAAGAACGAGCAGGAGAAAAAAAAAGGCAAAGAGAAAATGCCAGTCCAGCTCAACCATTCCAGCAACTGTCGGCTAGACAGCCAAAGGATCGCAGAGGCCGAAACCAACCATCAAGCCGGTGTTGCCCAGCTGAATGACGGCACGGTGCGGTAGTACCAGCCACGGGAATTGGCTGACTGGCCAGACCGCAGTCCGCGAGCCGTCCGAAGCAGACGGGATGCAGATCCCATTGGCGGTACCTGGATAAACCAGCTCGCAGCTCAACAAGACAACAGCCCGACATGGAGAGGCAAATACCTACACCCAGCAGCCCAGCCACCCGCGGACAGGAAGGCAAATGCACGTCAAGCCCCCGAGGACGGACGACGACAATTGGACCGACAGGACGAGGAGAGGGGAGAGACGAGAGAGAGTCAGAGACGTCTCCCGGCCAAGTCACCGTCCCCCACTGGCCCACGTTGCCCATGACACCCTTCCACGATTCGGAAGACGGTGGAATCTTGGGTCTGGGAAGCGGGGATGACGTGGATGCGGTGGGAGGTGACCATGGACGAGACAAGAGATGGATGGTACAGCAGCAACAGCGGTGGGCTTGGTGGCATGGCAATGGCAGCACGCAACACGCAGCACTAGACAGCATGGCGTGGGATGGGATGGGACGGGATAGGACGGATATGCCGAGTCGGAAAGAGAGTGCATCGGCATCGGCACCGACGTTGTTGGCATTGACATTGGATTGACCTCCCGATGTATGTGTCCTCTGTCCTCCGTCATATCCAGTCTGCCGGTCTGGCCTTGCTTGGAGCTATCCAATATGCCAGCCAGCTACCTTAGCTTAAATAGCTTGGGCGGACGATATGACGAGCTGCAGGAGCTTAAGGTCTGGCAACCCAATTGACTTGCGGCAGCAGCAGGCAGCCCCAGCCGTTCAGCCAGCTCCTTGTGCTTGGGGAGCTTTCATGTGGGAATGGAGGGGAGTTGGAGAGCTTGGGAGGGGATGGCAAGAGACCAAAGAAATCATCTCACATACCTCAATGAGCAGGAATACACAGCTAGATAAAGGTACAGGTATAAAGAGTAGAAGAGATGAAGGCTGGTGGTACACAGAAGCCAAAGATCAAGACCTGAAGCTGCTGATGGAAGAAACAATCTTTCTTGACGGCTCGCCAGGAGAGAAAAGTTTTGGTGAGCTCAGACCTGAGGAACGAGAAATGCCGGAGGTGAGGGCAGCTGGCAGCCAGCTGGCTACTTCTGGTTGAGCACGGGCTCACACTGCACGGTCGAATTAGAGCTCGACAGCGGCAGCGGCAGTGGCAGCGGGAACGGGAAGGAGCCCAGGAAAGCTACCTTTCCATTACCTTCATGCTTGCCCGGCATTCTTTGGCATTCTGAAGTTTATGATTCTACCCATTCACTCCTTCATCTAATAATAATTCTCTGAATCACCAAAAACTGAAACCCAATTGACCGGTGTGACGCAGCATTTTTCGAGAATGTCCCGTCGGAGAAACACTGGCTGTTCCGGAGCTGGAAGCTGCAGATTGCACATCCCGGTTGACCAGCGAGGTCCACGGGTGCTCTTTCCATTCTCTCGGCTCTCCTGTTGCTGGCTGCTTACCTCATTACACGTGACCTCACAATATCCCCACATTTCCCTTCCTTTTCCAGCCTCAGGCTGAACGAATCTCATTGGAAGGACCACCGTCATTTACCAGAGGTACGTACCCCCTGCCGCCGCGCCGTCCGAGGCCGACACTGACCTGAAGCCAGGAGCCTGAAAGTTCCAGGGTGGCCAGGACTGGACTGGCTGCAATCGCCGTCGCCGCGCATCTCTTTGAAACGTCGACAAAGAAGACTAGGGGAAACATCTTCAACTTCATCAGCGCTTTCCAGTCCTTGTGCTGTCTGCTGCCATCGTCTTTACCCTCAATCGCTTCTGCTGCGACCGCTGCTATGGATTGGAACCAGCTCAAAGACCAGGTCTCCAACCTGACCCTGTACGATGTCAAGGCAGGAGTTCGAAAGGTCCAAAATGGTAATGGCCAGCTATTCAGATCGCCATGTCACGCTCGTGTGCTGACCGTCCCCCAGCTGTCATGAACTACACAGAAATGGAGGCCAAGGTTTGTTCCTGACGGCCCAACGATGCCAATCACCCTCTCACAACCCTAGGTCCGCGAAGCCACCAACAACGAACCTTGGGGCGCGTCATCAACTCTGATGCAGGAGATCGCCAACGGCACCTTCAATTAGTACTTCTACCCACCAGCTCGCCCTCCCGTCTACCCAAAGCTGACGTTCTTCAAGCGCGACACTCAACGAGATTATGCCCATGATTTACCGCCGATTCACAGAAAAGTCCGCCGAAGAATGGCGCCAGATCTACAAGGCCCTCCAGCTCCTCGAGTTCCTCATCAAGCACGGCTCCGAGCGTGTCATCGACGATGCCCGCGGCCACATCACACTGCTTAAGATGCTGCGTCAGTTCCACTTCATCGATCAGAACGGCAAGGACCAGGGTATCAACGTGCGGAATCGCGCCAAGGAATTGGCCGAGCTCCTGGGCGACGTCGAACGCATCCGATCTGAGCGCAAGAAGGCGCGCTCGTCCAAGAACAAGTACACTGGAGTCGAGGGGGGAATGGGCCTCGGTGGCGGCTTCTCGAGCGGCGGCAGTCGATACGGCGGATTCGGCAGCGAGTCTGGTGGCTACGGTGGCTACTCAGGCGGTGTCTACGGCGACGGTGGTGGTTTCGGCGGACAAGAGGGCAGCAGGGACTACGACAGAACACAGAACCACGGCGACAAGTTCGAGGAATACGACGAGTTCGACGAGGGTGACAGGCCAGCCGCCAGCTCTTCGACGTCTCGCTCCAAGAGACCCGAGCGTGCGGCCGCGGCCCCGAAGGCAGAACCTCCCAAGAAGAAGGAACCCGAAGTGGACCTCTTCTCCTTTGACGACCCTGCGCCCTCCTCCATGCCCGCTCCCGTGGCGCCGGCGCCCTCCAACGGCTCCGGTCTGGCTGCTCTGTCGACAGCTCCGGCCGCCTCCAACGACGACGACGAGTTCGACGATTTCCAGTCTGCCACGCCCGCCACTACTTCCGCCCCGGCAGCCAACCCTCTGTCACCTCCCGTCATGACCTCTTCCGCCAGCTCTGCTACGACCTTCGCAGCTCCTCAACCCGTATCTGCGCCGCAGCAGGCCAATATCGGCAACATGGTCAGCATGTCTTCCATGTCGCCCGCTCCAAGCGGCCCCAACTATTCTGCCTTCAGCACGCCTGCCGTTGCCTCGCCGGCAGCGCAAGCTCCTAAGCCCTCCGGCTACCAGCCCTCAGGGCCCAACTACTTCGGATCTGTCCAGACTGCCGTTCCTCAGGCCACGGGAGGCTCCTTTGGAGGTGCTTCTACTCCTGGCGCAAAGCCGGCTTCTACTCCCGCTGCCAAGCCCGCAGCTGCTGGAGGTGATGCCTTTGGCGCCCTCTGGTCGCAGGCTAGTGTTGGTGTGAAGAAGACAAACACTCCCACCGCCGGTCCTGCCATGGGACAGCTTGCTAAGGAGAAGAGCAGCGCTGGTATCTGGGGGGCTCCCGCCGCTGCGTCCCCAGCGCCCAAGCCTGCTGCCGGATCATCCTCTGGCGGCAACCATGGTCTCGACGACTTGCTTGGTTAAACGATTATAATTAAGACGGGAGAAAAGAGCTGCCTCCTCATTGCGCCTGGCCAGATGTTGGAGACAAGAGGCCGCCAGGTGGAAGGGAGGAGGCGAGATGTGCTGGTAGGCTGCTAGACAGGGCGTATCGGCGCGCAAAAGACTGCAACACATGAACATCTAACTGAATTTCAAAGCGAACCACTACTATAACACGTCCCATCTGTCTTCCCACATCGTGGAATGTGACATCACCGGGCTAGAAAACAGCCCACGTCTAACGCGTCTAGGTGCCCTCCTGCCAAGTGCGCTTGTTCACTCTCGGGCTTTATTACTGCAGGAGCTCACAGCCTCTGCGGCCGACAAGCAACCCGAGTAATGCACCCACAACCCGATGCAGGTGGCTGTCATGGAGAGACGATCCGACGAAGTCCAGACCGCCAACAGCTCCATCCGTGAACCCTCAGATGCAAGGTGCCAACCAGAGCCAAGCCGATCGAAGCAGCCCATCCTTCCGCGGACCAAACAACACTGTCTTCCGGCATGAGGCTCAAAAGCAGACCACTCCCATCTAATCTTGGCTGCATCACAACTGGCCCGCCTAGTATCCAGCGGCCCAGGAACGAGGCCTTCTGAATGAACCATTCCTCCTGCCCAAGACATGCGGCCAGACCAGCAGCCGCCGGACCTCGTTTCAGGTACAGAGCATCCGCCGGTTTGCATCGCGATGGCGGTATGAACAGGCGCCCCAGCCTCACGTCGTGGTCCCACACCGGCAGCTATCTCCAGGTCTTCCCACCAAGTCGAAGATCATGACTCCACCAGTGTCAAAGCGAGGCCGAGACCAAGACGCCGGGTGCAAGCAGATCCAATCATCACGGGTCGGAACCTCGAAACAGACGCGCTGTTGGCTGATCCTGGCGGTGATGCTCCATTGGACGCGCCTATTCTCTCCCCACCTCGTTCGTTCCTTATTTCGTACCTGGGTTCTTGAACTAATCTCTCGCTCCGTCTCTCTTCCTAGACTCTTGGATCATATGTAGCCCTCCGTCATAACCGCGTCGCTTGTCCAACGTCGCTCCACCTCTCTAAGCGCCGCACCGCAACCCCGGCTCAACACCATGATTGGTCAACCCCAGCGGCTCATCATACCTAGCCGATCTGCACCTTTGCTACGTCCAGGGTTCTCTGCTCTCTTACAGGCCTTGCCGTGCCGTATGCAGGTACGGCAAGGTATCTTTTTGCAGCCAGAGGTCCAGAACGCGTTGATGGAGTCTGCTGGAATTAGCAACACAACAACAATGCATCCGCGAAGACAGAGAATTTCGCCAGGTTGGTTCAATCGGGCCAGAATTTGGCCTGAGGAGGACATCGAGGTTTGGTGATTGAAGATGTATAAAGACGATTGATCTCTTCTCGTCTCATCCACTCCTCTTCTCTCATCATCAGCATCAGAACAATCACACAGAACCAACCAATCTTTTCCTTTTTCTCTCTCTTTTTTATTTCCTTGACTCTCTTTCCTAGGTCTCTTTCCTATCTCAAGTCTCGGGTCTTTCTCTCAGTCAGTCAATCAGAATCACGTTTGGTTTCATTTCCTTCGGCATTCCATCTTTCACAAACGTCACGAAGAACGAAATTCGAAACGAAGAATCACGAACTCTAGTCATCAGACTCTTTTCACAGCTTTCATTCACAAACAAAAAGTCACAAGTCGCTCAAAACAGCGACTTACAACACCCAACAAAATTCCCTCCTCAACCCCCTCCGTCTGCATCCCGTTCCCGCCCCGGCGCTTCCCCGTCCGCACGGCTCTCCACCACTCCACCCCGCGCCCGAAGCTCACCCTCGTCACCCCCGTCTCCCTCCGCAAGATGCCTTCCGCCCCGCAGCTCGGCGCCCTCGGCCACACCTTCACGGCCATGCGCGCCATGCAGTTCGCCTCCCTGATCGCCATCATCGGCATGACGGCCAACTTCATCAGCGAGATCAACGGCGCCGACGCCATGAGCCCGCCGGTCCTGATCGGGACTCTGGTAGTCGTAAGTCTTCACTCTTCATCCTCTTCAACGAGCTGCCGCTGACCAGACGGAAGCAGTCCTCCATCGCCACCCTCTACATCGTAATCACATACATCCTCTACTACGACAACATGCTCCCCCTCCTCCTCGCCACCGGCGCCGACTCGGCCCTCCTCATCGCCGTCATCGTCGTCGCCTGCACCCTCGGCAAGCCCCTCTCCTACCTCAACTGCGCCGCCCTGCCCAAGTCCGGCAGCACCGCCACCTTCATGGCCTCCGTCATCGCCAACTCCAGCTCCGGCTCCGCCCTCAACTACTTCATCTGGGTCGGCGCCGACCAGCGCACCTGCTACGCCGTCAAGGCCGTCTGGGGCCTCTCCGTCGCCCTCTGCGTCCTCTTCGCCTTCTCCGCCATCACCGCCGCTTGCCTCTGGCGCCGCATCAAGGTCGTCGGCGCCGCGGCCTCCGGCCCCAAGGACATCGAGGGCTGAAGGTGCGCCCGTGGCGTGGCGGCGGCGGGCTGCTACGACGCCTCTTCGTTCCCCCCGCCTCCCGTAAGGGAGGTCAGGGGCTACGGCGGGGCGAAGAGGAGCCTGGGCACGACCGCGTTGAGGGAGAAGAGGTGGGACAGCGACGACTCCGATTCGGACGGCGCCGCTACCGCCCCCTTGGTCTCTTCCTCGGCGCAGAGGCCGGGGTTCCCGCCGCCTCCCACGGCGCCTGTGAGGAAGGTGAAGATTGTCGAGGGCAAGGTGACGATACAACCCTTGCCAGTGCTGCCGGAGATGGTCCTCACGCCGCCTCCGGCTGAGTCCGCCCCTAAGGATGGGGGTTTGTCTCCTGCTGCTGCTTCGCCCACGGAGAAAGAGAAAGATGGGCACCAGGTCCCCCGCAAACCCCTCGCCCGCGCAAAGTCGAAGCGGATGACCATCATGCACTTCATTGACGGGTGGTGGGATTTGGGACTGCTGGAGCAGGAGAGGAAGAAGAGTCTTATGAGGGCTGCTTCTCGCAAGGTTTGAAACGGGTCAGCGATGGTAACACAGATCGCTCTGGGTTTTGTTCTGGGGCTTTGGGTAATGTCTACTGAGTAGATAGATTGGTTCGGCACTTTGTTTTTTTTTTTTAAACGGCGTTCTGGAAACGGGATTGATGCCCGCAATAATAAAATTGAAAATATACCGGGAAGAATGACTTGCTTTCCTCTGCCATGTGAGATGGACTCGAAACCCGAATCGGGGGCGTCTTTTCTAAATCGTCATCGACGCCAAAAAAACAGAAAATGGTATCCCTAAAACTCCTCACATGATCCTAACGCCAGATATCCCCCTCCCCCCGTCCGCCTCTGCCACTCAAACCGACCAGACTCACGTCAGGAGCACGGGGTGGCCGAGGACCTTGAAGCACGCCGCGAGATCCCACGTCTCGTCGATGGACTCCCTCCTCGCCCACACGTTCTCCATGACGCCCAGCGCGGACCCGATGGACCCGAACACCTCGAGCGCGCCCAGCTTCACCACCATCTCGCGGAACATGTGCTCCTGCACCGGCGTGGCCAGGCACCCGATGACGCAGAACGGCCACACGACGGTGCGCAGGCACACGGGGCTGTGCAGCGAGTTGAGCAGCTCGATCGTCGCCGTCACGCTGCTCGCCGTCTCGGGACAGCCCGGCTGCCAGCCCGAGACGACGGTCGAGAGGTACGTCAGCGCCGCGTAGGCCCAGATCTTGGTGTGGATCCGCGACGCCTCGGTGGTGTCCCGCGTCTGCGCGTCCTGATAGAGCGTGAGGGGGTCCGGCGGGAGCCGCGTCGTGTCGGCGTGCGTCGGGTGCGGCGGCGGGTAGTCGGTGGTCATGCCGCAGGCGCCGGCGCGGCAGGCAAGGTCGCTGGAGCCCAGGAGCTGCGGGCACTGGTTATCCATGCAGGCGATGCCCTCGCGGAGGGCGAACTCGAGGCAGCCGGCGCGGGAGACGAGGTGCGTCATGGAGAGGGAGCCGGCGCGGCGGGTCTCCTTCTTCCAGGCGTCGAGGGCGGCGATCTCGCCGATGAGCTGGAGGACCCAGCTCTGGCAGCCGAAGTACTCCTCCAGCCGCAGCCGGGGCTCGAGCTCGAGGCAGTCCTCCTTGCGGGGGCTGAGGAGGTAGTGGTGGTAGCCCTGCAGCCGCGGGGGCCGCTCGAGGGCGGTGGAGGAGATGATGTCGAAGTAGAGCAGGGAGGCGGTGAAGAAGCGGAGGGCGGCCTGGTCGGAGCTCCAGGGCTTGTGGGAGCCCGGGGGGAAGTGGACGCCCTGGAGGAGGGGGATGGCCATCTGCAGCATCGTGGGGTCCCAGTCGTCCGGGCGGGGGAGGATCTGCTGGAAGACGATGGTGGCGGCGTCGAGGTGCATCTGCCAGTGGTCGTTGGAGGCGAGGGTGACGTCGAAGACGAGGAGCTGGACGATGGACTCGAGGACGCGGCAGGACTGCTGGAGGTGGCCGGCGACGCCGGCCTCGCTGATGGCGGCCATGTCGGCGCGGAGCTCCTTGAGGGCGAGGTCGAGCTGGTGCTGGAGGCTGGCGACGCTCCGGATGCGGCAGGGGGTGTGCTCGACCTGGGCGCCGTTGAGGACGACGCCGAAGAAGTGGGAGGAGAGGCTGAGGGCGGTGTGGTAGAGGGCCTTGTTGTGGTTGAGGACGTTGAGGAGCCAGCCGCGGCCGCCTTCGAGGAGGGCGGGCTTGTAGAAGGGGAAGAGGAAGGGGAAGACGTAGTCGAGGTAGATCATGATGAAGCCGAGGTTGGCGTCGTCCGGGAACGGGTTGGTGGGGTTTGTGTCCGGGACGGCGGCGGCGGCGGCGGCCGGCTGCGTCCACGACCCCGATCCCGGGCTGGGGTTGTTGTTGGACCAGTCCGGGGTGTGCTGCCGGGCCGCCTGGTTCGGGGGAGAGGCGGCGGCCGGGGCGATCTCGGAGATGGAGGACTTGACCGTCTCCATGTGGAACGCCGGGCTGGAGGCGTCTCCGGGGGTGTCGTGGACCGTGGACGGACTCGTCGAGTTGGTCTCCTTTGACGAACCCCCGTCGGCGCTGAGGGCGGGGACCGAAGGCACATGCTCGCTGTCCGAGTCTTCATGTCTGCCGCCGCCTCCCTCGACGTCGAGGCCCTGGAGATACTTGCGCTCGCGGCGGTTGTTGGCCTGGACCTTGACCTGCTTCTTGAGGTAGTCCGACATCTCCTTCTGGCGCTCGCCGCCGTCCATCCAGTCGGGTTTGGTTTCCGAGTAGTGGCATGTGATTTCCAGCTGCGCGCATCCGTCGCAGACGGGACGGGCCTCGTCGCACTTCTTGCGGCGGAGGCGACACGTCCAGCAGCCCTCGGAGGAGCGGATCTTGGCGGAGGAGGACATGCTGGACTTGAACCGCGACCGGAGGCCGGTTAGCGATGAGTGGTGGGAGGGGTCCTTATTGCGGGAGAACATGACGGGCAGTTCGTCGGTTCGAGGAATTACTTTGGTTCAAATGAGGTGTGTCATCGGTATGAAGAAGGCCGAAATGAGCGATGGATGAGTGTTTGGTGGCTTGCGGCAACGAGATTGGTTCAACACATCGGTCGTCGGTCGTCAAACGACGAGGCGGCTCATTTGATGCGATCGCAAGGGGCTCACAATGAATGTTCCGCAGACGCTGTCAGCATGGAATTTAACGGCCGGGAGGATCTGCGCGTCAAAAGGATCAAGCCAACAGCCCGATTTGTAATCCACTAAAAAGCGGCGACCGGCATGTTCCATCAGCAGAAGCGGCCGGGATGTTGAATTGACGGGATGGCGTGTTGGAGAAAATTAAGGTGAGAGAGGAGAGGAGGGGGATGAGATGATACGTACTCCACTTTCCCGCCGTGATCCTTTGTAGAAAATTTCCCCCTTTTTTTGCTCGATAAGCGACCGGTAAATCGGCAGTGGAGGTTATTCGTGAGTTTAAATTTAGAGGGAGTCCGTGAACGTTCACAGGGCTGCTTTCCTATTGAAACGGCGCTCATAGCATTTGAGCTGAGTGAGTGACAGCTTGTCAGACTGTTTCACTCTGACGTGTTTACATGAGATGAGTGAAGCTGTTGTGAAAATGGCCAAGAGTCCCCGCATCCCTGTTGCGATGTTGAGACGCGACGCGTAAACACTCTGTGTACTCATACTCGATGTAGCTGCTGTAAGCGCAGACGCGACGTTTCATGAGATCGTACTCAGACATCTCATTCGCGGTTTGTGTAAGTTGCACTATTAACGCTCATTCTTATTACTATGTTTCTCAGCCCTATGGCCACAAGGTTCACCTATTCTCAGAAGCGAGGCCTTCAAAAGGGTCTCAGAGCATGTGTACGCATAGTCACGAGCTTTTGATGTGTTTCACTCGCGGTGCGACGTAACTCACGGCGAAGCTCTTCGCGCAGAACCATTTTCATGGGCGTACATGTTATCTTTATACTCTTACATTTCCGATTGGTAGACTTCACCATGCCAAAAAAAAAAAAAAAAATCTCATTATTCTGTGTGCAAAGCTCACGTCATGAATTGTTGGAGGGCACCGCGAGAGTCCTAAGACCGGTCGGTGCCTGCTGCTTTCCCCAGACTTCCTTCGTTGGTATGGCGAAGTAAACATGTGCCCAAGCCCTGTCATCCTTTCCTCGTCATGTCGCTTGCCTTAATTATCGGCCCTGATTCTTTCCCTAAGCCGATATTCTTCCCAGTTGCTGACGCACAACTGCGCCTTAGATATCATCTTTTTTTTTCTAGGGTAATAGGGATAATACTCCTTCCTGCGTAAGGCGCAAGAGGAACATAACCTTTCTCAATTAGTCTATAGACTAACAAAATACTATCTTAGGAGCGTCTCACTTTCCATTGAAAGGCACTGAACAACCGCCTTGATCTCTTCAGTAAAAGACACGCTTCATGCATACATGTCGTTGTGTTTAGCCTCTTGCCACCATGCAGCAACGTTACTTAGAGGTTGGCGAGGCGGACGATGCTGCGCGGTGAGACATACCTGTAAAGATGAACGTTAAACTACTAAAAAGACATGACCTAAAGGTCTACTCGATCGTCCAAGGAGTATCAGAATGGCGAAGATACGGTGCTAGGGCCTCACGGTTGTGCTCAGCCTCCGCCTTAATTCTCCCGTTACCCAAAAACGCCCACGGATTAGCATCCAAGTACTCCATGTTGTAGTGCTCCCACCTCGGAGTCTTGAGGGTCTTCAGGAAATGAATATTCTGCCATATTCAACGCATCAGCGTCAGAACGCCAGGAGGGAAGCATCACGTACCGATCCGCCCCATACCAGCACTTTCCCGTCAACGGTATTGTCCTTATACCAGCTCCTGCAGTGGCCCGAGAAGACGCTGGTCTCCTGCCAAGCGTCGATGTACTCGTTGAGGTGGTCGACAACCTCCTCACGGACATCCAGGATCTTTATGCGGTCGGCCTGCATCTTCTTCGCTGCCTGGATGACGTAGTCGAGTTCGGTTTCGAAGCAAGGGAGCACCGTCCCGTTGGCGAGGTTCCCGCGAGGGCCGTTCATGACGAAGTAATTGGGGAATCCCGGGGCGGCCATGCCGAGGTAGCACTTAGGCGTCGGCGACCACGCCTCCTTAATGTCCCGGCCGCGACGTCCGACGAGGCCGAAATGCGGAGTCCAAGCTATATCGTAACCCGTTGCACAGATTATCACGTCCACCTCATGATACACCCCGTCCGAGGTGAACAAGCCCGTCTCGCTGATCGTGGAGATCTCGGAGAAGGTGGTAGTGACGTTGGGCTGCAGGAGGGCTTCGAGGTAACCATCGCCCGGAGTTAGACGGCTACGCGGGTTAGCAAGGCACGCATCATGCACACGGCTTAGCTCCTTGTCGACTCTAGACGTACCGGCACCCTACAGGCCATCCGGGAATGAGCTTTTGTGTCAAGATGGGATGGTCCTTGAGCCGCCGCTTCATCTCAGTCTTCATGTATTGTTCGGCCATCCGCGATGCTTCCGAGTCCTTGTAAAAGATGGCGAATCCCAGACTGATGTCGGTCTCGATCCGCTTGCGGTACTCCAGCAGGTACTCGGGGTTGTTGGCTAGATGGTTCTTCTCCCGCTCCGTGTAGAAGTACTGTCCCTCGTTCGGAAACATTGCATTCTTGTCTTCGACCACCTCATCGCCGCCGTTGGATATCTCTACAGGAATGCGAGACATGGGTGCCGAGATCCATGTGCTGCCTCTCATAAAGCATTTAACTTGAGATGCCACTGGAGATGTTGTCTTAGTTCTTGACACCGAATCTCGATAGCAGACTAGAACTCAACCAGAGACTTACCTTTTTGAACCTGCGGGATGATCTGTATTGCAGATGACCCGTTACCAAGCACTGCAACGCGCTTTCCAGAGTAATCTACCGAGTCTATTGACTATATCAGTGGTGGCATAACTTGCCTTTACTAGGTGACTTACCATCCCAGTTGGCCGAGTGCATCAGGGCCCCCTTGAACGAGTGAAGTCCTTCAATCTCCGGCCCTGAAAGCCCGAGTCAGCCGCGAAACCCAAAAGCCATGAGGATGACGTTCCCATGGCGCCAAAAGTGCGTACGTACATCGATATTTGTTGAGCAGTCCTGATCCATTGACCAAGATATGGCACCAGTCGGTGAACGTCTGGCCGTCGTGCTCCACGGCGACCTCCCACTGCGCCTTGTCCTCGTGCCAGGTGGCCCCGAGAACCCTGTGCCGGAGCTTGACGTACTTCCCGAGGCCGTACTTGTCGCAGAAGCCGACGAAGTACTTGTGGATCTCCGGCCCGGACGCGTAGTACGAGCTCCAGTGCGGGTTCGGCTCGAAGGTGTACGTGTAGATGTGCGCCGGCACGTCGCAGGCGCAGCCCGGATACCGGCTCTTCAGCCACGTGCCGCCCACGTCGTCGTTCTCGTCGTAGCAGACCAGCTCGTACTCGGTGAGTTGGCGTTCCATCTTGAAGGCCGCGCATAAGCCCGTGGCGCCGGCGCCGACGTGGATTACTCGGAGTTTCCGCGGCTGGGAATGCCACTGCTGCAGGAGCTCGAACTTTTCCGAAGGACCGTTCTCTTGCGGTTGCGGATGCCCGTTTGTCCCTATCGGGGCCCCGGCCGGATCCTGGTGGACCGGATCGGCTTTCGCCGGCGTGAGCGTCACCACCGGCTGTCCATCGCAGACAAATTCACTGCTTGTGCTTTCAGTCATGTCGAATATCCGAAACGGTATAAATGACGTGAAGGTGGATGGCTGGGATGGGAGGGATGGCGACTAGTGATCGGCTTGGTCGAAAGAGAGACAGGGGGGCCTGATTGAGATTCTCAACACGGTCTACAGGCATTAACAAGGTGGTGGCTACTCAAGTGTGATATGGTTTTGTAGTCACCTGTATGAGCTATGGCCTATATTGTGATTGTCATCTTTGAAGGCCAAAGACATGTATCCGGTTGTTTTCTCTTGTTCTGTCAGTTTAACTGAGTCAGCCAGAAAATCCGACCCGACTCCTCTTTCTCACCATGGCCTCGACCAATACATCTTGACTAACCCATGGCTGTGACCCTAGTCTCGCACCTTGTGTGAAATATACGAGCTTCGAATAAAACACTCACAGTTTGACTATTGACCTGCGGTGGTGTTTTCCCCTCCACCACCAGGCGACAAGTAGCCAGGCCATCTTCACTAACCGCCGGATTGGACGCCTTCTGCCTTAGAAGAAGACAACAAGCGTGCAAAACAATACTACAACAATCAAACCTTCAATGCTCCAAGAGGAAATTCAGCCCCCTGTGGTCAGTCATGGACCCGGATACGGTTATCTTTATTCGTGGTACCTCCACTGCACATCGGCAGCCTTGAGAGCTGTGGTTGCGTCTATGAGTGGCACCGGAGCGCTTTTTGACAAAATCGTCTCCATCCCAACGCCAGGACTCGGAGACGGCCAAGTAACCGTTTCGATTTGCTTGTCCAGAGACGGCCACGGCAGTCGTGCCTCGGCGCCTCTGGTACTAGTGGCAGAAGGCGGAGGTTTCGTGCTGGGCCAGCCCAACGATGGTGAACACATCCTTCGACCGCTGGCAGACCAGGTGAGAACCCACATACTTGGCGAAACATGGCGGCTTTCTCTACTGTGCTGAAGAGTAACATATATCAAACGCGTGTTAGGTTGGAGCCGTCATCGTCTCGGTAGACTATGCTAAGTCGCCGCGCTGGCCGTTCCCCCACGCCCTCCTCCAGCTCTACGAGGTCATCAAATGGGCTTTAAGCCCGGCTTCCAGAGCCACGCTGGGCGCGCCAATCCATCCTGGAAGGATTGCCGTGATGGGGAACTCCGCTGGGGGAAACCTCGTGGCCTGCCTGGCTCTCCTCTTGGGATTCACGTCCGGTCCATGCGCCAGATTCCGCAGAGGCCTCCCGTCCGACTTTCTAATCGCGACGCAGATCGTTCTGTACCCCAGCATGGCTCTTCAAATTCCCTACCAAGAGCGTCTGAACAGCAGCGGCGCGGACGACGAACAGGTCAGGGCCCGCAGCCTGCCGTCATGGGTAGCGACGATGATGGAGGCATCCTACACACCCCCGCACGTCGATAAGAACCAGATCTTTGTCGCCCCGGCACTCGCTGACGTCGAGCTCGTCGAGTCTCTCCAGATGCCCAACACGCTGATCGTGACTGCTGGGAAGGACTGCTTGAAGTTCGAGGCGCGGCGCTACGCGGAGACCCTGCGACGGGCCGGAGTCAGCGTCACGGAGCACGAGTACCCCGAGGCGATACACGGATTCAGCCATCACCAGCCGGAAAGCAAGGACTACCGCAAGGAGGATGTCGAGGATTGTTGGGAACGCATACGTAGACACCTAAAGAATCAACTGCAGAGCGTCCAATAGCCATAATGCAGCTTCAGCCTTTAGCTATCATATTGTTAATATATAACCATGTGTCAGTAGTAGGTTGATCATTCACAACAGATGGGTGCTGCTGGTTTGCATATAGTAAAGATGTGAACCATATTTACATGTCTCCTTTCCATCACTTATTCATCGAGGCTTCTCAGAGATACGACAGCCGAACGATATGCGACTCAACACCCTCAGTCAGCTCGACGTGATCTTCCTTTGCATCGCTCTCGCAATCATAGCCTAAAAGTGAGCACCACCAAGTGTCCTCGTCCATGTCGACGGCATACCCGCCGCGAACCTGTCCAGCCGTTGTTGAGAGTTCTCTTCCTCTTGCAAGACTCGCAGCTCGCCCCTCCTCCCTGCCCCGGACGCCGTCATCCCAGACCACGACCCTCGCGACGGTCCTGCCCGCGTCCAGCATCCCGGCGGCCCCGAAATCGTAGTGTCGCACCAGCGGCCTCCCGGGCTCGAACAGCTCCGTGATGCCGCCGATGACGGGCCCAAAGCCGGGCGAGAGCCAAAAGTCCCAGTGGTATTCGATTCGGTCCCAGTCCAGGATCCAGACAAAGGTCCGCGGGTCGTCGAGCGAGAAACCCCAGGCCAGTCTCCGGATTCCCACAGCGTGGGGAGCGCCGGGCTTGGTGTTCGCCACGATGCGCGATTCGAACTCGGCTGCGGCGGCGGCGTGGTCTGCTGCGAACGCGGGTGACAGCTTGAAAATGCAGACTTCCGTCACCAGCCGGCCTTTGGACAATTCGGGGGTGCCGGCGTGGAGTTGGGCTGCGTAGCCGGCCATCTCCTCCGAAGTGGCCATGCTGAGGTTGGGGAATCGGTCGTGAGGTGTCCTTGGGGAAGTGAAAGTCGTTGTGGCAAGGGTTGGGTCTGGTCTGGCCTCAAGATACCGTGGCTACATACATGTACATGTACCACTCACTCGCCTGTACAGTTAATCGACTTTGATCTCTTTCCCATGATTCCAGTCTTTATGTGTTCCGCCCTTATTTGTCTTTTCAACCCGAAAGATGCGACATGCCTCCGCTTAGTGGCCTCTTGACTCATTTTTCCTGACAAAGTCCATATCTCTGCGACTGGGGAGGCCCGGATGTCAGGGATCAGTGGAAGCAGCTATGCGGGACCCTTGATGGGACCCTTTTCGTCTTCACTTACAACGGGTTTTGACTCTAGTAAGAGTAACTCGTGACGAGGATGAGCTAAGCAGAGGAAATAGATAGGGAGAGCTCTTGAAGTGATAGGACATGATGCATCTAAAACAAGAATTCATGGTGTCCCGGTCAAGCTTCGTGAACAAGTACATGTATGCCGCTCTACCCACCTACCTACCTACATTTACCTATACTATGCGGGGCAACTTCACATTGCTGATTACCTTACATAGTCGCTGATCATTGGTGACGTACTATCCAAACTGGCACCCTACAAACTGGGGGTGGCTCTCTACAAAGCTCTTGCCCACCTTCCAGAAACTCAACTCGCAAGCCTGCCGCTCAATGATTGCGAGCACGTCGGTGCTACCGATGAGCTCGGATGAGACGTGTGCAGCGGACGGCCAGTTGGGCGTCATGCTCTGTAACAGCGCCACGCCGACTTGTTCGGGGTCTGCGGACTCCGTATCGCGTATCAATGCTCTGCGTATATCCGGCCTGGTGTGTGTATTTGCACCCGTCAGCTCGCTGATCGTGAGGCTTGGGCTTCTGCTTCTCGCCCTCGGACATCTCGGGAGGGCATTCTCTCTCTGTCTTACTATACGAGCATCGCAATACAGGGCCTATGCGGGATGCGCGTTTCCAGGTCCGTCGGCCTCAAAAATTCTGGCATACGCATGAAGTCTCCTAGAGTGCCCAAGACGTACCACTGCAGCCGAGTTTGGTTTATCAGCTTTGAACATGCCTCAAGGAAATTGGGGGACCAGGAGAAAGAAACGCCCGAGACAACAAGGGGCGCCAGGCCTCACATACCCTCAAGACCAGGTACTGGACCCAAAATATCGATATGAGTTGGTGCAACGGCATCGGCCCGGCCGAACATAGAAAATGGAAGAGCCGGGAGGCCACTACGTCGGTGCACTTGTTTGACAGGAGCTTGCGCAGCGACGGACTGGTGATATCGAATTGGCCACAGCGATGCTGCATGCGTCCCTCGTCGACGATGCTCATGAGGGTTTTGTCCCATGATCCTTTGCTCTGGGACAACTTGGGGAAGCCGAGATGGCGTGACGAGGTCAAGGCCCCGGGCATCTCCGGCGCGATCACGGGCTGCGTCGCGAGTCTGGTCAACAGCGAATTCTGTATGGAAGGTGGCGTGGGCACGACATCCAAGCTCATCTCCGTGCCGTCGATGATACTGGCAAGGCACTGATTAAAATCGTCGCTGTCGAGCATTTCTTCGTACCCATCGATGTTTACCGTGTTGTCCAGAGGTTGGTCCGCCTCTGCTGAAACGCTTTCTATGACTCTAGGCTCTCCTAAGTGAGGCTGCTGCACCGGCAATGAATCGAAGTCTGCAGATATAGGAGCAAAGTCATCTAGTTCTTGTGGGAAAAATGAGGTAGGGGTTTCGACGGGAGCTGCTCCGAAGACGGGCTCCAGGCCTGGAAGCGCACTGTTGTCGTTCTCGTTATCCGCAGCTCCCGGCAGATGAAGAGTAGACCGTGCTTCTCCTGGTGAAGTTGAAATGTGTGTATCGGGAGTGGTCTGACTGTTCTCGACAGATCCAGAGGCAGAGCCGGCCAAGGTTTGAATGCGCCTCAGGGTTGCCTCGAGCTCGCTGCATCGCCGTCGCAGCTGGTCCTGCTCGGCAAGCAAGGCGGCGACATTAACGTCGCCAACGTCGGAGAGACTGGACTTGTATGACTCAACCGTCTCCTCGAGCTGCTTGACGTAATGGCGCTGTCTCTCTCGATGATGGCGCTGGGATTGACGATCCGTTTCCCTCTTCCTTGCGCGACGGGCGTCTGAGCCTTTCTCCGACCCCGTCTCTTTGCCGGGTTCGTGAGATGGCTGTTTCCTGGGACGCCCGCGCTTGGCGGGATTTGGTTGAACCATTTCTCGTCTTGGTCCGTATTGAAGTAGTCTTCCGAGGGATGCGGTGTGTACACACGCAGGTGATGGAGCGTTGAGGTGGAGGGGGAAATCGCGACTGTCACACTTGAAGGAGGAAGGACAATTGAAGACTCATGGAACTGCTATTGGCTGATGCAATGCGCTCCGCTCTCCGCCCTCCCGGTGTGTGGTCAAGTGGAGGTTGCGGGGAGGGTATCGGAGTTTGGAACTGTCGGGCCCCGTGCCGGATATGTATTATTACGGAAATTTAACAGACCGAAAATATTGTATCATTGCGCTACATTGGAAAGAGAGATTTCCATCATGCATTAAAGGAAAATAAATTCCAACGACACGAGGCGATGTAGATTACATTTACCCAACCCCTTGACCATCATTTCTGTAAATTTCTATTTTCCGCTAAGTCACCTCTCCCTCAAGAAGTGGCCTGTTCTTGTCTCCTCTCAAGGACAACTTTAGACAAGGTGCGTGCCTACGGCATGGAAAGGAAAGAGGACTGCGTTAATGTGGCTAGTTTGTCTTCATCTATAGCGCTATGTGTATCTTATCTCCCGTAGCTTATCGACTGGACTTTTGAAGTTCAGATCAGACAAGATCGAGAGGGCAGATCCATGCACATCCACGGGTGCTAGATATTTCTCGACTTAAATAGCACGGGGAGTTCCGTATCGGTGATTTGCATGGTTGCAATATGAAAGGGTTTTGGCGATGTTCCCGGCTCCAGCTTAAAGTCGTACCTGGTGAGAAGCAGACTGAACATGATCTTCATCTCCTGCACTGCGAGGAAACGACCTGGGCTGGAGGAGGGGCAAACGGTCAGCTACGTGAACTCATCTGCTTGCGTGGGGTTTCTCTGAACTACCAACCATGGATGTCTTCCGTGTCCGAAGGTGTGAAAATTAGTGCCAGTGCTGACGACGAGGCTCTCTTTCGTGTCGGCATATCGCGGCGCACAAAAGCGAAATCCGTCGAATGTCTCGGGATTCTCGTAGACTTCCTTGTCTCTGTGTAGCTTGAGGCTCGGTGCGCCGATCTTGGTGCCGGCCGGCATCACGGTGCCGTCGGAAAAGGTGAAATCCTTGCGGGCGTTCCGTTGCATTGTCACTGGACAACCGAGAGCTTGGTCAACGGATGCACCGATGGATCGATATCTGAGAGATCGGGGTGGATACTTACTGAGTCCGGAATCCCTGAACCGACTCGACTCCCTCAAAAAGCTTTCCATCTTGGGGAGATGGCTAACAGTCTTGGCCGTAATCTCCCCTCCGTCGAGATTGTCCAGTACTTCCTGTCGCAAAGGTTCAAAGTATTTGTCGGGTTCAGATGCCAATGCATACAAAGCTTCTGTAAAGACCTAAAGTGAAGACAGGTTGGTGGTTAGAGGGTCTGTTCGATGTCATATGGCCATGATGGATAACTCGGCCGCCCGCTTACCATTGTCGTCGTGTGAATGGAAGCGACATTCAGCGCCATGACACGCTCCGCCAGTTGCGGAACCGTCCTCTCGACAGGCGGCGCTGCATCGATCAACCACTGTACTAGGTCCTGCGGTTTGTTGCCGTCCGCATCCGCCTTCCCGTCTAGTCGTTCCTGGATGAACTTCCCGAGAAACTTCTCCCCGTTCCGACGATATTTCATGACTGGCAGTAACCGGACCACAAGACTGGGTTCACTGTCAGTGCCCGCTTCGACGGTGAGATGCTGAAAAAAGGGAATGGGTACATACCCTTTGAGCCATGACGGAAAGGGACGGAGGATCTCGGCGGAGATGACGACTGCCTGGGCGTAGTCTGCCGCGTTCTGGAGGAACTCCTGGTTCCGGCCTCGACGAGACGAGATGTTAGGCGAAAGAGATGACTTGGGCGTCGTGATCGGGGCCGTGGCTGGCTACTTCACTTACAAAACTCGGTGCCTACGTACACTCTGTTACTAATCCGTGCCACAACCATTGCTATGGCTTCGTAGAGACGGATCGGGGTGTATTCTATGTTGTTAAGCCGTTAGTACATCGACTATGGAAATACCGCCTATACTGCGGGAAGGACTCATCAGCGTACCGCGCGGATGGCCGATCAGATCGTCAAAAGCCAGCGTTGCCTCATCCAACATGATCGGCGTCTTTGCCGTGATCTCCTTGGTTATGGGACCGCGAACGACGGCGACATGATATGTTCGATGGCCGACGCCGTACCCCATGGTGAACGGGATTTGCTGCTGCTGCACCACGCACGACAATTAGTCTGACACGGCTTCTCGATAATGGCTATGCTTAAGGGCGGAAAAACTCGCATCATTGGCCCCGTCCTGAGCGTTCAGGACGCTGTCGGGCGCTTTGAGGTACTCGGCGACCTTGCGCCGGTCGGTCACCAAGACGTATTCTCCCTGGAGAGTTGCAATGCGGAAAAGACCGTTCTTGGCCCTTTTCGTCCCCTCGTGGACCATGTCGACCGGGCGGAGCATGAATCTGATGGCGGCGACCCACGACGAAAAGAGAGGGAGTGACGGGAATCCAACGCCAGGCACGTCGGGCTAAAGATGTTGTGGTAATGTGTGAGAATACACTTCGAAAGTCGTGGCATGAGCAGTGATGAACATGGGTATTTACTGTTTTTCTGTAATAATCAACCTTCCCGATGATGAAAGAGGTCAGAAATACGAGAAGGAGGGCGTTGGTCCAGGAGGCGGAGCCCTCGACCACCGCCAACAGTTGCCGCAGCAGCCCGCTCGTGGGAATGATGTCGATCATGTCTTGAGTTGTGGCCGAGTGGCTCTCTTGATTGGAAGAATTGACATTCACGTTTAATTTCAGTTGAATGCAGAGTGCTTTATATTTATGTTGTTTTAGGAAACGCTGATACATGAGAGTTTGCATTTGGTAGAGGTGCTCCACGGCGGTTCCACACCAAAATCGCATATGTCAGCTTTGATGACTCGATTTAATAAGTAGGTGATCTGGCTGCATCTAAAGCAAAAAGTAGCATCCTAGCGGCGACATTGCCGTCAGCGTGCAATCCGTTTATCGTTACCGCCTATGAAGGGCTTATTATAAACGACGATTTGCCATGATGCTCGATGGTGAGGTCAGTCAGGCGTTGGTAGTTGAGTAGGATGCAAAAAGGAGATCAAAAGACCAGATTAAATGGCTGCAGCACAGCTATCCCTGCCTTTATGGACCGATGCTCATCTCTCAGCATGTTTTTCATGCCTAACTGATTTCAAGCGCAGCGTTGGAAGATCGTTCGGTGACATCAACCTTCTCGGCACATGAGCCTCCGTCTCATCGTCCGAATCGGCAAGAATTGCGGTGCGAGCAGCGGAGACCGGCCCCGAAGCTTAGGCCGGATATTCGGGCTGTAAACGGGATCGTGGCAGCATGCAGGTGCGCGTAATGCACTGATATCCGAATACCGGCAGCTTGTTTTGTTATCGAGCTACGGCCGTCCATAGTAATCAGACATCGTGTTACGGCTTTTTTGCCTACTCAGTCCGAGCCGCAGCTTTCCCAGCAATGACCAAACTCTCTTCTGCATCTCCTTTGCCTTTCATCTCCTCAAGAATAACCTCGAACTCTTTAGAGAAATGGTTCTTGATATCTTCTCCCGACCTGCGTGGCTTCCATCCCAAAAGCTCTGCCAAGTCACTCTTCGTCACACTGTTGCTCGCCAGACCAAGCTCGGCCAACATCTCATCACCTCCATTCCACCTCTCTGCTGCTTCACTCAGGCCAAGCTTCTTGACATCCCTTGTGTGCAATACGCCCATTTCAAATCCGGCGTCGGCAATAGCTTGAGATGCCTCCATCCACGTATACGTCCCGCTACTTGAGAAGTATATGCCCCTTTTTCCGTAAGGCATTTCTTCACCGTTTGGCATTCTTCCGCCGCGCAAGTGAGTCCCAAGGACGAGCTCATACAAAGCCGCCAAGTCCTCCACATGCACATAATCTCTCACTCCGGTTCCATCCCCGATGACGCTGGCCACTCCGTGCTTCACTGCGTCCTGGATCAGAAGCGGAATCATCGTCGAGTGTAAGTTGCCCCCGAATCGTCCTCCTGTTCCCTCGCCGTAGATCGTGGGTGGCATTAGTGTGTACGTCGGTACACCCAGCTCCAGACCCTTTTCTATCACAGCGACCGACGTCGCGCGCTGGATGTACGATTCGTGCTGTTCACGAGCTTTCATATAGGAGTATATGTCGTCGTGTGCGTCGCTGAACTCCCTGACCCCTTCAGGTTCAACGTACGCTCCGGACACCGGCCGATCGCCCAAATTGCTTGTGCCATCTGTGTGGATGTAAATCGCCGTATGGCCTTCTGCCTTCCGCGCTGTCAACCCTCTGAGGAGTGCGAGGCTGGATTCAAGATGGTACCCGATGCCCGCGTTGACGACAATGTGATGATCGCGCGCAGCGGGCTCGAGGGTGGCGGTATCGGAGAGTGAGTTAAATGGGAGAACATGAAAGCCTTCGGCGAGGAACGGATCGTGGCGCGAGGGCGGTCCGCGGAGGAGAAGAGTTATGGGCGAAGAGCGCAGTATGGTGTCGGTAGTCTTGAGAAGGTGCGTGAGAACGGTGCTGCCGATGTAGCCTGTGCCGCCAAGCATGAGGATTGGCTTGGGAGAGTTCATTCTTGAAACTTTGAAGATGATAGAAATGACGATTACTTCAACGAACTTTTGAAAAGGTTGGAGACTGCAGTCTGATCTTTATGAGAAAGGATAGTAACAGAATGAGAACACGAAGGAGAGCCCAAAGCAGAAATTCTGAAAGTCAAATCCTCCTCGGCGTGCTCGAAATACAGGAAGCTTCGAATAGTTTATAAAGTCTCTGACATCATCCAGTAATTACTGACATAATATGATATGATCTTTGAGCTGTGAATTTTCTAGTTAAGACGGTCTTTGCGGAGATAAGATGGACTTTATGAGGCTTCATGCATATGATGTTGATCTACATTCGGACTGTAGCAAGTATCTCCGTTGTAGCATGATGTATGTAATCTCATACGATACATTCATAGTTCAATCGAAAGGATCGATCAACACATGGGCCCCGGGAACTTAGTCGCGAAGCCGTACCATGATGAGTACCTCCATTCTAACATCTATACTCTTACGCCTTAGGTGGCCAAGGTAAGCGTCAGCTACCTAGTCTTCAGCAACAACGACGACTAGCTTCTCGCCTCCTCCGCCACTTTCCAATATCTCATGGACCGTCTGAATCTCATCGAGTCTAAACGCCCTCGCCGGAACCTTGATCTCACCCTTCTCAACAGCCTTGACGAGCTGCTCCCAGGGACACCGTCTGAAGTCCTCAGGGCCTCCTGCGTATACGGACAGCCGAACTCGATTGGGCAAATCCTCAAAGGGCGAGAATTGGGCCAGCTCCCATTCACCTCCCTGAATGCCGGTCATACACACGGTGCCCTTCTCTTTCGTACATCGCAGACTGTCGCGCAGAGTCGTTGTACCAACAAGCTCGAGGACTTTATCGAACCCTTCGGCATTTTTCGCTGACATCTCGGATGCAATGTCTCCGTTGTCTACGTAGACCTCGTCCGCGCCATGATCTCTGAGCATCTTGACCCGACTGCTATTCCTCGTCGTAGCGGCAACGAAAGACGCCCCCAAATAACGCGCCATCTGAACCGCGCAGATGCCGATCGAACTTGTTCCGCCTCGTACAAGCAGACGATCACTAGGCTGAATGTCGAGACCTGATGTGAGAGAACCGTACGTCGTTTGGATCATTTCTGGCAGAGACGCCAGCGTGGCTACCGGCAAGTTGGTTTGAGGTATGCTGCGAACGTTTTCGATGGGAACGCATACGTATTCTGCGTACGATCCGGGAATCTGACGGCCGAGACCTCCCATGCATGTCGCTACACGGGTACCGATCTTGAGAGTGCCGTCTTTGGGGAGGGAATTGTGGTGAGCGGCGATGGTCCCGATGCATTCGATGCCTATGATTCGAGGGAACGACACACCCGGTGAATGACCCTGCCGTGTGAACATCTCTGTTTGTTTGTCAGATGCTGCTTGCCCATCAAAGGATTGGATGCAAATCTCTTACCAGCTCGGTTGATACCAAATCCCAGAATCTTAATCAAGACTTGGCCAGCCTGAGGTACAGGCATCGCAGTTTCTCGGATTTGAAGCGCCGAAACTGGACCCGGGGAATCGCAAATAACCGCTCTCATCATTTTGGGGAGAAGTTTGTTTGCCATCTTTCACGACGTGAGTTCAGGGAGTTCCTAAGTTCAAAGTCGCTGGAGGATGAAAATTGAAAACACACCTGTTGGGTCTCAAATCTGATAGACAGAGGATTTGATTAGGTCTTTTCTATTCATATGTAGAGTCGTAGACGATTTTTAAGACCGATATTTCTTGCTTACATGTGAATCGGGGACAGTTTAATTCCGATAACTTGGTGAGATCGGCGTTCTGGTACGCCTCGTTCTCGTTTTCGGGTTTAGACCTACGAGTAGCCCCGATTCCGATGATGGCTTTCAAAGGATTTGTGAACGTTTCGCTAGGACGTGTGGTGCATGGGGCTAGTGTTGCCTCGAAATGTTCCAGTCATATCTATGTCTATTTTCTATCAAAACGAGTACGATCTTCAGTCTGCCAAAGTATCGGGTCAAACCACCTCTCAATCCTGGTGCGAACGGCCCGTTTCCCCCTCTTCCGCATCCTTCTTGGTGGATAGTCCGAATGAGGCGATCCATATAACCAGCAACAGAGCGAACTGCACCAGCAACATGTACTGGAAGACCTCCAACCCCGTGACCGACGTGATGGCCCCAAGTATATACGGTAGCAGCGCGCCGCCGACTTGCCCAAGAGAAGCCACGAACGAGACAGCAGCGACATGCAACTCTTTCGGCAGCAGCTCGACCAGCTGAACGACGGATGATGGGAAGAGCGGTCCCATCACGAAACCCAGCAAAGCCATCGAAAAGACCGAGAACCACAGCACGCGGATGAGCATGAAAAGCACCGTGAACACGGGGGCAAAGAGGAGGTAGATGACGACAGCCCGCTTGACGCCAAGCTTGTCGGTCACGGCTCCCAGTATTAGCCGTCCCACGGCCATACCGGCCCAGAAACCCGAGGAGCAGATGCTCGAGGCATAGGTGCTCGCGTGCCGGACGCGCAGCATGAAGGCCACGATCCAGCCGGATATCGTGCACTCGGCGCCAACGTAGATCAAGAGGTATAGAGCGTAGACCCATGTTGCGTTGCACCGGAAGATGGCACCCTTAGCTGCTGGGTCACTTGTGATGTCTTCATGTAACTTGCTTTGGTGGTATTCTTCGGCAGTTTGATGGCGGAACGACCATGAAAGTACGATCACTTCGATAGCTGCGGCTCCAGCCTAAGTGTGATGTTAGTAAGTTGAATACTGTGAACTGAGATTAAGTGATAGTTTGAGCAGACATACCAGAACGTAGAACCATTGATACCAAAGATCGCCACTCTCAGACAGCATCAAGCCCGCAAGATACGGGCAGATCGCGGCACCCGTCGAGAACGAGCCGTGTAGCAGCCCGGACAGGGTGTTTGCCTTGTTCAATCCAGCAACCCAAGCACACCAAGAACCGTCGATCAGTCCTATCCCAAATGCACCGACGGCGGCTCCCATCAGAAAGACAGGAAAAGGTGGACGGGTGGCGGCAGTGAGCCCATAGACAAGGTGGCAGAGCGGGCCGATGACTGCGATGCCTCGCTGGCCGAGTTTCTCATGAAACGCGTGGTTGAGGTAAGACGCTATGATGTAGCCGACGGGTAGGACCAGGAAGATGGCGGATACTTGGATATCCGTAAGTTGGTATGTCTTTTCGAGGTGAGGAATGACTACGCCGGTCGTCGAAGTGAATAAACCCACGACTACGAACGACCAGGTAGCCGCTGCGATTCTCAATGCCAAGCCATCGCCTCGGTGTCCATTGACGTTCAGCGCGGCGTTTGCATCGATGTCGCCATTCGATGCTCCATTCTCATGCTGGCCGAGGAGAGGCTCCGTCTCCGTAGTGTCTGACCGCAGCCTTGCAGATGCCATCTTGGAATCAAAGGTGAGGATACGTGAGGCACTGCATTTCGAGACTTCAAGAACTCAGCTGGATGATATGCCCTGAGGACAGGAATATGTATTCCGGGGAAATTGAGTTGTTGTTGGGGGAGCTTGGGGGACGCAGGGGTTCACACTACCGATGATCTGCCGTTGTTTTAGCCCTCTTGGGCAGATTTCTCAGCGGGTTTCACTGGATTTGGAGAAAGTGTCAGCTGAAGTTCATGGGCGCCCCTTGCATTTCGTCCCGCGACTCCGGCGACAGTGGAGTATGGAGAGCATGTTGGTTGTTGACCAGCTCGATGGGAGTTGACTTGAACTCGCTGAAATACCCGGCAATGAGCCGATTTTGTTAGAAGTTTCGTTGCTTGGTTGTTTTGAGCGACACAGATTTACCCGGGCCGTTGAAGTCTGACGAGCGTCAGGGAAGTGGTATCCCGACTTGCTTTTTTGCCAAGGATAATAACACACACACCGATAAAGTCGTACGCAGCCATGCAAAGGCGAGAAAACAGCTGGTCTTACTCTATGTACAATCAAAATAGATACGTCAAACTCATAGACAAAGCTCCCATGTTGACCCAAACCTTTCTCGCCGGGGACGCGTCACACCTACTCCTCAGCCCGCTTGTACTTCTCGAGTCGATGAATACCAATGTTGTTGATGGGATGAGTCCAGGCTGATCAGAAACCGAGTCAAGAAGCTTAGACACCCCTTTGCAGGTCTCGTGGTTATTCCTGCTGAAGTGACATTCTGTTAGATTGGAATTAAACCAACCAAGGGAATATATACGTACGCCATGATCGGACCGTTTGTGAGTGCAATCACAGTTCCCTCCTAAGTTACAGGAGCTCGTAGGATTGAAACTGGAACATTTACAAAGAGTGCAAGCCGTGGCCGTCTTCTTGAAGTTTCGACCTTTGGCAGACCCTTCATCGTTGTTGACTTGCGATTCCTTCATGTTGGTCTGAGTGTATGGCGACAAGGTTCGACGTTGAGAACTGGACCACAAACCCGACACTTGGGAGATTTTCTTAAGTTGCGTGCGAGGGTAGGAAAGGCACGGCGATCGAGTCTTATATAAGTCTTCACTTGTTCACCAAGATGGTACTGTCACTCTCAGAGACGGAACAGATAAGGGCCCCTCAAGCCAGGCTATTGGGGAACGAATGGCTGTGGCAGCGCAGCCTGCCTGAGCCATCCAATTCAAACCACGAAGCCATGCTATCTTGGGAAAGTGGTACATGAGAGTGGGTGGCCATACGTGTCTTGCAGCGGATTATCAGCGAGTGGATATCACGAGGCCTGAACATCGTCGAATAGTCTTGGAGATGTGCTGAACGTTTTCTGCACAATGCACTCATCCTTTCTTCATCGGTGTTATGAGAACGGCACTTGGAAAGCCGTGTTTCTCAATCCAAAAGAAAATCAATTCGTTTTGGGCTGTGCTGATGAGGTGTCATTCGCACAGAAACATGCAGGCGAGCATGCCCGTCAGACATGAGTTAATCAATATTGAGGATTGAAACACACTTCTCAAATAACACCGCGACTTCTCAAAGCTTCACCTCGATATCGTTCTGCGCTCCGCCCTCTCCCTTCCACGTCCTGCGAAGCCCGTTCTCTGAATCCCCAAAGACGGGATCGTACTTGGGTTTCGGCACGCCCCAGACCTTCTCAAAGTCCCCTCCCCCCAGCACAAAATCCCACTCCCCGCCGCAGTAAGCCCCCATCATCGTGTATCCCGACAACTCAATGTTGTTCAAGACCTCTCTCGGATTCTCCGCCTCGATGCCGTGCGCCTTCCCCGGCGACAAGAGACCGAACTCGGCCTCCGGCCTCGTGTTGTACGTCTTGTGCGCCACCCCGGCCGGGATCACAAACACGTCGCCGGCCTCCGCCTGGATCTCCACCCCGCCCTTCTCCCACGCCGACTCGTACGTGTTCTTGTCGAGGTCCTCCGAGGTGTCCGCCACCCCGAAGCGGATCGTCGCCGTGCCGGAGAGGACGGCCATGCACTCGTGCGCCTTGGAGTGGAAGTGCGAGAGCTGCGTCTGGCCGTAGCGGAAGATCCACTGCACGTCCCACCCGTTGCTGGTGAATCGGTCCCAGACCTCTCCCGCGGAGCAGTGGGACGTCTTCGGGTTCTTGGGGAGGACGTTTCTGTAGTGGAGGAGGGGCCGCGGCGAGTTCGGGACGAGGTCTGTGGGGAACAGGTGGTACTGTCTGATTTCGACCATTCTGCTCTCTGGTGAACTTGAGATTCTATGTGACTTTGTGGTGGATGCTTGGTTTTGTTTTAGGATGAGATTGTGCTTGAACTACCGTCGCCGACTTCATCGGGTTGATATATCTTAGTTGAAAGCCGGCAGGTGACCCGAATGACGCGGTTATCGGGTGTCGCATCCGATTCGGAATCCGTCGCCCGTTGATATCAGACCCCGCACTTTCTCAGATGTCCCCGGATGCGGAGTCCGGGGGGTGCTGTCTCTCATTCATGATCCCTATTTCGGATCTGTTGATACTCTCAAGCTCTGATATCTGTCTATCAACCACTCAGGTGAAGATTTAACCAGCGTCTCTGGGGTGCTGCGTTATCTCTGCGCTGCCATAGATAAGCCGACTCGACGCATTCTTCAATCACTGCAGGCCTTGTCTGGACATTCTAGTATTTCCCGAGCGTCTCAATCAACACTTTAGTTTACGTTTTACTAGTTTCCATGTCTCAACAGACTTTCAAAGCCTAAGCTTCAGTCCCGGTAGACAGATGCACAGCCCATAACACCATCTCGAGTGATACACCACTCAAGAATACGGAAGATCTCTCGATAGGCGGTCTATGGCCTCTAAGTGGTCAAACCCAGACGACGAGAATCTCTATCGTCTCTCATGAAATTGATTAAATGCTGGGTTATCATGGCGCGTATGAACTTTTACTGTTCAGACTTGTCGACGTAAGCACAATGTACGTTAGCTTTTCTGTTTTCCAGCGAAACTTCAAGCGAAGCGGCAAGACATAACCTCAGGAAGAGTGGGTTTACTCCCATCAGACAATGTCACCTGAAAGTTTAAACAAAACTCCTTCTCATTATGATTATATTGTCACTTTACAAATGGGAGCTTGCTTGGGCCAAGCTTACAAGTGGAAGTTGAGCACCTCCCCGAAAGCCCCGAGAGCGATGCACTCCGAACTCGCCGACCGTGCTGACAAGTGACGTAACCCAGCTCCGAGGTCAACTCAGAATGGGACTTTGGGCGAACTCCGGAGCTCCATCCAAGGCACATAAGTATGTTCGCCAAGAACACTCTCGATCGATCTGCGTGAGCGAGTGCCGAGCTAGATTCCACGGGAGATATTCACAACTGCCAGCGAAGCCCCAATCCATATCGACAATGTACTACAACCCCGGCGTCAACGACCATGGTCTCCCTTATGACCCTTTCAAAGTACTCTCTCACCCATCCCATCTCCATGCATCCTGTACTGACCCAACATGCAGGCATGCGTAGTCCCCCGAGCAATCGGCTGGATCTCAACCACATCCCCCAAAGGCGTGCACAACCTCGCCCCCTACAGCCAATTCACAAACGTCACCTTCGACCCCCCGATGGTGATGTTCAGCGCCAATCAGACATTCGAGTCCTCCGACACCTCCGCAACGGGCACCCGCAAAGACACCGTCAACAACATCGAAGCCACCGGCGTCTTCTGCTGGCAGCTCTGCACCTACGCCCTCCGCGAGAGCGTCAACATCACCGCGGAGGCGATCGGGCCCGAGGAGGACGAGTTCGAGCGCGCGGGCCTCGAGAAGACCTGGTCCAGGGGCCTGAAGACCCCGGTCCCGATGGTCGCCGCGTCGCCGGTGCGGTTCGAGTGCGAGTACGTGCAGACCGTGAGGCTGCCCGGGAAGGGCCCGATGGGGACCGTGGATGTCGTCTTCGGGCGGGTCGTCGGGGTGCATGTCGACGAGGGGGTTTTGACGGGGGGGAAGATTGACGTGCGGAAGACGAACCCGATCGCGAGGCTTGGGTACTTTGAGTACGGGGTCATCAACGACTCGTTTGAGATGATCGTGCCCGGGGATAAGCGGATGCTCATTGGGGTGAGTGACTGCGTGGATGTTGTCGTGGAAGTGTGTTGACTAATGATGGTGGAACAGCTCGAGGGCAATGCGAAGAAGAACACGGATGATCTTTTAGAGCAGGACAAGACGGCGTGAGATGTTCCAGCGAGAAATGTCCACACGGCTGGACGGCTCGTCTGCATAGCCAAAAGCATGCCGAGTATGAGGAGGCGAGAGCAGCATTAGCTGGCATGAGATAAATTCTAGACGTGCCAAATTTCATTGACCTGACTGTCAGCGGCGAAACTTGTACTCTATCAATCAACACGCTAACTAATCATTCTCAAGAAATTCTCAAGCGTTCTCTATATCAGGGTTCTCCTCGACGAGATGCGCAAGTGGCAAAAACAGCTTCATCCCGCCATCTCCAGACTTGATATCCCTCACCTCCTGCCACGTCTTGAAATACCAGCCCGAACACTTCTCTGGCTCCAGATTCTGTATCTCTCATCAGCATCGGCGACAAAACAAAAGTAGAACGGACACAGGGGACGGTGTAACAAGACAAAAAAACTCACCTTGGGCTCCGCCGCCTCGTCCAGCATCTCACACCTCACAAAGAGCGTGACGTAATGCTTCCCCGACTCCTCAAACACGTCGTTTGTCACGCCAATGATCTTGGTCGCCCTGACCTTCAACTCCGTCTCCTCCTCCGTCTCGCGCACCGCGCACTCAAAGATTCCCTCCTTGAGTTCCAGGTGGCCGCCGGGGAGTTGCCACGTCCCTGTCGGCATCGTCAGTGAGGTTGGTCGTGCAGCGAGAATGAGATTCACTCGTGGGAATCTTCAAGAGATCCAAGTCGCCGTTCACAATTGGTGAGATTCGGCGATGCGGGGGATGGCATACCAGAGCCGTGGCTGCTCTCCCTCTTGCCCACGACGATGCGTCCGTCCTTTCTCTGGATGACCGCTGCGACGCCGACGCGCGGGTTCGCGAACGCGTCTGAGGACATGATGCACTAGATGATGTTGCTGAAATGAACCGAGTGATTGCCGCTCGTTGATGAGGAAAATGAGACCCAAAGCGCTGGAGACACGATGTTATTTATGAGTCAACGGATATGAGCCGAATGTGTAAATGCAAAGTACCTCACAGCCAGGTACGAACTCTTAGTGGGGGGACTGCGCCCAGGGATATGAGCCTGGAAGAGAGCCTTGAACACACTGCCTTACTCTACTTCGTATGACTCTGCGCTGTGCCACACACACTTCTCACCCGACGCTTCCTCACTTAAACCCCCTCTTTGGTTATCACAATTGTGAAAGAACAAAATGCCATCCCTCTCATCCCTCTCATCCCTCCTTACCTTCATCTCCTTTCATCTACACTAGGTAGGTAACCTCCGGTCGGCCCCACAAGTCCCGCCCAAGGACGTGGACCTCCGCTCACCCTCAAAGCCATCTTACCCTCCCCATCTCCACAACAACAACTGGTCTGGTGGTGTAGTTGGTTATCACGTCAGTCTAACATTGCGAAGTCAATGAACAACATCTCACGGTGTCTTCCACGTCTTCGCTATGGCTTCCACTGAAGGTCTCCGGTTCAAGTCCGGGCTGGATCGCGTCGGGTCTCGGGCGATTGGTTTAGTGGTATAATACTCGCTTAGCATGTGAGTGGTCCAGGGTTCGATTCCCTGATCGTCCAAATTCTTTTGTTTTTCGGTTGGTTGTGGTGTTTCTGGTGTTGATGTGAAGAGGGCGTGTGTTGGGTGAGCGATGTTGATAAAGTCAAAAGTCAATTGTGGGCGGGTCTGGTCGGTAAGTGCTCACCATGAGTTTGTGGTTTTTACCTCGAGCGACGGAAAAACGGCAGAAGTGGGTAAGCCAACAAAGACAGTAATAGGTAATAATACATTTCGTCATTCAGTCATTAAATCTGCCTACATTGGGTATCATTACACAGCCCGTCAAGAGCCTTTACAAGAGAGGAGACATGGCTATGCTCAGTACTTCAAAAAAGTCCTCTCAGATCACCAAGCCCCCTTGGCCGGCATATTCCCCGGGTCCATCTCGAGACCCTTGACGCTCTCCTGCCAGTTGTTCCAGTCGAACGCTTCCAGGCTGTCCATGTTGACATCCATCGCGTCCACCGGCACGTCGTCGAAGCTGTTGTTGATGGACGTGAACGGGTCGGACCACAGCCACGGGGGCTGGTTGTCGCTCACCGACGAGGCGATCTGCGGCTGCGACGTCGCGGCGATGGCCTGCTGCCGCTGTCTGCGTTCCGCGTCCGTCATTTGGGTGTTGTTGGAGATGGCCGGGGACGAGACTCCGGACGACAGCATGGGTGGCTGGGCGGCGCTCGGAGGGAACAGCGTGTTGTTCGGGTCCGCAGCCATTGACTGCGCGGTGGGATATATGTATTCCCACATCTCACTCGGGTTAAAGCTCCTGTTCATCATCACTGTGTCGAGGGATCCCAGTCCCTTCTCTTGGGAAGCCGGAGCCGGCGCCGGCGCCGCCGTTGTTGCCGGGCCTGGCTGAGATGCGTGTGCTTGAATCGGTTGCGCCTGGGTCGGTCGCGCATTGCTGGACGGAGTGGGCAACGGGCTGTTGCCGTCTGTCCTCACCCCACAGAGCTGCCTCCAACGAGCGCGGATCTGCAGGTGTTTGCCTTCCATACCGGGCACCGGGCCAAGCCTGGCCGGAATGGGGTTCATACGGTCGTCAACGTCGAGCTGACGTGCCTCGTCAGGATTCGCGAGGAGGCGCGCGATCTCCGATTCGCGGTGCTTGGTTGCCTTGGCACTCAGCTTTCGCAGAGGCATCCATACGGCCATGTGGTCTGCCATCCTCGATATCTCGGCAGGATCCCTGTCGAATCGGATGGTGTTGTTGACCGCCTCCCACCCGCGCTCTGATGTCGCAGACCATGGCCGTCGCCCGGCTTCCATGAGGACGTACGCGATTGCGTGCCACTGTCGGTAGGTCTGGAACAGCCACCGCCATTGCTTGCAGCGTGGATCGGTATTCAAGATGTAGTTGTATTCGACGATTTCAATGGCGGAGACGAAGAGCCTGTCGCGGATCTCCCCCGAGAGCTCATGTCCATTACCGGGGAATAGCATCGGTTGGTAGATAACCAAGCTCATCTTGGCCATGATCACTCGTGCGATCATGGCAGCCATCCAGAACAGCGGGTCATCGTCGGTGAAGCAGTGCTGCAAGAACTTCTCTTCAACGCGGTCGTATACCTCAATCAGCATCCGCTCACGCTCTGCCAGGCTCGACGAGGCATCGCGCGGGCAGACGCCGGCCATAGCCGAACCGACCGTGTGCAACCTTCTGGACAAGGCACAAATCTCGTACCGAACTAATGCCACAGCGCAATCCGTTCTACCTTGACGGGGCTTGGGCGGTTCGGTCATTCCAGGCTCAATATCCGAATCGTTGAGGTTGGACGGAAGCTCGGTATCAAACGAGCGATCGATAATGGTGAGATCGCTTCCTAGTTCTTCGGCGGAGCGCAAGTCGAGGGTGCAGATGGCCCACCAGAGTCGCCGCCTCAACTCGGTCTCGAACGGCGGCAGATTGAAGTTGGTTCCGTCACGATGAATGCCTAACCCCTGCGCAATGCGGATTGCCAAGCCGGTTAGCGTCCAACAAAACCTGGTGTCGTCTTGTCGGCGGACGAGGGTGAGGAACAGCACAAAGGCCTGGAGCACCACGATATCCGACGTGTTGAGGAAGTTGGCCTTGGCGAGGGCTTGTTCGAGGGCGAACCGGTACTGCAGTAGCATCGTGTCCTTCTTTGATCCAAAGTTCTTCTCGACCTAAAAGACCGGTTAGACGCATCTCTTGTTGGAGACCAGGTGACTCACTTCCTCGTCCTCCATAGACGTAATGGCAGCGTAGTAGATGGAGAACAGCAAAGCCTCATTCCCAGGGGTAAGCTCGTCAAAGTTGCGTCGCATCGCACGGATGAGCTTCTCCATGGTCGGTATATGCAATATCTTGAGCAACGGCTCCACGTTCTCTTGGTAGACCTGCCACATGAACGGTATTTGCGATGGCAAGGGGTGTAGCTTGCGCAGGTCGACGTCGGACGAGCGGTATCCCAATATGAAGGCATGATGGTCGGCCGATGCGTCGGTGGGTTGCAGGGGCGAATAGTGAGGACTGTCTTCGTCGGCAGAGTCCTGGCTGTCGTGCTCAAAGTTGGCCATTTGTTCTCGAAGCTCGTCGATCTACAGTGCGCACGTCAGCGACAGCAAGCAACCCCACCACGAACGACTCACCTCGTCGTTGAGCTTCGACCAGAAAGCGCTGCTGACGTAGCGGCTCGTCCTACCCTGATCGTGCAAGACCAGCCTTCCGAAGGACTTGCCGATGCTCGCCTGCCTCAGATCCGCCGGGCGCCTCGGCTCAGGGTCGGTATCCATCCGCACCGGCGCAGTGGCCTCCCTCTGGGCACCCGCACTTGCAGCCGGGCCGCCGCTTTGTACGCTACCAGCTCTTTCAGACGAGAAGTCATTGCCCGCAGCCTCTGGTGAGTTCCCGGTGCTGGAGTTCTGGCGACCACTGTTGCTCCCCGTGCCGCTCTCGACCTCGATCTGGCCACTGAGCTCCTCGACGATGCCCTCGAGCTTGCGCAAGCGCTTCATTAGCTCGACCTCGCGCTCGCTCGAGTTCTTCGGCGGGGCGTTGGGATCCTTCGGGCGTGGGCGACGAGGAGCGCGGCCGGGGGCGGGAAAGATGCATTGGATGACGGCGCGACGACAGTTGCTACAGGGCATCTGCTTGTCGCAGCGGACCTTTCTCCGGCGACAAGTCACGCAACTGCGTGGGTTTAGGGCCGGCTGGCCGGATGCCGTCATGGCCACCGGCTGATCGGGGGGTATCGAAGTCGCGCCATGACGGCTGAGGGCGGGGAAATCGTGTGCGGCGTTCGGGGAGGCGGGCGAGTGGTGGGGGTTGTTCATTGCTTGCGCTGGCGTCGTAGGATTCGACTGTTGGCTAGCTGGCGAGAAGTTCTCCATGGCTGGAGGTGCGATAGGAACCAAGGTCGCGGTCGCAGTCGAGTAGGATGGGAGAGAGACGTGAGGACGAGCAAGGTTTGACTTCGAGGGATTCGATGACACAGTTCAGACAGGCTGCTGTCTGCGCTGACAAATGGAAACTCTGCGACAGCGGCTCTCTGGTCTTTCTTTACCCACCCCGAGACATGAGTCGTAGCGGCTAAAGGAAATCTTTTGGCATATCCGGCCCCGATGAAGAGAAAGGAAACGGACCGACAAAGGAGAGACTCTGACTGTGACGATTGTTGGGGGGAAAGGCTTGACCAAGGAGAAAGCCGAATTGTTGACTTGCAGATAGAAAAGTCCAAAGAGTGGGGGGAAACGGGAGGCAGGATGGCGGGCAGCGGAAACCAAAAAAGAGAGTCACATCCAACCAGAAAAAATGAGGAAAGAAACATCAGTGCTTCCTTCCTTCCCCTGCAAGAATCGAACGCAGTGGGCCCCGGGCGGTCGGAGCTTCGCAGGTGGGGCGCCTAGATCGGCCGGCTTTAATTGCAGTAAATCCCATTGGCCAGCTCACCTCGCGCCGATACCGCATCGGGTATCCCGCTCTACACCGACAGGACCCTAACCCACTTGACACACCGAGAACAGGTGAGGCTCGGTGAGGCTGCCTCTACCGCCGAGCCACTCGGCAACGATATATCATCACTCGGTCGGGTGCGAGAGGCTCGGAACAGCTTCCTGCTCTGCTATGTTACTACAAGCGCAGTTTCGGCGCATTCTCGTCTTCGTCCGAAAACAAACAGACCACCTACCGGTACCGGCCTCAAACATGAGACGACCTCCGTCATCGACGCAGGCTGCCTTTGAAGCCCGATAACTCCGAGAACGGCGACCTGAGACTTGCCCAGCCAAGCCTAGACTTATTGATCAAAGTTCACAACGGTCAACGAACGTGACTCTGCATATGACGCATGCCAAATCTGGCTATTCGTTATCAGGGACTGTCATATTGCTAGGGAACATAACCCATGCCGTTGACGACGGCCGGTGTACTGCGTAGTGTACTGCGTAGCAGAATACCTGGTTCAGGGACACAAATGGCCTTCCTCTTTTGAACTTCCCCATCCTTATTCTCGTTTACCATGAATATAGGCTTAAACATGTGCATCTGCAACCTGGAGATTTATCAGCAGGTTGCAGCACATGATGCCATGGATCTTGATTCAGTCTCAAAACCCCACCAATCCCCTCACTCCCGTCACCCTCTCCGCGAACCTTCGCCCAGGAGCCCTTGCCTTGACAACATGATACCCCGCAGACGCGGTAGGCAGAGGCGAAACACATGCTTAAACTAGGTAGCATTGGCAAGATGTGCCGAGCAGTAGCCTTTTGGCTTTCATCGTGGCCAGGGGATGGTCTGAACGTGGCATCTTGGCAGTATTTCCTGATGTCAGTGTCAAATAGACGGCTTTTGATACGTGGGATGAATTCTTTTGTGTGCAACTCGCATACGTCAAAGTTAAGAGGGACTTATACTCACTAAATATCGCCATGATTCTCGATATACAAGGGGGCTGCTGTGCATTCTGAAGCTAAAATTCCCTGATTCGTTCCCTAATGAATTTCCCGGACTCAAGTTGTTTGACTCTCACAGCAATCTGCACCCCGCCCGCTACCAGTAACCGTATTCGGATCTCATCATTACAGTGTCGCATAGCACTCATGAATTTGGGTCGGCATTGAGATTATCAAATGGTTATGAGATATCTATGAAGTACGTCTAAATCTTGGTGTAAGTCAACCTCAGGATAGCCTCAGACCTAGAATCTCGCTCCGACTATGCTACATATTGTCAAATGATGCCATTTTCCGTTGTATTGAATTTCAAACTCAAGGTTATTTCTTCAACTATATAGCCATAGACTACGAAGTCACTGCTTTGAGTACTGCATAGACCTCTCATTTATTGACTTGTAAGAACATGAAGTCACTGGTTCTGGAATAGACCTTTCACTCCGTTAATTTGAAGCCAGTTAGTCGGTGAAAAAGCGTGGCCAGTCTCAGAAATAGGTGATTCGTAATTTCGTTTCACTTACCACTCAGCATTACTCACTCCTCTGCCACTGAGCCACTCATGAAAGTTGGTATGTGACATACGACCTGACACTGACCCCAAAGTCGAGACATGCGGAGACATTAAGACCGACGACGTTCACTTATTCAATTTCTCCTCTGATTAACTGAATAGAACGCAGCAGGTAGGCTACGATCAAAAGGCCATGTCACCTCATCTGTGGCGTGACTGTTCTGTACTTTCACAGCACGCTGCCCTAGCTTTGAAACTGAAATCATGTCCCATACGTTTGCCTCAATTTGGTTGTCTGGCACAACTATTCAGAACTGAATAACCCCTAAATCATGAAATGCTCAACCGTCAGAACAACACAACAACCTACGCGGAAGCCTTCACCTCGGCAGTCACCAAGGGGAGAGAGCCTCTCAGGATCAAATCCTTCTCATCCTCGCCCGCCTCGAACCTCCTCAGCATCTCCTCCGGATCGAACCTCGGGCCCCTGGGATCCTTCGCAAACTCCGCGCTCTTCATGAACTCCAAAGCGTCCTCCGGCTTCTCGTACGCGTCCACCTGCGTCTCGATCTTGTTGCCGTCCGGGTCGCGGTAGTACATGCTCGTCGACATGCCGTGGTGCACGCAGTAGGCCGGCTCGATCCCCATCTCCTTCCTGGAGCGGTACGACTGCAGCAGGTCACCGAGAGAGTCGAAAGTGAGGGCGAAGTGGTCCATGCCGCACACGTTTTCCGGCTTCGGTACCGCGGTCGGGTCGTTGAGAATCGCCAGGCGGTGGTGCTCGTGGTCCCAGGTCAAGAAGGTGATGAGCTCGCTCGAGTGAACCACGCGGGCGTTGAGGAATTTGGTGTAGAATTCGACCAGCCTCTTGGCGTCATTCGAGCGAAGGACCAGGTGAGCGAGCTCAGAGGGTCTGAGGACCCCAGAAGGTTTGAGAGCCATGTTGTTGGTTATGCTAGTATGAGATTGGGAATCTCTAACAAGACGGCGTGGTAAGTCGTAATAGAGCTGAAGATGACATGCAGTCAGTTGAAGGTTGTCAGATAAAGTTGCGGGGTGGGAGGTTCGCAGCTTATAACCTCTGCAGCGCAGCCGTGACACCACACAAACTGGGACGAATCCCGTCCGGGACCGAAGGCGTTTTACAACATTCTCGCCCTACATACATCCGTGTGACCCAGCCCTTTCGCTCTTGACTAATCGGCCGGTATACTCAAGCGGCCGCCATCTCACCTAGCGTCCGACGCGCAGCTACAAAAAACCACCACCGCATCATCCGTGCCGGCTGCATAAGCACCCGAGCCGGACGTCCGCCACGCACGCACCAAGCGCCACGAAAAAGCACACGTTGGCCAGCGTCCACCGTCTATCTGGGGATGCTGACAGACGCACTGTTCAAAGCGGGCTGATGGCTGTCCAATCACCACGTGTGTCGTGTAGCGTATTGGTGCGGCTGCGACTCGAGTGTTTCCCCAGATGATGGGACGTTTGGAGGATTCGGGACTTGGGATGACGGGGCCGAGCTTATGCGCGGCTTCGGCGATCTACGCGCTCGCGAAGGCCGATTCTCCGTCTCTGTGTGTTTGCCACGGCGGTTACTTACTCGTTCAGGTTGTTCTTGGCCGAGATATTTGTGGAATTGTGAATCCGAGCTTGGGATGATGTCGGAGTACGAGTCGAACTGGATTGAGGATTCACTGATTACTGTATAATTTTGAATTACACTCCTAGGTCATCATCAACTTCACTGTATCTCTCTCCCGCTTCTCACGGGAACACTGGTTCCTCCTATCATTCATATACGCTAGCCTGAGTTTCTTCATAGTTCGTCCGTGGTCGCGAATGTGTTGTCAAATCGGACTTCGGATTCCCACTAAACTCTGATTCCACCAAATTACGAAGTGAGACTTCTCGATAGGCTGTCTGAGAGGAATTTCATTCATAGAGATCAGACAGATATAACTAAGAACGATCTCTCCAAACTATAATATATCACAAAACCTTGAGAAGCGTAAAGGAATATTTACTTATAACTTAAAGCTATTGAAGCATGTACCCAACTACATAACAAACATTTACCAACCGCAAAACAAAACCAAAAGATACGACCGAGGCATGAGTTGAACACGCGACCTGTGAAGAAGGCTTTAAACCCGGGGAAGACCCCTTTTGGGGCCATGGAATAAACACTGCTCTACCACCTGAGCTACTCGGCCTGTCTGTTTGTTGGAAGAATACGCAAACAATTCCGTATGAGTAGGCATTGCGTTGGTTGCCTGCATCGCTCGGCTGCGAGACTAGGCATTGGTCTTTGATGGAACCTTCTAGATGAACGCATGTCATCCAGATCGCGTCTCACGTGAGACAAATGCTGGCAACAGCTGTGCCTCAATAAAAACTAAATACAACATAGAAAGTGTGAAAGAAATGATTCATTATCATCTGAGTATAGATTCCAAGAATTTATGTCAAATAAAACGTTGTACCCATCAACACCTGAGTGCGATCCTGTTGCTTGATGTCTTGGCATGCATTACAGAAATTTATGGATAGCTCAGCTCACTCATGATATGAACCTCTGAGCTTGAATACGGACATCATTGATATGTATCAGCCCATAACAAAGTGGCAGATCATTCACATAGTCGCAAGACTTCGTCGTTAGCAGCACCTTAGTTGTCCAGGGCTCTGGACAGTGAATATCTAGACACTGGGTATCGTAAGAGCAATCGCATGTCACTGCATGTTATCACTGCATTCCAATATGAGGACATGCGACTGGATTTCATCAAGTATGAGGCCTAACCTCAAGTCAACTCATTCATGGACGCGAGAGAACCGAAGTCCGAGTTCCATCCGCGTGGTAGCGGTGATTGTCATGGGCCACTACGATGTTTGTAGGAACCCAGCTGAGTTCCTACGCAAGATATTTCATGTGCGTGTTGTAATTGAGCCCGCCATGGCCTCATATCGGGTTTTCCTTTGTGGCGGCAGTGACCCTCATGGTACGCAGCTCTTGGGTAACTAGGCCAGTTTTCCACACCATGCTATCCAACCGGGTTTGACACGCCGAGATCTCATGTCATAAAGTAGTTGGGCCATCCGTAAGCTCGACGGAATCGCCGACTCTCACAATGACGCCGATGGGGGTGATGTACGCATACTGGCCGAAAACTGGTTTGTCTATGCACAAAGCTTCAGTTTTGGGGGTTTCTCCTTGCATATAACATGGGAAAGAGTATCAGACTTACGGGGAAACACACTACTAACTCTTCTATCTCTCGCTAGTAATCCGTAAAGCTGTTGATTCCGTGGCGACATGAGGCCGGACTTCAGATCTGCATTCAGACTCAAGCACCTAGCGGTCTTGAACATACATGAAATGACGGCCTTGTGCTTGCCCTGGTTCGGTTCATCGTATACATTGATTCTTTTCCAGTCATCTTCATCAAATGGGGGTATTGAGTCACCCACATCGATGTGGATGTTCGGTCGAAACCGGATGATGACGTCCTCATTTCGATTTTGTAACGGCAGTCGTGACCTGGCTTCTTCTTCCGAAGCTGTAGATGTAACAAGATAAGGAGCCGCGTCGGCAAAGCGAATTCTGTTGCTATATACCGCCTTGTCAAGCAGAGGCGAGTCGACGGGCAGCCCGCCGACTGGATGGTAGCCATATGCGATACCAGGAAGTGCTCTGTACCCGCAGCCGCCAATGAACAATAATCGTACCTGCATGTTCAAATGCTTGCTGAAGAAGTCGGCAGGCTCATCTCCCATGTCGATGCCCGTTGCAAATGTCCCGAAAATGCTGACTTGCAGAGTATCGGCCGACGCACAGAAGAGCGGTGATGGCGTCAAAGGTACGGTGACCGAGGACTCTGGGTGGGCCAAAGTGTGTCGAATCGTGAGTTTAGACCACCCATCGTCAATTGAGGGTTGAAAGAGGACGAGCGAAAAGATGCGCTTCACAGACAGATGCTGCGCGAATCGAGCACCCGTGTCTGTAGGTCTTTCAACAAGAACATATTGTCGATCGAACCGAAACCCTGCTCTCGTGACTTGTGCGTAGTCGACCTCGACGGGTAGCAATGACTTGATAGGGTAAATAAAGAGCTGGGTAAAGCAATCAATCGATGAGCTAATGGAGGTAGAGCAGTTGCTGGGGGAAAATATCAAGTGTGGATACTTACTCTCTGGACCTTCATAGCATCTATGAAAGGTGTTATGGTAATACGGATTATGAAGAAGCGGAAAAGCAAGGCCGAACGAAAGTGTCAATATGCGGAATATCACTGCATCCACACTAAGAATGGAAATCGAATGAGGTAACCGGAGAAGCCAGGTGAAACCTTGCACATGTGAATAACGGCTGCAGTATCGTATTAAGCGGTGTGTTGCATAATTATTAGGTTCGATAAAAGTAGGTACTCGTTGTATGTAATTGGACGTAATGTTCTCGCTGTCGACTGCCGTAAAAGGCAATGCTGAGCGAACCCGCTACCTGTGCCCAGACTTCGCCTGTGTGGTGTTTAGAGTTTCCTCCGCATGGCTGTATACACGTTTAGAGGGTATGTGCTTGGACATAACTGGTTATAAACATATTGATAAAAGCGGGTGAATTGAACATATCTTTGGCTGGTCTGAGTTGACTCGAAGCAACGAATTGTATTCGTACCAATGTGAAAACACTGCCCATGCTTCTGCCTCTGCTCGCTCCGAACTTCTCAATCAAGTAATTTCATCATCTAAGCACGATGTCGCCAGAATGTAGCGCTTCTTCCACGGGCCCCCAAACAATCGCTTCGGTGCCTTGCGGTCGCTGCAGGTCGCGCAGAGTCAAGGTAGGGCTGTTGCCGTGGGCGTGGGCTTGACCTTTACTTTATGCCTGACTGATCTTCTCCAGTGTGACAGGCGCAAGCCAGAATGTGCAAGATGCCGCAAAGGATCCTACTCGTGCCCGGGGTACAGCGAAGGTCGCCGTTTCCGAGACGAAGGCCCAAGTCTCCGTAGGAGATTTGAAAAGACGGCGGAAGCTGTCACAAAGAGAACATCTGCTGTTTCCAAAGCTTCAGCGACATCACCAATTGATGCCATTCCTTCTAATCCGGTGTCTCCGCCGGCGGATAACGTTCGGAGCTCACTTGGCTCTACCTCGGAAAGTGTCGACCTTACTGTATCGGGTGAAGCAGGCGACAGCAATAGTATCGGGAGCGTCTCAGATTCTCTTTCATGCGACTTCATCGAGGATGACTTCTTCGACCTCGATATTGATCAATATTACGCCCAGGGGAACAACTCCTGTGGGTTCGTGTCGAACCCCGACGACATCGCGCTGCAGTCAAATCTGGCAGCCGAATGCGACCCAGGCCTACAAGAAGAAGTCGACGTCGGCACATCCAGCCAGGATGAGATGGCTCTGGAGTGGCTTCTTATGCATCACTACGTTGACGTGATTAGCCCTTGGCTCGATGTCTTCAGCGAGAACAAGTATTTTGGGCACGCCGTTCCGGTCAAGGCATCGCGTAGCATGTTGCTGAAGAACTCCATTTCTGCCGTGGCCGCAAAACAGATTGGCAATTCCAAAATGCGTGGCGGACAGACCTCGTCCTGGCAGCATACAGGCTTTGGGGCTGATGACGTTCCATTCTGCACACTCAATTGGCTTTACCAAGCAGCGAGCTTCTACGATAGGGCAGTTCGATGTATGCTACATATGCTGCAGTCGTTCGGTCAGTTGTTTATCCCCCAAACGAAGATCGTCTATTGACAAGGAAAGGGCTCCCGGTTGTTCCACCGAATTCACACCTCGAAGCACTCTCGTTGCAGAATGCGGAAGCCGTTGTCGACATGCTGTCCTCAGTGTCGGTAATCCTTCTTTATGAGTCACTCGACAGCAACCGTCTCATTATGAAACAGTAAGTTCAGCCAGCAGCTGGGGGCATTTCCAGAATCTGTAAGACTGACATGATGCAAGTCATTTGGCTGGCTTTCAGCAACTGCATAAGTTCGCATTACGTTACGACCTGTCAGCTAGTGACTTCGAGGGTGTCAAGCAAGGTCTAGAGGCGTGTTTTTGGACTTCTTCCCTATTTGATCTGGCGACATCTTACAATGCAGAAGGACCGACCACTCTTGGGTTGAGCGAAGAGAAGGTCTGGTCACAATCGGGCTTGCCCATGGCCGAGTTTGAAGGACTCTGGGCTCCCGCAGCATTGATAACCGCCCCTGGACTAGACATCAAGAGCAAGTTATCAGAGGGTCTGTCGTGCCGCTCATTGGTTTGGCTGCTCATGACGGCTTGCGATAGCCTTCATGCGAGCAACCATTCACTGTCAGCAGACCATGATCCTGTCCGCAAGATACATACCTGGCATCAGATTGATCGATGCCTCGACGTATGGCATTCCCTTTTGCCTCAGGGGTTCTCCGTGTGTATGAGGTTTCCGCAAACTACCCTGCAGACGTCGTCCGATAAGAGTCAATGGTCGAACTCGAGTCACACGTCACATCCGGAAGGAGCATTTTCCAAAGTCTTCTGTGCGAACCCCACAGGGACGGTTGCTTTGGTGTTGTACCATTTTCTTCGTCTTGTCATGCTTCTCAAGAAGCCTGTCGAACCCGAGGCTGAGAGGCAAACAGGCGCCGAGAAGTTGCGGTCATATCGAGATTTCACGAGGCAAGTCGATGCTCACGTTCAAGAGATTTGCGGGATTATAGCTGGCGGTCCTCAGCAAGCCTCTTTGATACATCTCTTGCAGCCCCTATGCTTAGCTGGGTCCTGTTTAGAACAGGACGAGCAGAGATCCGCGCTGCTAGATGTTTTGGTCAAACTGCAGGAGCAAGTTGGCTGCTCGCATGGAAGTAGAGTAGAGATATTGCGGAGTGAATGGGGATGGATTTGAGATCTTGCGTTTGTTGCGTCGATTTGCTCGGCGACTTCCTATCTCATGGCAGGCTTGAAGGCCTTGGCCCATTCCAGAACTTCATACACGTTCTTATCGGGTGGAAACACAGGGTACCAATGCTTGACGATTCTTCCCTTATAGATGGCCAACGTCAGTCGCTTGACGAGCTGGTCTCCCTTGTACTCAAACAGCGGCAGCCCGAGCCCACGTGCGAATTCAAGCTTAGCATCCGAAAGAATGTCGTAAGGAATATGGCTCCTCTTGCGGAACTCCTCCTGGACCTCGGCGGACTGCGTAGACAGGCCGAAAAGCTTATCGATACCGGCATCGTAAAGTTCCTTGGAATTATCGCGGAAGGAGCACGCCTGAGGCGTGCAGCCTCTTGCACCCGGGATCGCGTCCCATTCCGGAGGGATGTCTTCGTTGGCGGCTGCCGTGCGAGGGTAGCAAAAGACGATGGTGAGGCCTTCTTGGCTCGAGAGATCAACCGTCTTTGAAGCGTGTCCGGCAACCGGCATGTTCACGCTTGGGATCTTCAGATTATCCAGGTGATCGCAAGCACCGTCGTCGACCGGCGGCGGGAGGTTGGTGGGGAGGCTTGGGGCTGTTCTCACGGTGTCAGTGGCGGGCGCGGCGTGCTCAGGAGGATGGATCACCAAGGTTCTTACTTGTCATTGCGGATAATATCAACTGTTCAAGCTTGATGGTGATTCTGAACAGACAGAGGAGGTAGTGACTAAGATGGTAAATAAGTTCCAAAAACCCATCCTTTTGCCTAAATCCCAGCACCTTGGCTCGGAGTGACTGATCCAGATATCCACGGATTCGAGCAGGGGGATAATCTGGGGTTTTGATTGACCACATCAAGTAATACACACCGAGACCGACTCACGGTATTCTACAGAACCGCATTGCCGGGAATCTCCGATCTTAGCCAGTCGGAGCTAGAAATCCGTTCCCGAGAGACTGACAGGTGTTAACTCACTACCGGATTCCTCGCCGTGTGCATTTTCATTCCACTCAGTGGATCTTAACATCCCATCTACTTAGTATTTCTCTAATCTAATCCTTCTTGACTGATTGAAAAAGTTCTTCGTCGCTGCACCGAAGGGTTGTCACAGTGCTTCCAGACTCATCACGGGACATCTCTTCGACAATAGCTGTGCTCTGCGGGCTAGCATGGGCGACCCCCACAAACGGCCCAACTGATTATCGCTCAGCAAAAAAGGGGTGTGGCTGGACTGAAGAAAGTCGTGGGTGGTTTGATGAGTCTTTGGCAGTGGTGAATCCTCCAAGTGGGTTCTGACAACTGATTCGCCGAGGGGCAAGGATAGAGGCCTTGATTGCAATTCAGTGATGACAACCTGGATAACAGAGTCTGTTTTTGGATGACTCTCGTCTCTACTTCCATTCTATTTTTAATCTTCTCCCTAAATGACCTTGGGCCCGATCCAATATGAGAACATATTTACCTCTTGTGATGGAATCGCACCTCTTGCGATTAGACAGAAAGTTGACCCATTAGTTGCCTTTTTGGGTAAATGTGAGCGAGCTGGTCGTGCAAACTGAAGACTGATCCTGGTCCGATAAATCTTACCTGGCAGCGGAGACAACGCGCATCGAAATGGGCTAATGGAGATTGGCTTTTCTTCTTACACTACCTTCCTATGACGTAGATGAGGACCACAAAATACGACGAATTGGTATGTTTGGGGGCTTAGGTTAGGAAAGCGGTGGGAAGTTGGAACACATTATGGCTACTCAAACAGCACCATTAACCTCTATCATCGCAATCAAATCATCAGTGAGTGACCATGACTTGGAAAGATATCCCCGAAGGCAGGTAGGCCACACTCTAAATCTCAATTTCTCGTGAACGAGGAATCGTTTCTCATGAGCCTAAAGACTTCCTTGACGTCTCGGAAATGGAATGTTGGCATATGTCTTGGGACTCGATGTAGCGTAATCGAGCTGCTGAAGTCGCATGCATTAACACAGTTAACCACGGGTTCCCTCTGACAGTGATTTCACCTTGAAGGCTGCAGCAGATATTCAGTTGTACAAAGCAAATGCTGGAATTCAGAGGCATCCTTCTCCCTTGACAAATACAAAGTACGAATCATTCGGAGTGACCAAGAGGTCTTCTATGATTTCATCGGGTTGATGAAGAAGTGCTTATCTGTAGTCCCCGTAACACGAAGCTTCATCCCGACAGAGATTACGCCCTCGTTCCTCGGCACACAAAGCATGCCAAAGCTGGGCTTGTATTTGTTACCGCCATCGATTCGCCTGTACTTGACGAGTTGATCCCAAGGCTGTCGCCGGTGCTTTTCTCCGGAGTCAGGGTCAACATTAGGTACCTGGCACCGCAGGCACCGACTGACCACGTCCATATCCAACTTTTGTGCAGTGTCGATGATCTTCACCGTCTGCCAATCATCTTCCGACCATGGCTTGCTACCCCGGATGACCACGTTTGGACGGAATCGCTCGATATCGATCTCGTTTTCTTGCGCACTAGCAAGACGGCTGTTGAGCTCCTTCAGACTTGCCTCTGATGCGACTAACACGGGCATCATATCGGCAAATTTGGTTGCTTCAGTTCGCCCTAGATGTTGAGGAGACCCGCAGCCTCGGAGGATTCGAGGTGTAGGGCCTTTGTAGACAAGGCGAACATCGGAGCCCAGAAATTCAGAGAAGGGGTCAGACACGCTGCTTGAATATTCCCAAGCATCAGTCTGCTCGCCCCAGATACCGACTGGGACCAATTTCGTACAGCGCTGCAGCCACTCAAGTGTGGGATGTGCAGGAATCCGTGTTTTGGACTTGTGATCCCGGGTAGAGATGATCAGTTCGTCACTTTCCTTGTCGTAGTGCGTGGTGATGAGCGTCATCCGAGGATTTGTACGAATGGTGAGAAATTCGTGGGTATCGCTGCTGATGAACATCCAATTACGGTCCATGTCGAGGCCAGTTCGTAGAAGTTTCGCAGAGTCGACCTCGAAGCCGCGGCAGGATTTGATGGGATAAACACGGAGAGCAATGATATCGGAAGGACGCCTGCTCGAAGCGAGTCCTACAGCCCAGAGGCCGTAGCGCATGGAGAGGGAAAACAAAGTGGCGCATAGTATTGCCAGCAATACTAGTACGGAAAACGAAGATAGTTGAGCAGCTTGAAGTATCATCAGGAGGGCGAGTGAAGAACAACTTGGACATAATAATACTGGGAGGGGCGCGGCATTGATTATAAGAGAAGCAAGCTGTCAGTTCGCCTTAGCAAAGGATCAAATGTTGTTATTAACTGGGGCTCGTCGCTCGCAGAAGACTTCTACTTTAGGAAAAGGTGGACGAAGTCTCGGTCTAACTTCTGCGCGAGCTTGGTACGTCAGGGCATTCGTCATGATGTGGACAGTCTGCACAACAGGCAGAACTTGTGACTCTCTTCGAAAGGTCTTCTAGATCCGTGTCATTACAGGTGATGTTTTCCATGGCCGTGCTTGCTGTTGACAGGGTTCTGTTGCATAGAGTGACTGGATATCCCAATCTATTGCAGGCTGACTATCGGCGGGACAGTTTCCGCACGAACTACCATAACCACAGTGCAAGCAGATGACTAAAATTCCATCCGCAAAACGTGGCCTTTTCCCTGCGATGCGTCCATATATCTTCTCATCCAAACGCAAGCAATGCCAGAACGTTATTGGATTCGGATGCGTGTCCTGTTTCACTTTGCCGAACATTCCACCCACGACGATGGAACTCGAACCTGTTGTGCCCCGTACCGACAACACTAGCTCTGAACCGGCGCCGGCAACCGGGGAAGCCGGAATATCAACGCCTTCAAGAAGCCGCTCGGCTGCCATCATCTTTTCCATCACTTGCATCACCGGTATCAGCAATCTTTTAGCCGGCTTGATAACGGTGTGCATACCGGTGATCGCGGCAGACTTGGGTATAGAACCCGGCCTCCAGCTATGGCCAGCTTCGGCCTTTGCTCTGGCATGCGGCTGTACGTTGCTCCTCTGCGCCACGGCCGCCGACCTCATCGGCTGCCGACGTGTCTGTCTGTTGGGCGCCCTACTTCAAGCCGGCAGTGCACTCGGCGCCGGTCTTTCGAGGACACCGACTCAGCTCATCGCCCTCCGCGCCTTCGCGGGTGTCGCGGCGTCAATGTGTCTACCCAGCGCCGCGGGCATCGTATCGTCAACCTTTCCACACAACGCCAGGCCGCGGACACGAACCGCTGCCTTTTCAGCCATGGGCGGTGGCCAAGCTGTCGGCTTCGGGCTGGGTCTTGCTCTAGGCGGCGTGTTCAGCGGCACCGTTGGCTGGCGATGGGGCTTCCATGCCACGGCGATCCTCAACGTCCTCGTGCTGGGCATCGCGATGTGGTCGCTTCCGGTCAGCGTTGATGACGCCGCACCGTTGGGCAGGAACACCGCTACCCGGCTCCGAAAAGAGCTGGATTGGCTTGGGGCATTGATCATCAGCACGAGCCTGGCTTTCTTGTCGTATATCCTGGCCGTCGTCACGGACTCTGATGCAGGCACTCGCATGCGGGAACCGCTCAATATCGTGCTCCTCGGCACTGGCGTGGCCCTCATGCCCGTGTACGTCTTTTGGATGCACCGTCAAAAGCTACACGGTCGACCGGCTCTGATACCCAACGAGCTTTGGCAGAGCAAACCATTCACATCAGTCTGCATCACAGTCTTCCTCGTCTGGGGCGCCCTCAACGCCAGCGAGCAGCTCACGGCACTGTACCTACAGGACGTCCGTGAATTCTCAACGTTGACGTCCTCCTTGTACTTTCTCCCAGCACCAGTGTGCGGCCTTCTCACAAACGTGGCTGTCGCGGTCTTCTTGCCACGCCTGAAGGCTTCATATGCCGTCCCTGTGGCCTGCTTCGTGAGCGGACTCGCGCCGCTCCTGCTGGCAGCATTATGCAGGGTCCACGGGCCCAGCTACTGGGAAGCTATCTTTCAAGCAATGGCCATCAACCCGATAGGAGCGGACTTGATGTACACCATTGCCATGTTGGTTGTGACCGACGCATTTCCATCCAAGATGCAGGCCTTGGCGGGTGGTGTGTTTAACATGGTCGCCCAGATCGGGAAGAGCGTCGGCATCGCTACGACCGCAATCATAGCGCAACAGGTGTCTTCACCGCTCGCGAAAAGCCTCGATGCAAGAGAGGCACTTCTTCGAGGATACCATGCCGGATGGTGGTATAACTGCGGCCTAAGTTTCGTTTCTGTGGCCGTGAGTCTATGGGGGTTGAGGGGCGTTGGAAGACTGGGTGTAAAGCGCGACTAAGGATTCAAAACTAAAAGAACCGCGGTGAGAATGAAGGCCGTGTTGTATTCATACTGCACAGCAATGCAGAGGAGAAAACCATGCGGGAAAATCGTCGTTTGCTCAGCCGGTGAGCCGGTCGACAAACGACAGCATCACCGATCCCGGCCGGTGTGATTGATAAGTCGGTCTTCCTCCCCCGCGGAATTAAGTTGCACAGCGAGCCAACCCCGATCCATGGAATAAGAATTGCCTTTTAGAGTTAAGTCCCAGATCTCCACCCTGCTGAAAAACACCATGTCAAACGGGACTTTGGTGAGAAAAGGCGGCCGGCAGACAAGCGAGATTTCCACAATCTGTTGCTGGCAGGGGTTCTAATCCTTCTGCCTGGAGGCTGACGGGCTCCAGTTCCATCGCGACCTTCACCTCCGCAAATTCCGCAAAACAGACTGGCCTCAGTGCTGCTTCGGCGACTCGGTGGAGCAAAGGCTGAATGTCATCATCTTCACCCATGACATGACTGAGAACGGGCGACATTCTCACCGTCTTTCGTGATCAGGCTGCTGAGTTTGGAGTAAAGTGGATGTGCTGCTCTCATCCGCATCGGATGAGGGCATCGGATGGAAACCTTCAACAGTAAGATTTCAGCCCCGAGCAATGAGCAATGCGTCTCGTACGTATACATACTCGTTCCAACTTCTCGGTATTATGCCGTCCCACGTGTCCTCGTGGAGCTTGGCTTCGTGTGATGCCATGATTGATCAGATTGAAGCGCAGTTCGTTGTTCTTGTTGGCTGCGCTCGCAACGGGAACCAAGGAACCGACCGCAGTGGCTTAGACGGAGGCCAAGCGGTGGATGTGAGACGCTTGATATCGACGGCGGCTACAGTAGCATTCAATCTCTTGGTATCAGCACCCAAACGTGGAAAGTGGGTTGATTTCACACTGCAAATCAAGCAGTTTCAAATGCATCGGCAGCCCTGTCATCTCAACTTGCAGGGAGAAAACGCACGTCCCGTAAGCTGGATGGATACGGTTAACATGTTATCATCAACCGTAACTAGCATTGCTTAACCCCTGACTAGCGGGCGGCCGCTGGCGCGCAAGGATATCAACCCTCGAAAGCTTTTCCAACATAACCCTTGCACTTTTCCTGCCATTGGGCCATTGATCGTGATACTGGTGCCTGCAAATCGATGGAGAATTATCGTATGCTGCAAGGCTGGCGTCTCTCGTCCGTTTGAGGACATGTCTTTCGAGATTCGTACATGGGGTCTAACCCGTCTGCTATTACACAGCATCACGAGAAGCAGCGCCCCCTGGGTCGAGCCCCCAACTAGTTGAAGACCGTCACTTTCTTAGTGGGACAGGGCAGACTTTTGGTTTCCCGCCAACGGTCGATCGCGAAAGTGACGGCCGAAGAATCGGAAGTCCTTTTGCGACAGAGCCTGATGGGTTCCTGACCGGGGTCGATTTTGTCTTTTTGCATTTCTTAATAACCTGGCCACCCCTAAACCTACGTCGTGGAGTCTTGAATCCTACGTCCAGGTTGTGCTTCCTTCTCGTGTCGATTGTTGCGTGCTTTAAACCGCCCCTACCTCCCCCAACCGCCGAGTTGGTTCTCGATCTTGCTCTCTCTCTCTCTCTCTTCCAGGTGTGTGCGGCTCTATCCAGGTGTCAACTACGTCGTCGAAAAGGAATATTCGCCAACAATGGCCTCCCCAGGACCGACAAACTCTCCGGAGGGACGCCCGGCCGTACCGGTAGCGAACTCATCTCAGACCTCCAGCGACGACGACCGCGAGGCCAAGTACAACTCAGGACTGATGCCGGCTGCATACGCGGGGCTCGAGGTGGCCAACGGCGGTGATGGGCATGGACAATACCAGACGGCAGCACCGGGCGGACCGGGGTACTATGTGCCATACCAAGACAACCTGAAGACCCCGTCGACATACGAACAACAACAGCAGTTTCATCCACAACAGCAAGCATACCCGCAGTCGGCGATGGCGCCGTCAACGTACGCTGGAGATTATATGAACGGTCCTCCGCCGAGCAAAGGAGAGAAGAGGATATGTGGTATTCGGGCTGCAACATTCTGGGTCGCGTTGCTCGCATTGATCTTCTTCCTCGGTACCATCGGTGCGTCCGCTGCTGCGGGCACGATTGCCCAGGCGTATTCTGGATACGTCCAGACGTGCGAAGCGTGAGTACAGCCAACAGTCATTTCAAATCACACGTTTTTAACACATTATCAGTAAGCTGGAGAATGCGGCAGCATCGGAAGCCTCTTCTACGGCCTCAGTATCTGGCGCGGCAGCATCATCGGCATCAGCATCCGCATCCGCATCCGCCTCGGCAACCGCCACATCCACGTCTTCGTCTGCATCCTCCACAGCAACCGGCTTTGCCTCGATCCCCCTGCCTGAGCAGGCATCCTCCATCTTCGGCGAGGCGACGACAAACTGCCCGAACCTGTCTTCCGAGAACAAGACTTACACCGTTCCGGGCAGCAGCATCAAGTTCGTCCGGGAGTGCGGAAAGAACTACCCGTTCCACGACCTCGGCAAGATCCCGTTGACTAGGATGGAAGACTGCATGAACCTGTGCGCCGCGATGAGCGTCACGACGCAGAGCACCGACGGGCCATGCATTGGCGTCGCGTGGGTCACCGCGGGGAAGCAGGGAACGGACGAGAACTACTGCTGGCTTAAGGGTGTCAAGGGAACGCCAGATCCGAAGGCCAACGTCGAGGCGGCGTGGATATCGTTCTCATAAGATGCGATTTATGGGCGAGGTGGAGTTTGCCATGGGATGGTTGAAGACGATGTGACCAAGATGAGATGGAATGGGTTCGGATTCGAATTCGGAGCAGCGAGCTCTGAAAGACATTGATCACTTATTATACCACATGCCCAAGCCTCGTGGCCGGGCTTTCAGTTTCATGCAGAAAAAAAGAAATCAAAACTTAATACCAAAGACTCATGATACAAAGTAAGGAAGGGCCGAAGCCCAAATCATGACGGCCGTTGTTCTCGTCTCATACCTAGCTTTTCTCCATATCTGCTGCCAACAAGCTGTGTCTGGTTGCAGAGTTCTTAATCCTCCAGCTCATAGATCTCATCCAAAGTGCCCTGCAAATGCTTGATCTGGTCGGCGAGGAAGGCTCTCATCTCGGGGATATTGAAAGGGCGGCGAGCGACCTCGCGTTCGCGTTCCTCCTTCCGCTTAGCGCGCAGGCGCTCCTCCAGAATCTCCAGTCGGTAGTCGGTGAACTGGGTGTAGAGGTCTGACAGGACGCTGGTGGTGCGAACTCCAGCAAGGACCGTCTCATCCTTGATGAACGGCGACTTAGCTCTGAAGGCAGTGACCATCGAGATACGCTCACGACCACCGAACGCCTTGAGTGCTTGGTGCTCGATGTATCTTCCCTGCATCACCACAGCGGTTCCCATAGCAGGCCCCCGGACTTTTTTGATAGTCCCGTCAGGGAGTCTAAGTGCAGTTTCGCCGCCAACCATATCCGTGCAATCCGATAGCATCGTGACGACGACAAAAGGATAGCTGTCGTAGTGCCAAGCAACAGCAGAAAGCTTGTCGTCATCCGATGCTCTCCAGTTCTGAACACTGTTCTCATTGTGGTCATTGATCGAGACGTTGACGTTGCCAATATCGATGTCGATGGCTGGAATGAGCTCGACACCTGCGATCTCAGAGATCTTAGAGAGAACCTCAGGGGACTTCCAGGCGTCATAGATGAATGGAGCTCGGCTGACTTTGGTCAGTTATTGATCGTCTGTAACACTAATTGCCTGTTGACTTACTCATGGCCCATCCCCCGAATCATGTTCTTAATGAATGATGATTGATAGCGGCAGTCCTTGAGGCATGCTTCACTAAAGCTCTCTGCTCTCATCTGCTTGATAGCTTCCTCGGTGAACAGGGGGAACGGCTCGCAGACGGCGTTTGGGGCAATTCCATGCCCTTCGAGACCAATATCCTTCATCGAGGTGATATTAGAGGGGGGCTTGAAGTTGAGGTGCTTCTTCGGATCGAAGGGCTCATATTTGGTTGCCTTGGATTCATCGATCAAGGACTGAGGGATTGGTTCTTGGGGGCGAGTGATCTTCTTCGTCGAGGGAGCGGTCACTTTTGGTGCGTCTGGAGAGTTCGCAGGAATCGAGGCGAAGTGCCTGACTGGTGTGATGGTCCGAGTTGAGTATGTTGCGGATGGCATTGTGATGGAATTGCTCGAGATCTTTGCTTGAATGTAAGACTGGTTGATGAGAAAGGGAGCTCAATGACTTGTAAGATGTTGATTTTTGTTTGCTTGGTTGTAGTTGATAGACCAGCTCAAATGAAGTTGAAGTCGATGGTTATATAATTTGTTTCCGGGCATAGAGAATCAACTTCGCCGCATGATCATCATCTGCGTTCAAGTCTCGGATCTGATGAAGAGGGCGTCCCCATACCCCTCAACTTGCATGGATCGTGCTCGGTCTCAGGGTTCTGGATTCAGCTGGAGCCTGGCCCGAACCCGACTATTGGGAAATACAGTGACTATTCGAAGGCCGATTGGATGTCGCCGGCCAAGAAACGACTTCTGGACCTTTACCATTTGCGGGGGAGCTCATGGCTGTGTGGGAGAATTACCAGCGCATCTCAGATTGAAAGGTTCGGATCAGAACCCGATCCTAGTCAACCCTCCTCTTGCAACAGTAAGACAAGCAACGAAATGTCCTAAGCGTATGTAAACACCATCAAAGAAATTCCTCAATATCATATGAAAAGGTCGGTCACTTACGATACCGAAGGATAACACCGGGTGATGGTGGGCATGTGCAATACCTGCCTCATTTTCTCCTTGGTCTCCGTAGGGGTACTTGTCATTCCGGGGAGAAATCGGTCATGTGCAGCTATCGACAAGCTAATACTATCGTGGTTCTATCGGTCTGAGCCGTTAGAGCCGTTGGCCAATGCATTCAAGTCCAGGTTATCCCGAGTATCCGATCGGAAAACACTCCGATGCTGGCTATCCGCTGTGGCGGACCACATTAAGGGTTCCCGCGGCTGTGCGATATCAGGCAGCGGCGATACTGCGGTGCAGCTGAATATGGATAAGTAAAACAGAAACGTAGATAGGACGACGTATCCAGGTATCTACATAAATCGGTATCAGAGGAACTGTTCAAGACCTTTGTGTACGCTCCAATCCCAGAGTTTCGTTTGCGCAGTGCACTGCTCAGGTTTCTTCAACTCCGACCTCAACATCCTCCAGAAACAATGCAAGCTTCCAACCGGCTGAAAACTGCTTTCAATGAGGGCCATCCTTCGTTTGGTGCTTGGCAGATGCTCCCCGGAGCAAACGTCTCAAGACTTTTAGCGCGGACCGGTGTCGACTGGGTCCTGGTTGATTGCGAGCATGGGAATATTGACGGTATAATAACATCAAACCAATTGGACAGTATCCTTTCCAAGTACTAATGAATTTTAGATGGCGCGATGCATGATGCTGTTCCCGCCATAGCCGCCGTTGGGGTTTCTCCAATCGTGAGATTGGCAGACATGCAAGGATGGATGGTCAAGCGTACGTTCAAGTTATCTTTTTGCACAAGAGCAAAGGGTTTTCAGGCTAACCACATGGCACAGGTGCATTGGATAGTGGTGCACATGGTGTAAGTGCATAACATCAATTCATACCAAAGGGACGGCAGCTTACAGTGACAAGATACTTGTTCCTCTACTTAGGACGGTGGATGAGGCCAAACAGCTCGTCCGAGAGACCAAGTTTCCACCTAGAGGAGTGAGAGGATTTGGTTCTCTTATTGCCCTCGAGAGATTCAACCCAAACCCAACACTCACCGAGTACCTTCACCAAGCCAACGATGCTCTCTTGACCATTATTCAGATCGAAACAAAAGAAGCGTTTGAGTCCGTCGAGGATATCGCCGCGGTGGATGGGGTTGATGCTTTATTCATAGGGCCATTTGACTTGGGTATGTCTCTTATTTCATGCAGCCTACATACACAAGGCGCTAACAGAAACCTCAGGTAACAACATTGGGTATCCGGTGGACAAGGGTGTCATGCCCCCAGAGCTCGAGGCAGCGTTGGCGAGAGTCTTGGCCGCTGCCCACAATGCTGGCAAGAAATGTGGTATCTACTGCAAAGACGGAGCACAAGCAAAGCACTTTGTCGGTAAAGGCTATGATATGATCACTTCTGTCACAGATTACACTGCACTTCAACGTATAGCTGGGGAGGAAGTCGGTATTGCCAAGGGTACTGCGAAGCCAGCAGGAGTATTTTGATCTACAAGATCGAAGACGTATAGACAAGGTAGCCTTAAAATTGAAGTCTCGATACCAGGTTCCTTTTGTCACAACTGATGAAACACGAAATCGATGTTGGATACAGCAGAAATGTGAAGTCCCACGGAACAAAGGACCATGTCTGCCTACAATGTGGAATGGGGGACTCCCTCTAGATGACGTACTGTAAAGTGGTCAGGCCAATGCCGGAATGAAGCTTGGGATTCTGTCTTGTACTTACGGGAATGAAAAGATACGGAACCTGTCTTTCGTATTCCTTCCAGGCCTTCCCATACTTCCTTCGGCACCTTCCGACATCGCGCCTGGTTCGGTGGATGATCATCACCATGAAGAAGATGAAGTAAAACCAAGGGAACGGGCTCCTTTACACACTGTTAGCCCTCAAAGCACAACATATGTTCATACGTAATATGAAACAACTTGAACCTACTTAAATCCGGTAATGAGGCCCCAGGAGAAAGAAAAGAACATGTCGGGAACGTAATTCGGCTTCCGGATGATTGCGAACCAGCCATCCACCATAATGCGGTCGCCGACATCAGTCTCAATCACCTTGGGGTTCTCGACAGCCTGCCAGGGGACTTGAGGAAAGGTTTTGAGTTTGACGAGTTGCCCCTTCTCCTGGTGGCGAAACGCGTTTTTCTGGCCGTTGGCACTGTCCCACATCCAGTAGAAGAAAAGGTAGCTGGTACTCAAGAAGGCGAGAGCGAGAGGGTTCCAGCTGTACTCTGAGGGATGATGGTTGGCCAGATATAGAGCACAGTGGCAGTAAGAGAAAGGAACACCAGCCATGTTCCAAAATGTGAGGAGGAAGCCAAGCTTTTCAAAATACATGTCCCTGCATTATGGCAAGTGTTCAGCAGTCCGCACAAGTTGCCGCCCCGAAGAGTGGGGCCGCCTTGGGACCGATGAATACAGCACCACTGTGTTTGCACAATTGTATCTGGTGCGCGCATAAATGTCTATGCAGAGATAACCTGCCGATTTCACGTCACCGAATAATACAAACGTACGCCAACTCAATACATTCTGAGAACTCCTTCAGGAATTCCCTCAACGCCTTCCATACCCTCGGTGATCGAGAAGAACTCTTCCGATGAAATTCCAACACTGTCGAGAAGGTCCAGGAAGTCGGCGTTGCCAGATTCCGATGGCGGCATGAGGGGGAAAAGGTCCACCGCCCCTGTAATTATGGCTGCGGCATTGGCGTCCGCACCTACAGTTCCCGAACGTTGTCTCTCGTCATCAGACTGTGAGCCTAAGTCTTTTGTACTTGGAAGCCGAAGTACTTGCTGGCCATGCTGCGGTATTTGCTCACTGATTTGTCTGAAGAGCAGCTCTACGTGCGCAAGTTCCGCCTGTCTTACTCCTGCAACTCGGTTTCCACGCAGGACCATTTCGGAAAGGACGCCATGCGCTGTCTGGCTGCTCGTGGGATCGTCCACGACATCCGGGAAAATGGCGTTCGCCATAGCGAGGTGTAAGGCCGCGCCATAGGTGAACTCGAGATCGTACGGCAGAAATACCTCTATAACGAACGTCAGTGATCCAAGTCAATAAAACTTTCAGACAAAGACATACCGAGAAGGCTGTATTCACTAGACAGTATTTGCAGAGTTTTCGTGGCAGACTTGATACCTGAAGAGATGATGCCAGAGGTGTGACTCAAGACGCTTTCCCAGTTCACATCTACGTCTCGACCCAGCATATCTAGTCTTTCTTTGAGAATTGAGAGAAGGAGAGGTCTCGTAGCAACGATGACACACTGGTGATACAATAGTGTGATATGCCTCATGCCTTTCGGCATCGTGTCCACAGACGTTTGAAATTTGATGCTGAGAATATTCTCAAGTTCTTGAGCGTACTGGGCAAGAGTATGCAGAGTAGCCCTCGTTTGTTCAATGTACGTTGCCAGTGAGGTTTGTGTTGGTTTGTACACAGCTGGGAAAAATATTAGTGGACGATGTTTTTTTTAGAAAGGAAAGGGATGCCATACTTCGGAGAATCATAGACAGTAAGTGAGAGAGCTTAACTTGCAAACTCCGAATACTATCCGTGGGGGAACAGAGGTCGGGGGGATGAATTGTTGTTGTGATTTCACTATCATGAACAGACATGGGAAGTCCCACTGAAGCAGAGAAATGACGATCCATGATGTAGAGCGTCCACCAGAGATCCCGACACCACGCGACTGTATCAACACCAATCTCGTCTTCCGGCAGTTGAGTGTGCAAACCTTCCATTTCAGCGATGTGTATCGCCTGCCCAAGCTTTAGAGGGTTTAGCGTTAAGTACTGAATTGGTACTGAATTGAAGGATACTCACATAAACATGCGCTGATTCCCTTTCATCAATGGAAAAGAGATACAGACCAATCATGGCCAGGACCTCAGTTGCCATCAGACTATCTCTCCAAAGCTGTAGATTATCCGGAAGGATGGACATGGCTTGCATGAAGAACTTGCCTCCCGGCGGGTCTTTGCTTTCTGCGTGTCCCGGACGAGCGTGGAAGGCAGTCCCGAATGCCAGAACAAGAAGAAACTTCGCAAACCAAAGCCTGGACTCGGCTGCCTTTTGCGCAACATGTCCAGAGTAGAACTCGCGTATTTGGCTTTCAAACTCGGCGTCGTCAAAGAAACGGTAAGTCTGACCGAGATGAAACTTGACCGTGTTGAAGAGATAGAGTGCATGATCCAGGGAAGGCAAGTATCGTGTATCTGGGAAGTGACTAGGTGAGAATGACTTAAGTGGTATGTCGTAGATATCATCAACAAGCATCTGCTTGGGGATCGGTGGTGCTGAGGGCTTCAACTTTTCGCCCAGGATAAGCATGAGGCGCATGGTGAACGACCACGTTGACCACGGAGCAAGCCATACTGCAATGATCAGCAACGAAAGAAGGTCTAGTCCAATTTCGAGGTAATACGCACTCCACTTTCTCCGGTTGTTGCGCGTGTTCTTGATTGTCTGGGACGCCATTTTGAAAGCGCTGGGCCAGATGCTGAGCGAGCCATCGGAATGCTGTTCTGGTGATATTGTGGAGGGCTCCACGCCGTGTCCCACACCCTGAGGCGTGATATTTTGCGGTGAACCATCCAGACCAACCATAGAATTTACGGTGCCCGGCCCAGTAATATCTTCTTCCATATTGATGTTGAATCCGAAAGTGTCTTCGCTCATTGGTCCAGTTGCCATCGGCGATATATCGCCGATTGTTGACCGTCGCTGACATGGAGTACTGAGATCATACGTGTTCGGCGTTGGTAGTGTCTGCACCTCTATCGTCGACTGACGTCGCTCTGTAGCACCTACTACGCGCTCTTGTACGACTGGTGATGAGCCTCCATTCTGACTGTCCTGCGCCGCACGGTTGTGAGGCGATTGCTGGCGGTCTTCTGCCTGTCTTCTCAAGTCCTCAAGATACCTTTGAAGCCTCAAAGTCAGCACATCACCTTCACTGACAGGGAGTGAACGTACGCTTCTGAAACTAGGACTTTGTGATCGCCGTCGTTGAATCGGCATCGAACGAGGCGTCTCTCGCAACTCGCACATGGGTCTTCTCCATTACATTTGATCTTGCTTCGTCGACAGGGCAGGCAGCTAGTCATTCTGTCAACAAAATGCCCGGTGTACCTAGAAGGTGGTCCTTCTTACGCATTAGGCGTTCGCTTGCCTCTCCGTCGTCGTGGCTGAGATGATTCTACCATTCTGATGAAAATTGATGGGCGGATTGTTGCTCTCAGAAACCACAGTAACTCTCAAACTTGTGTCCAATCGTCTCATGTGCCAAAGAGCCCTGGATTTCTTCATCAATTCGCATGTCCATACAATGCGGGGAAATATTGATGTTATCGTGGGTTACAGGGGCCACCCAGACTAGCGGCCATCTGACTACCCCGCGTTTCCAGATACGCTTCTCAGCCTCTAACACGGTTCATTTGGTAATGTTCATGTACAGGAAACTGCTTTATTGGCAGGGTTTCAACATCGTGTGGACCAGAATGTGACGCGTGTATGCCTCAGAAGACTTGAAGTGACGTTTTAATCTATTATGAGTTATCTGAACTTCCTGCATGCTGCCTTATCTGCACATAATTTCAAGCTAGTATGTTAGTCGCTTCCTCATGGGGGGTTTCCAATGAGAGCGCCCCCTTATCTATCAGGTAGTTGCAGGGATCGGAAGGAAAACGTCTGGGGCGGACTGGGTTCGGATTCAGCATCCGACCACAACCGAGGATGAGACGCAGATCTCTGTGACCACGCTTCTCGAAAAGATAGGCCAGATAGTTGGTGTGTCGAATCGTGTGCGAGATAATATTAAGCATTGGTAAAGGGATAACTCACTTGTCTCTCAGGGGTCTTCTCATATTGTCTGTTATTTTAAGCTTACTCGATACATGCATGATGTACATTGCAACCGGCTGCTGTCTTCCAACATTGGCCGACAGTTATCTACACTAGAGAGAATCTTCCAATCTTGTCATTACCATAACACTCAATGGCTCGAGTTCAGTGCACTGCAAATCGAATGGCACTAGGTTATCATGAATTGATATGAAGTAGATAACAAAGATAGCAAAGCATGATAGAAGATAATTCAGGGGAACTTTCCGGGTTCGGTAATGACGCAGCCTCAAAGGACGGCATCGGTTTCGCATCCGACGCAGGTTTATGGAGTGCTGATGACATTTGCATCCCTGGTGTTAAGGTAAGTGGACAGGGAAGTGTCTGGGGAAGTCTGGGGTAAGTGGCTTGAAAACCCGGCAGTCCAAGGATGTCACTGTCTGCTTGGTATCAATGATAGTCAAGCAGAGGGTTCGAAAGAGATAAATAGTCGTTGGAAAGATTACTTCCAAAGGCAACCATTCCAAAACGTCTACCGCCGTTGTTGCGCATCATATCCACCACCTTTAAACTCATCGAACTCGGTTTCATGGCTGCTAAAGACTCGACAATGGCCGAACCAATCGCCAAGTCTTTAGAAAAGACAGACGAACATCAGCCGTCAGACATTGCCAATGGCGAGTTTGGCTCCGAGAACGAGACTCTCCGAAGAAATCTCAGCCCACGTCAGGTGCAGTTCTTCGCGATAGGAGGCTCCATTGGTACTGCGCTGTTCATCAGCATTGGCTTTGGGTTGCTACACGGAGGAGCTGGCAGTCTCTTGTTAGCTTTCATCGCTCAAGGGATCATGATGACCTTCGTGAACAACGCAATGGCCGAGATGACCATCTTTATGCCGGTGAGCGCCGCGTTTATTCAGCATGGGGGTGCTTGGGTCGACCAGGCATGGGGCTTCATGTTGGGTTGGAACTTTTTCGTCTTCGAAGCGTTCCTGCCTGCATTCGAGATCACAGCCGTGGACCTCGTCTTGACATTCTGGCGAGATGATATACCATCCGCCGCTGTCATCACGGCCTGCATTGCTACATATGGGTTTGTTCTCGGCTCTGGACATCCCCTCGTCTTCCAACTAACCCACACCCTAGACTTACCAACGCCTTCGGGGTCAAATACTTCGGCGAAGCCGAGTTCTGGCTCTCAGGAGGAAAGCTGGTTCTAATCATCATTCTGTACTGCTTCACATTCGTGACCATGTGCGGAGGCAACCCGCAGAAAGATGCCTATGGATTTCGGAACTGGACGAAGCCTGTTTGGTGAGCCCAACCTCATTGCTCGTACAACATCTGACACGTGATTATCAGGAGCCATTTCTGGAGTATCTCTCGACCGGCAGATTGGGACGATTCGAAGGCTTCCTGGCAGCCTTATGGCAAGCCAATTTCATCATGGTCGGTCCCGAGTACCTCGCTGCCTGTGCAGGTGAGGTTCAGCGCCCGAGAACCTCGCTCAAGACGGCCTTTCGAAGTGTCTACATTCGATTTGCTCTGTTCTTCATACTTGGCGCTATCTGCGTTGGTACCGTGCTGTCCGCCAGGGACCCGACGCTTGTCAGGGTTCTCGGTTCGGGAGAAACGGGCACCAGCGCGGCTTCGGTCTACGTCATCGCCATGAAGAATATGGGCATCGATACTTTACCCCACGCTGTTAATGCTCTTCTTTTGACGAGCATCTACTCCGCGGGTGACTGTTACATGTTTACGGCGATCCGCAGCCTGTACGCCATGGCATCCGGAGGACACGCGCCACAAATCTTCACGAAGACTACGAAGAATGGTGTGCCAATCTACTGCTTTGCAGTCGCGATTGCAATCTCGTGTCTGGCATACCTGAAGTTGAGCGCCAGCACTGTGACAGTTCTGAACTGGTGAGCATTTCATTCACAGTTGACCTACAAACAAGTATGGTTACTGATATTGCTAGGTTCATCAACTTGGCCACGGGCGGCCAGCTAGTGACCTACATTGCCTGTTGTGTGAACTATCTGTTTTTCTACCGCGCGTTGAAGGCCCAAGGGTTTGACCGCAAAGACTTGCCGTATTGTGGTTGGTTTCAACCTTACAGCACTTGGATCGCTCTGATATGGCTTGTTCTGATTGAGATCTTCTGGGGTTATGTCATTTTCCTCCCGGGAGGGTGGGACGTAGGAACCTTCGTCAGCAAGTATGGTATGGCCTTGCTGGCTATTGCAACTTTCACCTTTTGGAAGTTGTTCAAACGGACCAGTTTCGTCGATCCTGACGAGGCTGATCTGGTTTGGATTCGACCAGCTGTAGACTTGCACGAGAGGATGATGAGCGAGGTACCAATTGTTGGATTCCGTGAGGGAGTCGGAAAGTTTTTCAGAGCCCGTCTCAGGCGATCAGAGAAGGGCGAGAACTCTCCTGCTTGAGAGCTGCACAGGACAGGAGGCTAGAGCCTACGGCAATCATATTTCAATTATGCTATCATGGAAGAGAACTCCTCTCACTTTGCAACATGGCTGGAAGCTCGAAAGCGCCATTAGAGATGAGTATTTACTTTCTCAGCATTGAGGAAATACCCATCCTATTTCCTGTGCTGGTCCGTATATCCAGATCTTGTGCTCGTCATTCAGCTGGTTATAGACGGTTGAAATTATGTGGACTGCCCATCCTTGCAACCACCACTGTGTCTCACATTTCTTCAACAATACCGCAAAATGAGCAAGGACAACGAGGGCTTCTGGAGTCTGCCACTCCAGCACAGGTATAAAATCTTCCAACGACCTGTAGATCCAGATCAAAGCGTCTGAATCTTCCCACAGATGTACGCACGCCGTCGCGTCTCGGAGCATTTGTATGACCTTCGTATACGTGGTCAATGTTTCCACGTCCGACACTCGGTAGTTGAGAAGATCCTGAAGATCGTCTAACAACTCTGTGGCTGGATGATAGTCCTGTTCAATCTGGCTGAAATTCTCTTGTAAGGTGAACCTTTCCGTCCCGCAGCTCAGGAGAGGTGCAAGCGGACTACCCGAAAGGCCTCCCCATGTCGTACACATAAGGCCTTTGAGCCCTTTTAAGATAACAAGCAAGTCGTTAAAACTCGCATGGTCGTCCAAAATCACGCCGTCGAAGGATCTCTGTGGAGTTGCTAAAACTACAGGCATCGCCGTGTCAGCACTGTCAATAAATACATAGAAAAATAGGCTGTACAGACCAATCACAAGACTCAGGGCGGAGAAGAGGAACAAAGAAACCCCCTCCTCATCTGAAACGCTTTCCAATCTATTCCTCGCCGCCTCCGATCCAATTCGATGGTTTTCGAGAGCAGCAGAGACATAGAGACATCTGCTTTCGGGACGGAGATATGCGAGATGAAGGGCCGGAAGAGCGAGAAGAGTCCTCATCAGATAGGTATGCTTCAGGGCAATCGTTGGGACAGTGACCTTCCAAAAGTCCCGCAGCGCCCGTGGCCATGCTAGTGTTGAGCATGTGAATGTAGTATACGTGTGGAGGAGTTCAAGATGTAGAAAGTCAAGGTCGTCGGAAACATGTACGCGGGGGGAAGACTTGTACGGCGGCGCTTCCTCTCGAGACGGCGAAGCACCTTCGGGATATTCGCATGTCAGATGTAGTCTTGCGCATCGCGAGCACGATGGTCGATGCTCGTCACACTGGGAAAGCCCAGTCAGCTATGATCAAGATGGAAAAGACTTCGACAAGTGTCTTCCTTACCTTGACTTTTCTTCCTTTGCATGTCATACATCCTGTTCTGGATTTGCGATGCGATACCCTCTTCCCTGTGCTCCTATTCCTATGTTTTGGTGTCTCCAGCGTGGCTGCTGGAGTCGAAGTCGTCGAGTACCCGGAGTCTTCGGGTAGAGTAAGATGATTGCTGTCAGTCATGATTGCAAGTGGAGTAGTGTCGTGGTTTCGCGCAAGGTGACAGATTTCGGAAACGGAATAACTGGAACAAAATTCAAGAAACCTAAGAGTAGCGGAGACTCTATTCTTTTAATAAATATGACCGGTATTTGTAGGGCTCTCCCTATTGATAAATATTGCAACGCGAACCCTCTAGTTGGCTTGTTTTAGCCGGGAAATCTCCTGATTAGTAGTCTTGCACGAGGACCGAAACGACACTGCCTTCACCTCAGCGGGATTACCCAGGAACAAACTGCCATCTCATGATTGCTGGCAACAAGGACGTGACTTGAGGACAAGCCACGTGAAATCGATTCTAAATCGGACTTTCCGTAGATTTTCAGGGGCAAGGGACTGGCGCGTACCCATAAACGAGATGTACGAGCGACTCGGCCCAGCTGCGGCTTTCCCTACTAAGAAAGGGTACCCTTGGCTCAAGTGTCTGTGGTCTCATTTGAAGCGCATGTGTCTGTAGGCCTGTTGAAAATCTGCCTTGTCACGCAACCCGGCATTGACCCATGCGGCAACCATTTAGCGTCATCTGAACGAAGTTCGTTCAGACTCGTTCCTCGTTTAAGTGACCAAAATTTGCAAGTCCTCCTAGCCCCGTTCCACTGCGCTCCATAGATGGCGCAAATTAGAGCCGTGGAGCATCTAACCAATATGTGATCTGCTTGGATTCTTGGTAATACCGCAAGATTGAAAGTCTTGGGTCTTATTCTTTGATAGCACCGGTATGCCCACATTGTTTGTTCGTATGATTCGCACTGAAGTAAACGAGATACGGGACAGGCGATATATCGCCGAGAGACGTTGGTGCTAATCTCTAGCACTGCCACCGCCGACTGTGATCATGACGACTACCTTGTAAAAAGAATTGTTGAATTGTAAGGTTTTGCGCGTACAGATTAGTACCGGTCACCCAAGGGATTCTGGTACATATTTCGAGACTCTAGATGCATTTGAGTTGAACCGATTTCTTTTCTCCTCCGCAAGCACTCTCTTTCTACACCATAATTATCGCCAGAGGATCTTTCCTCTGTTCGAAGACGATGGCCGACTCAAGCTTAGAAGGCCCCGGTGCAGCCTTCGATTTCCAACTTTACCGATATACGCCTTCATTGCCCGCCGCAATTGCGAGCGTAGTCGTCTTTGCCATCCTCACTCTGCTGCATTTCTGGCGACTTTTCCGATACAGAGCGTTTTATTTCACTGCCTTCACCATAGGTGGCATCTGTAAGTTTTACCCTGGAGCCAGGTCCATCACACGATGGCTGGACCGTGCAGCCATCTTTGGAAGACCTTGGGCCCGATTCCCGGAATCAGCGAGTCTAACGTTAGCTCTGCAGTCCAGACAATTGGATATTGCGGTCGTATTTGGAGCCACTTCGACAAATTCTCCATTGGCGGCTTTGTCATCCAGGCAATTCTGATTCTCGTCGCACCTGCGCTCTACGCGGCTTCAATCTACATGATCCTCGGACGCCTGATCCGCACCGTCAAAGGCGAGCACCTATCACTTGTCCCTGTCGCCTGGGTCACTCGAATCTTCGTCACGGGAGACGTAGTTGCTTTCACTCTCCAAGCGGGAGGTGGCGGTGTTCAAGCAGCAGGGACGCTGGAGCTCTACGAGGCGGGCGAGAAGATCATCATTGCCGGTCTCTTCGTGCAGATCGTCGTATTTGGCTTCTTCGTGTTGACCTCAATGCTCTTTCACATTCGGCTACGCAACAGTCCTACGGAAACGTCTTTGCAAGGAACAACTCCGTGGAGGCGTTATCTCTACGTCCTCTACGTCACAAGCGCCATCATCCTTATCCGCAGTATTTTCAGAGTTGTCGAGTATTTGCAAGGAAACGGCGGGTACCTCATCTCTCATGAGATTTTCTTGTACATCTTCGACACTCTTCTCATGGCCATTGTGATGGCAATCTTCCTTATTTGGTATGTTCAGGAGTTGGAACCCAAGAAGGGCGATGTGTCGACGGAGGAGGAGCAGTATGTTTCTGGTTCGAGCGACTACATGCTTGAGGAGAGACGCCAAAAGTAACTCAGAGTCATTTGACGGAGCGCCGAACATTGATCAGTTGTAATTACAACTACCAGTCTGTTCCTTTCACATGCCCACATTTTATGCACGATTTCTAGACTAGACATTAAGAATTTAGCACTACTCGGGTTCAGCTCGCGGCCTGTCTCGGGTTTTTCGGGTGGCGTAGAATCAACGAACTAAGTTGGTCCAGGGACCCCAGCCCAGTCTCGTTCCTCGTTCCTCGCTCTTTTGCTTGACTCGTTTCGCCTTCGTTTCTCATCACCCCATCTCGCTCATTACATACTCATCTGCGCCACTACTTCGTTCCCAGCCCTCGCTCGCTCTCTCCGCTCCCTCGTTAACTCGTACATGTCCTCCAGTACCGTGTTACCGTTGCCATGTCTCCGGCCGATAGTCGAACGGGGCAGCGTCCGTCGCGGCGATATGGACGGAGACCGCATTTCAAGACAACGACCGGCTGTCTTCTGTGTCGGCAACGCCGAGTAAAGGTGCGACATTCTTGGGGTCCGCATTCAGTAATTGACGGCTGACACACTTTTCAGTGCACAGAGGAGAAGCCCACCTGCAAAGCCTGCGACCGTAGACAAGTCACCTGTTCATATCCAGAAGACCAACGGCAACCTAGGCGTTCATCATCACGTGCTACCAGTCTTGCGGCCCGCGAGGCAGCAATTCCAAGGAGTTCACCTCCATTGGAGGGCGCGTTGAGTAGCAATCCTCTAGGAACAAGTCGTTCATGCACACCAGCAGCACCGTCCGATGCTACTGTGAATACGACTTGTGCCTCAGAGACCCCGCAACAAGAATCACCACAACCACCTACATCAGTGGCACATACTACGGCTTCCATAACAGCTGGTCTACTGGCTTCGAGCGTAGCACAGGCGTCTGACAACGAGTCGCCGAGTTGCAGGACTGTCCATACAACCTCCTCAACTCCCCACACATCTTCAACGGTCTCTACTACCTTCGGAATCAGCGACCTAGAATTGTTACATCACTGGACCGTGGCAACTAGTGTTGACATATACAAATCCGGCCCACTGGACTCGCTATGGCAAATCACAATCCCACAGATCGGCTTTAAATATCCCTTCGTGGCGCACGGTATCTTGAGCTTGGCCGCTCTACATCTCGCATACATCGAAGGCACAAGCAACAACTCATACATCGTCGCAGCAACACGGCACCATGAGGAAGCTCTTGAGGGGTTCCATGAGGCCATCCGTAACATCTCGGAAGAAAACAGCGAGGCATTGCTGGTATGGTCGTTGCTCAACATCTTTTACGTCTTTACCATTTCAAGACAACTCGGAGGTCGTTTGGAGCGAGAACAGCCCCGTCTGCGGAGAGATCGAGTCCTTGGAGTGGAGTGGATCCCTATGATGCGTGGTGTTGACGCCGTTCTCGGCCCAACTTACGAATTCCTGAGAACCGGGCGGATGAACTCAATCCTCAATCTTGGGAATTGGAACGAAATCAACCCCGAAGCGATTCCCTCTGAAGCAATGGAAGTTCAAATGTGTCGACTGAGAGAGACCTGGGCTACAGGCACCGAAGTCGAGACTTATGATACGGCCTTGCATATTTTGAGGAAGTGTCGGATCTATGCCTTGCAATTCAAATCAATGGATTCTGAGACTATGGAGAATTGGGGATTTAACAGGGCATCGGCTTCGCCACTGTCATTTGTTCACTTCGCCCCTAAACAATATTTTACGCTGCTTCATCAGAGACAGCCACCGGCGTTGATGCTTTTCGCGTATTTTGGAGTTCTGTTACACGCATTGGACGATTCCTGGTTTCTTGAGGGATGGGGAAAGGATATTGTTGAAGTCGTCGATGACCTACTGGGAAGTTACTGGAGACCATGGATTGCTTGGGCGATTGAGCATGTGGATTTGAGATAGTATATTTGTGAGGAAACCATTCTTGTCTTCATAGATGGGATGGCAAAAGGCCCTTTAAGACGCATTGTATGAGTACTCTTGACTATCTATGATAATCAATGCTAATACCTTTCATTAACATTCGTCTTCTCAACAGCAACGACGAGACCATTTCCCCACTCCAGGAAACGCACACAACATCCGAAAGATGTAATTATTTCAGCGTGGTCTGGAACCTTCGAGCAACTTGACTATGAGACTCATAGTCTTTGATGACGGTGCTGGGGCAGCGAGTCCATTTTCCAATCCTGACCACCGCCCCCGGCAGCAAGAAAAGCGGCAATCTCAGCTGGATGAATCCAATTGAAAAGAACCATGACGAGAAACATCAGAACAGCGTCGAAAACGTACAGATACGCTTCATGGCTCAAGAGATAGCCGTTGAAGCCTTGGATGTACTCGACAGCGCGGAACACGGACCGAACCATGATCAACATACTTCCAAGATACAAGACGTTCATGTGCTTCTGCCAGGGGATGCTGCCGCTTGAACGGCCTGTGGGGGTCTTGTTGATGGATCGATGAAAGCACACAGCAACGACTATGAAGAGACCGAAGCAGATAAGCTGTACAAACAATCCAACAATGATGATGTTGGCGCCAGTTTTAAGAGCAGCGAGAGTGCCTGATGCTTGGTAGCCGCCGCCTAAACACTGGGGTTTTAGCCGCGGTTCCACACTCGTGACTCGAAGTCATTTCACTGGGATAAGAACGACTGACCTCCACCCTGGAGCAAGAAGGATAGAACATCTCCCGCCACGAAGAGCTTGGTTAGCCACTTCTTGCTGATCAGGACATGGCCCTCTCCGTCTACAATGGTGATGATTCTTCCCAACTCCATGTATACGGTAGCAGCATAGAGGGCTGGTGCGACCAGAAGCAGAATGGACTGAATGATGTAGGGGCCCAGACTCCAATTGGGACTTTCTGAGCCGGACTTGGCTCGGGCCGCGTACCCGATGACTTGGACTGCCGCCAGTGTTAGCATGGCCGATCACGCGCACCAATATGTCATTCGATAACTTACGGATACCTCCGATTGCAAGAGGTAGAAGAAACCAACATCGAGATCGAAATAATTGCCAGAAGTGAAGAAGAGTGGTGCCCAGAAAGAGGAAGACAAAGATTACGGCGCCGGCGATGGTGGGGTCGTAGTGGTAGAGTTTGAAAACATCACCAGCTGTCTGTTCAGGGGCTGCTGTGTCTCGGTGGCTCAGGCCCATGGTAGCCATCGTCATGATTTCCAGAAAAAGATAAATGTGAACTGAAAATACAAGAAACAAGGCTTGGAGAATGCGGATATGCCTTCAAGTCGACCTAAACGAATGAAATGTGAAAAACCAAATGAGTGTTGCCTTTAGAACGACAGTCAACGATGGAATGGTGATGTGATACTGAACTGCTGATATCGAAAGAAGAGTGTTTAGAGTCCAGCCATGGTAAATGACATATTGATCTCTTTTCAATGATTGAGGTTCGAGTTCTTTTGCAAAACCTGCCCTTCCGATCAAAAAGGGGCTTGTTCAGGCATGGAAGTAGCATACACAGCCTCGATCAAACAGTATTGCGAGGCATACTCGGTCGATACCACGCTTAGGGCTGAGAATAGATGGCAATCTAGATCGGTGGCCGAGTTTCAAGAGAACCACGGAAGTTCTCTTTCGGGGTTAAACGCGGGTTCGGCCCCACCCGGGCTCGCATTCTGCGGGCATCTCGGACCCGTGCCTCGTTCCTCGTTCCTCGTTTCCTGCTCCACCGGCACCGGGCGCGCATTAGCGCCTCAAGCTCGCTCGCAACCCTCGGGTAAGGCTGTTGTGAGTCCACTTTCACGCGCATTACGATGAAGACGGGACGTCGATGCATGATAAGTCCTGGCGCTTATTTATGGAGAAGACCAGAGAAGACCATAAACACGAAGAACACGAATATCCGTTCAATCCGGTCGCTGAAGCCGTAAGGGTGGAACATTATTCTAGTCGGCGTTGTCTGCACTTGGCGTTGATTCAGTCGAGTACTGCACCCTCCAATGTTACCTCTTTCGCTGCGACCCCTGACAGCCATACATATCTACCGACGTTTTCCCTAGCGAAATGCCACCGTACACAGCCCGGCTGATGAAAGACTTGGGGACGCGTGAATCGCAATGCCAAGACTTCCGTCCATCGAGTTGAGACGCGTCATTCCAGGCCGACCGCGATTTCTCCCATGTCTCTCCTGCGCAAACGAGCTGCCCTGAATTTCAGTCCAACCCGAACGTGCAACGGCCGTCTCCGATGGATCAGTCCGATCCCTTATGCAGAGGAGCTTCCAAGGGTCGGATGGTTCCGCTTGCTCCGCGTCGAGCCCGCAGATAAGCCGACCGAACCGATGGAGTGTAGACTGGAAACCCTCCGGATGAAGACTGCGCCGCCATACGAAGCTTTATCATACACTTGGGGCAACCGAAAAGCTGATAGCCCAATCACCATCAATGGGCACTCATATCTGATTCGTAAGAACCTTCACGATGCGCTCGTGGCTCTGCGGCAAAGCCACAGTTCTAGGACCTTATGGATTGATGCGATATGCATCGACCAGTCCAAAGACACAGAGAGATCGCACCAAGTCTGGCAGATGAAAAACATCTATCGTGATGCGAGCCGCGTCAAGGTCTGGCTCGGCAACGCTTGCGAGGGGTCAGATCGCGGTATGGACTTTCTGCGGAAAATTGACAACGAGGTTGTTATCAAACACTTCGCCAATAACAATGACTTTCGAAGACTTCACCAGCCGCTCTTATCTCTGATCGCGGATCCTAAACATCGGCCGGACCTTGAGGCAACGCTCGACCTCCTTAGGCGTTCATGGTGGACGAGGATATGGACCTTCCAAGAAAGCGTGCTTGGGAGAGAAGTTGACTGTATTTGCGGGTCAAAAGAGGTTTCTATCTCGTCATTCTCCAAGTTCTCTAGGTTTGTTTTACTCTGTGCCAACTTTGGCGTTTGGCATGGACCTTCGCTCGATGCGTCCATTGCATTGCGGATGGCGAAATGGGTAGGCTCCATGAGGCGAGCTTTCAAGGCGGACGGCGCCATCAGCCTTCAAGCTGCCTTGTTGGCATCGTGGAATCGCGCCTCATCCGACCCGAAAGACAAAGTTATCGGCCTCGTTGGGATGGTCGACTGGATCTCCGACTCAGTCCCGGAGTACGGTCAGTCCGTCGAGAAGATATACGCGGCAGCAATGTTTGACTTGTTGGCCTCTTCAAAAAGTCTTGGGGTCCTGGGTTTTATGTCCGAAATGCCGGAACAGAGAAACCCGAAACTGCCCAGCTGGGTGCCCGATTTCGAAGTCCATTCAAATACAGGCAGCGATCATCTGGCTGCTTTGTCGAGGGACAAGCGAGCGTACAACGCATCTCTGCATTCGCCAACCGGCCGATTCCCCGCGACCGTGGAAAGAGACGGATCAGTTCTGGTCGTGGAAGGGGTCGAATTTGATAACGTCCAACAGATCGGCGAGAAAGCGCCTGGGTGGGAACTTCTAGAAGAGCCGGGCGAAGAGGATGGCGCTTGGAAGAGAGCCATGCGACAGGCTTTAGACAATTGGCGATCTATGGCGGATGGAGGGGTGCCTTATCCGACCGGAGAGGATCGTGCAAGAGCGTTTTGGAGGACTGTTCTGATGGATTTGAAACAGGGAGGCATCTTCAAGTCTTCTTACGCGGCCGGCTCGAAGAGACTTGATGAGTCGGATATGACTTGGGTCTTGAGCCTTGAAAAGCAAGATGCCCTCGATCAACTGCTACTTGCGTGGGAGAATGCTTGCAGGTCTCGGTTGCGACGACTGCAAATGATCGAACAGTTGAACAGAAGGTTCTTCATGACAGCGCGGGGTTATTTCGGACTCGGCCCGCCCTCATTGCAGGCTGGCGATTCCATCTGTGTTCTCCGGTCGGGCTTTGTCGCGTATGCCCTGCGAAAAGCAGCAGACGGCTGTTGGCGATATGTAGGCGAATGGTGAGCTGTCTTCCCAAAACCACAAACCGAAGAAGCGCTAACAGATTCCCAAGCTACGTCCATGGAATCATGGATGGAGAAGTTATGAAAGGAGATGAAGAAGGTCGTCCTGCTCTTCAGACCTTTCGCATCGAGTAGCCCCTGAAGCCAATTTACCTCACCACTTCCAAGCAGGTGATTGACGAACGAGCATGGGCAGTCCCGTGCGACACCACACACACTCAACTACCTACTTCCAAGAGATCACCCATCTCTTGCAAATGACGCCGGAAATGTGCTGTTTAATGTGGCTGAACGGAACAGCATCAGCCAAGAGATTTTTGCTGGCCCTCAGTGGCTTGAATGTGCCAAGATACCAATCAACCCTTGCAAAGCAGCTGAAATTGTAGCCGAGACAAGCATTGAATGCCTGCGAAGAGTAACACCAACCGACACCAATTGACGTCACAACTACAATACTTGGCAGCGCGACCGGTCGCAAGTGAACAACTCGCTATTGTCAAGTACGACTTTACGTATGTGCTGCCCAGTGGCTGCAGTGATTCACGATTTGAGGAACAGTCATGAGAAAACACCGAGCTTATTAACTGACTTGGCTGCCGCCCTGACGAATTGGTCTTTTGGCCCAGTCATCTCTGCGACTTACACGCTTTTGTTTTGTTACCCCCATCCCTTCCCGTCCATCTGGCAGAAGCCAGACGTAGGCGCCCTTCTAATCAATTTCCGGGAAAACTGTCATCAGTCTCTTCACGATGCCTAGTCTAAACCCCTTCGCCCGTCGTCATCACGACCCAGCAACACCTCTGCCCACCCATCACCGGCGGAGCAGCGATGACACGAAGGTCAACGAGCGCTGGCATGCCCGAGAGACATACACAATGGACCGTCGACCGACCTTCATGCAGTGGTTGAAGGTGACATGGCTGGACATCTTGACCATGATAGCCATGGGAGCTACCGCTCTAGGCGTGAGCTCTGCCGTCCCCAAATCCTTCATCCTCTGACTAACCTCTCGTCACCAGGTATTCCGAGCGCACCCTCCGGCCCATCGAATGTTCCCGATTACCTTCGAAGATGGCGAGATCGTATACCCGCAGTTTGCATACCCTCACATTCCACAATACATCCCGAGCCACGCCGCAACGGCTCTGGGAGTCGGCGTCCCTATCCTCGTTATCCTGTTGTGCCAGATTCGCATTCGATCATTCTGGGATATCAACAATGGAATTATCGGGCTGCTGTACGCACAGCTAGGGTCAGCCGTTTTCCAAGTCTTTATCAAATGGCTCATTGGCGGCCTGCGACCCAACTTCCTGGACGTCTGCAAGCCCGACATCAGCAAAGCCTCACAGCCAGGAGGCAATGCCACCGGTCTGGAGGGCACCGGCTACGGCGGTCTCATGTACACCTACGACATTTGCACAACGGAAATGGGCGGGTCTCTATCCAATGCACTGGAATCTTTCCCCTCGGGCCACACGACGTCCATGTTCTCTGGCATGGTGTTCCTCTACCTGTACCTCAACGCCAAGCTAAAGGTCTTCTCTAACTACCACCCATCCATGTGGAAGCTCATCCTGACCTACGCCCCGATCCTTGGTGCCACCCTCGTGGGAGGCTCGTTGACGGTTGACCAGTCCCATAACTGGTACGACATCTTGGCGGGCGGACTGATCGGTACGATGTTCGCGTTTTCCTCATACAGGATGGTCTATGCGTCGATCTGGGACTGGCGTTTCAACCATATCCCCCTTCACCGCAAAATGCCTCTCGAATACGACCTCGACGCTTTTGGAGATGGTGCTGTAGCGACTCGCAAGGCTGGATGGGGCAGGAAGCGCGGAACCCGAACTGCTGGTACCGACAAGATGACTAGGTCGCGGTACAGCACCAGCAGAGACGGCCGTGGTGTTGGTATTCCCCGCAAGCCGGTAACATCACACCACGGACACGACCGTCGTCCTTCTGCTGGTGATATGGTTTAATGATTTCAGACACGGAGTTACGTTGGAGTTGAGTATACGGATGGTTGATACGCGCGCTTTTCCTTGGATACCCTATACGACTGTATGATGAGAGAAAACGAGACAGAGCAAAAGCTCTCCTGAATGTTCCCTAATATTAAGTTAATCAATGCCATATCAAAGAAGTTTCGTCCAAGACTGTCATTGTCGGCGGTCTCGGGTCCCGACATGATCATTAACATCCGATCAGTATTTGCTTGGCTCAGGACACAAGCTTCAGGTACATGGCGTAGGCTTGGGAGCGCACGTTCTTATTTTGCTGATCATATGATATTCGCTCAACACATATCGAACGTCGCAGCCGGCTCCCGTACAAGATTGACATGGGCTTCCAAGTCGTCGGGACTGAGAGTCGGGTGTTGTACTCATCGTCGGTCTGATATCCGATGCGACTGGTGTGTGGCTCCACAACCAGCACTGCCATGTGTCTGGAGGGCCTGATATCAAAGTTTAAAAATAGCTATAGCTTTACTTCAAACATGCCGCCGGCTTTGGCCTGCACATGGGGAACCGAATATTTGGAGAAACAGCTAGTTCGGCACGCAGATGGATAACCTGGAGTTTGCTGTATCTGTCAGAAGACGCCAAGCGTTGGACTCATCGTAGACAGATTTGACAGATGTTACTCTCGAACTCAATTCAAAGGCAAGCGGCACCTGAGGCGGTGTTGAATAACTGTCTCGTCAGTTGCGGGAACGTCTCGCAGTTATTGAGCGTCCTCGCGAGTCAATTCTGTGATGGTTGCATGAAGACTGAGGCACCTTGGCATACAGTGCAGCTCTTGGCACTGAACTCTATGATCAGTCAGGCTTCTGGCCCCTGATGCGCATCGGTCAACCTGTGTGTGGTTTGAGAGTCATACTTCTGCTGCCACTTAACTTTACTGAGCAAACAAATCATGAAAGCAAAGTTCACGGAAACACACATTTTCTCGACGACATTTCGAAGTCGACAATGGGGTATCTTTCAAGCCATCTGCGACACCTTTTTTTAGCTTAAAATAAGGTACTTTTTAGTCGGACGGAGACAGGGCGAGGCCACCCGCAGCCCCAGTCCGGAGCCCCGGAGACTAGCCAACTTCACATGAAGAGCGAAATCGACGTGGGCTTCGCACGGGCAGCCGCCAACCCCGTGCCCTCCCGAACTCCGGGATCCGATGATCGCCGTCAACCCTGCCGAGGAGCCCCGGATAGATGAGCTGTTTCTCAGCGGAATGCTTCGAGAACGGCCGCCAATACGTCAAACAGACAAGTGCCAAGCTCGACGACTCGAAAGCTCTGAAGCGCCCAGACCATTAGCAGGTTTGACTTATGATGTGCAGAAGCCGCAGAGCATCCGTTATATGAGAGTTGTGTTATGTATGCCTAGCTCTTCGGCGGGATGAACATGTCAAAAGTTGTCGGACGATAATCCCGCTCAAGCTACCATCCCGGACCATGATGTCTATACCAGACTCTGGCCGCCCCATATGCCGAGCTCTCCCTAAAGTGATCCACAACTATGGCTCATTGCGAGAGGTCTTACTTTCTTTAGGTAGCTCTTGTCAGCCTGGTATGGAGACGTCTTATTCTTCTTGGGGCTATGACCGTGAGGCTGGATCGACTGCTACTGGGTAGAAGCACTGACAGCTCCAGCACCGCACCACACTAGTCCCGGTAATCCACCAGTAACCTGCAATATAGACAAAATTATGGAGAGGCTCGGCAGTCGTCGATATACTCATGTCGGATGTAGTTCTCGGTGGAGGAGTGGCGAGGGGCCCATAGGATAGAGTGTGCCTAGAGAACGACCCAGGGGCACTCTGAGATGCGATGAACAACCATGCGCCTCTAAATTGAACAGATTACAGGAGGCAGAGGATGAAGTATAAGACCTCATCATCTTCCACCATCTCGACGATCTTTCTTTCGGCAGGCCTCATCGCCAAACAATCTCTTTCACTCACAACTTCCAAATCATTCTCACTTTTCATTCTCTTTCAACTTTCTCTTCACTTTCATTACGTCTGGTACCAGTTTCTATCAACCCATTGACATCACCATCATCAACAATGGCGTCCAGGCTGGTCCTCTTCACTCTTGCCGCGCTGGCTACCGCGAACCCCATCAACCCTGGTGGTGGTGCTGAGCGGCCGGGCCGCAGACAGATTGGATCTGTCGGGCACCTTGCCCGCGCCGTCATGAGTCCTCAGCAACCCAAGGTCGAGGTTCGATTCCCCGGACCTGGTGGCCCCGGATCCAACGGCTCGTGCGAGGACGGTGGCGATGGCAGCATCGGATCGAAGGCCGAGAAGTCTAAGGACAAGAACGCCGACAAGAACGCGGACAAGAATAAGGATAAGAGCAAGGACAAGAACACGGATAAGAACAAGAACAAGGACAAGAATAAAGACTCTGGCTCCGGCTCTGGCTCCGGTTCTGGTTCAGGTTCAGGAAGCAAAAAGCCAAGCACCGGCGGTGGTTCCAGCTCTGGTGGTGGCAGCAGCGGAGGAGGCGGCGGCTCTTCCGCCAACAACGGAACAGCTCCCGGCGGCGGCGGCGGCGGTGGCGGCGGCGGTCTCCAGAAGTCTTTCCCCACTCCTGCCGGCACCGAGAACCTCGCTGAAGCTCGAACCATCTCGGGCTCATTCGATGGTGCTATGAAGATGTTTGACCGTGTCCCGAGCACGTGCACAGGTGGCGAGGGTGGCCGCGCCGACGCAGCTTTCATCCTCGAGGACGGCGCGACTCTGAGCAACGTCATTATCGGAGGCGGAGCCGGTGAGGGTGTTCAGTGCGCCGGCAGCTGCACGCTGATCAACGTGTAAGTCACATTCCCTTTCCTGACATTTCGGCTCTCAAACTAATTGTGGCAAAGTTGGTGGGACAAGGTCTGCGAAGACGCGGCGACCTTCCGACAGACGGGCGGCACATCCACAGTCCGTGGTGGCGGCGCACGCGGCGGCTCAGACAAGGTCTTCCAGCACAACGGCGGCGGCACTGTTGAGATCAGCGACTTCTTCGCTCAGAACGTTGGCCAGCTGTACCGTTCCTGCGGCAACTGCGATGGCCAGGTCGCGCGCACTTCCACGTTCACCAACATCCACGTCGATGGCGCTAAGACCATTGTGCACGTCAACGGAAACCTGGGTGATAAGGCAACGATCAGCAACTCTTGCATCTTGGGCGGCGCCACCGTGTGCAAGAACTCGCAGGGTGTCGAGGGTGGCGGTGAGCCTGGTGATGCTCCCGATGACCCGAACGTCTGCTCCCAGACTGGTGTCCAGACTTCAGGCTGCTAAGCGGCCACGGTCATGGGGAGTCATATGACAATCGGCTTGGTTTCGGTACATAGCGCAAAGAAACTGACTTGCTGGATTAAGACTGGATATCTCGAGTCAGAAGATCTTTCAAGCTGTAGATATTCTTTAGATGACTGCTGGTTATGCGGTTCAATCAAGCACATATCTTCCTCGCAAGTCAACCTACCCACCTCCTCGTGGATCAAGCAGTGATGCCTATGTAGACAGTCTCATCGACATGTATGACTTAGTACCATATTTCAGACCAGTCGCTCTTTTCATTGTTATCAGTTTCGCCAGCGTTGTTAGTCTTGCTGATATTGTCGCTATTATCGTCTCTTCTCCTCCTCGTCGTTGTCGTCGTCGTTGTCGTCTTCAGAGTATTCGGTCTTTATCCAGCTTTGCATAATTTTACCGGATGTCTTAAACCTTCCAAGTTCCAGGAGTGCGTGTGATTTAGCCCTCAACATTTTAATTCGGCAAGGTTGCAGAAAAGGTATCTTCGCTACGTCACTTGCTACATAAAATACTGTTATTCTAGGTTTTGGTGGCGTCTGAATAACAGCAAATCAAGAGACATCAGTCTAACCTCTCTTGTCCTCTTCAGATAACGATAGCCACACGGGTTACTGATCGCTGGTAGCAAAGGTTGCTCCTGAGAAGGGCTGAAGACCTCGACCCGTTGGTGTGACCGCAAAAAGGATCATATTCTGCTGCTCCAACTTACCGCCAAAGTTTACTGTCAAATTTACCAGAAATTACTTTCTTTCTCTTTCTCCACTTACTCGGCCAACGTCAACCCAACGCAGGAGAACAGTCACCTGCAATAAGTTATACGCTAATTACTTCACCAAATTCGCTCCGGTTCTCACGTTTGTCCACCTCGCAAAAGATGTTCCTACCCACAGTCAAAAAGGCGTTATACGAGCCTGGATCCGAGAGCTACCGTTGGGGTTTCTACTTATTCCGAGCGACCTACCAGGACGATGCTCTTTGGGAACGCTATATGGCACACATCCACGAGAACGCCTATAAACACATCGAATTCGACTTAAAAGACAAAAGAATTTCCAAACAATTCAAAATTTACGTTATCGAAGGAGCCGACTTGGACGGTGCATCAATCGAGGAGGTCAGACAACGCTTTGTTTCCTGGCGCAGCAACCACACCGAACGACCCTCAGATATTGCACCCAGTAATCACTTAGACATCACCCTCAAAAGCTACCCCCTATACGTGGATGAGCAATGCCTAGAGTCAATGAGGTCTCATGAAAAACTGGTGAAAGGATCTACTGAAGAATTCGACCACCAAGTTCTCATAAAAGCGATGAATGCTGAGCCTGGTTGGGACGAAGATGACGACGAGGATTCCGAGGAGGATGAAGAGGAATCTGATCAAGATGAAGCAGCTTCCGACGACAGCTATGATTACGACAAGGACCGCGATTGGGAGAATCCAGTATACCGCTGGATGCTAGTTAGCTGTCGAGACCTTATTTGTTGGTGGAACATTATGTCCCTTGATGGTGAGTGGGATCGACAATATGGACTTTGCAGTCTGTCAAAGAACAAGAAGCGCCCATGGATAGAGGGGAGTATATATCGCGGACCAGTCTACCAGTATTAGTAGCTATGAATCCCTTGTGTAATTATCTCTCGCACGCAACAGATAAACATCAACTGAAACGTGATCGGGAAACCATTCACTTCGCCTACATGTAACACACCTCAATATTGAAACCTTTCTCATGAGCAAAACATGTTCCTATCCGCAGTCGAAAAGGTGCTTTCAGGCAATTCATCAACAGGCAACACTATCGAAAATGATTTCTCAGGCGACGGGTTCTGTTGAATCGGGAACAAATCATGTGAAGTAGCGAGTGAAGTCGTTCCATAAGAGCGTCCTTTATGGTTCACTGTCTCTGTGTCCACGTCGCAGCAACATGATCGCTATTCACATGCTCTGCTTCCCATAATTGTGCTTTTAATAATCGATCGCAAAATGACAGTAATTCCTCAGGGGTTTCCGACAACCCATTCCCCACCTCTCTTCCGCAATTCACCCCTAATGCTTAGAGGAGCCAGGCGAGAATCATCCTCTCTGCCTATGAGATGTTCGCTGTTTTCCTCTAACCGACGCTTCAGGTCAGCCTTCTCCTCGGCACTGATCGCAAAAAGCGCTGCAATGGTAGAGCTCTTAACAACATCCATATCCGCTCTAGCAGTTTCCATCATGACCAAAAGAAGGCAAATGATGGAGACGAGAATTTGGGCGGCTAAGAGGACTAGCCATGGCCATCTGACTTGAACGTATACTTCATTCTGCCACGCTGTGCCTTTAACGTTTGGCTCGGGAGCGAAAAGACTAGCAAGGTTAGCAACATTTCTCTTGAAAAAGTCTCTGACATGCAAAGACTTTCAGACACACGAATTGGTAAGCCCGTTCGCAATGTTGCGGGCCATTCCGTCAATAACTTCCAACCAAGCCTCCGTGCTTTCATTTATGCTTGTGGCAACGGCGCCCGCATTAATAAGCATGTCGCTACCAGTGCTGAACTGGTTGCTTCCGCTGTCGGCACTGAAGCCGCTGAGAGAGTTATTGAATAGGTTCCAAATTTCACCCAGTCCACTGCCGCCAAAGACATATTTGCCAGCTTCGTCCGCCGGGGACGTGAGATATGTGACATTTTTCAAGACTTCGTCTGACCAGGTCGGTGCAACAGCGTCCCCTCGTTGTATTTCGGTATGTGAGAAAACCAGTTTCATGTTCAGAGTGTTGTCCTTAATCTCAGGCTCATAGGTGTTGATGCACCAATGAAACAGGACCTCAATCGCCTTCGGCCTAGGTAATTCCCCTCTGGGCATGTCAAGGTAAATGCCAAAGTAGTCATAGAGCTCGGCGTCTGTGAACGTTGTGCCGTTGTAAGAGAGACTCGAACCGGAGCTTGTAAGAGCGTTTGACAATGCCGACTCAACCGTCATATTGATGCCGTTTGGCAGTGCTACATTGGTCCCATGCGCTATTTTCGTAGAGTTGGTTGTGATAAGATCTGTTACATCTGTTTTCAGTTAGACCGATAATCACCAGCGTGTACCACGCAGCTTGTTGAGATTAACGTGTTAGAGTTGGGTTGAAGTCCACTTCTTTAGGAGCACGAGGAAAGCTGCGCTTCTTCCGGCGTGAAACAATACATGATACATCTAGTTATCGAAGAACATAGCTGACGTTGACATACCCGTGACATTGTAGCACACAGCAAGGGTGCTAAAGCGCTCCCATGTGCAGTGAGATGTACTGCATTGAGGCTCTTTATATGGCAAAACTTCTGTCGGCGGGGTAAAAAGCCCCTGGACAATTCCTCTGGCCTTGGATATCATTACCTGACCTGTTGAAGTTATTAGTGTGTTCAACTTCAAAAACAAGTGCTCATTTTTGGCGGAAATGGACGCTGTGAGGCAATTTGGCTTAAAGACTCACTCGTGTGTAGTGTGCTGGCGCCGGTCCAAAAGTAGGACTCCGATCTCCAAGCGTCGGCCCTTCCTCCTGAAACTTCAACGGGTCGAGACGGATAGGTTACTGCGGATTGTGTTACGGTTGACGTTGCGATTCCAGTGATAAGAAGAATCGCTGACAGAACGCCCAAAAGCCTGTAATTTTGTCAATGTAAGTGCAATGGACTGGAAGCTTCAGCTGTGCAAACACTTACCAGCCCTTCGTTCGACCTAGAAGAACCAAGCCACCCCAGGGGCCCCTTGAAGCTTGATCAAAAACGTCGAAATCTTTAAGCGGACGCGACTTCTGCTTGAACCAATTCCACTTGCACTGGGAAAGCCCTTCCATTACCGGGATAAGAAAGGCCGTTCTAGCAATCGTTGACAAGAAGGCTACGACGGCGTTGACTGTGATGCCAGAAGGCCACGCTGGAAGTGGGTTCCCGTTGAAGAAGTGTAGGAATATAACTAAGACGACAGGTGATACAATGCTGATAGCGCAGCAGAGGATCTCCTGCCACCAAGCTCCAATCCGGTTGTTCCTGCGGTGCACATAGTCCTTTTCGTTTTTGGTGGGCTGTATCATGGTCCGCTCCTCGTCTCGAGATGAGACAGTATTCTGACGAGAAGCGTGTTGTTCATGGCCGTCATTCAAACTGTCGTCGTCCTGTTGGGTTCGAGTTGGCATATTCGGATCAGGTGCATGTAGAAGCAACGAATACATGTCTGATGTTCCATTGCTCTGTCGCCCTAAAGCAGCCATTTCGAATGTAGGAGAAGGGTTGCCATCTAGGCGCCGTGAGCGAGTATTGTTGGGGCGATCGGTATCCATCAGCCTTGAGATGGTGGAAGATGTTGAATGTGCGCACTGAATGTAGGTAGGAATTGCCTCAGGCAGTATGCCATTCTTATACATTCTTGCTTATAGTGAAGACTGTGTATGCATGACGCACAGTGGCTTAGGAGGACAACATGGATTTGTGTAATGTAGGGTCCGGATTGGTGGGTCATGAACTGCATGTTCGTGGTGTGGTTACGCTGTATGCGGCACGGATACCAATCGCTAAGATAGCTGAGGTTGCCTTGATCCTTCATGTTTGCTGAGAAAAAGGCAACCAGTCTCTTGCCGAGCCATTGGCGGCGATGAAACGACATCCAGTGCCCCCAGCCCTCAAGGCTGCCTTAAGCACTCCAAAATGCGTTGCCAACCTGCAACTGATCCTTCCCTTGACCCGTGACGTCCGCATCGGATGTTGTGGCACCCGACCACTGCAGGCTCTATGCACCATATCTTACGTGTCACATGACCATACATCTATGAGCAGCCTGCAATACACCAAGATTTCCCCTGAGCGGAGTTGAACAGCTTGATTGCGCTTGCTTTTGGAGATTGTGAACGGTGTTTATTGTTGGGGCAAGGGTTCTTTGGTGTTGTTGAGTTAAACGTTGTCGAGACGTTTTGGACCGCGAAATGTGGCACTAACACAATGGCGACTATAAATATGTTGTACTGCGATGGACTCCACGCCAGAACTGACGTTCATCACTGTCGCAAGGGAGGAGCTGTTATCTTTTAATTGTGCGAGGTTTTCCAACCGAGGAGATGTAGTTTGAAGACATGATGGCACTTTAAGCCTATGTATGTTGAAGTTTCTACGACTTCTATGGCGCTGAAGAGATTAGAGTTTCAAGAATGACACTATTTATTTCCAAAGGTAATCTTGCATTGAAATTTCATGCCACGAAAAGACATCGGAGAGATTGCATTTGACCTTCTGCCACGTTTGTTACTTCAAGTCTCTTCTAGCAAAGATAAATGAGAGGACGCAGGTAGGCCAACTTCTCTCGAGACATACTAGCACCGTGAGAGCACATGTGATGGTCTAGATACAGAATGATCTGCGTGAAAACTTATGTAAATTAATCCCAGATTCGTCTTGACTGAACGTTTGAGCAGTCTACAAAAGTAGATAGGTCGATCCGTCTTTAGAAGATTTCTATTGTAGTCAGGTCACTTCTACACCTAGTAGAGATACTATCCCTCCAACAAGGTAAAAGCTTCCGGTGGCTAGTACCTCGATCTTTGTGACGCCGTCGTTCAGATCCCTAACGAACTCGACCGCATCTTGAATGGTAGGTAGCACAACTACGCTAGCGTCTGGGTCGAGGTCCCGCCAAGTTGTTTTCATGCGTCTTTGAGCCTTCAGACTTTGAAGATCTGATAGGCTAGCATTGAGGTTCACGAGTTCTTAACCGAAATTTTAGCAATCAATGTTTCGAATACCAGAGTGTGCTACGTGTTCTCGTAACGACTCACGACTTACCTGGTTCCCAAGACTGGTCTTTGAATGTTACGTTGGTGCAGAACACCACGTATTGGAACTTCATTCGTCCATCTCTACAGAGCGTACGATATACCACTTCAAGCAGCGACCGTGTATCTCTTGTTGATTGTTGATTGAAGATCAATATCTTGAGAGAAGGTCTGCGTCGTGTGTTCAGTCAGTCTCTCGGATGACCAGAAAGGGTATTAGAAGCTTACTTCATGGGAGATACTGAACAGAACCAACGACAAGCTACCTCCAAGCTCTGCTCTGTATGTGCTCCATCAAAGTGCCAGTTTATGTCCTCTGTCGTCATCGTCTCGCATCTGCCTCTGAAGACCATACTTTCGAGTCCATTAATGACAGGCGTAGGTAGATCAGTGGGACACCATGTGACACTGATCTCCATCTTGTCGATTACAGCCCTCGCCAATGCAACAGCAATAGACGCGTTGCTTCTTTGGTATTCTTCGTCCGGTCGTATCTTAAGGTGCTGAGGAATCATGGCGGCGGAAACCCTGATAAGCTGTGCGTCTTTCTCCTGGGCTCTGGCCTCAAGAACCCTCATGGCTTCTGGTACCTGCTCAATTGTAAATGCAGGACAGCCATTCTTCGTGACGCCTGCCTTGTGCCAGGCTATTTCCTCGATAGTCCCGCCAAGCGTCTGAACGTGGTCGATTCCAAGAGTCGTAATAGCCACGGCGACTGGCTTCTCGATGATGTTGGTAGAGTCGAGTTCCCCACCAACCCCGACCTCAATGATGGCCACATCCACATCCTCTTGCATGAAGACGTGAAACGCCATCAAGGTAAGAAATCTGAAATACGTCGGCTTTCTCGTTTCAAACTGGCCATCTTCCCAGTATGAATTTAGAGAGGGCAACCCGAGAGCGTTCCACACCTCAAAGAAGTACTTCGTGAACAGGTCTTCGGATATCGCGGTTGAGTTGATTCTTATACGCTCTCGGACGGAAACCAGATGAGGAGATGTATATAGACCAATCTTTTTCGGGACACCGAGAGTATCTTGGAATTGCTGCAGGATGGATTGCGTGAAAGCGCATGTGGTCCCCTTCCCTTTGGTTCCTGCGACATGAAGAATGTTCAAGCGATTAAGATCGCCAGGCTTCGCGGCCAAGTCAGCAAAACACCGCCCATGTGAGAAGCTGAAAGGAAAAATACAGTGTATCCGAGACGGCCGAGCCATTGTCTCATCTGCCTCAACGCACTCGAGTCCAATTTCTGGCCCTGACGTCGTCTCTCAGCCAGGACTTTGTGTCCCGACTGAGTTGAGTTCAAGAGTCTGATGGCATTCTTGAGCAGTTAGTTTTGAGAAATGGTTATACGTTTTGGGAGAAATACCTCGTATGTCTCTACCGGGGCTTCCTTTACAGCAGGCATTGGTATTTTTGGTAAATGAGCCAGGAAAACCAATTTACCGATAGGAACAACCAGGTAACGATAATCTTTCGGCTACTCTATAAATCTAACGATTATGATCTCTTGCGCGTAAGTATTCGCTGGTGTGAGGCTTGAGGGAGACGTTGTACTTGTGTGACGGAGTAATGGTCATCACTGATGAGTAAGAATGCTTCAGATCGTCTGATGTATGCATAGCTTTGAGGTGAGAGAAATCTTGTTTATTGCACAGCATAATAAGCTGTGCCATGTGTCTACCCGTATTTCTTCAAGCACTAATAGCTAGTCTGCTGTCTGCTGTAATCAGGCTTATTCTCGGTGGTTATATGTGTACCGGCGACTGTTGTGATGTATCATGGCTTCCTATCGTAATGTACACATCCTGGTCACCGACCTACCAAAAACCCCCATCTTCTATAAATTTGGAGCCTGAATCCGGACTGATCTTATCAAACTCTAGGTCGGTCCTCCGGGAGACTCCGGACTGGCCCGTTGGAGAAGTCGGGACAGTGCATAGTTGCAATGTAGCCAAAAACGAGTCCATCCGATCAACATCTCCGGTTTCATTTGGACCAGAATGACGGAGCTCCCCAATTGCATCCGCCTTTCGAAAACCAGAGCAGTGAACTTAAAGGCCAGAGTCTGCAGCTAGACGAGCACGTAATTGAGCATGCAGCTTCAGTCATTCAGAATTCAACCCTTCACCCAGTCCAAGCAAACCTTCTTCCATCCACAAACCATCTTCAACATAATCATCCGAACATGGACGGCGATCTAAAGAACCTGCCGGAGGTGTACTGCCGCGCCTGGGCTTCCAAGGACCCTACCAACCTCTTAGCCCTTTTTGCCGAGGACTCGTTCATGACGGACCACGGGGCCCAGATACACGTCCCATTCGCCTTTCTGGAAAGGCACCACAAGCACTGGAACGGCGCGCATGACGATTTCGAGGTGTGGCTCGACAAACAGTATCCCGTCTACTGGGCAGAGCTCGACGACAAGGGAAACGGTTACTGCAGCTTCCGCACGGTCAACAAAGGTGTTTTCGTGAATGACCTGGGTAGGAGGAAGGCGACTGGACTACCGTTTCAGTATTCTGGAGTGATTGACCTGAAGTTGAGAGATGGGAAGATTATACAGGCAGACGAGTGGTTGAGGGTGCCCTTCGAGGACAGTGTGTCTCCAGACAAGTACATCAAAATCTCGGAGGATAGTTTGAAGGGCGTCATGAGGAAGGATCTCCACAAAGATTAATAGGCAAACCCGACATACTCAAAAATCACTTTTTCCGTAAAAGTCACATACTCTGCCCATGACGAGAGCTCCATGATTGCTGCGTGGCTTCCCAAAGTGGCTGCATACAAGCTGCGATGCAATGAGAAATGCTAGAAATACAATCTGTATTGTCATACAAATACATGATTACATTAAATCATATTCTCGTAACACGCGCCTTGGGCCTCATTTCCTCTCCTGATTACCACCCCTTCGCTGGCATTAGTATGGCTGGTTTAGACAAAGAGAGCGCCAAGGGGCGACTCACAATATCGACAACTCCAAGTCGCCTTGGATCTTGGCTTTCAACTCAATCTCGACATCAAGGTCCATATCAAGCCTCACCGAAGGAGCGCCTTTGCCTTTGCTCTGTACCTGCTGATTCTGCCCCGCCACTTGTTGCGAATTCCGGCTTTCACTTCCTGATTGTTGACTTCTGGCCACATCTCTGCGTCCTTGCTTGTACGCTACGTGATGATAGGTGTCTGCAGTGCTGTCGGACCCTGATGCGGAGCTCTCAGTACGTGCGGGGTTGTTCAGGGGCCTGTGGGCGATCTTCTGCGGCTGTTCGCCGGATCGCGTCCGACTCTCGTTCGCGTGGGCGGACATGATCAGATCTAGTGCTTGCCCTGGTCGTGTGCGTCGTAGATCGTAGGATTTCGAAAGCTGTGCAGTCAATTTCGATTGATAACGATAAGATGATGTAGTGTCACAACACATGGAAGCCATGTGAGACGTTGGGCAGTTGAAATAACGGTCATTGCTTGAGTTCTAGAAAGTGCCTGGATGACGTAGGGGCGCGAATCATTCTGATGTTCTGGCCCGTGGGGGACGTTCTTTGACGAGTGAGGATCATGTCGGAATGACATCATTGCCCCTCTGATACGTTCTGGGATTGCCACAAATTCCAGACAAACTCTTGACCGGGAACGTTCGAAAAGGCGTAGATGACTAAGACAGAGGAGATGGAAATGAGTTTTGCCGATTTCAAGATTTCGGACGAAAACTATGACAATCGAAGAATGTGGTATTTGACAAAGTAGTAGGTTATGTATGTTTTGGCGGGGAGGCTACCACGAGAATCAATCAAGTTTACGCAAGTTCCTCCTCAATAGCGGCAAACAAGAATGACCCAGAGCCTCTGGAATCGTTCTCCACCAACGGGATACTGGTGTAGTACTGCAACATCAAGTTAGAAAGTTGCACCGATCGATGAGCTGAGCCACTTACCTCAAAGCTGGCATTGGAGTTCAAGCTGCCAACCTGCACCGTTCCCAAGAAACTGATAGACCCGTTCTTATCATCACGGATGAAGTCGTTGACCAATAAATTGTAGGCTTTCAGTCCGACATCTTTGTACTTCACATCAAGCAAGCCATCTCTGACACCTCTGAGAAGGCCGTACGAGAACATGGCCGTCGCGCTCGACTCGATGTAGTTTCCCTTGCGGGTCTCGTAACCCTCGTTCATGATCAACCACCAACCGCCCTTCTCATCCTGGCTGCGTGCGAGTCCGTCGGCAAGAGTCACAAAGTACTCCAGAAGACGACCATATCCGGGTAGAGACTGAGGGTAAACCTGCAGCGTCTCGATGAGAGCCATGAAGTACCACCCCACAGCGCGGTTCCACACCAGCGGACTAGCTCCCGTCACCGGATCGGCCCAGACCGCGTCCTTGGCTTCATCGTAGCCGTGGACGAGGAGGTTGCTCGTGTGGTTACGAGTGTGTTCTTCAATGAGATCGAACTGCAGCGCAATCTCGTTCCATGCGGTCGTATTATCCGGCTCGAAGAGATGGATATAAGTCGCATAGAAGGTGTCGGCCATATAGATCCCGTCCAACCACATCTGGTCCTCGTAGATGGGTGCCCGGTGCCAGAACCCACCGGTCGGAGTTCTCGGCCAGCGATTCAACTGCTGCCGGAGACCGTCCGCCGCGATCTTGAGCTTGGCATCCTTATTTCGCTGGTAGAAGTAAAGCAAGTTGTTGCCGATGCGGATGTCGTCGAGCGAGTAATACTCAGGGTCCCAGCCGTCGAGAGTGCCGTCTGCGCTGACGAGGGATGACACCTTGGCCTCGGCTGCTTTGAGAAGACTGTCGCTGCCTCCGTTGGCTACAACCTGTTCGCCGGCCCGAGCAATGCCTTCCCACAGCACGGCGGGGCCGTAGCCGGAGTCGATGGGGGTCTTGCGGGAGATGAACGAGGATGCGAGCCATTCCGAATAGGGGCGAGCAGCCGCGACGGCGCTCGTTAGCGCAAAGAAAGATAGAGCTGACTTCATGACGAAAGGGTTGCGCCGACAAGCAAAGTCATGAAAATGCGCTTGAATGAGAAGAAACTTCGAGCTTGGCAGGCGGCTCAGAGTAGATATCTATAAGAATCCTAGTTATTGAGTCTTCATCTCATTGCTGGAGTGCGGCTCGGTATCGCATGTTGCATTGCCATCTGCGGGTTCGATGAACTGCTTGGATTAGGACAACATTGTTGCCAAACCCTCGCAAAAGGCAGCACGCAAGTCATCATCGAGGGGTAATTGATCCACCTGCAACGTGCTATCTTAATGGAGGGAAATTCACTGGATCGCGGCAGAACACCAAAATGGCGGGGAGCGACCGCATGCCAAGACGGCGAAATAGGTGCTGGGTCGTATTTGACCTGTTTTGGGTAAAGATGGTCTAAATCGTTGCGGATTCTTGCCTTCTGTCCGGGAAATTGGGCCGGCACTGGAACAAAGTCATCGAAAGCTACGGTCGAGGTCTTCGGTTTCGACGGCTCGCGAATAGAGCAGATATGATGAGTTGACTGGCTGGAGAAGCAGATCAGTCTGGATGAAGCTGTTTCCTTCAGTGACTCTTCATGGCGTATTTTGACAGTAGCTGTGGGGAGCGCCGATTCGTGACGGGATGTCAAATTGGAGAATACAAAGAGAGAATCGCCTAAGAGTGTCAAATACTGCAAGCAATGATGTCCTGGCGATGGCGATGTTGTGAGTGTCGTGGCCGTGTTCGAGTTCACCCAATCATCCGAATCAGCCCAATTGCTTCGGTCGTATTGACGTGAACAAGCGATGTCAACATCGAGTTGATGTAGCTTACAGATCAATGAACCGCTTCATTGGCGGACACAGATTAGCTCCAGTAGAACAATGCACAATGAAGCATATCTGAAAAACACGGGGAATTGCGCTGTGCCAGTACGCATTTAGACCTACCTTACCTTATCTCCCGAATGGCGGGACAGACTCCAGCCCGGCTCCGGGTGACCCCACCCCTAAAGCCCGCCGACTCTCCCGAAAGACGGGGCCGCTTGCCGCCGTTTTCAGTGTCCGGTTATCGGTATGGTGCACGCGATGACAGAGTACGAAGAACACTGCACAGGCATAGTGGCTGCAATCATGACTGGAGCATACGCCCGTGTTCTTGAACCGAAGAAAGAAACGCCATATCATTCCATAGGTAGCTAAGGTATGCCGGCATTGAAGCCATCTAACCACCGTACAGCTCCCGTGTCGCATAGTCTCGTCGGTCTAGACCTGATTTCTAGTGTTGTAGTGATGATGAATCCTCAAAGTTTCGCAGGGCATTTCGGAGGCGGGCGGGCGGGCGAAAATCACTGATGAAACAGTAACTAAAGGCCACAAGTTAGCGACTGACAAAACGCCGGTGCCCTGAAGAGTGCTAAGACAGTTCCCCAGATGGTATTCACGTCGCTGAACCACGTACTTATACACCGGGAGTCAACTTGAAAACCCCAACTAAAGACCCAGATGCTCCCTGAGCTGTGCCCTGATAGTTGTACTGGTGGGAAATTCGACAATACTCGTAGTTGAAGGCTTCAACATGGTTCTTGGTCGCGGACTCAGCAGTCTCTCTGCGATGGCGGGTTTCTCGTATGGTGAGGTAAGTCAAAAACCCGGTCGCGATGGCTACCAGCAAGCCTGGGACTCCAAATACGATAGCAACAAGAACCTCTGTTGATATAGCCATGAAGTTGGAAGTGTGTGAAATTCAATGTCAAGTTCAGTGTTGTGGTCGGGCTTGAAGAAGTGAATTTCAAGTGGGAGATGATTATGGGTACATGTAGGACTGACGCCACCAGCGTTGAGGCAAAGATCAGAATTGCGGCAAAGGTCACAATTGTGGCCAAGATGAGAGTCTTTGGGTCCTTTGATTGGCTTAATTTTCTGACAGAGTCTCTCCGATTCGCTGATTTCTTATTTGGAGATTTTGGCCAGTGAGGAGGCTCTCGTCTTTGTGTCACGCGCTCGTGCCCAGTCCGGTACGACAACCCAACCTTTACTCCAGCCATGCCAAACAACCGTCTAGGAGTACAGGGAGGATGTCGAAGCTGCTCCTAGCCAAGTTTGGGCTAACTTCGATGTCCTCAGGCTGTCATTTACAAGGGGAGACTCACGGCATCTGATAGCAAATTCAAGAAGCGTAGAGTTCGAACACAGATAAATCGTCCATGCTGCTCATCCAGCCCCGCGAGGTTTTAGGAGGAAGACTCGGCATCTTAGCAATGAGTATTTGATGGTATGTGTTGACAGATTCAGGGCAGCATGTCCCCGGGCTCTAGGTGTGTTAAGCGCTTGATAACTCTCTTGGGGTCGTGTGAGGTCAGAAGTGCTACACATCTGGTTGTTCAGCCTTATTAGGCTACGTTCACAAAGCAATTTGGCGATTCGTCTCCCAGGAACGTAATATCTGAACTTCCAACTCTTGTTGCTGAGGGAAGCCGCTCACATGCTTGGATTCTGCTTATGCGTCGACCGCCATACGCCAAGGCTTCGGGTGGCTAGCTTTCCCAAGATAGCAGCGGCTGGGTTACGGAGCTACAGAGGTTATGTTGTTCGACATCTTATGAAAGTGCGAAGGTTGAACTCTTTACCTCTTTCCGTTAAGTATTGACACAGCCCGCGCTTTCATGACCGAATGAACCCGGCTATCACGCATACATTACGCCTGAGCCCAGAGCTTTGGCATGATTCTTACGTTGGCATCCGCAACGCGTCATTCCATTACACTTCTCTCATCGATTAAAGTAAATATGTACAGAACTGGATAGTTCCCAAATCGTAGGACGCATCCAAAAGCAAGAAGACAAACCAATTTTCCTTATATCGCACCGAGCCAAACCTCGATGCGTATGGGGGGGTATCATTCGCCAAGTCCAATCTCCTAAACAACGTTTCCGCGGACCTGCTTGATCTTCTTGAGGTTGAGGTCTCTCCACAACGCCACGGAAATCAGCGCGCCGACGAGCACGCTCACACTCGTGATGAGCATGAGGCGCTGCGAGTCGCCGTACGCGTGCTGGATGCCGACGCGCTCGGGGGAGCCGACCGGGTACCCCAGCTGCGTGTAGATGTCGCCGTAGACCTGGTCGACGGGGCTCCCGTCGGGCATGTACTTCTGCAGGTTCTTCTTGAAGGTGCCGGTCCAGATGGCGGCGGAGACGGCGGAGCCCAGGGACGAGCCGATGCTGCCGAAGAGGTCGAGGATGGCGAAGATGACGGCGACGTTCTGGTGGTTGCTGGGGCTGAGCATGGCGAGTTCGCCGCAGATGACTGCCGGGCCGCCCGCGAAGGCTACGAAGATCTGGTGATTTCGTTAGTTCATCATGTAAGACGCCTACTGAGACATTGGGGTTTTGCTTACTTGGGTCATGATAACGAAGCCGATGTTCGCATCGGGTTGACGGAACTTGATCATCAGTCCGACGCCGAGCATCATCAGCGGGATGCAGAAGAACAAGGCGAAAGGCTTGAAACGACCGGTCTTGTAGATGAGACTAGAGATGATGATGGAAAAGCCGCAAGAACCGGTTCGGTAGATGTTGCCGATGTAGGTGGCCTGAGAGACGGAGGTGTTCCACACGACCGTGAGCATGGAGGTGAAGTACGAGCCCCAGACGGCCGAGTTGAAGAACAGGAAGACGAACATCATGCCGCCGAAGAAGACGGTGCGGTCCATGAGCAGGGAGAAGGGGATGAAGGTGACCGGTGCCAGGAATCTCTCCCAGAGCGCGAACGAAACGATCAGGCAGAAGCCGATGACGACGAAGGCGATGATCATGGGCGAGCGCCATCCCTGGGACTGGTAGGAGTAGAGACTGAACGACAGGAGGAACAGCGCCATTCCGGCCGCGAGGATGAGGATGCCGAAGGCGTCGACGTCGATGAGGAACTTCTTGATCTTGGCCGGGGAGATGTTCTTCACGGAGCCGCGCTTCTCGATGATGCCTCTCTTGACGGCCTTGTGTTGGTTCCAGAGGAAAAGGCCGATGAGCGGGCAGATGACGACCGGGGCGACGATCGACCAGATGCCCAAGCCCCAGCGCCAACCGATGCCTCCCTTCTTGAGCAGGTTCTCGGTGATGGGTCCGGCGGCCCAGGTGAGGAAGATGTACGGCGAGGTGGCGAATGAGAGCATGAGGGCTCTGCTCTTCAGGGACGAGGTGTCGGCGATGAAAACGGTGATGCAGTAGCTGATGCCCTGGGATCTGCAGACACGGTGTTAGTTGTGATTCTGTGAATCTGATAATGGGTCGTTCTTACCCCATGGCGTAGAAGACTTGGGCGGCAGCGTAAGTCTGGACGTTCTGGCAAGCGGCCATCATGATGAATCCGAGCATCCAAGACACCAGCATCATGGAAAGACCTTGGGGACGGCCCCAGGTATCGAGGATCTTGGCGAGAGGGAGTTTGACCAGGCCGGCGATCAGGGTCGACATGATGCTCGTCGCCGCCGTCAAGGAGTGCAGCTGGAAAGTACTCGTAACGAAGGGGGTCAAGACTCGGATCGAAACCTCCTGGATAGCTGTAACGACGTAGAAGAGCCAGATGCTGGTAATCCAGTTAGTAGTGACCCAGTTGAAGTGTGCCGCATTGCAACTCACAAGGTGTACGCGAGAATCAAGTCTCGTTTCGTCCAGACGGCAGTGATGGCTTCGACCTTGGCAACACCGGCTTGAACATCTTTGCTGACGAGATCCTCCTCGCTAGACTTCTCGGTCGTGTTTCTGAGCGACTTCTCATCGGCTAGTGGCGCCGGCTCAACGGCCACCTGCTCCTCGGCAGGTGCCTTTTTGGAGAACAATCCCATAGTCGCGAGTGTTTGTCCTCGACAGGTGGATGGACTGTGGACGAAGTGGCAGTCCGATGCAGTTGGCTTGATCAGCGGCCAGACTTGGTAGGCACGATGAAGCAACAGAGAACGAAGTCTACTCTGTGTAGTCGATAGAGCAAAGAAGCCGGGAGAGAATCGCGCTGCCGGACAGACAGGCGCCGTGCCGGTGTCTTAAATGCAGCATGCAGCGGGACCTTTCGGCAGACCCTTGCGAAGACATCGGCTCGGCGATGCGCGTTGAAGGTTGACTTTGATGGATGCCAACGCTAGCGCAGAGAAGGGAACCACCCACACCTCCACATCGCCCGGCCTAGCACCAACATGCTCGTGTGCCTTGCACCTCACACCAACAAGAGGCCCGCCAGCCCGCACAAAAGAACCCTTGGGCGGATTCTGGGCGGCGGAGAAGGGTCCACGGAATTTCCAGGATCAGCGGCGGCCGAAGATGAGCTTTCGCCGTAGTGAGAAAGCCAGGCCACGCCGGCGTTGTACGTTGGCGAAAGTGGTCTTACTATCATGGAAGTAGATGGGCGCATAATTGTGAAATCGGGCCCAGGAAGATGAACATGGCAGGCCGGGCGTAACAGGGGACCAGGCTGTCGCTGGAAAGTCAGATCCAAGACTCCAGAAGACGTTCTGCCATGCTGGGAAGACGCAGCAAGGTGGGTTCGAGGTGTCCAGGCAGGATGGTGGATATGAATCGTGCGCGCAGCTGGGCAAAGGGTGGAAGCCTGCGAGCTGGATCCGATGGGCCGAAAGAAGTTCTAGCTGCAGCTCGGCTACCAGTCTTGGGTCGCTGCTCGCTAGTTTCCGCACCAGATTGTGGTCTCACATGTGAGATTGGTCAGAAAACAGCTCGCCTCACCCAGTTCCGGCCGTTGGCCGAGTGGGCTGCCCGAAGTGACTCGGCTGGCTCGACTTCAGCTTGGAGATCGCCGTTCAGCATGCCCTCCATCAACAGCAGCGAGCTGCGGAACGGCGGCACGGTGGCGAGAGACGCAGAGGTTCCCGGCTGTTGCTACTCCTTAGTCGCGAGATATGCTGACTTTAGTGTCGAGGATATACGTTGAAGCCAGAAATGACTGGTTGAGTTTCTCAAGATCAATAAGGCGGCCGACCGATGCTTCGGACTCGTCGACCGTGACAGCGGGGCTTTCTCAATGACAGAAGTTCCTCCCAAGCGGAGACTCTGCCAGCATCCGGAGGCCGAGCATCCCAGCCGATGTCTTCCAAATAAAGACGAGAAAAAGCTTGACTCTAAGATTGACCGGGGCCGGAGGTGTTTACTGGGCCTGAATGGATGGTCGGGGCACTGAGAGACACGAGAACGAGTCCACAGAGCCTTGAGGGACTTGCGGATAAGCGGAAAGAAGAACGACCACCTGGTTGGCGCCGGGAGGAACGAACTTGTGAATGTGAAGGTTGCAACTTGCGCCTGGCCGTCGATGGACGTGACCCCACCTTCTCAGGGAGGAAGGTCAATAGACACCGTTCATTGGCTAGTTTACCGGTCTTAGTGTCATTTTAGGATATGGGGCCGTTCAAATGGTGGAGACGCAAATTTTTATCTGATGGGGACCCGCTTTTCCCAATCTTATCAGATCATCTGGTCATCGACTGGCCGCCATCGCTCCAAACCATCCGCCACCTTTCGCATCATCGTAGATTCTTCCCCGAGACAGTCCATGTAGTGTAGTTCTCAGGCACACTGTCGAGTCATTGATCACTCCTTACAACGTCGCAGGGCGGCCGGATCTTCATATGCAAGTCACACAGGTCACGGTTCGCCCTGAGCCCAGGTGGTCGAAATGAATGGCCGCATTTGGGTGGCAGCTGGTAAGAGTACCGGCCATTTATTTTGACCGCCGAGTGCTTGGCAACTGTCGTTGGAATCCATCTCAGCCCTGGAAGTTGAAGAACCGTGGCATTTCTTCGCAAAGCCATTCGGTTTACCAAGCCTAACTTACCTGTCTCGTTGCCCGGCTGTGGAGACTCTGTCTGTGTTGGTTCAAAGTTGGCAAACTTGTCACCATAACTAATGTAGCCATCGGCCTCGACCTTCTGATATGGAAATGACTACTCTTGTCAAATTGGTCCACAAGGCAAAGAGGTGGCAATTCCTACGATGCGCCGTAGCTACAGTCATCAAATACATCATCCGCTAGGACGCTGTCCGTACTAGCCATCTTATCCCACCGGGCCATTGGTCCCTACGACAGGCTAAGTCGTACTAGAATACAGTGATACAGAGGCCATTCAACGCCTCAAGTTGACTGAATCGCCTCCAACCCCTTTCGCGCGGTTGCCGATCTTGAAGCAACAGGTGACAAGACTGGACAACGGTGAAGTCCATGACCTACCAGTCGGGACCCATTTCCCGATAGATCTTGGCCGAGAAGCGTCCACAAATCTCCATTGTGACAACCTGAACACCACGCGAACCTTCCCGTAGGCAGGTCCATAATATCCACGCGCCCACGCCCAGAAGCCCAGATTGTCGATGCCAAGAGAACAGCAGCGTGCCAACCCGCTCATCCCGACCCAGCCGTCAGTGGCGCCACGCTGACTTGTAGTGTACTCGATCTGGATATTCCGCCTAATGCTTGTAGACTCGGTGAAGTGACATACTAAGCGCGATCGACCATATACCATCGGGTTGATGCATAAGGTGACAAGATCCAAGGCAGGAAGACTTGTCAGCGCAGGTCTCAAGGCACGTAGCAGGCCCTCCCTCAGCACAGCGACATCGGCCCACCGGCAAGGATGTTGATGGGGGCCTACCAGCCAGTGTACGATGTTGGCAATATTCTGACAGCCGGCATCGTATTCCGTTGGAGCTATCCCGCGGAGTATTCACGGCGCCCCTGCTTTTTTCGGCACTGCGACCCATCCGCCAAGTCCTCCTTCAGAGGCATATCGGATGTGACCAAGAAGCATCTTTTGACGACACAGCATCTTTTAACGACGCTCATCCCGCGGCTACTTGCCAGAATATCGACAATCCTTCTCACACAAAGCCATACTGCCCGTATGTAAGATTACCTCTCGGGCCCCCTCAGAGTCTCAGCAAACTCCAACTTGAGCATCCTCTGCATCGTCGCCCGACATGTCATGGTAAAACATTCAGCTAAGCGTCTACACTGACTGAAATTTAGTGGAGACGATTCAGCCTGGAAGGCAACGAAAGGCACTCGCTGCGGCGTAGCAGGAACTTCGCGCCAACGCGCCTCTCGCGAGTGTGACAAACCTCGCGTCGACCTGCCCACCAGAACAGCAAAACTGACTATTAGTTGAATCGATGTGTCATTGTTTGGCGACGGCCAATTTGCCATCCATGCCAAGCATGCTCGTTCGAGAAAAACGACCGACACAACATTCGGCTCAATTGTGGAAGTCAGTTGTGTTGCCACGGTCGCTGCCTATCTATGCTATCTGATCTTTTTTCCAAAACTCCACAATTCGAATGCCCTTGGTCGCGATCGAGATGAGTCGTGTATGGTTCGGCCAACGGGATCTTTTCAGAAAGCGAGAGAGCAACACTCGATTTATCATTTGATATCGCGCAAAGCAAGACATTGCGTTAGCATGGTCATTTGCGTCTTGCTACGGGAGATTTCCCAACAACCCCTGGACTTGATGTCGGCATGAGGAAGGATACCAATGGCGAAGCTAGCGATGTTCGCAACGAACAGCAAGACAAGGCATCGGCTCAAGTGCGATATTTGACTCCCGAAGGTGTTCCGGTCATAAATACCGCCGCCTAGGCCGCCAACTTTCGTGGAGCAACCGTGGATCGGGGCCGAACCGCCGGATCCACCAGGAGATGCGGACGTCGGGCTACGGAGGAGTGGTCGGAAATATCGCCCGGCATCGTGAGGGAGCAAGCGTAAGCGACGTGCAACCAAATTTGAAACTCATACAGTTACCATATATACGGCGACTGTCAAGTATCGGAGGAAACGTTGATGACGTCTAAAGCCTGGTAGATTCGCAAATCAACTGGCTTTGTTAAAATGTAAGATTCAAAAAAGAAACCCACGAACGAGACTCACAATAAGTTGTCTGCGTGGAATTCCATATCCGCTGCCGAACAATTCAGGCTTGCCGATATGCCAGTGCTACGGATAAGCTGGGCGCGGATATCCCATCTCACTCTTCATCCTCCGCACTCACGTTTCATCCATGTCGGCAGCAGTATGGGTTCAGGATCAGCAGAGTGCGGGGACTAGAAACGCGGAGTAGAAGCCCAACAAATGCAATACGCCGCGTAATACAATGCAGCCACCCTTATAATCTGGTCATAGATATCTCGCCATTCTGGGGAAACCAATGAAGTTCTCCAGTTTGCCGAGGTCATGATACATGGACGAGAATAAAACTCAAGTTGTTATTTACGAAATCTTATCATCGATTCAACTTTCACAGGATATCTAATTCTACAGCTGCCATCAGCTAGCCAGTTTGACATGAACCTGGAGACAGTCGGCACAGCAATGTCAGACGGCAAGGCCCTTCGTGGGCATCACGGTAACACGAGACAGGCTCTTCTCGCCTCTATTGGCATTAGCATGGGCGGGCATGTTTACAAGAGCTTCGTTCCTTGACTCTGCTAATACGTGAAACAGACTGTTGTACGGACTCGACACCGGCATCATAGCCACAACAATCGGGCAGTCCACCTTCAAAGTCTACATGTACGGGGGTTCCCAGGGTCCACCAGCACTAGTCGGCGGTATCGTGGCCTCCTACTACGCGGGAGGCTGCATCGGCGGACTTCAGTCCGGCTGGCTCATGGACAGATGGAGCCGTCGGTACACCGTACTCATCGGCGCCGTCGTGAGCATCCTTGGCGCGGCACTGCAGGCAGCTGCTGTGAACGCTGGGATGATGATTTCCGGCCGTGTGTTCAGCGGATGGTCCACCGGCGTCTTGTACTCCGTCACACCAATCTACCTCGCCGAGATCTCCCCGCCGGAGAACCGTGGCTTCTTGGTTGGGCTCAAGGGATTGTCCAACGCCATCGGTTTCTTTGTGGCCAACTGGGTAGGATACGCAGGTTCTTTTGCGCACGGGAATGGGCAGTGGAGGATCCCGTTGGCTATGCAGGCGCCGCCTGCGGTAGGGCTTGGGCTGTTGGTGATTACCATGCCCTTCAGTCCCCGTTGGCGTATGTTCCGTTCTTGACTGCAGCTTTGGCTGGGTTCAAATACTAACAGCTGCAAAAGTGGTGAAGCAGGAAAGACACGAAGATGCACTGACAGTTTTGAGAAAGCTCCACGGCCCTCGGGGCGAGGACTTCGTTCAGCGACAGTTTGTGGAGATCCGAGATCAGCTGGCGCTCGAAGCCGACCTTCGTCGTCAGTCGTCTCTGAAGATTTTGTTCACTCGACAATATGCACGTCGAATGTTGTTGGCTTGCCTCATCGTGAACATGACAAAGCTTTCGGGGTCTCAGGTCATCCAGAACTACCAAAGTCTGATGTACTCCGCGTTGGGGTTCAAGGGTCAAACCGTCTTGCTGATTGCTGGATGTTACGGCACCATGGGGATTCTGGGGCAAGTCTTCAATCTTATCTGGGTATCGGATACCTGGTCCCGCCGCAAGACGATGTGTAAGTCAAATATCCGCGAGATTTGGACTCCGTTATGCTAATAGACTACGCACAGGCACCGGTACTGCATCGCTTGCTGCAACCCTCTCGGTCCTGCTGGCGTTATCCAAATACTACCCGGACGACCGAAACCTGGCAGGCAGTTCGGCGGGCGTTGCCTTCATATTCATCTTCTCATTCCTTTACGCTGTCTTCTTCAACAGTACCAACTGGGTGCTGGTATCGGAGATCTTTCCGTTGCACCTACGAGGCACCGGGGTTGGATTCGCGATATTCACTCAAGCTGTCACGGCAATCTGGCTCAGCCAGGTTTCGCCTATGGCCTTTGATGCGTTGGAATGGAAGTTTTATTTTATCTTTATTGCAACGAATGTTGCTGCGGGGTTGGTTTACTACTTTTTCCTACCGGAAACGAACCAACTTTCACTGGAACAGATTGCTGCTGTCTTTGGTGACGCAGCTGTTGAAGGGAAGCCCGGAGAAAAGAAGCTTGATGAAGATGCTGACGTCATCGAGCTTGAGGAAGATCATAGCTAGGATATGCAACTGATGGGAATGTACATACAGGTCTATTTTGACCATTTGCAGGAAAATGGCCGTCGATTAGTAGTGGAGACTCTTGTTAACAACGTTAATAAGCGGTTTACCAGCATGCATTCTCTCCAAGTTCGTTTCCAGGACACCCAAGACCCTTTCCCAATAGCCATTGGTCCTCCAGCTGACGTGAGGAGTGATGAAAACATTCGGAGCTTTCCAAAGCGGGTGGTCCTTTGGTAAAGGCTCGGGATCTGTGACGTCCAAAGCGGCAGCTCGAATCTTGCCAGTCTCCAGAGCTTCGATAAGAGGATCTGTCTGAATCAGAGGGCCTCTGGCGATGTTGGAAACAAACGTCTTTTTCTTTGACAGGATTTCGAATTGCTCCTTTCCAATGAGACCCTTCGTTTCAGTTGTCAACGGCATGCCAATAACCAAGAGGTCCAAATCCTGGGCAAGGAAGTTGTTGACAGCTTCCTGGGAAGCGCCGTGGAACCATTTTGAAGGAACCAGACCGTCTGGGTCACCGGTGCCAGGCACGACGTAACTGTCATCTTTACGAGATTCGGGTGTTGACTTTTCGCTCCGTGTGTAGGCGTAGACTTCCATTCCCATGGCCTTGGCAATCTTTCCGCACTGTCGACCAATGGCGCCGTAGCCAAGGATTCCCCTTGATTTCCGTCAGTATCATGCACCGTTTCTTATGGGAGAATGACACGTACATGCGAAGACCGACAGAGTCCTCAAAATCGACGGCCATCGGGCCTTCCCAGAAACCCTGCTTTTGATTCTCGGCGTACCGCAGGAAATGATGCTGGCTAGCCAGCCAACTTCCAATCACCCATTCGGCGATTTGAGGCCTGTTTGCGCGTTCATCTCAGTCCTTTTGACCTCTTCGTATAAATGCGGCAGAGAGACTGCAACTTACGGATGACAGCCGTTCGTCGTGCAGAAAGGTACGTCCGGGCTTTTGTAAATATCGTGATCCCGCCATTTGTCCGCGCCCGCGGACGTCAACTGCACGAATCTGACCTTAGATAAGCGGCTTGGCGACGGCGCGTTGAAACTAATGAGCATCGTGACGCCATCCCACACTTCGTCCGGAAGCTCGTCGGGCAGCAAAAAGCGGCCGTCCGGCAGATGATTGTTGGCCCATCGCACCTCGAGCCCCGGAAACCGTGACTCAACTCTGTTCACCCACTCCTCGTTGCGAGGCGACGAGAGGAACACGAGAAGGACGTCGTTGGCCAAAGGGCTCTTCCGGGGGGTGATGTCGCCCATTGTTGGTTTACGGAGTGTGAGATTCGGTTGTGGAGAATGGAAGGTGAATGGCGGGGGTTGTGAGTTCAGAAGCCCAGTTTTGAGGTGATCGAGTTGACAACTGACCGGGCCGGGCCCTAGTTGATGGACCAGAATCTCAGGACAACCCACCGGCCCGGCGACTCGCCTTATCGGAGTGTCGGAGCCGCTGAAGATAGACCGCACAGAGGTCCGAGATAACTGAGATAACGCATCTGCGCTGTCAGATAGGCGGGGTCGGGGAAGTGACAGGGTTGGGCCTGTTTACTCCGCCTCTGCCCGGAGATCGGGAACCGGCCGAATGATTGATAAGCGCAATCTCGATCCAACATTGTGCTCATCTATGCTGCCCGGAGTATAAGTAACATTTTCGGTAGCAAAGAATATCATGGACTGCCACACCAGTCCGAAAAAATGGAAATCAGAAGCACGAGGTTGTCGTCTGCTCTGGGTTCGTGGTCGACCCAGGATCATCTCGAGGTCATGCTTTTTCAGCTAGGCTGTGGGGTGTGATTATTGGTAAATACCACAACAGAAAAAATAATAAGCTGCTTGAATTGACTAGTTTGGACGAGAATCGAATAGAAGTTTGAATTGGACATTATTGTGCAGAAGTGGTCTAAGCTGTTGCGGGTGGTGCTCATACCTCAACAATCCAGGTTTGTCTACGTGTATCGCCAAGCACTCCTGAATTAGGACTGCAAACTAGATGCAATGAGATGCAATTAAAAGATTGCAGTTTTGGAGAAAAATGGTATTTTCAGGAATAGTAACCATTCGCTGAGGATGGGCTGGCATAAAATAAGAGCATGTAGCCATGCCGTCCTGCTTACTTGATGCCTAATGTGATAGGACGGACCTGTGATTAGAAATCTCCTTTCAGGCTACTGTACAGGCATTGGCATTCTTCTGTAGTAAGCCATAAAAGCTACATGTATTCCAATCATGGATATATGTTCAAGTGCTGAGATTCAGATGATCCAGCGACTCAGGACTTGTCCGAGATCACGGCCGCTTCCGTTCAGTCGAATCATCATTACTTGCTAAGATGCCCTGATTTATGTTACGGGTGCAGAAATGCCGCCATCCACGTGCTGTTTCCAATTTTGTGTATCAAAAAGCTGAACAGAACTCCTGTCATCAAGACCAAAAATACCTCATTTAACTTACAAGGTTTGGAAGCGAAGCATCTGGCTTCACTTTGAGAACGTACCACGGCGCGACAGGTTCCCCGCTTCTGTTGTCGTTGACTTCCGTTCCACGGCTGGATTTCAGCATGTAACGCGATCTGGAACAGACGGCATAGAATGCAACCGTCCGGAATAAGAAAATCAAGACATAGCTGAGGGGAAGCATGCTTGGCAAGTCCAAACGTCACAGTAGACAGTTGAACGACATTTCGTGGCGTGGACAGCCGTTTACCCGACGTTGATCAGCGCTGTCGTTAAACAATAGATCGAGACATCTCTCACCTTTCCTGGTTAGTCGTACGGCTAAGATCTGCCCGGCATTAGCCTCTGCGGGTGCTGCCGCTGCCGTTCGGTTGACCGATGGTGGAGCAGCCATTAAGACCGCCCGCCTTCTGTGGAATGGCGGGCTTCCCTTTGCGTGCTCTTGCAGGTCGCGCCTCGTACTTGCATTGGTATGGTTCAGTATCCAAGCCGTCTCAGCACATGCTAGCCTCATCGGATGCAGATGCGTGTCTCATTATTTCACCTTGATTCAGGCTGGAACGTCGGGCCGTCACAAAATTCAGTGACAACATCCCGCGGGTGCTGTACATCTGAGTCCAGCGTAGCCTATGAAAAGTTTGTGCCGCATGCAAAAGTCCACAGGTCGCCTCACCTTGGCCAAAAACCCCTCAGGCATGCTTCAGAGCGTCATTGAACATCTGGGGCTGAAACTGGTGACGTGACTTGGGAGGAGTTTGACTAAAAAAAAGACACTTAGGGTTTGGTCTCTTGCAAGGGAGGCTTCGCAAAGGCCCATGAAGAGCATGCCAAGAACACATAAAAACTTGAATACGAGATTGATATTGTCTTGTACTACACTTGTGGCTTTTTGTGGTATTCGATGAGTGCGTTGCCAACCTGCAGAGTGTGGAGTTGGTAACTATGTGATGGGTAAGTGCAGCAATGTCGTAAGACTATCTGCAATGTCTATGGTACGAGGAACAGAACATTGAAAGCCTACAATAGCCGAGGTTAGTACACAGGCAAGAGAATAAGATGATCTTAAAAGACTGGTGCATTCGCAGTCACCGTAGACCAGTGGACATGCCTTTGACAGCAACTTCACTTCATCCTACTGTTTGCACCATGTCTTCCAAGCAGTTGAATCCCACGTCGGCCAACCACCGAAATGGACTTACCAAGTCGAAGAATACGGCTTTCAACAGCACTGCAACTCATGAAGATGAGTCTCATCAGATTATCTCATCGTACTTTATTGGGCCCCAGGCCGAGAATCTGTCGTACTTCAAGGAAAACATCAACATCATCCTGGAAGAGCTGCAAGGAGCGCGGCTGAACTACTTTCCTCAAGATGGGGTAAGTGTCAAGAAAGAAACCTGAAATCTCGTCGCGATGTTCTCGCTTACCTCGACTAGAAATTCATCGACGAGAAAACCCAGCAGACGGAGGCTTTCATCCGCTCAAAGGATAAGCTGAAGAATGCCGTTCGAACGGCGTCTAACATCCTCGGCAAGACCAGCATCCCGTTTTGGTCACCCCGCTACCAGGCCCATATGTTGGTTTCACCATAGAATGACCATCGTGACGACGCTGATCACATGATTCCAGGTGCACGGATATGAGCATGGCGTCACTGCTCGGCTACTTCATGACCATGCTGTACAATCCCAACAACGTCGCAATCGAGGCCAGTCCTCTGTCTACCGTGGCTGAGATCGAGGTTGGAGAGCAGCTATGCGAGCTCTTTGGCTACAACATCGATGAAGACAAGACGGAGGTCCCCACTGGCTGGGGCCATGTTACATGCGACGGTACAGTTGCCAATCTCGAATCTATCTGGTAAGATGCCCGCCACAAATAGAGCTTATGGTCGTTCTAACATTGTTCTCATAGGGTTGGTGGGTGCTTCACACAACATGATTGTGCACGACTCTGACTGACCACACCGAAGCTCGCAACCTCAAATTCTACCCGCTGTCTTTGCGGGAGGCCTTTGACAACGAACTTAGTTTCCTGTCCGAGAGCTTTTATGTCGAGAATTGCCAGGGCCAAAGAGAGCTCTTTGTCAAGCTTTCGAACTGGGACCTGCTCAACCTGAAGCCGACCGACGTCCTTGATCTTCCGGACCGACTCTACCAAGAGCACGGAGTTTCCAATAAGTTTCTCTCTGACATCATGAACAAGTACACCATTCAGTCTACAGGCAAAGACGTCCTGGAGAGAGAACTTGGTCTGGTGAAGCCTGGCCAGTACATGCTGGCAACCACTCGACACTATTCCTGGCCCAAGGGTGCCGGTAAGCCTTTCTTTCTGATAATGGACTGAGGATGGCGCTGACACGCAAACTCACGTAGCCATCTGTGGTCTCGGATCCGACAACGTAGTTGGCATACCTGTCGATCTCGGTGCCCGTCTAGACCTGGAGAAGCTAAAGGAGCGCCTGCAGAAGAGCCTTGAGGAGAAACAGCCTGTCTTCGCAGTTGTGGCGATCATGGGGTCTACTGAAGGTGAGCACGATGAACCAGGACCGATCCTTGGACAGCTAAACTGACCTCCCCGACCCAAAGAGGGTGCTGTCGATCCTCTTAGTGGTGTGCTTGCCCTCCGCAAACAGTTCCAGGCAAAGGGTCTGTCCTTCCTCGTTCACGCTGATGCGGCATGGGGCGGATACTTCTGCTCTATGCTGCCCAAAGATTATCGACCCGGCGATGTCATCAACCTTCCCACTGAGATGGGTGCAGCCGACGGATTTGTCCCCGACGCAAGCCTGCGGGCCGAGACACAGGAGGACCTTTACGCCATGCGTTTCGCCGACTCCATTACCGTTGACCCTCACAAGTCGGGCTACATACCCTACCCCGCTGGCGGGCTCTGCTATCGCGATGGCCGCATGCGATTCTTGGTGACATGGACAAGCCCCTATCTTTCCCGTGGTTCCGTCACCAGCATAGGCATCTATGGTGTTGAAGGAAGGTACGTCATATCGAAATGAGCCCCGACGAGATATGCAGTGAAGGCTTATCAAGATACTCGCACGCAGTAAGCCAGGCGCCTCCGCCATGTCGGCGTGGCTGTCAAACAAGACCATCGGTCTTGATCAGAAGGGATACGGTGCTTTGCTGGGAGAGGTGACATGGACCTGCACTCGGGTATGACTTCAATCATCTTCCAGCTTCTCTATCGGCCCCTCAATCGACCCCACACTAACAACTTTCGTGCAGCTATCCGCGGAGTGGGCATCCCTAACGAACTCTACCAGTCCTTTCATCTGCGTCCCCTTCAACATGCTTCCGTCTGAGCGCGACAAAGATACCACCGAGGAGAAGGTCGAAGCGGAGAAGCAACGCATCAAGCGTGACATCGTCAACAAGACCAACGCAAGTATCATGGCAGAAGACCAGAAGAGGCCGGACGAGTACAAGGCAATCAAGCTCATGAGAGAGCTGGGGTCTGACCTCAACATCAATGCGTTCTCGCTCAATTTCCGATACGAAGATGGATGTCTGAACAGAGATATTGAGGAGGCCAACTATCTCATGCAGAGAGTCGTCGAAACATTCTCTGTCGACAGTCCTACCGATGACCCTACCAAGATTCCCTTGTATCTGACATCCACGGAATTCTCGGACGAGCTCTATGGAGAGTGCAAGAAGAAATTTGTGGAAAGACTCGGTTTGGATGAGAGTAACCAGGATCTGATGGTGTTGCGCAATGTTGTTATGTCTCCTTTCCCAACAGACGGCAACTTCACCAATGATCTTGCCCAGACGTTCTATGACGTCGTTGAGAAGGAAACTGAGGTAAGTTTGACAACGCGTTTCAGTATTATCGATCGTTAACAGAAAGTTCAGGTAGTTCGCAAGCGGAACACTTTAGCCCCTGATTTCCACAACTTCCTCATCCAGGGAACGGAGAAGATCTACATCATCCACCTGCCAATGTTCCATGTCGCCAACCATCGCCAGCAATTGATTGTGTCTGCGGAATTTGACGAGGAATCCAGACGCAAGTACATCGCCATGAAGAATGCGAACCCTTGGGAGCCAATGATATTGGTGACCCAACACAAGGTCATGCTCAGAGATGTCGCCGAGAAGGAAGGCGGTTTTAAGGCGCAGATCATGACAAAGGAGTCGTAAGTTTACCCAAGATCTCAGCTACCCCTGTGAAAATGTATTTTACTTCACAGATGCTGATCTCTCTCATAGGGGTATCATCCTTCAAAACGTCACTGTCACCCTGGGAAGAACGGTGGTGAGCCGGCCTCTGAACTCCAATTACCGACTCGAGGATTATCCGGACACTTTCATGCCATTCTACCTCTACGGCACAAGTAAGTCGACCCTTCCTTTGCAGGACTTTGGCTTCAACAGCTAACAAGGCCTCAGAGAACGAAGCGAACATCGACCACGTCATTACCCGCGCGCCTAACACTCAGCTTTCCGCTGGTCGTTGCACTCTTGACTTCTATGACACCAACACCAACCCAGCCATCTGGAACAAGCCATTGATACTTCTCATCGAGGATGTCCGTGAAGCCCCTATGCAGCCTTTCCCCTCCAACAGCGAGATTGGTAGCAAGAATGGCGCTGTTCTCGCCCACGACGACTATCATCGGCAGAGAGCTTCGACAAACAGTGCAAGTGTCGCATTGAAGGAAAACGAAAAGAATGGAGTGAGCAACGGAGCAAAGAAGGATACGAAGAACGGTGTCGCGGCACCTGACATGGAATACATCAACCGAGTCACCAGCGCCAGGGGATCCGCTCATGCCACCAATGTCGACGTCAAGGCTCACAAGGAGGATGGTGATGCGATCCCACACACCAGTGCCAAAGTGTTGAACACAGAAACACTCAGTGGCGCAGTGCGAGGATCTCATTTCTTCTTCCGCCCCGGTGCCAAGTTCAAGGTTGCAGTGTGGGAAGACCAGCATCGATCTCACCCAAGCTCTGAATGGGCCAGCTTCAAGCTCCGCGACACGTTCATTGGCCGTGGTATTCTCACTCTGGGTGACAGTGTCTATGTCGACAGTGAGGCGATGAACTTCGATCCGTTTAAGAGAGTTGAGAAGGTCACGGAATGGCGTCACGAGTTCAACCAGATTGGCAAAGAACTGGCAGACGGAAAGGCATCTGAGCTTTCACGGTCCTCGGCTGACCAAGCCGTTGGAGCTGCCTTACAATATCCTTATTAAGACGCATTGTATGCAGTCTGCAATACATACTTGCTGAGTCGTGGCCATGCTACTGCATAGACTAGCTATCTCCCATGAATGCTGATCGCTACAGCCCCTCAGTATGATTTGACACCGGCAAGCTTCAGCAGCGTTTCGGTGATTTCGGGCTTCTCTCGAGGTTCCTGTCTCCGGGTGTCCACAGTACCATCTGGTAACACCGGCTGATTCGTTCTCAACACAATGTTGTCATGCGGCCAGTGAGTGGTGGCCAACCACTTGTCGAATGCTTCTCTCTTTGCTGCAGTTACCTCCGGCGTGGCGAAAGAGGCTGGAGCATAAGAAACGTAGGTAATTGTACGGATCGTGTTGCTGTTCTCGGTAGGTTCAGCACCGAAGTGAATAAGCCTTGAATCCCATATAATCAAGTCTCCAGGTTTAGCGACAACCTTGTGCTCGCGATACCCTCGTTTCTCAAACCAGGCAATCTGGTCTGGGCTGTACCTGAAGAAGTCCTTCCGAGACCATTCAGCCTGATTTGTTTGTTCTCGGAAGAAAGCTTCAGTGATCTTGTGTGACCCCGGATAGACTGTCAGCCCGCCATCATCTGGCCCAGCCTCGGACAGGTTCACGATTCCCTGTACACACTGTAGTCCTTCCCGGTAGGGACTCTGGTCGACGTGAGGCCACTTCTCCCGGGGAACATGGCCTGGTCTTCGGGGAAGCGTGATATTTAAAGCATCGAATGACACAATCAGCTGGTCGGTGTTCCAGACTTGAGAGAAGACGTCGATCACTCCGGGCTCGAGGCGGATGTCCCACATGAACTTTTCGTGGACGACGCCGTAATGGTTGAAAGTGTTGATTCCGGATATGAAAGGGAGGTTCTCGGGTGTCCACGTTGACGGCTTCTTGAGGTCTAGTGAGGGGTTGTTGAAGGATTGTAGCCAGTCCAATGCACGACCTTGGTATTGAATCGCTTTTTCGCGTGGTATGACGGAGGGAATGACGGCGAAACCATTCTCTTCAAAGTCCTGGTTCCAGTCCGGCTTGGCCATCTTTGCCTTTGAATTGTAGTTTTGTAGTCTTCTTGCGTTTTTTCTGTGAACGTTGGCGGTCGTGTTTTGTGAAAACTTGATCGAGAAGCTGGGGATCAAGTTGGTTATGATACCTTACAAAGAGAAGGTCGAAGCCAGCGAAGACTGGACGAACCACGGAGAGGGAACCACGGCGTCTTTATTAAGTACCCTGATTGCGAAACATATGCATCGATGAGGTGCTTCAATCTGACCCCCACTTCAACTTCGATTCATGCCATATTCTTCATCGCCGTGCTACCCCCGGCGGGTTGCGAGTTCGGACTCGGCGCGGTGGGGCCGGTACCGGTCGGACGTGGCCGACCTTACGTTCTTATGTCGATGGAAAGGTCCAAGACCACTCCTGGTTTCCACCAAAGTCAGCACTCGACTTTCATTCTCTACGGCTTTGGAATGTGATTGTTTGGTGACGGCGGTATTGTGAAGCATGGTTGCACCAGGGATATGAAAGTTGATTGAGCAAATCCACTGTGTGCTATTCTCAGAGGCCTTAAGCCGAGAATGGATAATGATTTTTTCCCGAAATACTGCAATTCAACCAAGCTTCCTCTGTTTTACAAGTGCGAGCCTATCGATTCTCTGACCGCTTGCCATGTTACACATCGCGGAGTTCCTCAAAGCTGAACCATGGTTAACAAAGGGAACTTCTGGCTTGATCAAACACGCGCCAAAGACTTGTCAGGCTCTTCTCCCGAGCTCGACTGAGTTTGCTTGAGATCCAAAGAGTGAACGACGATATAAGTCGGGACAAGTGCCAATCCCCAGACACCGAAGTTGACTCCAACAGCCGCTAACAGGGGCGCACGTGTAGAGCTGATGCCGGAAGCCACTGCACCACCTGCAGCTTCAACGGCACGAACGGTTGATGTGAAGCGAATGATCTCGGCTGGACCCCGCGCCATATAGCCAGCTAGCCAATATCCGTAATTATATGCCAGTGCACTTCTCAAGTTAGCGACCACGGGGCTTTGTAGTTGGGAAGTGTCAAGCTTACAAGTTAACCTGCAAGAGTATGTAAAGTGCCCAACCTCGGCCAAAGCCACTGTCAGACCAATCCAAAGCTGGCGCCTGCTGGCCGTACTCTCTCTGGATGATGGTCGCCCATATCCAGGTCCCGCCGAACAAGGCCATCATTCCGATATAAGCAAATCTGGCGCGTTGATTGATTGTGAACCTTGTCCAGTCAAGGAAGTGACCAAAGAAGAAGTTGGCTGTAATCTGTGCCAAGGCTGACACAAGCGAAGCAAGAGCGCGAGATCGTACGGAGAAGTAGAGGGAAAGGAAGGAACCTGCATAAGAGAGGAGGAACGTTGCGTAGAAGAAGAACGGGAAGCTATATCTGTTTTAAGTCTGCTGGACAACCTGAACCACAATTCGGTAAGACTGTACTTACACTAGGAGAAAGTCGCTCCGAACTAGAATTTTCGCAACGGCCTTCAGCTCGTTCACAGTCGGGATACGCTCTGCTTTGGCAACTGGCTTGCCGTCCTGACGTTGAACCTTTTCCGGTGGTGAAAGAAGTAATGCCACAAAAGGGCCAAGGCATTCTAATGGATGTTAGTACGGTGACGAATTGAAGTTGTGTTATTCTGGAAACGTACGTAAGGCGACAAAGACTACGTATGTTCTCCAGTCCAGCTTGCCTGTGGTTTTCCCGGTTGAGTCTAAGCCCAGTCAGTCTCGTTGATGTTCAGTGAGACTCAATGAAAATCTATTCCTACTGAAAGCTAGGTTGATGGCGCCGCCAACGATAGAGCCTCCCTGGGAAATGTGAGTGTTTTGCACTGCCAGGGTTTCAGGATGAGCCTACTAACATTGCGATAAGCAAGCCAGTATGCCAGATATCTTCCACGCTTCTCATCTTCTGGGTCTATGGATCAATTAGCAGTGCAACTCTGAATGTTAAAGGTTAGGAAAGTGCCTACAGCTGATCATGATTGCGCCCTCGGCGGCCCAGAAAATGCCAGCAGTAATGCCACAAGCCGCGGAACCAACATATACGAACCACTCTGTCCCATACCTGTTGTTGGTGTAGAGTGATGCGGAATAGATGGCACTATTCGGAGTCACTAATGGCCGCACTAGTGTTTACATGAAAGCTGACTTACTATCCTGTGGTGCCGAATATCAATGCATTCTTGAGTCCGATCTTGTTGGCCATCACGCTCCCCAGAGAACATGTAACAACCATCATCACGCCCAAGACAGCGTTTGCGGACCTGCATATTGTCAGTGAAAAGCCTCTTAGCGCATCATCTGGCTTGTATCTACGCACATTACGAGATACGGCGTTTGTTGTCCACCAGCGCCAGTTGATTGCATGGCATTATACAGGCCTGGAGCGAAGAAGGCGCAAAGACCAATCACTGTGGCTTGAAAAAAGACCGTTCGATACCAAACTCGATTGGTGATGGTTTCTGTGCAGAAGTCCTCGGAATCCCCTTGAGCATCTGGTAGGACCTCCTCATTCGGCTGAGGTTTCGGGGAGCTCATGTTGGCGGCGGTCCGGGAAACTGAGGGTCCTAGACGTGATGGCTGGGAAGGTTGACTTGAAATTGAGAGAGGTTCAAGCAATGAACATTCTTGAATCACAACCGGGGACTGTGCGCTTTCAAAATGACAAAATGAATACCCTTTTGCGGAAGATTTTGCGACCCGATTGCGGCATTCAAGATGTGTCGCGATACTGGTTATCATGGCGTGCTTGTATCATCCCCACATCAATGTTCTTGTTTGGTTCCGAATGCCTGGTCTCAGCGCGAAGGATGAACTCTTCGTCTAAATTGTCATGGTTTCCATTGCGTGCTTGAGACCCACAAAGGAGAAAACATGAAGGCGCTCTGAGGCTGAGAAAAATGTCAGAAAGAGTAACTACTTTGAAGTGTTTTTCAATCCTCATGATGACCTTTGGTGATCTCGATCCCTGATCTGTCTAGAGCGAGACTTGACTACATAGCAGATAGCAAGACTGACGCTCGCCGTCGTGTCAATGCCATCAGCTGAACCGGATACAAAATAGAAATAACAGTTCTATGTTGGTAAAGCTACTTCAAAGGGGCCCCGCCATCTTGTTTGTGGCTCTCGAAAGCATCCACCGCGGCCTGAACTTGTGCGCTCATGTCCACCCCATTTGTGTACATGCCTCCTTCCCTCATCTTTGCTCTCAGGTCCTCCAGATCAAAGCCTTCCGGATCCTGAGTATACAATTTACCGAAGCTTCTGGTGATGTTGACAATCCGTTGACTTCGTGGCCGTCGAATCTCGTCGAACGCTTTCAGGGCTGCCTCAATCTCTTCAGTCGCGGAAACCCTTTTGAAAATGCCAGTGAGGATGGCACAATCCTCGATAGCCTGTGCAGCTCCATTTCCAGCATGTGGAAAACATGCATGCGCAGCATCGCCGAGCATACACACGCGCCCTTTGTAATAGGTTGGCGCAGGGTCATGATCCTGTAAGCTCCAGTCCTCTTTGCTGTGCTTCTCCAGAACCTGAAACAGAATGCTTCTTAGCGATATAAGCAGACAAGTATTGTGGAGAGCTCTTACCGATACCATGGCATCAACCTCGGGCAAGAATCCTTTCCAGAGGCTCGCCTTGAAGGGAGCGCCCTTTTCTGGGCACTTGCTGTCCCTCTGGTAGCAGCTGACGCTGTAGGTCTGTCCCATGTCGACCGGGATTCCCATCATGTAGCCATATGGCGTGCAATAAGTGAGAACTGATTCCGTTGTTTTCTGTGGGATACAAGCCTTGGCCTCTTGCATAGGGACTGTTGTGTGGAACTGTCGCCAGTTGTCGTGGTTGACGGGGTTTGCGGCCGGATGATCGGGTCCGAGGATGTACTTTCTGGTGGGACTGAAGACCCCTTCCGCTCCGAATACCACATCAAAAGACTCGTAAGTGCCGTTGTCGAAGGAGACTGTGGCTTTGTTCGTCACGGGGTCCTCTGAAATAGATGCCACCCGTTTGTTGAAGTGTAGCTTAACCCTCGGCATCGCCACGTCTTCCAGAAGACCTTGAATGAAGTGTGCTCGATGAACCGTCCTTCTTCCCTTTGCTCGTCCTAGCTCTGCTACCAGTTTACCAGCGTGTTCACCCGCACAAAGGACAAACTGGGTTGCCATCTCAATATCCTCCTCGTTAGCCATGAAATGAGACTTCTTGAAGTACGCCTCCTTGATACGCGGCGATATGAAGTCCATGGCTCTCATGGCATTGCCGTGAAACGCGAGCCCGGAGCCTCGTGGACGAATGTTTGGATGCTCTTCAAACAATTCGACATCAAGGTGGGGATTATCGAGGAGCCCAGTAGCGAGACAGCAGCCGGCGATACCGGCGCCCATGATGCCGACGCGGATGCGGCTTGGTCCCAAGTACTCACCCATCGTTATACAGAGGTAGTTGCAAGACTTCGGCGAGGGTTCTGAACTCGAAAGATGAACAGAAAAGGATCTTTACGTTTAAGAGAGAGGTATTAAATGATCTCTTCCCCTCGCCTTCAGCATCCCGATCCACGCCGTGGGGCATCTCCTCGTGTAACATCGGGTCCCATTCTGTTGGTTCATGAGGAGGGATCGTACCATTTCTCTCCACATCAATCCCTGAGAAATTGTCGCATACCTCGGATATTGTGGAATGTTTATTGCCGGCGGTTACTAGCTTTGTCTGCTCGGATAGCAATCAGGGTTCAGCAGATGATAAGAACGACCAAGAACTAAGACCATTAAACCGAGGTCAAAAGCGCTCCCAGACTTCCAGCGCACTCAACGTCCCTACCTTCCAAGGCAAAAAGTCAATTTAATAGCATGCTGGTACAGAGAATGGCGTAAAACTGATGTGAGCGCATGAACATAAGAGACCGTGAAATGATAATAATCGGTTCGCCACACCAGATAATAATGTTTACTTATTATCAGACTGCAGAGTCGTTTTGCCTCCTGAGATCATCTGTAAGACATGGGTGCTTAGATGGCTACACGTAGTATGAATTGAGTACTTCGTTGTGATAAATCAACATAATTACCTATTCCTAAGCCTATCATTAGGCAGTGGCATTATCGTCTACAGAAGACTTCGGTCTTTCGGGTACAGTCTTCCCGTCTGTATCCTTTTCCGCAGATGCTTCCCGGTTTGTATCTTCATCCTCCTTAGACCCTTCTCGGTTCTCATCTGCATCCTTCTCCTCACCCGTATTCTTCTTCTCATCCTCCTTGGTCTTCTCATTCTTCTTCTTCTTCTTCCCATCTTTATCCTTCTTTTGATCTGCATCCTTTTTGGATCCGTCTAGGTTTTCACCTAAACCCTTTTTCTTGGATTGGTCCCGGTTGTCGACCACCTCCTTTTGGTCCTGCTCATCTCCGGAGTCATTCTCATTCCAACCCGGCACAAGTTCATTGTCAGCTTCTCCTTCCTCATCAGGATCCCAACCTCTCAACACCCTTCTTGCCGCGTCTTTACCGACGACCGGTAATCGTTTCACCCCGTTCTTGCGCGCCGCTTCTGGTACCAGCTTTGGGTCTAGCAGTCCGATCTGCACGAGAACGCTAGCTTGGTCCCAGTACACGTGCTCATGATATAGTTTGCCTCCTCTGAGCCCCACGATGCTGACCACAAGCACTTCGACACGCTTGTTTGTTGCTGGGACGCCGGGTAGGATCCATGGCATCTCCTCGGTATGCTTGAAACGGACGTGGACTTCGTCGACCACTCGATCAACGCCGATAGTGCGAGAAATCAGAGTCAACTTCATCGAAGGCGGGTTGCTGAAGAACTGGCTGTAGAAACGCTCAAGCTCTGATTCTCCGATACCTCCCGTCAAAGTCGGGATGTGAGTTACGTGAGGACTTTTGTGTGACGTGTACGTTGAAAGCGTCTGATTGAGGTTTCGGGTGAAGAATTTGCCTGCACGTAGGTCAGCTTTGTCTTTCATGGCTGATGACTTCCTGATTCCGCATATTGCTCAAAGGTTCTGTTGCCCAACGCGGCAAATCGAGACACTGACCTTGTACGTTCTGCTCCAACACGAGCTCTAAGTCGACATGATTATTGAATGCCTTCCTCGCTGCAGCCAAACTCCGGCTCCAGGCTAACTCGGCAGCAATCTTGTTGTATTCGTCCAGGTCGTGCTCGGCAAAACCGGACTCGGCGTCGTAAGTGTAGGTTGGGTAAGCCAGACGCAACATTCCGCCCGTCCCCATGCCGCTTTCCACTTTCTTGCGGGTTGTGCGCCGCTTGCCTTGTATCCCTACCATCTGGCTTCGCTTCGTAATGCCAATCTCCTCACCTGCAGCGAGATGAACGAGAGCTGAGATGCTGCTCGGGAAGTGTCCTTGAGGGTCTGGAATGGCCGACGGATAGTACGCGATGAGCAATCCGAGCTTGTGTTCTGGGTTGTTGTCCATCACGTGGTAATACTCCAGACAGGCGGCAGCGGCATCGCCAAATGCTGCCGAGTTTTAGCTAAGTCGTACCTTTCATCATCTATGCATCTAATTCTTACTTACCAACGATTCCGAAGATCTCGCATGGTCCCATGTTCTGTTTGCTCAACGATCGGAGCTTGCCCCGGAACTCCTTTGTGCTGCTTCCCATTGGCAAATATTCGACATCGAAATTCTCGTCGCGCCATTCATCAAGCATCAATTGATCAAAGTCGTCGCTTTCCGCCGTTATGTATAACTTCGGTCGCGATCTCGGGAAGTCCTGGGATAGGAAATTTTGGTCTCTATGGACGGGGCGGTTCCAGTTGTCTGAGACGATGCGAGCATTACGTCCTTCAGATTCCGGCACGGCGGCCTTGACCAAGTTCGGTATATCGATGTTCATGATGTGTTTGTCCTGCAGTCTTTTACTGTGAGGGAAAATGAACGGTCGGCGAGCTACATGTAGGAGATGTCTTTTCCCCGAGCAAGAGATTCATCTCTTCTTGATTTTGAGAGCATACGAGTGCCTGACATCACCTGCCTATGACGTCATGCTCATGATGTCCTGGAACCTGCTGGACACAGACGGTGGTTGCCGACGGTGTCTTCCAACCAACCGTCGCATCATCCTGTTCATGAAATTGGGATGAAAACGAAGAGAAAATACTGTTATCACTATTTCGCCGCGTCCGACTGGCCCAGAAGCCTCCACGGTTGTGAGCCCATTCAGATGATACGAACGTCGCAAATGTTAGCGTGGGGAAGGATCCACTGTTAGTGAGCGTATGCAGTATACAGCGTAGCAATAACAGCTAGATCGCTGCTACGTCAACAAACATACCGGAGTAAACTGCGTAGGTGCGCTTGACTACGGATGTTCGAATTGATCCTGCATGACTCAATTTTAATGGTGACTGGAGGACGTCGAGGTTATTGAGAACCACACACGATGTACTCCGATGCTAGGTATCGTAAGTGCGGCTGAAAGCCATCTCCGATGAGTTGGGACAAGAATAGCGGTCTTGTGGCCGTGCTAGTGGTCAACGTGGTAGCCCCATGCAAAATGAAGGGCCGAACGCTCGAGAAGCTGTGAAGGAACGGGCAGAAGGGGCTCAGGGAACCCTCAGAAAAGGCCCTCGAGTGGCTTAACATCTAGCCTGAAAAACCACATTGGTAAATCTGGAGACGCCATGGCGGGATTATGAGGAAATTATCCCTCGACCCCAGATCCGTGAGCCCCCAGCGTACGTCCAAGTTCCATGGCCTCTCTGCAGGCAAATGCCGTGCCACACCATTCAGAAGTCTGATCTTGCTGAAAAGAAACGTTCTTATCGCTTCTCGACAGAAAGAAAGCAAGAGGCGTTTGTGGGGGCTGGCGAAAAGCGGTCGGACAGAACGCCATCAAGAATTCGAACTCGCCATTGCCGCCTTTACCGCCGATCCAGATATCTGTACAATAAATAGTGTCAAGGTTCGATCACTTCAAATGGTTCAGGTCACTAGGATTTTCAAGTCGATTCACTGCCAAAGGCTTCAAGTCGTCCACCCTTGACCAGGAAATCAATCATGCGTACCACACTCGCGACTTTCTTTGCCGGCCTGTTGAGCTCAGCGTGGTGTTTGCCGGTTGAGGATTCCCAAGCCTCGCTATTTTATCAGCGACAGCTAGCCGAACTGCCCAAGACTTGGATCGAAAACATAGCCGTTCGCCGGAATGGCAACCTGCTCCTCAACACCTTCAACAATGGCCAGATGTACACCGCCGATCCATCCCAATCGCCACTCCAACCACGTATAATCGCCAAGGTTGAAGGTGTGAACGCACTCTACGGCATCACTGAGGTTGGTCGTGATATTTTCGCTGTTGCGGGGGCGAACTTCGACCCTGCAACGATGGCAATGCCAGACCAATCTTCAATGCGGTTGGCTGTTGTAAGCTTCCAAAGCGACCGGCAATTCACCGACGGCAACCCTTCTGTCGAAGTCATTCTCAAAAACACTACTTTCGGAGCTGTCAACGGGCTTACTTCGCTCTCATGTCAGCGGCATATCGTCCTCGGCGCTATCTCGGCTACCGGAGAGATTTTAAGGGTCAACACGAAGACCAGAGTCGCCGACATTGCCTTCAAAGATGAAGAGTTCACCATTGGATCATCTGGTCTGTTTCCGTTTGGGGTCAACGGCCTCAAGATATTTAACAGTTACTTATACTTCACAAACACCAACCGGCAAACGTTTGGACGTGTCAAGATCGACAAGCTTGGGAACAAAGTTGGCAATGTAGAAATCATTACCCGCGCGCCGGCAAACTCAACCTTGACGCCTGATGACTTTGTCATTGACAAGCTTGGGAACGCATATGTGGGATTCTGGCCAAGTCTACTGGTTAAGATTGCCCCAGACGGGAAGCAAACAATTCTTGTCAACGGCACACTTGCTGGACCCACGAGCGAGGCTTTAAGCAGGGATGGAAAGACTCTTTACACAGTCACTGCCGGACTAGGTTTGGCCACAGTCGGTGGTGGTCAAATATTGGAGGCAAAGGTATAGCGTAAGGCCCGCAAAGTGTTAACTAGCATGAACCATCCAGGTTGGATCCAATTATGATTTCAGCTCTGGAATGAACCTTTGATTAAGATTGACTTAGTTCCGTACATGTCCCTGAAGTTTCATTCAGTGCTTTAGACTCCTGAGTCGTACTGGACCAGGTCGGTCTCGGCAACGTAGTTCATCCAGTTGGTGCAAGTCTTGTTCAGCACGTCAGTGTCGTAGGTGATCTCAGACTCGCGCTCGATGATCTGAAGAGAAAAGCCCTCTGAAGTGTGCCAAGCAATATGGCAGTGCATCAACCAAGCCTAGAGTGATATGTCAGTTTTCACAATGCGAATTGATGATTTGTGGAATGCTTTAACTTACACCAGGGTTGTTCGTGATGAAGGCAATGACCAAGTATCCACTGCCCGGCATCATGGCAACATCTCTTCTGGGTGCGTTTGCCAGCGTCAATCTGTCGGTCTGGTTTGAGTCAAAGTTGCCGTATCCTGAGTCCAAGATCCAGAAGTCGTGACCGTGGAGATGCATGGGATGGTCCTGGGCAAAGGGAGAATGAATGACCATGTAGACCCACTCGTCAACCTGGGGAAGCTGGATGACGTTCTGCTTGGTGAGCCAAGTCGAATTCTTTTGCGCGATCTGAAGTGCAGTCGGGTACTCCCATTGCTGACGGAAAGAGGTCTTGTTCATCGTCCACAGCAGAGCATTGTCAGTAACCATGACGCCGACGTTCTCATCCGTGGTCACGGAGTTTGAAGAAACGTTGATCGCAAGGTACGGAACAAGGTTCGAGGACAGCTCGTCGGCACAAGAATCCGTGTAGCTGTAAGCGGATGTCGTGGGGTCCGCAGTGGAGGAGTTGGAGTATCGGACGATACCCTTGACATCGTCGACCGCATCAGACTCGGAGCATGACTCTTGGGCGATCGAACGCATCCAGAAATCGCCCTCAGTCAGATCCTTGGCCTCCACAATGATGTCGTAGCGCTGACCCATACCGATGCTGAGCTGGGTGGCGTTGTAGGGGACGATGGGGACGAAGTCTGTGGCGATGACCTCCATGGTGTGATTGTCAATCATGAAGCGGAAGTGATTATCGGCTGCGGCGTTGACGAGTCTGAGACGGTATTTGGTGCCAGCCTCGAAAACGGTTTCGAAACGCGAACCCATGGTGTCGTTGTACGTGTTGGTACCGTTGATGAGTCCATTGACGGCAGTTGGCGGGCCACCAGTTGCAGCCTTGGTGACGAGTTCATCTGCTGTATTCTAGATGGATAATGTGTCAGTATATTCTTCTGTGGAGAAAGGCAACTCGAAATGGTTCACTATGGTAGGTATCGTATAACCACTCTAGTCTTCACATTTGAATGGCACGGAGACCACACCAACAGAGAAAAGGACTGCGTGTACAGAATTGTCCGTGGAAAATGGAGAAGAAAACTTACGTGGTACCAGTCATTCAAGAAGACATGGCCAAGGTCCACATCATAGTTGGCCGTAGCAGGGCCGTTGATGATGATGCCGCCAAAGGCTCCGTCCCAAGCTTGAACGTAGAAGTGGGAATGATACCAGCCAGTACCATATTCGACTGCTCGCCATCTGTAGGTATACGTATCTCCGGGAGCAATTGGGCACTGCGTGATGCTGGGAACTCCATCATTTTGATCAGTGTAGTTCTGACGAATGCCGTGAAAGTGTAGGCCCGTGCCGTTGGTCTGCAAGGAATTGGTGAGGTGGACAACTGTGAACGAACATGTTTAGTCAATAGCTCTGGAGAATATTGTCTGATTATTACGTACCGACAGTATCACCCCAATCAGCAATGATAGTAGGACCAGGGAAAGATCCGTTGATCAGCTGGGCGGGCAGCTCATAACCATCCGGGGCAGCCGTGGTATTCTCGATGTTGAACCAGTACTCTCTGACAACGCCTGTGTCAGGTACGTCTTCGTAGTAGTTCGTGGTCAAGTCGTAGCCCGGTAACCAGCACGCCCTGTTGGTAGGGCTGTTCACGCAGCTGGCACTTTCTTCGCTCGAAGAAGGCAGACCACTGGTAGACATCTGATTCCCAGTGGAGGTTTCGCTGCTGGAAGATGTCTGAGTATTAGAAGCAGATGAACTGCTGCTTCCACAGCTACGGCGAGCGACATGATGAAGTTCTGACGGGGCAGCGGCAACACCGGCCACAGCGGTCAATGCCCAAGTAACGAGTGTCTTGGCGGATACCATGATTATAATAAGCTGTTGAAGATGAAAACAAACGATCTAAAGAGAGACTGTTGGCTTGGAGCCAGAACGAATGACGAGGTTAGATGACAAGAGTCGAAAGCTGTTGCCGAAGGATATCAAGAGTTGATAAGTAAAATTATGGTGAACAGTTTCTGGCTTTCTGTACGTTTCGTGATGTAATAAAATTCTTCGAACAGGTAAGACACAAGTCCTTTCGGCTTGCATCCCACATCATCAACCGCGCCTCCTTGTCTCCATCGCGGAATGTGGTGGAAAGCAAAATATCATCACCTTACCTGACTTCTGGAGCAAATGTTCAACAGACCGAAGCTCGTAGACCCCGGGAAAATAGTCATCAAGGGCACTTCACACCCAACGACACATTGCTGCAAATTTAACCGACCCATAACGGATTATGCCGTCCGGTGCCACTTTCCGGAGTGCCTATCTTGGAAAATCTAAGCAACTCGGCTTACACGGCAATGGTCTTGCCAGACTTGGCAAGAGTTTAAGCCTCATGGGACCGGGAAGTTGATGTATATTCCGCTTTGACAGCAAAAAATGCAGGGATAATCGGTGTTGCATTTGCGGAAGCCCGTGACGAAAGGGGGTTGCGCGTACCTTAAACTTGGGACGATCTGCACCAAGCACAACATACCACTATGGTCAGCCCCGAAAGTGGAGGTAATCCGAGGTTGTTTCCATTTATCCAGGGGAAAACAAGATTTGTTTCCTAAAAAAGCTTTTAACGACGGCTTCTCCCGCCATCCTGGTTCTCTGGTGTAGTTCCATTGGTGAGATGAAAACATCGGAAAAGCCCCTCTTTGCTGACCCACGATGCTTGTCAAAAGCGTGTTGTGGGGGAAATAGAGGTTGAGAGAAGTCAAGGTGGCTCCCGACGTCTGTTTTTGCTTTAAGGTGTGTTGATGGACTATGTAATAATTGCATGTCCTCAACTGGTTGGAGCTGACTTCATCTAGTCTCTTGATTTGGATATCGGCATCACATTCGTTTTCGCTGCTTCAGGTCTTCCAGTCACTCGTTATCTTAATTAGTCTTTTCAACATGCACCTCTCGACCATTGGCACTCTAGCCTTGTTGCAAGCCAGTCTTGCTTGTGCCTCGGCCATTTCTACCTCATGGATTGAGAAACGAAAGGCAGAGACCAATGCCACTTTGTTTGCGTACGGCACCAACTCCTCGGCATGGCCTATTGCATACGGTGTTGATGACGGTAAGGCCAAACCTCCGAACAAAAAGCTTGCAATCTCCGAAATGAAAACCTAATTATGGATCACAAGGTTACCTATACATCACGCAAACTCCGGACGACTCGACCGCGAATCTCGAGCCCATGACTTGGGACCTCCCGTCTATCACCGGTCAAAACTGGAAGGTTAATGGAACATTTGTCAATGGTACCTCCGCTGGCTACCTCACCATTACGAACAGTACCGACCGTGCCATGGGTCTCACTACCGAAACTCCGGTAGTCAGCGTTAATCAGAGCACCTATGGCTGGGCTCTTTTCGCTACCCAGCTCGTCTACAACAACAACTCTGAGCTTGAGGCCCAGTTTTGGGCCAAGCCGACCGAAACTCAAGACATCTATCTTTTGTATTGGAACGAAGATCAGACTGTTTCCGAAGGAAGCTTTCCCGTTGTCGTCAAGGGTGTGGAGGACTCTTGAGCACGCATCAAAACAGCAACCTACGCATGTCTTGTAGCCTCGTGGCGACCTGCCTGGACCTTTCTTACCGCACTTTCTGGTCTAGTAAAGAGACATGTGTAACAAATGTTTCGATTTGGTGACAAGATCTTCATGCTTCCGTTGTGCACTTTACATCCACCCTTGGCAAATTTAATCTCCCTGCCGACATGCCAGCGACCTAATACATGCCATTGGCTCACGGGAGCAGCTAGGCAGCAGTACCAGCAAGAACCATTGTTGTGCCAAAAAGGTGACATCAAGAGGCTCAAAGTGGGTCAAGATGTGAATTGTGCCTCGGACGTGCAGAATCAGAGTTTCACCTGGCGTGAATTTCCACTCGCTGCCTAAAAGCCGCCAATTCATCTTGGTTCTACGACGCGTCGATACCTTTCGGAGATCGCCTGTTTTCAGGTTATAAACGATCGTAAAATCTCTCTTTTCTACCTGTTCACTAAGCATTCCCAATCCTGAAACCCAACTTTAATACCACCAACAGTCAACAGATTTCAAGATGCCCCGCAAGAACACACTCAAAGTCCTCGGCAATGCGATCTCGAGATCGATCTCTGCCGCCAACCTTCCTATTGGTACTTTCGCCGTCGGCGGTGAAGTCCCCATCGAACCGGTAAACGCGGATTCGAAAGCCAAGGACCAGAAGACATCGACCAGACCCATCGTCATCCGATGGGACGCACCGAGCACATCGGTTTCTCATAGTCCGACTCGCGTTAGCTTCCCAGTTACTTCGGACTCTGATGCTAAGGGCTTGGAGCAACTGTTCAAGGATTCGCAGCCTGCAACCTTCGGAAAGGGCGGCGAACACGTCTTTGACGAGTCTTATCGCAAGGCTCAGAAGCTTGCAGCTGAAGAATTCTGCACCAACTTCTGTCCTTATGAGACTGGAATCATTGACACTGTCTGTCAGATTCTTCTGCCTAGTGTCCGGACCGCGGAAGACTCGCGAGCAATTCGCGCAGAGCTTTACAACATGAACGTAAGTATATATACTCATGGTCGCCCACAAAGTTACAAGAGATTCTAACAAACGCAGATATACTCGGGACCCTCCGGAAAGTTCAAACCTCACGTCGACACCCCCCGTTCATCATACCAAATTGGCTCCCTTGTTGTCTGCCTCCCCATGAAACACGAGGGCGGAAACCTCGCTGTCCGCCACCGTGGCCAAGAGAAGGTTTTTGACTGGGCCGAGGCTTCGGATAGACATGCTATCCAATGGGCTGCATTCTACAGCGATTGCGAGCATGAAGTCTTTGAGGTCAAGTCGGGTCATCGCGTCATACTCACATACAACCTTTACGCCACGCGTGGCAACGGTTTCCTCGCAGGCCAGGGCTCGGCGATCAGCCCGCTTTCTTTGCCGCTTTACAACCAGATCAAAGCGCTCGTCACGTCCGACAAGTTCCAGAATAAGCAGCGCCTTCTCGGATTCTACAGCGCCCATGCTTACCCCCATACCGACAAGGAGCATGGGCTTCCATTCTGTCTCAAAGGCGTCGACATGGCATTGTACGAGATCTTCAAGAGCATGGGCTTGAAAATTCATCTGTGTGCTATTGTTGAGAAACCTTGCCGTTACGATTATGGAAGACCTGCGCCTCTCGACAATGGACAATTTTCTGATGATGAAGCAAAGACTTCGAACAAGTCGAAGAAGAAAGACTATGATTCTTACGACTCCGATGATACTGACGATGATGATCCCGACTACGACCCTGATAGGGTGGTCGGTTTTGTCCATGAGACGGGCTCTTATCAGATGGGTGACGGCTACGGGAGCTACGAGGAAATGTTCCAAGATACACTAGACACGGATAACCTGAGCTTCGACTCGGACAAAATTGTCTGGCTAAATCAGAATAACGGACGCACCAGACTTCAAGTCCATTACTTAACGGTAAGAAAACCAGCAGAAGAAGGTCCCGGTCAGATCGAAAGGCTAACTTGTGCAGTACGGAAACGAGCCTTCAACAGCGGAAGCTTATTCCTATTTCGCCATGGTTGTCGAATCTCCTAAGAAGAAGGGTGGTGCTCGCAAACCTGCCGAGAAAAGAGCCCGCTAATGTTCCCTTTGCCGGAAGTGAGTTGAGAAGGAGGTGATGATATTCTACAGAGAATGCGAAGTTTCTAGATCACATTAGGCATGATGAAAAGCCTGTTATGGGTCTCAAATGGTATTTAAGTATGGAAATAGTGTTATGAACAAGTTCAAGTCAGTAACCGCCGGAGTATCCTCAAAATTATCAGTGCTGCTTTGATTTGAACTCCATGTATAGACGTGGTTCCATTATCTACGCGATGCGCAGATGAGAGTCACAATTTCTTTTGTATTCCATATGCTTATAAAGTATACATCCAACCATCCATGTTTTCATTCCTTCGATCACCCGTTCTTGCGGCCTTATTGCAAAGCCAAAGATGTACGTCCATGATAACAATCATGACAATGCTGACCATAGAAATTGCAAAAGTAGTCCAGATACCGGTCTTGATACCCAAGTGTAAGCATGATGGGAATATTCCATTGTGTGGGATGGAACTCACCGTGTAATGAGGGCTCTCCTTGGACATGAAGGCCGTGCTCGCAATAATGCCGCCCACGCCACCCCCGATCAAGCAGGTTGCGGAAGCGACAGCGCGTTTTGAGTGGGACGTGATGTTATTGGCTTGGAAGGTGAGAACTCCGGGAACGCAGAATTGCAGGAAGCCGATACCTAGTCTCGCCTGTGAGTAGAGATATGGGCGATAGAGCTTGACATTATACTCACCGAGGAAAGCCCCGAAATATCGAGCCCCGTTCGCCTTTCCATAGACGGTGATCAACATCCCAACGGCGGTCAAAGCTTGGTGCACAGCGATGATAGGGCCGCGAATCTTATATCGATCACCAAGCCAGCCCGAAATGTATGCCATGATGGCAGCGAGCACATAGGGTGGAGCGGATAGCAGTTGCGCCTCAGTACTGCTGAAGCCCATACCATTTCGAAGGATGATCGGTAGAAAGTATGAATATGCGTACCCGGGCAGAGTCGATGCCATAAGATTAAAGGCCCAAAAGTAAAGTCGCCAGTCTTTGAGGTGATACAATATTTTGGCACCATCGACTTTATCCTCTTCGGCGTCACCACGGTCCTGGTTGATGCGTGCTATGACAAACTGTTGTTCGGCAGGCTTGAGGAACTTTCCGGCACGGGTGGGAAAGTCAACGATGATGAACCAGCCTGCGGCACATACCACCATAGTTATTGCGCCTTCGATGATGAAAATCCCTGATTCGAAATGTTAGTGAAACCTTCATGGTCGATAGTCCTATGAGCAAGAACTCACAACTCCAGCCATTGAGGCCGCCTTTGCCTTTGAGTAGGGTCAACACATAAGCAAAGATAGCAGAGAAGCCGCCGGTGATGACGGAAAGAATCCAAAAACCAGAAAGTCGTTTTCCAACTTCGAACCGAGTATACCAACAGGTAATGAGGTATGTGCAGCCCTGGCAAATATTTGATTAGTTTGATATCCGATCGCGGGTTTCATCAGATCCTCACTGGTAAGAACCCAGCTTCGAGTATCCCTAACAGGGCACGACACAATGCCATCATGCCCCAGCTCTTGGTAAAGCCCATTCCGATAAGCACCGCACCAAATCCGACGCCGAGAAAAGAAAGCCAATTGGCAGGGCCGGCCTTCGGAAGGATGAGATTCTGAGGGGACGGTTAGTCAATCCTGCACTCCATGCGACTTATCGAGGGAGTTGTACGCTGGGAATCTCAAATATTCTGGGCGCTATTAGTGAGAACTGTGTGCTATGAGAGCTCCGACAATCGCGTTTAGGATGAAACTCACATATACGCAACGAAGAACACCATGACAATGACGGTATATCGGTTTCCAACGCCCAGACCTAGGTCCTCTTGCATACCAGCAACAAGAGCCAAGCCAAGATTGGTACGGTCGATGAGGGAAATCGAGTACATTATGCCCAGAATTGGGAGTAAGCGCAGGTCGATTCTACGGCTACGCCCCTCATCAAATAAGACACGCATCAAAGGAATCGATTCTTTCATGATGGTGATACTCACATAACCTTCTTCTGTTCTTCGGGACTCAGCCCACAGATTTCTCCGGCATCTTGCCCTCTGATATTTTCGATATGAGATGGGTCTTGAAGTTTCTCTTCCATGACATGATGGCCAGACTCTTCATCGACTCGGCGGAAATCGTTCGATGTAGCTCGACCTTCCATAGTGTTAATCGCCCCAACAAGGTTGAGGTCAGGAAATTTTCGACACAATCAATAAAGCTCAGATGCTGTGGTTCTACGAGTTGGGACAATTACTGTTTTCTTTAATACCCGGCAGAAAGATGCGTGGTCAGTCTGCGCCAAGATCACTCTCGCCAATGGAATCGCCATGATTACCGGCTTCCAATACCGATTAGCAGGGCTAGAATCTCCTCAGTCATGAACAAGTTGACCATGTCCTCCCGACGGTTGACGACGTTGATGCAACCGGGACCGTATATGCGGGGTATTCCGGGGTAGTGCGGGGGAAGGGAGCTCATCCCCGGACATCAACACCTCACATTATGACCCCAGACCAAATCGTCCAATGAACTGTCTTCATTGTTCAGTCGTCATGAAAGCGGAGCTCAGATGACGCCAATGAGTCAGGAAACTAGAGTCAGAGTTGTCGACTCTGGCGCCATGTGTCAATATCCCGGGCAGCCTCCTTCTTCCCTTCCCCGCAGTGAGGAACCACCGTCGCGCTCGATTGCAGACTAACGCAAGCCAACACTTCTTGAACAAAGTCCCTCCCCGGTAGAAGAGAACCGGAACTTGACAGCCAATTACAATGAACTCATTGACAGTCTGTTGCTCATGGGGTTGTGTTCTGAAGACCTTGACGCTGAGACTCGCCTGGCCATGGCACTCGTCCACATATTTCGACTCGCTGCCAACTTGTACGGGGATTGACATTGAACCTACCTTTGGTGGACGGCTTGGCGTCGCTGACATGCATGGTGAGATCCTCTGCAATGTCACCAAACTCCACAATCTGCGGTCATCCACGGGGTGATGATGGTGATTGGGATTCCCGCACATATAAACTGCTTGTATGGCTCTCGGGTCGCTGTCCGGGGTTCTAGTAGATGCTCATGTCTGGATGTGTCGTTGTCATTTGCTAGCAAGTATTCATGATGCTTCAGAGCCTCTTCCTGACCGTTCTAGGTCAAACGGTCCTTGCGGCCCCAAAGTTCGACCACGATGCGCCGCCTCAGCTAGCTTGCGAGAAGCTCACGATACCACAATTCGACACGTTTGATGTCATCTCTTCCCAAAGTATCGAAGTTCGGAACTACTCTTTACCGTCCAACCCGTTGGCTTCAGGGGCCAATTTCTGCAATTACACTCTGACGCTTAACCACCACGGGGCCGATGATGTTGTCTTCGTTAGCATCTGGCTTCCCCTTGACAACTGGAATGGCCGGTTCTTAGCCACTGGAGGTAGTGGTCTCGCAGCAGGGACATTTGCCTCCGCGATGACAGATCCAGTATCTAAAGGATATGCCGCCGGCTCGACTGATGCGGGCCTGACTTTGAATCACACGAGCGACCCCAACTCCGGACAGTGGGCCCTGAATCCGGATCGAAGCCTCAACACAGTCTTGTTAGAAAACTTTGCAACTCGCTCCATACACGAGATGGCTCTCATTGGGAAAGCTGCGGTAAAGGCTTTTTACGGCGTCGACCCTCAACATTCGTACTACAGCGGGTGCTCCCAAGGTGGAAGGCAGGGATATTTCGCAGCAGAGTACAGCCCGGAGGATTTCGACGGAATCCTCGCGAACGCGCCAGCTATCAATGCCCCTCGACTATCTCCTGCACTCTTCTGGCCTTCAGTGGTAATGGGAAACATTGCAACACCCCCACAGTGTGTTTTCCAGAGGTATCAGGAGGCCATCATTGCAGAGTGTGACCCTCTTGATGGTGCTTCGGATGGTCTCATTTCCGCCCCAGAGAAATGCGATTTCGATACATCAAAGTTGATCGGCGAGGAGGTCGACTGCGCCGACACCAACGGAACGGTTTCAATCACGGAGGATTACTCTGTAGTTGTCGCAAAGACTCTCGAGGGTGCGAGAACGAGGTCCGGCGAGTTTCTCTGGTATGGCAACCCTCCTGGGGCACCATTCAGCGGGCTCGCAAACACCAAGACAGAGAATGGCGTCACCGTTCCCGTCCCATTTGCCCCGGCGGAAGCTTGGATGCGTTACTTTGTCTCCCAAGATCCTGACCTCGACACCGCGTCCCTAACCTTCGCAGAGTTTGAGCAAATCTTCGAGGAGTCGGTCGAAAGGTTCACCGAATCTCTCGGCTCCGATAACACCGATCTTACGGATTTCAAGAAAGCCGGCGGCAAGTTGTTGACGTGGCACGGGATGGCAGACTCGCTCATCACGCATCGGGGCACTATGCTCTACTGGGACAGACTGCAAACGAAAATGGGGGGTCCGGGAGTCGTTGATGAATTCTACCGAGTGTTTCTCGCACCCGGTGCCGGTCATTGCGCTGGCGGCTACGGACCTGTGCCTGTTGACCCTCTCTCTATTCTTGTAGATTGGGTCGAAAAGGGGGAAGTACCAGACACTCTTTTTGCAGCTACGACTCAGAATGGAGTCAACACGACTCGGGATCTGTGTCCTTATCCTCAGGTTCTGCGGTACAGAGGAGAAGGTGATGTAAAGGATGCGGATAGCTTCATCTGTGAGGACGAAACCTAGCTCGCCCGCAGGTTCCAGCCTAGTGAGCATAAAATTAAGTCTAATACTTAGTGCCCTTCGCCGAGTATCAAATGTCGAATGCCAAGGGATTAATGATTCAAATATTTGTCCATTATCAGCTCGGTGTAGTGTGCTTGATGCATTAGATCGTAAGAGATCACCGCGCCCAGTGTTGTAATGCTGTGAGAGCCGTTGTGTCCATGCCAGAACTCCTTCTGCTTCTTGGCGAGCTGCCGAATTCCAGTTCTAGAGTACTTTCATATTGTCGCGGCAAGTCGACCCTGCTTTGCTTCCATCCCAGGCCTCTTGGAACCTCTTGATATGCCGGGATATCAGCATACATCTCGGGAAAGTAATTGAAGAAGTCCGTCGACATGGTCCAGGAATTGATATCCCGAATTCTGTCTTCGAACTCTGGAGACACACAATACCGCCCAGTCTCGATGTTTCGTCTGTAGCAATCACGGAACTCAAAAGGCCACATGATTCGGAACCCTTCAGCAAACACTTTCCAGAACAGGTTCGAGCAATACTGGTGTTGTGAAAATACGAATCGTTCGCGGACGCCCGGCCTGTTTATGTTTAGAAACACGGGACAAGGTTAGCTTTCGTTCCATGTCGTGATGCATGAACCGTGTCCCGAGCTTTATGACTTACCAAACAAAGAAGTCTATCGCAGACGAGTGAGGCAACGACTGAGATGGTCTTGCAGCGGGTGTCAGGCCAGCGTCCGTCAACAGTTTGCGGACAGGTTAGGATGACTTACCTGCTGAGGTACCAGGCAGGCAACTTGGCGCATTGCTCAATGGTGGGCTCCGCTTGATACCGGAGAAGTTGGTGCATGAGTCTCAGAATAGCCAGCCGCTCGGTATCCGGACAGTCGCGGAACTGGAGGCTGTCGGTCCGCCTCAACTTCTTCCACAACGGCGGCAGCCTGCCTGATCTTTCGACGGCTTCCCAACCTTCCAGGATGACGCGTACCGGAATATCGTCGCTCATGTCGTCTTCCATATCCAGCACGTTCCTAGGCAGCATCTTTCTGCCACCAAGAACCTCGTTGGCACAGCGCCATATGCTAGCCGCGGCTGAGAAACCAGGACTTCCGGGATCTTGCCTTGAGCCTAAACACTCACAAGCCGAATCCGGCTCAGGCACGATGACGCCGTCGCCCTGGTGAGTCTGACGAGCCGAAAGCGGATGGCCACTGAGAAATGGCTCCAGATCAGGGTCTCCTGGCAGCGGAAAAGAGTCTGCGGCTGGCAAGCTGCTGGTAAACCCCGTTGTCTCTGCGACGGCTTGATCGGCTGTATCAGACACCGGTACGTCCCAGGTCATTGTGCCAGGAGGGGCAAAGACGTCCAAGGCGACATCCTCTACATCTATCGCGGGCGTATCGGATGTGACATGGTCGGCAGGCCAGTGCTGAAAGGTGGTGGTCTCATTATGTGTTTGGGGTGCCTGGTCGGGGCCAGTGGTAGTTCCAACCCTTTCACCCTTATGATGAACTTGGATGGAAGTTTCGATAGAGGATAACACCTTGACCAGGCTGTCCCGGTGTCTCGTCATCTCGGATAGCTGATCCATGAGGCTTGCGATTCTGCCGTTGGACTCCTGTTGGCTCATTGCTTGGATCGTAGCCTCGAGATAAGCGATACGGTTGCGATTTCTCTCCCGAGAGGCACGTTGAGCCCGTCGATCTAGTTCTCTTTTCTTTGCCCGGCGAGAGCTGGCATCGTCAGTTACGTGAATGGGCGCCGCTGTGCTGGTATGTTGGCTCGCCATCGTTCTCCTCGTCGTCAAAATTCACAACAGAGGCTATGCGCATGTGGAGGTGAAGTTGCAATGAGACGAAGATGGTTGGACGACGCACCCAATCTCATTTGCGGGGAATCGGGGTTAACGGGGACCATGTTCAATCCGGGGAACTGGGGGAATGCGGGGGACACCCCTGCCGATGCAGATTTAGTCATCGAGGCACAGGCAGAAGATCTCTCTATGATCCGTATTTATTACGAGAAGATTAGGCCAATGACAAGACAACTCTCGAGCCCCAACACGATCATCCCGAGCGGACCCAGGCTAAACTGAGTGAAGTATCATTTATGCTGACTGAACCTGGCAGAACGAAGAGGGGTAAGCCAATTTCGAGGGAGTGTGGGAAAGTCGAGCTATTTGTACGAGAGCTGTAATCTTCCAACAGGCTACTGCGATAGCCTGACTAGCGGAACAAGTTATGTGAAGGTCTGAGGGATGGATGGTTTGCATTCACCTAAACGGTATTAGACGTTACGTGTCGGATTATGCCAGATGGCTCTGTGCAGGCCACATCCTGTTTGCCCTCCCGAAAACAGTAACATTTTCCTGCTTCCTGAGAACAAGGCGGAACGGTATCAGGGGTTGACCATCGACTTGAGCCCCAAGGTTGCCTGTGTTTACTTTAACTTCAGATGTTCGGACGTATGTAGGTCTGTCACTGTCATTCATGAGAGTGAAACACAAATAGCATGTCATGTTCGCTTCCATTTATTTTAAGCTTCGGACTCAAGTGATCACGCAAGGGGAAAGTCTAAACACGCACGCACATTCGGTCCAGTGGGATGGATGGATGGATCGGGAATTGCGTCTTGCTCTGGAATCATGGCTGAGGTGAAGAGAACATGTTTCTTGACATGTCAAAAGAAAGCGAGATTACATGAAGATTCCAATACCGTCTGGTTACTCAATGTTTCCACATAAGGATAACCTTGGCAATTATGCACTGCTTCGGATAGCGAAAACGACACACCAGCCACATCAGTGGACTGTGGGCATGGAGGCAACGGACGGAGTAGCGAAGTTTCGCCCCAAGTTTCACCAACACCGGCATCACAAGGCCGGAGTAAGTTCAGAAGTGGTAGGGCAGGGTGGTTCGTAGGACCATTCGCCGGCAAACGTGAAGCATCATGTCAAAAATTGAAAACAGCCCTAATTCCTTAGCCGAACAGCTTATCGCTACCTCGGAATAGCGGCCACCGGCAGATGGCTCCGTGAAGTTTGAAAGGGGCACGACATCAGGATGGGTCTTTCTCAACGAGGCAGTGCCATCGACTTGGTGACTTACATAGATCACGAGCCTGAATCTGAAGGAACGACAGAAGTTGTGGAACCACCGGTACGGCAACGGAGAGCAGTAGGTTCAGCAGAACTAATCTTCCGAGGTTTCATCGTCGCCCTATCTCGCAAGACGTGGAGAATGCCCCTGAAGCCATCACTACAATGTTACTTTAAGATGTTATCATGTGGTCGCAGCTCTGTCCCGGCATGTGTAAACCACCCTGGAACATCGTGGAACGTTGGCCCACACACGTAGACCCGATGGAGTGTGTGTTTTCCATTAAATCAAATAGTTCAAATGATACATCACGCTATCCCTGCCTATATACGGGTAGATGACTTTACTGGAAGCCAGCTGAGGCTGACATGAGCATGACAGGTCCCCGTAACTGTACCTCGGCGGCATTCAACAAGACAACTTGCCTCATGTGCGTTTCTGTACACCGTTTTCATACAGGGTGAATACTATTGTCATCCCTCACAAGGCCGTTAAGGGTCCTGCTTCTGAATACTTAATCACCTCCAGTGAGGGCAGTCAATGTGATCGTTTGGCGCTATTGTTCCTGCTTCTCGTCACTCAATTGACTAAGGCGCTGTCAGCGACAGCTTCTCATATGGATGAAGCTGCTGCCATATCCTCTTACTGATCTTACAGTGCAATGAAGGAGCGCATGTTTCGATCAGTGATAAGTCTGGGTTGGAAAAGGAGGGAATGTCACAAGAGCCGTTTGGGGGTCAACGAAAGTCTAACACATCTCCCGTGGCTGTGGCGATCTTCGACGGTGCGCGTGTGAGAAGCAGCCAGGTTTGTGAATAAGCATTCCATGGCATACATGGATAAGGTCAATCTCCCTGCTAATCACAAACAATCTTCGGGGATCGTCCGCTCGGTCCAGGTGCCAATAACCCCAGGGGTGCAGTTCAGAGCCATTTTCTCGCGATGTGTGTGTTGCTCTCTAGTCTCAAAGGGGTAGGTGATCTCAGGCAGTGACTGCAGCACTCCTGTGAGGCATTTTCTCTAACTTTTACTTGACTCTTGGACAGTTCGTGGCCGAAGGCCGGGAAGCGTGTTCGTTAGTTTCGGCGGGCAGCTTCATGAAATGTCAGCATCGCACATTTAGCGGATTAAACATTAATAGATAGCCACTCTGCTGGGACCTCATGAATCGCTCTGCGGCTGCAGACGTGAACTTGCAATTCGGTCATCGTTCGTCACTTACAAACCTTGGCTTGCAGAAGTGGTGTACACAGTTGCCATGCAGAGTTGACAGACTGATCTTTCAGATGATCGCGACCGATCAATCAGACTCCAATTATCCACGAACCTGACTCTAGAGTATTCGGCTTCTCAAACTTCCTGTTCCAGGCATGTGGCCCTGGTGGGCGAGACGATCCGTGTGCTGGGCCCCGTCTGATAGCGGCTTAACAGAAACCGAGCGAAATATGAGGCGGGACCTGTTAGTACAGCATGAGCTCCAGACCAAAACCAGATGAAACAGGTTTGTCGACTTTTAAAATAATCGTCCGATGATATCTTGGATTTTCTCCCAGGTTCACTGCTGTGCGATGTCACCCTCTCTTGGCACACATCTGCGACTTGGTGTGACAGCGCGCTCGGCCACTCGCGAGGACCACGGCTTGCTCTCTGCAGAGTGAGGCTATTCCGGGAAGACCTGGCTCCGCGTCTGAAACGGTTCCTCCTCCATCCAACTCTCTTCTTCCCGTCCCTCGCCTGTCATTAGTGCCGCATCTGCACGGCCAACTCTTGCAACCCACTCCAACAACTGCAAGTCACCGGCGTCCTTGGTCCTGGGATGCTCATCTTCGGGGGGTGATCTCGGTAAGGGTTATCCATGTCCATCTAGAGAGAGAGTCCAATGGAACGGATACTCCCCTTGGCCCCCAACCAACCACCGCACCATCTCTTCGCCAACATCGACATCACAGACTGGAAACTCCCCGCACACCGTGTTTGAGACTTGCGCCGTTCTACTGCATCGCTGCAATCCTGTCGAAGACGGGACCTGAGCGCACATCCCCGCGGCCCGCCGCAACGCTGACATGAATAAGCTTGTCTGCTAGTCCTGGCCTTATCGACCTGCGGGCAGTCCGTGGTCACGTCCAGAATGAGACCATCTTGGCGATCGCCTCCGAGCACCTTCCATCCACACTCGAGTCCGGATCGTCTCGACTCTGTGATCTAAATTTGGACCTGCAGGTTAGTGGAAGCTTGTCACAGCGCCGTTTCTCTCTGTCGACTAGTCCCAAGTCGCAGACCCCATCATCGTTGTCAGTTTAGCCACAGAGCCTCCTACCGTCACCAGCCCACGCTGAGAACACCTTTCATCTCTGATCCAACTCTCCAATCCCGGTTCCGCCAGCTCTCCTTAACATCGGCTCCCAGCAATACCGATGGGCTACTAGTCCATGTGTCTTGTCCACCCCTTTCTCAAACGGGCCCCTGCACGCGATCGAGTAAAGGGCCTGGCCTGGTTTGCCATCCAACACAACAAGAGTCCGGTCGTGAGCAGGTTCAGCCGACCAGGCCGGTGGAGCATCATTGACTACAGTCCTCGGAAAATAATGGTATATCTAGACCGCAGCCTTTCATCCCTTCTCGTGAACTGGAACTTTCCTTCCCCAACCTCAGTTCTTATTTACTCTTCATCTCGTTCTTTTTTCTTACAGTGGTCTACAGTGTAGACTTCCCCTCTTTCTTTCTTTCTCTGACAGGCTTGATGCCTCAGACGATACTTAGTTTTTACTAGTTTTAGTTCCCGTGATCTCATATTGCACTTCATCCACATGCCTCCCACACTCTCATGGCGGCAAGCCGCCGTGGCAGCCCTGCTGTTCAACGCAGCGGTGACTGCTAACTACGACGCTCGAAACGCTGAAGCCTCGAAAGATACAAAGCGGGCTTTGGATACTGGCTCAGTCAAGCATGGACGATTTGATGTGCGGAACTTGGTTCAAAAGCTGGATGTTGGCAGTGTCCTGTCTGCCTTGGGCACGAACAAGGCACAGGGTGAGTTCATTCAACTCAAAGTCTTCTAGGTTTTGATCTGACTTGGACTAGATGCGTCCCCGAATCTGACTCCCCTCGCCGCCGAGGGTGCCGCTGCCCCCGTGCCGGCACCTCCTGCCAATGGAGCACCTCCAGCGCCGCCTGCAAATGGAGCGCCGCCTCCTCCCCCGGCTAACGGAGCACCACCGCCGCCTCCCCCGGCGAATGGAGCACCTCCCCCTCCTCCTGCGAATGGAGCACCTCCTCCTCCTCCTCCTGCGAATGGAGCACCCCCTCCTCCTCCTCCTAATGGAGCAGCGCCGCCGCCACCGCCGCCAAACGGAGCGCCCCCTCCTCCTCCCGACCCGAACGCTGCTCCCCCGCCGCCTCCCGATCCGAATGCTGCTCCTCCTCCCCCGCCTCCAGATGCTCCACCCCCGGATCCGAACGCTCCTCCTCCGCCACCACCTGATGGAGCGCCGGCACCTCCGGACCCGAACGCTGCTCCGCCACCACCTCCTGACGCCGAGGCACCTCCTCCGCCTCCAGATGGAGGACCGCCCCCTTCTCCGGAAGGTGAGGCTCCTCCGCCGCCTCCAGCCGACGGACCTCCTCCTCCTCCCCCGGAAGGTGAAGCCCCTCCGCCGCCTCCAGCTGACGGACCTCCTCCTCCGCCTCCGGATGGAGGGCCGCCGCCGCCCCCTGATGGTGGACCTCCTCCTCCGCCCCCTGGGGCGGCACCAGTTGCCGGCGCTGCTCCTCAACCTCTAGCTGTTCCGGCTGTTGGCGCTCCACCGGCTCCCCCTGGACTCGCTGCCAACGCTACCGCCCCGCCTGCTAAGGATGGAAAGAAGGGGAAGAAAGGAAAGAAGGGCAAGGACGATGCCGCAAAAAAGGCAAGGGACGATGCCAAGAAGAAAGCAGATGAGGCTAAGAAGAAGGCAGAGGGTCTGCAACCAGGAGCTGCTGGCCCCGGCGCTGCCGCAGCGAATGGTACGGCACCTGTCGGCCCAGATGGCAAGAAGGCGAAGAAGGGCAAGAAGGATAAGAAGGGGAAGAAGGGCAAGGCTCTCGAACCCGGTGCCGCTGCCGGCAACGGTACCGCTCTTGTTGGACCTGACGGCAAGGCTTTGAAAGGAAAGGGCAAGGACGATGCTGGCAAGAAGGCCCGAGATGATGCGAAGAAGAAGGCTGATGATGCCAAGAAGAAGGCGGACGCGGCAAGGGGTGCCGCTGGACCTGGTGCTGCGGCCGGAAACGGTACCGCGGCGGCAGCCCCTCCTCCTCCTCCTCCTGATGGGGCAGAGGCTTTGGATCCTGAGGCGAAGAAGAAGGCTAAAGAGAATGGTGCTGAGGGCGCCGCTGGTCCAGCCGAGGAGGCTGCTCTCGGTCCGGAAGGAAAGGGCAAAGATGACGATCCCGAGGCGAAGAAGGCCAAGGAGGCTGCCGGAGCAGGAGCAGCGGCTGCAGGACTGGAAGCACGCAAGGTTGGAAGTCTAGGCCGACGCTTCGGTGACTCCGATCAGAGTGACCGACGACGCCGGGTGCGATTCATCAAGCGACGGAACCTCATGGCCAACTGGGGCTGGTAATCACCACGCGGACATTGAAAATTTCGAGCGCGAGTGTGTGTACCTATGATACACAGATTTACGGATTATTCAAGGCGGAAAATTGGGCAAAACTTCAATTCATCATGTTTTACTTCCAAGAAGCCCGTTCAATCAATATCACTGTTTGAGACAGAAATCAGTCGGAATCCGAGTGCGTGCGGATTTCACGGATCGGATTTTGAATGTGTGGCTTCTGCAACGTCAAGTAAGCAAGTATACAAGTTCGAAAAAATAACAAAAAAAGAAAAAAGAAAGACATACGTTCCGTCCCAAGTTTGAGAAGAGAGAGTACAGGCTCGGATTTCGTGTTGCCCGAGGCGCACAGTTTCCAACGTCTGATTTAACAGAGAACTGGTTTAAACTTCCCGTCTGATCATTACTGCATGAAACTCTGCTATTTCTGGGCTACCCCGATAATGTGTTCAGTGAACCGTTTTCTTTAACGGGTCTTGCATACTTTGTCATATGACTCGACCTTTTCCGTATCCGGGGTTGAAACGTTGGCCACACAGAGAGTATTGTCATCTGCCGAACTACGCTTCTTTCGATCACCCTCGGTTGCCAACAGCTCTATGCCATACATTATCCTGCCCCCAAACACCGTCGCTCTCAGTTTGTCGCACGGATGCTCCTATAAATATCAACTTGCAGCTTGAGGATACCATAGCTGGCTGGAATGCCAGTGATCAGATTGTGTTGATTTGGACCGTCGACGAGTAAGATTGCCTGCGAATGCGATTACCGACAGGTTTCTGGATTGCTGCCGAATTCCGGGTCGTCAGAAGCTCGTCACACACAGATCAAACTTCACCATGCACTAGGATGGGGACTTTTGACCTCCTGAGGTAACTCAGGGTCGAAGAGACACGTTTTCTTGCTCGGCAGACTCCTAATAACCTCGGAGACAGGGTGCCTACTTTGACCATTGGCCTTCGCAGCACGTCATAGATGGAATTTCTCATATTAGATTGAGAGATCTCACGGGGATTTAAATCATCAGAAATGCGATTGAAGAACCAAGTACCTGCGTCATCGCAGGCAAGATCCCCCAAGTTAGTGGGAACTTTATCATCAATCCTGGTCAGAGGACACTCGCTGGGGTGGCGACCGCAGGGTTTTCAGGTCACTTATGCAAGTACTTCGTTGAGAGGCCGCTATCGAGGGAACAAAAAACAACTGAATATGCGAATTCGGCTTCTTCTCGCAACTTTGAAGTCAAAGCCACGGAGGGAGAGAATGTCCTCTTCCGAACATTGAAACAAACTTCCGTGATCCTTTAGCTTCCATACTAAACTTGGTAACGAGAGTTCGTCTCGAAATTCCGGAATGGCCGTTGCTTTTCGGGGAGGCTCCCCAGAAGCGCCGGTATGCTAGCGGGCGAATTCGGCATCGCGGACAACCGCTGTCTCGTTTCAGACCATGTTCCTTCATCCGCCTTGCCACCAGACTCTCGATGAATTCTTGAATCTGCAATGAGAGATATCACTCTGGATGCGTACTGTATCAAAACTGAGCGAAATGATGAGTTTTGTTCATTTTTATGCACGTTGCGCGACAGGCTGGTCCTTCGCTGCGCCCTCTGGGTCTTGCAAGGTGAAGAAACATTGCACTGTTGCAGGTTCGTGACAGCTGTTCTTTTCAGGCTAGAAGTCGGGTAAGAATCCACACGGGGTGTTTGGAGAAATTTCGTGTTGCGAGTATTCGGACTCAGACGACCAAGAAGGAAAAGTTGCCTATGCTTTTCTGTTCGTCCGCATTGGCGTATCATCAAGGTAACGCATAAAACGGAGGTATATAGAGACGAAGCTCGTCAATTTCTAGCACATAGTCGCTGCTTGCAATTCCTTTGACGATTTCTATGAGCCTTTCAGCGCTTCATTTCGTTATCGTTCGCAACCGTTAGAGCTGCCGATCTCACATAGCAGCAGCCCACACTGCGGGTGCCAGGCTTTTGCATTGAATGACTTTTCCATTCCGAATTTGATTCTCGACGGTCTTGAATATCCGACCCAGCCTGAGGAGCCTTGACGGTCACTGCCAAAATGTCGGGGTTACCGGGATAACTTCAGAGGGCTTAGTGCAGTCTTTTGGGAAGCTTGTTGGGCCCCGAATGATGGCAGGGAAGTGCCCACAATGACACTTGAACCGCGCGAGCAAGGGTATGAGCTCAGCGGTATCTCAATCAAGTTATTATCTCAGTATTCCTTTCACCATGGCATCGGGAGCAGAGTTTACAATATGATGTCAACACCGGTCGGAAGTCAGGTAGATATTAGGTACGCTGCTAGCTATGAAGGTCTCGAACTACAGCGCCAAAGCTTTCGTCTTCACATTTTCCGGTCTTTGTAGTGCTCAGCCTGTCGTCAGTCAGGACTCAGCACATTTTTACATGAGATCCAGCGTGTTGACATGTAATTTTAAGTGACGTTGTGATATAATGAGCAGACATGCAAACATATTTCGGCACCACAGCCAGTGCTATGCAAAGCTACAGCTCACTGTTTCTTCGCCCTTGGCCATCTCCCCCGGAAGGGGTTGGGGGGCAGAAAGCAATTTGTACGGGATTCATCAGTTCTAGCGCCGGCAGGCCGCTGCGGAAGCTCACCCGAAATGCCGCCCCACTTCACCGGTCGTCCCCCGGATCCCAATCGGGGACTACCGAGAGACCCACCTGTTCAGTCGGCCGAACTTCTGCCGCGATTCTGCCGGAACAGCATCCACACTCCGGGGAACGCGGACACCGACATTTACCCGGCGTAGTCCGGGCGATCGCCTCTCAACGCGCTCATAAAAGCAAGTCCAACACCACTAATCGATACTGCGCCGGTTGTTCTGGGCAGTTTTACCACAATGGCCACCATCACTCAGCAACAACCTGCTGAGACGCAATCCTACGAGCTCGCGGACTCGTCGAAGCAAACTCCTGTCGCGGATAGTTTGCCGCCAGAGTTTGCCGCAGAGGAGAAACTGGATAACGCCACACTTCTTAAGCTCATTGCTGCTGGTTTCGCCTTTTTCGTCTCCGGAGTTAACGATGGAAGCGTCGGTCCGCTTCTCCCGTACATGATCCGAGACTATAACATCAGCACTGCTGTTGTGTCGATTGTGTTTGTTGGCCCTACTCTCACGATTCCCGACTCCTGCTGATGTATGCAGTTATGGTGCAAATTTTCTTGGGTGGTTTCTTGCCGCTGTCACCAACACCCACCTTCGCCAGATTTTCGACTTAGGTGGCCTTCTCGCATTCGGTGCTTTCTTCCAGCTTGTAGCTCACGCGCTGCGAGTTTGGAAGCCTCCTTTCCCGTTCTTCGCAGTAACGTTCTGGCTTGTCTGCCTTGGCCAAGCGTATCAAGATGCTGGAGCTAATGCATATGTTGCGAGCGTCAAGGCCGCGCACCGCTGGCTAGCGTTCATACACGCGCTGTATATGGCCGGGTGCCTGGTTGCCCCATTCGTCGCGACACCGATCGCCTCGGCCGGCGAAACTTCACGATGGTATCTCTTCTACAGCTTCCCCGTGGGTATCGGTGCTCTCAACTTAGCCTTGACCTGTTTTGCCTTTCGAGACACAATCAAACTTGGTCACAAGCGCAAGACGACATCGGCAGCTGCGTCAGGAACTCCTCTGGGCCCAACCACAGAAGAGACGAAGAGCCCGTCGCAACTCATGAAACAGGTCCTATCGACCAAGGCCCTTTGGACGGTCAGCTTGTTCTTCTTCTTTCTTCTGGGAGCTACCATTACGGCGAGTGGTTGGATAGTCGAATATCTTGTGGAGATACGAAAGGGTAACATTGGGCAAATGGGCTACGTGCCAGCCGGCTTCAATGGCGGAGCCATGCTTGGCCGTCTGCTCCTCGCCGAGCCAACCTACCGCCTTGGCGAACGGCGAATGGTGTTAGTCTACGTTGTGCTGTGTATTGCTTTCCAGCTTGTCTTTTGGCTGTGAGTTCACCTGAAACTGTTCTTGTCTTTCTTTACTCACGCGCATTCCAGAGTACCCAACATCATCGCCGCCTCCGTCGCTATCAGCTTTTTCGGGTTCTTTTCTGGTCCATTCTTTGCGACTGTAAGTGTGATCTGGTAACCAGACTTGACTGACACTGACTCTTCCTTATTACTTAGGGCATATCTGTCGGTTCCAAGCTGTTTCCCCCGGAAATGCAGCCAACGGCTCTGTCTTTCGTGTTTGTGATTGGACAAATCGGAGGTTCTCTGTTCCCCGTAATCACTGGTGTACTTGCGTCTCGGGTGGGCGTCAGTGTTTTGCAGCCGATTCTGGTTGCTCTCATCGCGGGAACTGGAACCAGCTGGCTGCTTATCCCAAAGCCTAAGGAGTCGACCAATACCGCGTTGCATCAAGAGTAAAAAGGAATGGAGTAGTTAGCCTTCCCATAGTTTAAAGACACTGCTCTTCGAGGAAGAATGCTGTTGCATCAACCCGATATGTTCGGATTGGAGTTTGAATTTTACGTTCCTTGTGTGAGAATTCTGGTTTACCAAGTGTACAGTAAAGCATAATATTGACTATGTAGCGTCGTAGCTATGTATTGTGTTGTGTCGAAGGCAGTTCAGACTTATGTATAAGGTAATGACAGAGATAATACATCGCAGTTCAAATCAAACGCAAACATCGCTCGGAAATCGAAACTTGGCCACATAAATCCTTCGTCAAGTCTCGGTCTCGTCACTCTCGTGTTCTTCGTGTGCGCCATGTACGACAGCCTCTTACTCCTTGCTGGCGCTCCAGTCAATGTCATAGTACATGTCGATGTCCTTGATCTTGAAGGTGGCAGCGGTCTTGGGAGGGCCAACACTCCATCCCTTATCGCCGTTGGACCAGTTGTTGAGAATGAAAGGGCCGGCCTTGCTGGGTACGTCGTTCTGAGTCTCCCAGATGAGGGTACCATCGATGTAGTATCGGACGAAGACCTCAGTCCAGTCGAAGCGGTACTCATGTTCGGTTGTAGTCGGGTTGGAAGGAGGTGCAACACCGAGAGTGGTGGATTGTCCGTCTCCGTTGGCATCCTGATTGGTGAAGTGTACCTGGGCAGTACCCGGGTTGCTCAAAGAAGATGGATCAGACAACCATTCGATATCGCTTTCCTGCGTGTCAGATGCGTAGTAGAAAATGCCTATATCTTGGTTAGTACACATTGCCAGAGCGACTCTGAGAATACGCATACCGTTGCACACTCCAACAGGCGCAGAGAAGATGGCTACCGTTCGGACGGAACCGTAGAGGATCTTTTGGGTGGTCGCGACCTCACCCGCAGTGTATGGCATCTTGGTTTGGCCGCCGGGGACCTTCAGCTGAAGGTATCCGCCCGAAACGGCGACGTTGCCAGTCGTGAACTGATGAGTGTCCACTCCCGAGCCGTTTTTCACGGTGTAAGCACTCTTGTACAGGCCGTCGGGAAGCGTGGTGCCGGTGAAGTTCCAATACTTGTTGTAGGCGAATCTGGCATCGTCGTTGATAACGTAGGAATTGTTGACGAAGGTTGGCTTAGGAGATCGAGTGAGAGCTAGAGCTGGGCTTACGGCAAGAAGGGCCGCCACGACTATGGAAGAAAACATTCTGAGATCGGGATTGGAGTTGATAAATGAGGTCTTAGATGTGTAGTCAGGATTTGAAGCTGTTTGGAAGGCTGTTGGCAATGGTGAACGAGAAGCAGATCGGAACTTCTGCCGGCTGAGTGTGTAGTACTTATACCAATAGCCTCATCTATCGTCATTACTTGCCTCAGGATTCTTGACATTGAACTCGCCATCGTGATTCCTGTCGTTCTGGACCTCGGATGCGAAGCACCGTACGATCGATGTCTTAATCTCACCGTCGTCACCACACCCATCTCCGCCCATTTTCGTTTCTCAAATCCCAAAGTTACGCAAAGGAACGCCAGGGAGAAGTCAAAAACCCCGGGATCGTGAGTATCGTCACGATCACATCCCCCCATGAATTCCGAATACGCTGTCATTTGAGGCACTATTCGGCACGACATACCTTTCGATGAAAGTGAAAAGTCTAGATGTCTCAGAATCCTTCATTAGGGATATTTGCAATGCTTCTAGGCACGGAGGAGGTGAGAACTGTCTCGGGAGCGCCATGGCCTTGCAAAACGGTCTGGACAGCCCGCCTCAAATTTGTTCGGAATGTGGGTACGAGGCATCTGCCGCCAGACACTGACGTATTGCCGTCATTGCTACGAAGATTATCCTTCCGCTAAACCACGAAACGCGCATGAGTTGTCTTGGAAAGTGCTAATCAAGGGATGAAAATGACGCCCAGAACCCTCCATCACACCCCTTGCCTCGACTGCCACCCTCTGACGTGACTAAACTGCGACAGAGACTGCAAAGTGACCGTTATCACTCCCCACGAAAAGGGATTGCTAAGATGGACAGTGCCGTGTCTGAAAATGCGGATGACTCAAGCTTTCCGCGTCGTTCTAGCGTGGAATACTTCGCCAAATTAGGGATTAAGAATCTAGATGATCAACCGAAATGGGGTTGTCTACTTCCCTCGGCGTTCAGGATCTGTCAGCTTGTCGATTACAGGGCTAGCTGAACGGGAACAGCTTGTAGTTATACGTTGACGTGAATCACTCATTAGAAAACCTGACCAGGGTCACTGCGCCATGGACGATCATCATGGTTGGCAGCTCACCAAGAAACGCGCTGAGTGTTTTCATGACGAACAGATTTCCCACGAAGGTTGTATCTCTGAGATGCCAGTCAAACCTCAATTTGACTATTGGCAGTATACCGGATAACATAATTGCGTTCAATCAGTGCCCATTTCTCGGCCCCTCTGGATGACAGGCTTTCTTACTCGCACCGGCCACGTATTGGACATAGGATGTCGACTGTACTACAGATGGCTGAATAGACAAGTAACTATTAGTGTGTATGGCTTGTCTGGGGAAACACCAACTCAATCATCTGAGCGGGCTGTGTCACGCCTAATGGCAACGTGAGAAGGTCTCTAATAGCCCATGAAATCATCAGCATTGTTGCTCTATCAAGACGTAATATCAAAATCTTACTTCAAGGTCTTACACAACTCCACAGGAGTTTTCAAAACTTTTAGGCAAATCGAAGCTTAACCTGGCATTTTGAGGGTAGTAATCCAAACGTACCAACTGAGGGTCTGCTTTCCGGCACATGCCGCCGCTACAACCGGTGCGGAAATGACGCCAAATAGAAATGCATACCCCAAGACAAAGTCCAGGGTTCCATCCCTATCTCATAGCCCTCTGGAGGCGCTGGCTCGGTACGTGGTGGTTTTGGGAGACATCTGGTTTAGATCTCCGTGAAGATCATTATCTTAAAGACCTATGCTGCCACGACTATTAGCTGGGTTGAGCCCTCGATAACAGTTCTGCTGTTTGCCACTTTAATTCATTGACTCTTAACACAGAGTCAAGCGCGATTATAACTACGAAGGAATCAAGAGAACCAAAATAGGCAAACTTTGAGGGCCTCCTTAGATCATACAGAGAGAGACTACACTCATGTTGCCATGCCTCAGTACAAGGATTTAGTACAGTCCAAACCCACAGGTGCCTATCTGAGAATACTGATTATAGTGACTTCATTGACGTTTGCATTAATGCACTTCTGTGGCCAATCTGCGGAGGATAAACCACACTTAAGAGGCCCGCCCAATTGAAATGCACACCTATGACATTACAAGCCAGGAGGTTTTGGCTGTGTCTTCCCTCGTCTGAGGACCCCCTCCTCGTTTGAAGGGCTATGTGCATGTGGTATTCTGCCTAAACTTCGTAGAAGGCTAACGCTTCGGAGAAGGCCGAGTTGAAGACTGTTTGACACTGCGGCTCCACTTGTTGAAGAACGACATTGAAGCTGGTATACCACAAATGTATTTACTCTGAGTTGCTGTGTGACACCATCTGATGTGCGCATTACGTTACATGCCTGGCACATTTCTGCCTGTCTAGATTTCATCATAAGAAAATACACTTCAGCCTGATGATGGGTTCAAAGTGGACTACGTATGAATTGTGGCTTAGCCGAAAATATTTCCTTCCTAGGACACACCCTTTACAACTCCGAACAATTTCATCGGCATAGCCGTTTGTATGGTAGCCTTACGATTTATGGAATGATGCAAAAGACCCCGAATACGACCGAAATGCTAGTGCGCAATAGGAGCTGGATAACAGAAAAAGGCAATGGAAGTGGAAGGTTCTCGTCATTGAGAAAAGAGGCAACCAAAGGCCCCCAAAAGGCCCCCAAGGGCGGAAACATAAAAGTGTAGAAAACCGCTGTGCTAAGCCTTGCTATGGCTTGACTAGGCGCCGTCAAAAAGCTGGTTGGAGGGTGGCGCCTAGTCGTGTGATGCAATGGAGCCAGTGAGAAGAGCCAAAAGACAAGGCTGTAGGATTCGGGTGTGAGTGGCTCTCAACACCATTACATTCACTGTTGGCAACCATCAGCTAAATGCAGAGGCAGAGTCTGCAGCCAATTGAGGTCGTACAAGATTCACCAACGAAGTCGACAAAGGCCTCCGTCATTGGAATCTTCAAGATGTCGTGCATAAAACCCACTCAAGTTCCTCCTCCTACTGGTTACTCGATCACCAATCACTTCACATTGAGTTTCTCATTCGTGAGCACCATCATAGTCATTTCTGATATCCTTTTGATCCACCCAGTCAATGAACGACGAGATGGATTACTTTCGATGGCTTTACGGCCACAGCCGCGGGACTGCTGGCAACACCAATGACAACACAAGTCGTCGACAACCTCTCACGTCCGGCCCGACTGGCCATCGGAGACACCATGGTAGCGCGTCCGAAGAAATTGACGACAACCTTTCACAAGTCGCCCGCGATTCAGCATCCGAGTTCTCTGAGGATTATCCAACGACATATTCAACCTCGCCCGAACGAGGGCATGACTACCCTTGGATCAGCGGGACTGAAACCTCCTCGGGCTCATCGAATGGCTATTATAGCGGCCCATATCGCATGCACGACCGTTTAGACCGCCTTGAACCCCAAGAGCCATCATTTCAAAGCTTCCCTTCGTCATCAGCAAATTCGACCCTTGAATCCCCTGTGTGGGACGATGACAGCGACTCAGACGCAACAATTCCAACCACTGTCTCCTCAGAACAAACTGTGACTGGCAGGAATTACCGCGGTCCTGAGCAGATGTACGCTTCCACTAGCCAAAGCCCGATGGTGTCCTACACCACCACAGCTCCTATTACAGAGCCCTACTCTTATCAACATTCCGCAAACGCCTCTGAGTTTCCTGCCCCTATCGACGTCACCGAGACCCCGGTCGACTTTGACCCGTCCGCATCATGGTCCGAGACGACACAGACTCCGAGGCCATCTAGCCTATCCTGTCCTATTCGGCCACCGACAATACGCCGTAGCTCTACGGGCCACTCGACAAGATCTCGTAGAAGATTGTCAAGACGGTCTTCGTATCGAGAGGCAGAGTCCTACCAACCACCGTTAGGACAATGGGTGAAAACTACCGCTGCTGGCCTAGGCTATACTCAACAGGCCCTCACCAAGGAATGCAAAAAGACAACCCCAAGCTCGAAGACGGTTCGAGGCCTTCTCAACCCGCGATACACCGGCTCATATAAGTTCTACAAGGACGCAATACTAGCATGCATCATGTCCGCCAGCAAGAAACATAACAAGTGTTTGAAGATCATGCTTCAGTCCATGGCCAAGGAAAAGAGGGCAACCTTCCTTAACAAGATTAAGGACACCAACGGGAACCATATTTTAGCAGTGCTGCTGTCGAGAACGGAAAGATCGACTTTCAACGACCATCATCTGGAGGCAACTGAGATACTTGTTAACAACGGCATCGACGTCAATAAACCGGCCGAAGGCAATACCCGAACACCTCTACATCAGGCCATAGACTTGGGGATACCAGAACTGGTTCAGCTCCTCCTACGCCATAGGGCCAACCCTGGCCAACGCTCGAATGGGAGAACTGCGCGAGAGTTCGCCGCCTATCTTGTTGGCTGTCTGCCTTATGGCGCCAGCGATAGCTTGCGGAGTGATCAACGAGAGATTTTGGAACGGTTACCCTAGGTCTTTGGAGCGCGAACAGCAATTTTCGCTCAATGTTTTGTGTTCAGGTTTTCAGTTTGACAGCAGGATAGACCATTACCGTTTTCAAGTCCAGTTGCAATTTGAAGTTTTGTTAGAGATAGACCGCATGTTTTATGTTTTGGTAGGCGAATTGGGATGTTCATTCAGAGTCGGGAAGTTTATTAGAATCTTGTACTTGTATCAATACTCTACCTTTTCCTTCTTTTCCAAAGACCGCTGCTTCTCGCCACAGTATCCTGCATCGATCGAGCATGAAACTTCCAATTTAGTGCGATGTTTCGAACCCCGTAGCAAGGTCCCATGATTTGAGCCACCCTCATTGAGTTCCGCAAGGAAAGTTGCATTCAAAACGGCGGCTCTGAAAAGCAAAATGTCAGCTTGCGTGTCTTTCCTTCGGGATGTGATGTGACTTACATCAACTTGACAGCCATCTCCCGGCTTATCCCAATCATCATCAGACACCAGCCTGCATTTCGCAACACCCTCCTTCGTTTCGGTAGACCACCGCAGTGATCCGTACTCAAATTGTATATCATCCTCGCGATTTCGGCCCGTGACCTTCAGGATATAGTCCATCATCCACTCCTTCAGCTCAAGCGGCTTCTTTTCGGTCATGAGCAGACCAGGTTTCGTCATGGTGGAGGGTGTCTCGTGGAACAGAATCTGGTTTGGGCCCTCGAGTCTAATGCGGGCGTAGAGCCTTGAGTCCTGCGGTTCGCACGTTCTGGTTTCGATGATGTCGAGCTTGCATATGTCTATACGGCGAGTATATGAGTATGAGACAAGGTAGTGATGGAATGAAGTCTTTTCGACTCACTGTTGAGGGAATCACGGGCCTCCAAGGTCCTTTCTTGGGCTTCTTGGTCTGTTGGTGACGCAAGGCACTCATTGAAATTGGCTGAGAACCACAGCATCAGAAAAACCATCAAGCCTGAGTTTGAGAGGTGCATCCTTTCGACGGCTCGAGCAGAGTGAGGTGGGAGATGGCTCGGATTTCGAGATGAAAAGTCGAGTAGAAGCACTGAATCTTTTGGGGGTGGTCCTGCCGCTTTTTATACTCTCTTTCGCTCTTTGTCTTATGTTCAAAGCTGCAATTGCACTTAAAGTTTGCTATTTCTCCCTTGCAGCTGAGCGTGCGACGACGTCCTCGACTCTTTAAAATAATTGCAGGCTTTTCTGACTAACATGAAAGCTTGTATAATGAACGGCCTTGACGTTGTTTGTTTCCTGGTGACTTCAAAGCTCGAGATACATTTAACAGCAACAGCCAAGTCAAGCTGGCGGGCTTTATTCTCAGATGAGCAGCACCTGTAGGGAGGTTCCTGTTCCATGACTTTTGATGCCCTCACTGCGAAACTGGTGCTGGAATATTGAGATGACGATCGCAACTTGAGGAAAGGGGGCTACGGAGAACATGTAACAGAAACAAACCCGCGAAGTTAAACCTCATCAATAATCACCAGCCAAAAAGAAAAAAGGCTCGCTGTCACCTTCGATTTCTTTGTCTTCCCCGGCTTTTGCTAAACATCGAAGACGAGGGTCACTCTCTTGACGTCGCATTTCCCCGCTTGGCGTAGACTCCGGCTATCTAAAACATCATTTAACCCCGGCGCGGCTCTCCGGGAAGTAACATGGGATCAGGGGTCCATTTGGCTAAACACCACGCGGGTGAGGGGGCCCGAGCGATCATCGTGTTCGGACGACTTCGTTCCGTTTCATGATAAAAGGCCAACAACACCGTTCCCGATTATAAGTATGAGAACCGGAAGATTGAGAAGCTGACGACAACATCGCTTGTGTGTACGCAGTCATGTGGTCGGTCTGGCTATTTCTTCTCTGGGCTGTATTCTGGGCCGTCCCTGTCATTTCCATTCCGACTGGGGATGTTCTACATGGGAGACAGGATGAGAACCGCTGGGTCGTGACGTGGACTTCCATGCCGCAAGAGGTTGAGTCGAGCAATCTACCGCCGTCACCATTCGTAGGAAATGAACCTCTTCTTGCGCTGGTACATTAGCGATGCTGACAATAGTAGAATGGAGGAAACGTCCAATTTCGCGACGCAACTCTCCGCCAAACCTTCCACACCTCCATCGGCGCATCCCGCCTCCGCATCCAACTATCCAACACTTTCGGAGGCTCAGACCTACCCATAAATGCAGCATCTCTGGCCTTACCTCTAAACGGCGCTGCGGGAGTCGCGGGGATCGACCCAAAGACTCTGAAAGGGCTCACCTTCTCCGGCTCGCCGTCGGTGACTATCAAGCAGGGTGCTGTGGTGTACTCGGACCCGATCGACTTCGCCGTCGCACCGCAAACGAACGTTGCCTTGAGCTTGTATTCTCAGCAAGGCCAGTCTGGAACCAGAATCACAGGCCATCCAGGCAGCAGAACGACGTCGTGGATGCAGAGCGGGAACCAGGCCAACGCCTCGTCTCTAAGCGGCGCAAGCACGAAGCACTGGTACTTTGCCAGTGCGATCGAAGTCATGGCGCCGAAGAATACTTCGGCATTGGTTGTTCTTGGAGATAGCATCTCCGACGGGCGAGGAAGCGATGACGACAGGAACAACCGGTAACTTACTCAGAAACCTCTCTGCAGCCGGCAGGAATCGTGCTGACGCGTCCAGCTGGCCGGATCTCCTGCTTGCCCGCCTACAGACGGAAGGCTTGTCCAACATCGCCGTCGCGAATCAGGCTGCCGGCGGAAATGCGGTTCTCCAAGGCGGTTTAGGGCCTCCTCTCTTGGCACGATACACCCGCGACGCGATCTCCCAGCAAGGCGTCAAATACGTTCTCATCTTCGAGGGCGTGAACGACATCGGCCCCGGCGCGACGGATTCTGCAACACAGCAGCGGATCGGTGACGGGTTGATCAACGCGTACAAGCAGATAGTGGCCGACTGTAAGAAGGCGGGCCTCGTGACCATCGGGGCGACGATCACGCCGTTTGGTGGTAGCGGGCAGTCGTATTCTAATCCGACGCGGGAGCAGACGAGGCAGCGCGTGAATTCGTGGATTCTTCAGAACGGGACGTTTGATCGCGTGGTGGATTTCGCGGCGTTTATTGGGGATGGTGATAAGTTGCGGGCGCAGTTTGACGGCGGCGATCATTTGCATCCAAATGTGGCGGGATATCAGGAGCTGGCGAACCGGTTTCCAGTTGAGATATTCCGGACCTGAGAAATAGCGACACGTACGTTCTTTCGTCGTTGAAATCTGACAGGATACCTGTATCTTATGATCCGAAGTGCACCTTCATCGGGCTGTCTCATCCTCACTGCCGAGTGCGAGCGCATGAGACCTGCGGAGAGAGCCACGTGCGGCATCCGTTTGCTTTAAATGTATCCGTATGTACTCGAAATGGTGGGCTGTAGAGGGTGACACAGACTAGTGCTTGCTGATGGGCGAGGCGGAATCACGCTTGGCAGCTGAGATTAGCTGCTAGCATCGCCTGACCAAACTCCGTGTGCGCCGCCCGCATCGGCTGACGAATTTTGACTGAAGTTTGCACTACTCGTCTGCTAGCAAGCATAAAGATGCGGCTCTCGATCTTTGATAGCAAGGAAACCCTCGAAGAACGCATCGAAGTATCCCATGTTCGGGTGCTCACTCACTATTCCGAATATCCGATGGTAATGACACCTTGAGTCCAGCCCACTAGCGAGGTCCGCCAACATACTCAGAAGAAGGAAAAAGAGTTGATACAGAGACCATGAAGGCAACGAATTGGAACCGTGACCTGGAAGTTCCGGGGGGTAACGCCGATGCTTTGCGAGAGAAATGGAGTAATCTGGATAACTGCTACGAACCCCCTACTGCACCGACCCCTCTACTCCGGCCAAAATCCTTCGTGTCAATGATGCGATACACCAGTTCGAATACATGGGATGAGTTTGGAGGATCTGAGCTGTTCAGTCTTGAGGAGGAGAGGAGGGCGCTGGTACGAGAAAAGGTACGGCGACAAAGTCCGGAAAAGCGGTTAGGATGGGACCTCGTCTTTGTCGGATACCCCTGCCTGCTGGCGTTGGAGATTATCGCCATAGTTCTGTCCGCAGAAGGCGGATCAGACCTAAATTCTTTCCACATAGAACCTGTCGGATATGCCGCGTAAGTCTTTCCTTCTGGACATCGATATCCGCGAGGACTCCCGCGCTGACAGCCGAAGAAATGTGGCCACAATCTTGACGTCAGTAGAGATCGTCGCGGCCGCTATTCTGTTGCCGTGTCTCTTCTACTTCTTTCGCGTCCCTGGGTTGATCATATTCACTTCTCTGGTCTCCATGGAAGCTTTCGGAACAGGAGTCTATCTCAGCTACGTGACGATGTCTGCCATCCACGACGCGTCATGCGAATCCTGGGTGGAAAGTGAGTGCGGCAGTGGGTTGAGGTTGGTGATGATTGGCGGCATGTGCCGAACCCTGCTTCTGTGAGTGATTCTCGCCAAGGTGTGAACTTCTGTTAATTTCCAGTCAGCCCGGTCGCGGGAATGATCATGACTGGATTCTGGCTGCAGAGGAAGTCGAACAAGACAGGATAGACTGGCGGTGTCCCGAGCTAAAGGGCAGGATGCGCGCTGCAAATATTTCAAGGCGTCGAGATATTGCTTGGACATTGGTTGACGATCATTCCGACCCAAACGAGGCAACTCTCTGATCGGCGGTGAGTGCCCAAAAGCGACAATTCACAGGGGTGAGAGCTGTGCCAACAGTTTTTGGCAGACCCAGCTGGCTGGTTCGGAGGAGCGGGCAACACGGGAGGAGTTCTGGGATCGAGATCCTGGGTGCCCAGATGCGAGGGCTGCCAACGCTGTGCAAATCCCGGTGTGACAGCCAGACTCGGATCTTGGAACTGAAAAGGAACAGGAGACAGATTCAAATCCCGAAAGCTGTGTTAGTTGTCTTGAATGAGTTTGCTGCTCGTCTGAGGCCCCAGAATGCGTGCGACGCGGAAATTGCGTCCCAATAAATTGTCGGCTGCGTGCGTTGTGATAGATGCAGGTTGTTCCAGGAAAGGCAACTGATTGTCTGCACGATGACCTTCGAGTCTGAGCATCTCGTCACCAGGACCTTGCCGCCCTCAAACCCTTGAAAACTTTCTCATCCTTCGAGTGCTTCTCAGATATCGAGAACCAGCGGGTTGAAGAGTCCCTAGTCTGCTTACTGGGGTTGAGCGGCAACAAACCGTACCACCGGGCGCAATTCCCAGCCGAATGGCACCTTCATGAGCAAGGCAACCGGTCTAAAATGAGCGGAGAGACTCGCCACGACAAGAAAAGAAAGGATGCGGCCGGGGCCCCAAGTCTAGTCGTGTCTCCGCGCTTCCGCGATGCAAGCCGCATGGAACCGTGGCTGCATCTTGCCGCACGACGATTGGTTCCAACCAGCTGGAACCCAGGGGCCCCCCGCCCTGTCGTATCATTGTTGTCTTGCCGAGGGATGCAGGAGGTTCAGACCGGATGGCAGATAAAGGAGACATTATTCCTTTTTCCTTTTTTGGTGTTATTGCTTGCGTAGCCGCCTCCCTGTCACCGGGAAAGTGAGAACCCAGAGATCTGGTTTGGATTTCCCAAGCGTGGTCGCCTTGCTGGGTCGCGGACGAGCAAGTGCCGTGAAAAGCCAGAAGATAGACAATGTCCCCCGTTCCACAAGACCTTGGCCTCTGTGTGATCGTTTCTTTTCCTCCTATGTTTGGTTGTCGACTCCTTGCCGGGGCCGTTCGTCACGTTTGCTCTCTCCAAACGAGCCTGAATGGCTTTGGTTCGGGTTGATCCCCATTGTTTCTCTGTTCACAATGGCCACGACAATTACGGACGTGATTCCAAACGCAGAAGATATCGAACGTTGGGGAATCGGAGTAGTGTTCGACGAAGATGGGCCAGATCTGTCCTCCTGCGGGAGCAGCCCCTCGGGAGACTCAAGTATCAACCTCGGCCCAGAGAAGGTTGGGTTGACGTCGATAGAGTACGCCTCTTTTGGTTTCCAGTCGACAGCTCGAGCATTCTGATCGTCTCATAGGAAGGAGTCCGGTATCCCATCTTCGCCATTCCGTCGTTCAGGCGCACCATCCCCGGAGTCGCCGGTCAAAGGTACGGCCGTATCAGGCAACCTGTTATTGTCGGCGAAGGAAACGCCAGAGATCCCACAGTCTGGTGGGACAATGCCAAGAACCCCGGAAGTCGAGTCTGGCAGTAGCCTTTCGACAACGACGTTTGCTAGGCCGATCAATTCGTATCAGGCTTACCCTCAAGTCCACGGAAAGCGAGCACTGGTTCTTCTAGACGACGAAGATCAAGGTGACGATGCGGAGGATGCTGCGGGTGCGGAGGATGCCGGGGATGCGGAGGAGGTTGGACCCGAAAACGATGGCTCAGTTATCGTAGGCCTGAGAGAACTTCCAAGGGGTAATCGACAAAGAAGAATCAGTCCCTCGCCATCATCGGCCCTGGTCGGACCAAAGTCTCCAGAGATGCCGCATACGATGGAGCGGTACCTTGCCTCAACGGATGACCGTGAGCTGGTGGAAGCCCAAATACAAGTCAATCCGAAGGAAGACGCAGAGGAGCGACTTGATGCTGTACTCGAGGAAGAGGAAGAGGTTCCGGTTGTGCTTTCACGAGCTGCTTCTCCGGCCCCGGCCCTGCCCGATGCGACCTCCGTCGGGGCGAGTGTTGATGTGGCTGAAGTAGAGGGTGCCAACGAGCTCGTCGCAGATCCTGCTGAGCATGGCTTCGCAAACCAAGACCGACCAATATCCGTCGGTTCGATACATAGTGCCGGTGACTCCGCCGTCGAGGATCTGGAAGCAAATGATATCTATCAACGACTGTAAGTTGCTGTGTCTTTCGGGAAGCGATCCTGGCACTAACATCATTCGATTAGAGCGGAAGCCCGCAGGATTCGCGAGGCCAATATGGTAAGATCCCATGAACCGCCGCGGATGCTAAGAGCTCGAGTCGAAAAGAAGAAGAGGATGCGAACTCGAGATGGTTGATGGAGGATGCGGCTCATTGGAAGTCGAGTCATGTCCCGGAATGCTAGAGGCGGTAAGAGACAAAATTCAGGCATTGACGGGAAAGCCAGCAAGTCGCTTCATGACCAAAACTAGCGTAGCGTTAATTTAGAAGAACAGTAAAGGAATTTCGCATGTTTTCTTGCTCGATGAACTGAGAAATCACGTTGTATGTAAAGTGGAAGGAAGTCAACAGAGTTACGACCCCCGAAGCTTAAGCCGTATGCTTATCGTATCTTATCTTATCGTGATCAGGGTGTCTTATCGTTATCGTCCAGGTCCCTATCGGCCGCCACAACAGCGAACCTTCAGCAGCCCAACCCGAGCTTCGTTCCCACTTCACAGCGCTGTTGACGACGAAGAATGGTCGCAAACCACCTCGACTCAATTCCCCTCCACCTCGAATTCCTCACCTCCGTCTCCCGGTTGCGACACCACGGCCATGTCCATGGCGCCGTGCGAGCTCGAGCTCCATGTATAGCCGCGAAAACAAGATCATGCGCAAGCTTCTCGGCAAAGTCACTGCCGACAGCAGCACCGATACGAACCACACGATAGGCATCACCAGCGCGCCGCACTTCCAGACCTCCTACCGACCCAGCGCCTCCCAAAACGCCGTCTACCCCGTCGGCGTTCCGATTCTATGCCTCGACACCTCGCCCGATCGCCGCACTGCCATTATCGCCGGTAGACATGTCCTCAAGACGGTCGTCTTTGACGGACTTTCTATTAGCGAGGGCATCGATGTTCGCGCAGCCATCACAGCCCACTCGAGCAAAGGCGCATCGGGCTCCCTGACAGCCGACAAACTCTCCATACGAGACGTCAAATGGCACGGTGACTCGACGATATTCACGGCTTGCGCAAATGGAAACATCTTTTCGTACGACCTCGCGAGAATCACCACAGGCAGCACTGCTCTGGAGTTCGTCCAGACGAGGGAGGATTCCCGCCAGGTCAACTCGCTGGACATCAATCCCCACCGCCAAACAACCCTTCTTTCTGGAAGTCAGGATGGAATGGTGCGGTATTTCGACATTCGCGCTCCCGTGCAGAGTAGATCTGGCGGCTTCACGTACAGCCCGCGAGGCGCCTACAAGTGCAACGCAGACGGGGTTCGACAGGTCAACTGGTCACCCAAGGATGGCTTCTACTTCGCCTGCGGAACCGAGTCGGGCGTGGTGTTGAAATGGGATGTGCGCAAGATCGCGCAGCCATTACTGAAGATCCCAGCACACGACAAGGCATGCGCCTCTATATCGTGGCATCCCGATGGAAACCACCTCATCAGCGGAGGGTGGGACTCTAAATGCGCCGTTTGGGATATGTCCAAGAACGCAGACAAGCGACAGAAGCCCCGATGGCTCATACATACACCCGCGCCGGTGTCTGCGGTAGCCTGGCGGCCTGGGTTGTGGTCGGCGAGTGCGCAAGGAAAACGCGCTGCCCAGGTTGCCGTCTCCTATGACGATGGAAGTCACAAGCGCTACGGAATTAACAGCGTTCATATCTGGGACTTGGCGAGGCCATCAATGCCTTACAAGGAAATCGACTGCTTCGATTTCTCACCGTCGGGCCTGCTGTGGCAAGATCAGGATCTTCTCTGGACAGTTGGTAACGATGGACTTTTCAACCAATGCGACGTCGCCTTCGCTCCGAAAGTACTAGACCGGCAGTCAGTATCCAGCATGGCTCTGTCCGCGCGCGGTGATGCCGTCATGTTTCTAGATGAGAGACCGCATTATCGCCCTCGACCACCAATCATTCATCCTCACCAATCCAGCGTCGTACCGCCGAGAACGTCTTATAGCTCGAGCCCGACAACGCCGATGCTCAGCATCAGTCGAAGCGACTCTGAAGAGGACGTTGTTGGAAGTTTTCTAGGCCCCCGCCGAAGGATCGGCCGGAAACGGAGGCACAGCTTGCGATCTATCCCTGTCCTGAGCACAACACCACCTTCTGGACCGAGCCTGGGCGAAGACCAAGTCCTCGGTCTAGAGCAAGCTATCAAGGTCACTGGAACCTACAAGACACAGCAGGCCATGGCTGTTGGACATGTGCCAGCTGCGGCAAGAGTCGATATCTACCAGTTTCTCTCGAGTTATTACCTCGAAACTCTGGAGCAAGAGCTGCCTAACATAAACGGCGGCAAGTCCCTGGCCAAGAGGGTTGCTTCCATCATGGAGCAGTATGCTCGTGCGGCAGAGCAGGTCAATCAGTTCCGTCTGGCGCAGACATGGCGCATCCTGGCATACTCCATGAACCTGCTGTTGGACAGGAGAGCGCAGTATCATCTGGAAACTCGCCTAGGCCACTTCCAGAAGAGGCCGTCACTTCCCAAGATTAAAGATCTGCCAAAGGTCAAGGTAGCAAGGTCTCTCGGCGTGGTCGTAGAGATGAACGGCGAGGAAACCCCCAGGCGTCCCTCAACGGCCGTCGTTTCCAACAGCATGGATAGCAAATCTCTTAGCGTACGGTCCCTGCTGTCCGATGACATCGAGAGCACGTCGAATGTGGCCACACCCATAGCCAGGGCGATCAACGAGGAGCATGCGGAACAGGGTGGCTACCCATCGGACGCGAGACTGCCGCCGGTCATGGAGTCGGATAGCTTTGCTTTGCCCCCTGCTGCTCACAGTACGTTTAACAACAGTCCACGCAGGCGGCTGGACTCGGTTCCCTTATCTGTCACTAGCCATCAGAGCGACCAGACTCAAATCTCTAGCACAGATGGTTACGACTTTTATGATACTGACGCCCTGCAAGCTATAGATGTGCCCGAGCCAAGGAAAAAGGAGCAACAGCCCCTGGACTACGGCCCCCGCACCCCGAATAGCCGGCGAACTATCAGACACGACTCGGATGACAGTTTCGCTCAGATCTTCTCCATGTCGGAGAGCAGTAAGCAGACGTCTGGATTGACGGCGTCTTCTGAAGGGGGCGCCTCTGCAAGGTCTGTCACGAGCTATCCGGTGCAGCTGCAGCCAGGCCCGGTTGACGAGCAGGGCGAGTACGAAAGTCGTATTCGTGGCAGAGAGATCGAGGATTCACCCGAGCATGGAGCTCTGGAGGCACTGAACGGACCTGGCAACAGCGCGCCGAAGGAATCACCAGAAGAGATCTTCATGATCTCGCAGACGACCATGGCCTCCGACACCGCGACAGACGAACCATCGCAGTCACAAATTGACTCCCTCCCACCGACATTCGAAGACCACGCACCACTCCACATGGGCGTATCCGCTTCGTGCCTGCCCAAGATCAGTCCAGCACTGCAACACGATTCCACACCCAATATTCTCGAGTCCGACTATCTTCCATGGCCCGAAGATCCGTCCTACCCACACCCTCTCGCCACGAAAGAAACACCAGACACATCGCCTCCCCTCAACCCATACACTCTCCTCACCCGCGCTCTAGACTTCGAAACCCGCACCTCGGCCCTCAACGCCTCAGCAATGGTCCTCCTCCTCAAACCCCTCATGCCAGACTCCGTCATCGACCCCTTCCGCGCGACGTCCATCCTCCGCCAACACCACACCCGTCTAATGGGCATGAAACTCTTCATCGAAGCAGCCCTCCTCCGCAAACTCTGCGTCCAGGGCTGGCCAGAGGGCATCCCCGAATGGGGCGACAACTACACCTCCATCTTCGGCCCCGCCCAGCAGGGCGTCAAGGGCGGCTTCATGTGCCCCAGCTGCCGCAAGCCGCGCGAGCTCGACCCCAAACTCGGCTCCAAGGCCCTCTGGAAATGCGAGCGCTGCCGCGCCGCCATGGCGCCCTGCGCCGTATGCGGCCACCGCGAAACGACGGCCACCGTGTCCCGCATCCCCGAGGGGGCGCTTCTGCCGCACCACGTCGCGGATCCCGTCATGAGCGTGTGGTGGTACTGTCCCGGCTGCGCGCACGGCGGCCACGCCACCTGTCTCCAAGACTGGCACGCGCCCTCCGAGAACGGCGCCTACGAGCTGAGCGACGGCTGCTGTCCCCTCGACGGCTGCGGACACGCCTGTCTACCCGGAAAGTGGCGCGAAGAAAAGAACATGGCGAGGTCGGACGAGGTCGGCCGCGCGGCGGTCGAGAAGGCCCGGCTGGGAGGCAGCGTCGCCGGGAGCAAACCGCAGAGCCCCGTCATCCAGCCCAACATCCGCGGGGACAAGGACGAGGTCCCGCAGAGCAGGGCGGTGGAGAGCGTGCGGGAGACGTTGGCCTCGAACGCGCCCACGGCGGGTATTCTGAGCTCCAGCCCCGGGAGCAGGGGCGGGGAGAGGGAGAGGAGGAAGAGCGTCAAGTTCGTGCCGACGGAGCGCTAGTGGCGCATCGATCTTCGTCTGTTTCGTTCGTTGTAGTAGTAGTTAGTGTACGATGAGCGAGTGTTTACGAGCTGTATAGGGAGCATAGGCGTTGCAAGTCGTGTAATGATTCCCATGGTTTGAAGTGTAGCATTAGCATGTATTAAGGGGCGACAACGCCGGGGTATCTCAACGAAACTACGTAATAAGCCCATTTTTTATTCTGTTCCATCCTTTCCGGTTCCAGTGTCGTCCAATGCATTCAAACTCCCACATTCTCTCTCAGGCCCTTGGTCCGCAAGGACATCTTCATCTCCCGCTCGTCGAATGGCAGGCCAGCGGGCGAGAACGCCATGCTCTCGGGCGACGTGGCACCCTCCCGCGCCGCCAGCACCTTGCGCAGCTCATCGCGCTGGCGGCTGAGGTACTCGCTGTCGTTGCTACCGCGGCGGCTTCCTCCGATGCTGCTCGTGTCGCCATCGCCGCCTCTCACGGATGAAGGTGTGCGGCCGGTCAGACGACCAGCCCACAGGCCCATGATGCCGCCTCTCTTGCGATCGGGGAGTTCGTCGGTGCCGGCGCTGCAGACGTACAACAAGTACTTCAGGTTCGGAAGCGACTGGCGTATGTCGGGGACCTTTAGGCCTTGGCTCGCGCAGAGAGCCTCGATGTTCTTGTTCAGGAGAAACCAGCCGTAATCGAAGCGGTAATGGGAGGCCGTCGAACCTCCTCGAGGAACATATAGAGGAAAGTCGCGCTGTCTAGCAGCTTGTGCCGAGTTGAGGTCGGTGAGTAGGGAGATATCATCGCGAATGGAGGAACGCGATGCGAAGGTAGTGATTGGGTAAGGAAGCGGTACGCATAGGTAGTACTGCAGGCTGTTGGTGAGGGCTGCTGTGTGACCAAGGGCGGCAGAGAGGAGATCGTCATCTGCGCCACGAGAGGCGGAAGTGTCGTACTCCGAGTTCGGGAGTGGGAGGTCTGCAATTTGGAAATTGAGAGGCCCGCCGGAGGGGGTGGGTGTAATACGGTAGATGTGGGCGAGGTCGGAGCAGATGCGGCGACGCTGGCCGCGGATTTGGTCTTGAGTTTGGGCAACCAGGGCCCTAGAACCGGCGAGATGCTCGGCAGCGTTGGCGACGTCCTTCTCTGCTTTGTCCTGGAGAGCACGACCATTGGCTATTGCTTCTCTGCGGGTCCTGATGGACTCGCGCAGCTCATCACGGCGCTTCTCGGACGCGCTGAGAGCGCGCTTCTCCAAGGTAACATACTTCTTCGCCAACTTCACCTTCTCTTCAGCCGCGGGGGCTTCGTTATGGGGGACTGTTTCGAGGGCGTCGTTGATCTGCGATGTGATCTGGGCTTGGGTCGCATACGCATCCTGGATCGAGTTGTCCAGCGTCGCAAGCTTCATGAGGCTGTTGTACGAAGACGTATGCAGCGGAGGTAGGTCTTTGGGTTGCGAAGGCTTTCCGAGGACGTCGAGAGAGTATATGCCGTCGGCAAGGTGGAATATCAAGGCATTCGGAGGGAACTTGTGGTTCTGGAGGGTGCCAATGAAGTGTAGGCTTCGAAGGTCGATAGTGTCTTCGAGGAGGAGAGTCCATGATGTCCGTTTCGCCCAAATCTTGATCGTGAAGACGGGTGCTCGGGTGACAGACGGACCCTGCTCGTTCAAGTCGAAGAAATGGAAATTGAAGTTCTGAAGAAGCATGTCAGTCAAGCCATTGGCGCGGTGTGGTTTCCTCTGCTTACCGTCGCGTGCTCCTTCAGCTCGCTGATGTAGATGGGATCCTCCTCGTCCTCGCAGTGCAATGAAAAGAACACATCCGCGGCTCTACCGTCGACGGTCAGTTTCAGCATGCGCTGCCTCGTAACCGGGGTCGCTTGGGCCAAGGCAGTACTGCGGCGGCGCGCCTTGGGGCGTATGTTGTCGCTGGAGAGGGCATGGTGCAGAGGAGGCGCATCGCGAAGGGCGTCGAGCTTCGAGGATGTCGAGTTCAAGAGGGTATCATCAATTGTCTGGCCTCGAGGGCGGATGAAGCTGAGGTTTCGAAGGTAGATGCCGCGCAGGTGACGAAGCTTGCGGTTCTGCGCGAGAAGGAGGGGTCGGGTTTCCGGAGGAGGCATCGTGAGGTAGGTACTGCTCAGCTCAAATCATGGTGCTGGGATGTTTGCTGCAGCTTGTGCACACTTGTTTATCGCCGAGGTATGCGCGCAACAAATTGTGCGGTGATCTGCAGCAAGCCAGGCTCACCAAAAATATCGTGACGTGGTTGTTGTTTGGGGTGTTCAGGTGAATTGACGACATTGGAGGTCGGAGCTCCCACCTTGACTGCTGACAATGGGCAGCGGCAGGAGCACGGACACCTGCAGCAGAGGAGCTCCTGCCACTTTGGACTTGAAATTAGCTCCATATCAGCCCCACCATCCCGTCGTCATTCCTCACCAGCCACAGCTCTTATCTTCTATTACCAGCCACACTCAGCCAAAAGGGAAGCTTTTAACAAGACACTCTGTAGTAATTTTCAAATGAGCTTCTTACGCCTGATTATTCTATTAGACACTTCATTTAGTCCTTTTACTATTTTAGAAGTGTTCTATTTCTTTGACTCAAGTTCAGTGAATAGTCGTAGCTTCTCATAGGTAGCCTACTCAGATATACTTCCATACGACAGCATCTCAAGAGAAGAGACAATTCAGAGTTTACCTTTATTTCTCGTCAGTTTAAACGTCCAACCATGGAATGAGAAAACTGAGTTCGATCTTAGATGATGATCCAACTTAACATGACGCATTCGCTATCTGATGAGATTGAGTAAGAAATCACCTAGTCAATTCCACTCATTACTCACGATACGTATGAATCGTCGAAGCACCGACGAACTGTCTTGTCTCGTGTTGTATTCAACCCCGGCTTCGGCCCCACAAGACGGAGCCCCGGGGTCCCTGACAGAACATCCCGCCGTTCTCCACTCCCGATCGACCCCGCTCGCCGAGACCAAGGAACCGTCTGAGCGCGGCCGTTTGCGTCGGGATCTCCCTGCTGTTTCATCGATCTCGGAGAATTCAAAGAGATGCAGCAAGGCCCACGTCATCGACGAAACTCTAACGCCCATCCGCTGCAGCTGAACAACTCAGCTCTGTTTAGATGGCAACTTTGGCATTTCCAACTTGCAGACACCAATTCGCCGTTCCGTCTCACCACTGAGCACTGATATCCTGGATGAACCGCGTCGTATGGCTCGCATCGTCCCATCTTCGGTCTAGAGGGTTCTGGAGAGGCTGAGTGAATCGCCGAGGCACTGCCATCTAAGCCTCCAGTTTGGCGTACGTCACAGGACTGAAGTGGCTCTGCAGCTGCTTTTCCTCCAGTTTCTGAGAAATTAAAGTCCGTTCTTTCCCCACGTAATCTAGAAAGCAGGTGTTTCCTCAAAGGTCGACGAGGCCTTTCAGCAGTGAACATGGAGACAACAACAGAACCGCAACATTTTCTACTCTTGAACCGGAGTCACGACGGCACAATAGTCGTCAACCTTGCCAAACCCAGAGGTCATGTCACCCACCTCTACAGCATCAGTCATGACTCCAAAATGTCCAAAATGGACGTTCGGAAAATGAAATGCGACTCCGGCTCCGCAGAACACCGGCCCATCGCAGCCATCAAACTCCGCACAATACCACCCCGAGTCGACGTCACCGTCCGCGGGGTCTCGTTCAAAATGGCGCGGAAGCACCCCTTGTCCAAGACCCTGACCTTTCGATTCCTGGGCGCGGGGGAGATGAAATGGGAACAGATTGGCAAGAAGGGCAGGGGCATGAGGCTGGTAGACTTCAACGGCAAGACTCAGGCGCACTTCCGTCCGAGGATGCACGTGGTCAGCCACGTTGCCGGCGGGGGAAGCGGGGATGACGAGAAACACGGCCGGAGCAGTCCGGGTCGCAAGGCCGGATGGGGGCCCGGGTTTGAGCTGTACGCTACCAGGCTCGCGGATCTTGACCTGGATTTGATCGTCACGACTGGCTTGGCTGCAGCAGAACATCGTCGGCAACTGGACGACGACTGGGATGAGGATGCCGATGACGTACCAAACACCGAGAGAGCGGCCGGCGGCGGCGGCGGAGGCGGCGGAACACGTCGTGGGTAAGCCGCTGGACCGCTCAGCCGCCTTAGATGATGCTCATTACTCGAAAACATGTCTAAGTTTCATTATTCTTATTCGTAAAATACCCCCATGCTGAAACGAACGCTACGTATGAGTTCGGCTGGTATTTCCACCTCATCTTAAATAAGCTTATGTTGCCGACGCTTTGATGCCTGGTGATGTCTTCCTCGACTAATACACGAAGTAATACAGGTGCTCTCATGATTCGGACGCCCGTCGTAGACTCGTAGCTGCCAATCATACCCTACCGTTCAGATCCTTCTGCAGCTTTTTCTTCCCTCGTACGTTTTGTAGTTCCACATCGGCCCGTACGTCGATCTCATTGTCTCTCGTGATCAAAACTTGGCGCTTCCCGTCCGCCTTGGCGGCAAGTTCGTCCGCAATGTCGATCGGCGTTGGTGGCGTTTCAGGCTCGTATGGGGTATCGGGCACTTCTTGAAACTTGTCTTTCCCATGGTGATTGAGTATCGACCTTCTCGATGGCGATGTTGACAGGGTTTTCGTGGTGGCCCTTCTGGTGCTGAAGATTCGCGGCACCTTCTGCAGAAGTGGTCGGAGAGCCGGCAGGCTCGCGCAAAGGATGGCGCAGAACTCCTCGATGATTGACCAAATTACGATATCGACATTGTCCCAGGTGGTATCGAACGTGCTGGAAAACGTGACGAGATATTTGAGTCGGACCATCGTTGTTATGCATGCACTGAGATATGTTAGCAGAGTGTACATGTATTGACAGCATGGCGTGGTCGTTGCTCACAAAGAACCCAAACTGAACATCAGACCCAAAGCAATCTTCTTCCGGATGTTGAGCTGCAGCTTGTACAACTCGGGTATCGGCAAAATCAAGATGACGAGATCCTCCACGATGCTGAAGACCGCCCCCGCATACCCGATGGCGGTCACATCCATGCATTTCCGAACCGAGTTGCTTCTATCCCAGATCGACGAAATAGGCGTGCACTGGAAGATTATGAGGAGCAGGAATATGAAACCGTGCGAGAACAAAAAGATGATGAAGTATCGAACCGTGAGCTGGAACCATTTCGCCGGGAAAATGCGGGAGAAGAACAGCAGGATCGAAATCTTGGCGAACACCTGGATGAGGATGTAGATCTGTTGAGCGACGTAGAAGAGTTTGATGAGCTTTTCGCCGGCGGAGGGTTCGACGTTCCAGTAATGCATCCCGAAGCCCAAATCAGCGCTTGCTATCTCGACGCCAGCCAGCGCGGCAAGAAGGATCTAGTCTCTCGTCAATAATAGTTCACGTTAACGAGCACTCGTGCTGTTGGCTAACCGTTGCGAATATTGCCGTCCAGTCGTCCCACCACAATCGATGCGTGATCATCCATCTCGAGAAGCATCGCAACGCAACCGCTGGAAAAGTGATGACTGAGAGAGCGATGGCAATGTTTCGGACCTCCAGGCTTCTCGACTCTTTTGGGTATGCGGCGCAGAGGGTCGTTTCGAGTTGCGCAGCAGCTAATAATCATTAGCACGGCGCCCTGATGATGCTCTTCGGTCAATAGCAGCAGTGGGAGGGCAGCCTACTCGTCTGGTCTTTGAAGCTGCAGCTGAGCTGCACGCAGGTTGATAACTCCGACTGTAATTCAATGTTCGGACATAGGCACTCGGAGACGGTGGCAACTGAGGTGAGACTGCAGTTGCCATTCATGAGAGTCGTCGTGAGGCATGGAAGCTATCGTCGACCTACTGGTCAGCCCTATCTATCATCGGGGAATATTCGATGTGGTCCACGGCGGGTTGCAGGGAACAATGCAAGGAGAAAGCAAACAATCGAACCAACAACAAACAACATGTACTTACCGAACAACTTGGAACCTGAGAAAGCAAATCCGCTATGCTTTGCGCCTCGACAACTGCCAGAAAACACCACAAGAGAGACAGTGGCAGCAGCAGCCACCGGCCGTGCTGCCGCTGCCTCGCGTTCGTGGTCATCGCCTAGATATCTCGGGAAAACATGTACGAAGAACAAGATCAAACGACATGGGGAGAAGATGGACTGAACAGACGGGGGGGGAGCAACGTCAAGAAGTACGAACCCACTTCGACCATCCCGCCGAGAGAGGTCACCAGGGGTTTATTTCTCCCGCGACCCTGCCTTCTCGTTTTTAAAATGAACGAACCACCCCTCACTGCACTGAAGGCACGAAGAAGAAACGAACGCAGTGGGCAGCATTTGGGCCCTCCCGCCAGTCGTGGTGTGTGTGCCGTGGCCAAGACGCACCGCGCGCGCGCAATGTGTGTGATATGGCACACACAGAGACGGGTTACCCACTCACACTTACACACCTGCATCTGCGTCCTGCAGCAGTGGTCTATCAGCTATCTAACACCGACGCGGCAGAGTTCCGGGCGATATTAGCCAAGTGGGTTAGTCGGCCGAAGGCCCAGGAGGGACATGCAAGGAATCCACATGGCGTCAGCTTTCCTGACACACGCTTCTGCATCTTCTGCATGAACCCTGGCCGACGACGACGATGGTCTCTTTGGTCCAGAAGCAAAGCTGTCAATGCGGGTTGGCACAATCTAGAAACAAGCTTGCTGCTCTGTTGGTGTACGGCCGGAACATCTGCTTGGTTCGAAAGAGCGGTAGACCACGAGGAGACTACTACGAAAGACTTGGACTACGACCCTGTTTACGAGAATGTGTCGGCTAAGGGAACGGGAGGTGGTATTGGGGTCGGGTTGGGGGCTATGAATCGGGAATATGTCCCCGGTGACGGACGGGAATAGGGCCCTGTCAGTGCGGGGGACCGACACCGCGACATGCCAAAACAAGCGTTGCAACCTCACCTTTCTCCCTCGTCGCCTTCTTAGTTCTTCTTAGAACGATTCTGTGATATTGCGCACCGTTCAATATCTGATCTCTTCGGCCAGGGGTAGGTCGTTGCCGAGTGGCCAATGAGTCGAAGACTGAGAACAGGACGTCGGATAACGGGTACGGATAAAGTCAAGTCCAAGTCTGAACTCGAAAAATGAGGTCTGACCGAGAAGCTGAAGAACCGCTTGACTCGCAACGGCGATGTCGCCCAGGGGGTTAAATACATGTAAGCGGTAGCCTGTCTTGTCACCTCGTTGGCTGAGAGAGGAAACAAAACCGCGGAGGCGTTCACGAACCCCTTCAGGATCGACATCCTTGAGCTTCCTGTCCACTTCTTGGTGTATGCTGGGTGATGCAAAATCAATTATCAAGCACTCCTCCGGCTGATGCTCAATCAGAGATGGCATTTCAAGAAGCTTTCCACGACACGGGAAGGGCTGCCTCCAAAGATACGCCACTTTCTTCTAATCCTTCCAGAAACCCTTGAGATGAATGTGAGATGCGATTTGAAGCCGAAATGCGAGTTTCCCCGACCCTCCAAGAGCACACCAGGCGCTGCGCTTGTGTCTCAACAACGGCCCTAAAATCCGAGCCGAACAACAACATCAAACCATGGCCAAACTCTGTTCAACGACCACCGGCGCTATCCTCACTAGTCTCAGGGTCTCCCGCCGGATCAGGCGACGCATGGGCTATCGAAAGATCCTTGACCAGTCTTAGCATTCCGCCTTGCCTGCGTGTTCCACCCGCGCACTAGAACAAAAGATGTCTTTGCGAAGGACGGGAGAAACACACATAATAAAGTTTTCCCATCTTCAACAATGGCTCTATATTTGCGTCTCATATAAGGTCGTGTCTGATATTGTGAGTCGTCAATCTGTTCCAGCGCGCTGCACATCATGATGGCACGGGGAACCGGATACCGGGATGACTCGTCGAGTCACTTATACCCGAAGCTGAATACGGATGTTTCCCGGTTGTCAAGGCTTCAGACAACTCGCTTCGTCTTCCCTCCCCTTGGTCGCGTCGTAAATAAGCTTTCGTTCAGTTTGGCGGTCGAGGCAGGGGGTTTCAGATGCCTTCTCAGCACGAGTGCCGTGTTCAGGACTGACTGAAGGTGTCTCTGTCAGCTTGTCGCAGTGGAACGGTCCAGATTGGTCTTATTCACAGATGTTCTCCACGGCGTTAACTTGCTTTCCACCGCTTTACAGCGGATTCCTTGCTGGCTGTGGTCACCTTGAGTATCGTCTTCCAGATCCAAAGCCGGACTTCTCTCCGCGGCTTGACTAGCTTTTGACTCTTGGCTAGTATGAACAACTTAGGAATGCGGATTGGACTAGTATCACCGACCGAATCAGTTCTCCTGCCTAGATTCTGGGCTAAAACAAGCCTTTTCTAGAATGTTGTATCCAGCTTCTAAGCGGTCTCGATAGCTGAAGCCTTACCCGCGTCCGATGCAGCCCTATCGTTCCCTGACTCTGAACCTGTCAAATATCTTCAGACAAATCTTCACGGAATCCGCGGAGCTGCGAGAATACAACCAAAAACTCAAGCTCTCTGTCAACCAGCACCGGCTTGGCTTCCTGCGTTCACGCAACTCGACAACGCTTCAAGCACAGCATGGCCAGACACACGCCCCAAAACGGCCGGGCGTTGGACCACTTGAGCAGGAGTTGAGACCGCACGACGGGACGTGCTGCCCCCCTTTGGAGATCGAGAAGCTTCGAAGATCACCCCATACCTAATCTCGCGCCTGATCTCGTTAAGAAGGTTCGTGTTGTCAGGCACCTGGAACAGTCCGATGGGGATTCTTCGGAAACGTTGATTCTGACTCCACTGCGGACTCTTGCCGACCGCACACGCGGAAAAGCGGATGAGTTGGAATACGTTTCTCATTACCATCCGCGGCAAGTGTCCCTCCGGCCCGTTGTCCGGATGATGGAGGGTGCGGCAGCTGAGTTTGACGCGGAAAGTGGCCGGTGCTCGGCCGCCGGCCCGATCTCGTCCAAAGCGGCCCCAGAATAACCGGGAAGCGGTGCAAGGTCCCCGGCGTCAAACGACTCAGTAAGGTTCTGATCGACCTGCAAAATCTCGATCGATGAGTTGAAGAGGAAATGTATTTGTTTTATAGTATGCCGTTCCCAGACAATCCGGCCTTTGATCACTCTATATAGACTTATCCGGTGACACATTACCCTTAGCCCTTAAACTCCAGCGCTAAATCATTCGGAATTCAACGAACTTAACAAAGTGGCAAAAACAGCACGTCATTCTATAACGCAATTCCGAGAACTTGATCCGCCTTCGACGACTGGGGACCTCGAGGCCAAGCGCGACCTGGTCCGGATCCCATATGGGCACTGCGATGGCTGGAGTTTAACCCACCAGGACGGTGATACTTGCTGGGAGCCGTTGGGAATCGCAACGGCAGGCTGAAAGGTAAGGGAACTGGCGGGCCGAGTGGTACGCGCTCGCGGTCATGGATTCCGCGTTCCAGCTGCTCCAGCTTGAGCCAGTGGAACTCAGACACCGTCGTGGTCTCGACAGGCTGGTCTTTCCACGGCGTTGCCATCGGCCTGATGACCCGAGGAGCCACTGCTCGGTTGCAAGTAGGTTTGCCGGCCCAAACAGTAAACCGAGATGACTTGCCTCGTTTGTGGCGAGGCTTTTCGGTCACAATTGATCTCCGCCGGGAGCATTTGGTGAACAAAGGGACGATGGGCGGTATTGAGATGCAGACGATTGCGATGGTGCATTCGGCAATGGAGCACAGTATCCAAGAAACCCAGTTATCTAACACAGTCAAGGTTAGTTCTTTCTTATTCTTGAGGCGGACAGTAATTTCTCCCGAAACTTACACGTCACGTCAACTTGGGTGACAAGAGGTAGATAGACAAGTTTCACGATTGCCACAGCACAAGCACTGGAGTCTCGTTAGCGGAGGACGTCACGGTTGGGTGATATCCCACTTACAGCCCAGCAAAAACGAACAGAATGGTCAACAAAGCCTTGGTCGTCGTCGAAAATCTCTTGAGTTTCCAGAAGTGAGGAACAGGAAGTGTGCAAAGCAACACGTCGATGGCAATGCCGATGGCCGTGCTCGCATGCAGATAGTCGAAAAAGGGAATGCATCTCGCTCCGCCGATCGAGTTATCCCATGCGGCTGCAACCGGATTGCATTGGAAGATCACAGTGAAAACGGAGGCAATTGCGAAACCCCCGGTGAGTACGGCGAGGCCGTACATAACGTATCGCATCGTCTTGGAAGTGATATATCGAAGAAAGGAGCAAATGGCGGATAGTCGTGCGAAGGCAATGGCGCAAGGGTACAGTATGTTGGCGATGAAAACGAGCTGCTCATAGGTAAGCCTGTGTTTTGGGAGTGACTCTGATATATGACCATGCTCACCATCATCAAGTTCCGCGTATCATCGGGAAGAAGCTCGAGATCAAGATTCCAGTAGTGCTGACCCAAGCCCACATCCGTGGCTGGAGTACTCGTAAGCTAGAATTCTCATTGCTTGTTGCTATATCGTACGTACCAATGGGAAGCATTGAACATATCCCGAATGTAAATAGTGCCGCGATGATGACCAGCACATCGTCGCTGAAGAAGTTACGTGTCACCGTACAGCGAACAATGACACGGATGGGAACGACAAGGCCCACCAAGATGAACGCCGTGAGGTTCACTGCCCATATTACCGTCACCAAATTCGACTTGTCGGAGGGGTCACCTGATATTCCAACCGTCGTGGATGTGCCGTTGGTGGTCGCGTTCATCAGGCGTACGACCTCGGGCCCGTTTCCGTATTCGAGGTTCATCATAGGTGTCGGCCAGGAGGAATTATTCGCTGCGTGGTTCGTCTAAGAGTGAATCTTAACGATAGTCAATATCGCAAGCAATTGAGAAGGAGACATCAAACAAAATTAGAGTTAAGAAAACGTGAGTATCAGGCGAGGAAACGGCGCGTGGCGGGGGGAGGCCGCCATTTCTAGACTTCTTCTCGTCGTCTTAGTCCTTGGATGTCAACAAGCCACGCGGTTTCACGAGTAACGAGTGGTGTGCGTGCTTCCTTACGCGCCACAACAGTCAAAGATATCTTCTACGGGGGCTAAGTCTTGGGGTTGTGGCCATTACGCCGAAGGCTTGCAGTGGACGTGCGTTCTCGTGTTTTCTTCATCCAAGCAATTAAGCACTTCGTGAACGCAGACACTTTCATCACAACATGTTGATTCAGCGAAACCAAATGAGTTACCAATCAGTTGAAATGAAGCTGAAGTTGGATTCAATCGGCGATTATGAGTATGAGAGCGACTTTCCTATACGAATGAAAGACGACATCCTCTCTGAGCCGCGAGCGACAAGATCTCACCTTGGATGATGTGCTTAGCTTCTGTCCTCAGCGCCTATCGGCGCGAAATCAGTCCCAAGCGCGTTTCCATGGGGAACCTATGCTGAAATTAGCAATCCCCAAAACGCGCTTCCTTGTAGCTCGGCGAGTTGGAGGTTTATGAACCGTTAGCATGGTGCAAAGCGAAGCTAGTGCCTGGCTAACAAGCGCGCACTGATGGACTAGCTCAGAGGTTTTCTCGGGTACGGCTCACCTGAGGGCGCTAGAGTGCCTGCGAATGGACTTTGAATCATGTTTTGCACGTGGAAGTTGAGATACATGAGGCTGGTAGGGCAAATGTGGCGGGGTGGTTGGCGATCTGGGTTCAACACGATGTGAAGCGTGCGTGAAGATAGGTTCCTTCAAGCAATGGCATCACAAGTCAAGGAGCAATACGTCATCGGAGTTTTCTCAAGACACTTTTCAGAAGGTATCTTCAATCACACTAAAATTGATCTGCCGTTCTTTTTGACGTAAAGCTAGAAGGCTTGGTCACCTGCTACACAATTGTGTTAGCGAAGCAACTACTTCTCGCGTTAAGTTTTGATTCACCCTTCTCTTCACTAAATATTCTAAAGTTATGGTATAATGATCATCTCTAAGATTGGCGCCATGAGCTAGGAAATATTCATTAGGTAGACATCTTTCACTTAGCTTCAAAGATTGGCTTACCTCCGCCGAGATAGTACATGTATACCTCCCAGAGTAAAAAGCACAACCGCCTAGCCACCCAACTCGATTTCACCACGTTTTCAAAGGAAAGGCCTGAATTCCAAGAAAGACATATTGCATTCGCCGAGGTGGTCTCCTATAGATTCATGGTTTTCACTTCGAAAACGGCCAGATCTCGAACGTTGATCTGTCCACTGTCATATTAGCAAGAAGCCCTGGGCTTTCAAGTATTTTAGACTAGTGATATTCCACAGATCATCCGGGATCATATTCATGTTGCATACGTAAGTAATTAAATGCGAAGCACCACATGAAGCACCACGTGAGTCTCTCGCAGTAGAATGGTGAGACTCTGTCCGCCAAACTTGTACCTCATCTCAGTCGTCAAGTGGTTGGATTCCGCCGCCGAAAACTAGTAGGATCCTCAGCATTTCAAGTCTTGCTTCGATGTGGAAGTTCCGATTTGTCGAGTCTTGCGATCCTTCACTGGCATCATTTCAGGGCATATTCGCGACATGGAAAAGAATACGATGAAGGATTCGTATATGGGCACGCTTACGCAACAACGCTTTCTCTCACCGCCAACCAAAAGGGGCTTACTCCATGCCTAAATGAAGAAACACGAATGAACAGTAAGAATCAAAGTCTCACTTGCAAATACAAGCCATTTTCGGAAAGAATGCCACACCAAGTTGTTTCTGTGAATAGAAACGCCCCTCAGTGTGGCTGTTTCTCCTGGTTTGAAGGCCGTTTGCTCTCTACATCAATGTAAGCCCTGTGTGACAAGCCCGTGTCTCAGTCCATTGATGTGATGATGGAGCGCCTTCTGGTCCTCTAGCTGAATACGAATGTAACGTCGCGCTGCATCACAAGTGTCGTAATAGAAATTTCATTGCCTTGGATAAAAGCTGCCGTTTCCTCTGCCGTGGGTTTCTGAGCTTGCTTCGTCAAGCCGAATTAACTTTTCAATTGTACGATACCAACTCCAAATCATCCGACTCAACTGAAACGGTCAACCATGTACTTTACGAAGAATCTCTTTGCCCTCATCGCGGTCGGCCTCTATGCCGGCACTGTCACTTGCGATGACTACGGATCCTGGCATGTGCAGATCAATCTCAGTGGGGGAGCCCAAGGTCACAGGCTCGGAGAACTCCACGCCGTACACTCAAGTACGCCGAATGAGGAGAGCTACGCAAGATGGCTGTACGATCCTACAGTGGGATACACTGTCTACACCTCCGAGGACCCTACTCTGAACAACACTTGGATTGACACTATTGGCGTCCACAGTAGGCAGTCTCTTATCTATATAGATACACTTCAAAAACGCTCACACTTTTGCAGCTTTTGAGATACAGCAAGAAGTTCTCGGTGTTCCCTTGAAGGGATCCGGACCCATCGAGATCTTCTTCAACAAGAACGGAAACGGGCGAAGTGCTTTTGGAAATGCCACCATTGTCTCAGAGTTGGATGAGTGAAAGATTTGATTTGTAGTACAAAGCTGTTGAGAGCCAACGGGGCGTTACGTGGTGCAAGTCAGGAAGTTATCAGTTACAAATTTTACGTGAGGGCATAAACTCTGCTTATCTTACGTTTGTTTCGCTCATCGCAAGCTATGTTAAAGTGCGCTGAAGAACCTGACACGTAAATTGTAAAGACTCTCTAGCTCATTGAAGCTTCAGCATTCAGACCAAACTCCATAGCCATCATGTTCGGCCGATGTTTTAAGGGGTGTAAGTTTCGGGTTGGTGATAAACGCTAAACCTAGCTAATTACGCAAAATCACCACGCCTCCAAGGGTGCCAGCTCAATCTCCGCGAGATATTTGTTGACCTGAATGGTGGTATTGTCCCACATGCCTCGAATCTGCTTCTCATCCTTGGAAACAGGATGAGGAGTGACAATCTGTCCAAAGGGCTCCAGATACTTGCCCTTGAACGTGTCGGCGTTACGACGAACCTCCGTAGCTGTGGCAGCGAACAGAGGCGTCACAGCGCCTTGATCAACCGTCAAGAACGTGGATCGGAGAAGAGAGAACAGGTAACCACCAATTGCTTTGGTCCCATCACTAGCCACACCTCCAGGATTAACAGAGATGGATATGATGGGCGACTCCTGCTCATCCATCAAGCGTTGTAGTTCCTGCGCGAATAGGAGGTTGGCCACCTTGGAGACTGCGTAGCGGATCATGTCCACTGTGAAAATGTGCCGGCTGGCCAACCGCCAATGCATTGGGTAGTACGGGACCGGATTGCTCAAGAATGATGGGGAGTCGAAAGTGAACTCGTAGCTCTGCGGAAACATTTTGTAATTCACGTCTGAGCTGATTGTTATAATGCGTACATCTGAGTCCTTCTCCTTTGTGGCGGTTTTCAGAAGCGGGAGGACGCTGTTGGTGAAGAGGAAGTGGCCGACATGGCTTGAGCGAGCGGTGTTAGCTGATAGGTTGGAGAGGGATGGTTAGAGTCTCACCAAACCGCCATGTGCCATTCCCAGCCATGACCTGCTGTTTCTGTAGAAGCAGTGGCTACGCCCGCATTGTTAACTTGCAGTGATTTCAGGTTAGTCACTTGGTCGACAGGGGATTCAAGTGGTGGTTGTCACCCACTCAAGATGTCCACCTTGTTCTCCTTCTTCTTCAACTCTTCAGCCGCTGCCCTGACACTCCTCAAGTCTGACAGGTCAAGGGAGAGCCATATAATCTGATCCTGGTCGAGTTCTGGGTTGCTGGATTGAAGACTCTGTCGGGCATGCTCCGCCTTATCCTTGGACCTTGCCGTGAGGTACACCTTAGCACCACGAAGCGCCATAAACTTGACCATAGCCAGGCCCATGCCGGAGCTGCGGTAAGTTGGGTCAGCCCTGTATCATTCTTTGATCTGCATACGGATACATGCACCGGAGTTGACTTACTTGGCCCCAGTTACAACAACGACTTTGCCCTTGAGATCGGGCATGTCCGTCAAAGGGTCCCACTTGCTAGACATGGTTCACAGTCAAAGCCTCGGCAGTGTTCCAGATTCTTGGGTGTCGAACGTAGATCTACGATACCAAGGGCGTGGAACCAGCCGAAGTTCATAAGAAACTCCTCTTGCTACTTAACATTGAACTACTGTGTTGAGGACTCATATTTGTAGCCATTGTGCGAGACTTCCAACAGGTGAAATTGGGACTTTGGTTGCATCCTTCTGTTGCAAGGTCTAAAGTCACGCCGAAATCATGTAATCAAGCAACACTGACACCAACAACACCAACAGGCTCGGCAAGATATGACCAATTTGTGTGTGAGCGCACGGAGTTCGGCCTCGAACTGCTCGATCCCTGCCACATATCTGCGCTATCCTCCTTTAGGAAAATGCCTTCAGGTTTGAGGTCCACCAACAAATTACCCGCTAATTATCCTTGAAGCCAAGATCGTCCGGACTTGGGAAGGCTGGATGTTCAAAAGAGAATGAAAACGCATTATCTAATTGGCCACTCGATATATATCTGTCTCCGCCATCCCACACATCCGCCCCGTTCCGTCGGGGACAACGTGGCTGATTAACTGGAGCATTTTAGGAAAAAGCCCAAGGGAGGGGGAATGAGGGGGTCTCCAACGTTCCCGACACCAACAACATCAGACGGGCAGCATCCATCTGACCGGTAAACTGGTTCCTCAACAGTGTGAGCTCGTCCTACGGTCGAAGTCCTCTTCACACTCACCTCTCCTCGCCTCGCTACACACCCCTCCTCAACCATTGTTTGCTTGCCATTTGCCTCTGTCATCAAAGCCAAGCGAATAGGAGGCCCTCGAGCAGCTGTTGTGCCACCACACGCTGTCCCGAACAGGCAGACATTGCCCCTCCTGTTGGCTCAAGCAACCTGATCCTTCCAACGGCGACTCGTTTCCAGTCTCCTGTCCACTCCGTGGTCGTGGTACACGCCGAGTGTCTGAACTCTGCTCTCCGGCACGCCTCCCTGTCGGCCGCGTTCTATCGGAACCCCCTACCAGCTCTCTCTCTTCGTCAGTCACGTAGCCTCTTGTCTTGCGGTGCTTGCAGAGAGTCTTCGGGACTCAAGAAAGCAAGCTCATGGCAGGTGGGCACGTAGACTAGGGTTACGCAAGGCGTCAATCTGACTCGCCCAATATGGCATTGTTACGGCAAGCGAAGGGAAAGGGGCAGAAGAAAGAAGCAGGCTCGCTTATGTTTGTCCCGATCTCTCACCCGGGCGAATCGGCCGGTTGGAAGAAACAAGTCCGATCTCATGCTGCGCGCAATCCGGTTAAACGCCCTCAGAGAAGAAACACCCGTGACAGTTGGCCGACTCCTCCACACTCTAACAGCGGAGATCGAGAAGAGTGTGAGACTTCTCCCTGGTCCATCTCGTCGTCTCCGCCGGCCCAGACCGTTGTTCGGAACCCCAGCCCCTGGACAATAGTCAGCGCTACGCCGCAGGACCCATTCGATACTGCGATCAGAACCCTCTCCAGCTTCGAGAAAAACCTCTTCTACATCTGTGAGTAGATTGGCCACGCATGTTGACTTGGCGCAGGCCTTGGTGCACGCGGGATGTGTTTCGTGTCTTCGGGCACGCATCGCTTCCCGCATACACACATGCCTGTCTCAGATCTTCACCATGCAGCCAACAGCCTGATGTGCTAACAGCCGCCCAGTTCAAGAAAGAGACGTACTAAATCGGATTGATCATATTCCAGGGATGAAGATGAACATTCCTGCCAAAACGGCCAAGCGATTCTGGAGCTTATTAACACAGCACTGGCTTCATGGAGCAATCCATGACCCAGGCATGCTCGCATGCGTGTGTCTATTTGCTTGTCGACACGTACAGACCAAAATGGGCCACAACTACCCAGAACTCGTTTATCAGCACGCGGAGCTTTATAAGATTGGCCTGATGGAAAACCTTACCAGGACACTGAAGAAAGAAGTAGAGGATAAACATGTTAATGACGACACAATAACCAAAACGATGGCGCTGGTGTCTGATGCAGTAAGCACTTACTTTCTTGTCATTTATCATCCGCGGCGGCACTGACACGATTCGTCAAGATGGTCCTGGGAGATACCGACACTGCGTTGAGGCAAATGGCAGCAGCTGCAGACCTCATTGATCTGCGTGTTAGTTTCCAGCAGAGTGCGCAGCGACATGTGCGGGAGCGCGACTTAACGAATCTTCGCATCGTCTTTTCGGAGAACAGAGGGCTCGAAGGTGCGCTGGGTGGAGTCAGCTTCGATGGCGAGGATGGCGAGGACGCTCCCTCGACACCAGTTTCTGAACCGACCTGTCAGAGGAACTTGGTCTTCCGCATTGGAAGAGAAGGGTAGTGGTACAATAAGGCACATGTATTGGACAAGACTTTATGATAATGATAGTGTTATGTCTATTAATGAGAAACTAACTCCGAAAGATGCTACGCTACAGGTTCTACAACACTTGGCCTAAGAACTGACACCCTGGGGAAACGTGAAGAGCCCCTTGGGATCCCACTGGGCCTTAATGGTGCGGAGGCGAGGCAAGCTTGATCCGTAGTATTGACTCTGAGCATCGGCGTTACTGAGCAGCGGATCCGCGTAGTTGGCGTAACGTCCCCAGCTACCGGCAGCGAGCTTGGGAGTGATAGCAGCCATCCAGCCTTGCATGAAACCAGTACCCTGGTTGGCATTGGTAGGGTAGGCAGAGCCACCGGACGAGTCGTAGAACTGCCACAACAGCAACTTGTCGCGATGGGCGTACGAGCTGGAAGACGGGTCGATCTGAGCAGTCTTGGAGTTCGCACCTCCATGAACGTCGATCAGAACGAACCAGCCCCTGTTGACGGTCTTTGCCTTGCCCTGAAGATAGTCGACGAAGGCCTTGAAGCCGGCTTGCGGAACATCCTTGGTCATCAGGCTAGATGCGTAGAAGGTGTCGGTCTATCAACAGCGTGTTAGTATCCCGTACACTGTGTCTAGAAAAAGAAGCATTATATGCAATGTGAAACTTACAGCACTCTGTGGGCCCGTAACATCTACAGGGTCACCGCCGTAGTGTTCAATCTGGCCCATCCAGTCGGTCTGTTGGACGTCGGCAGCAGAGCTGTCGACGCCAAGAGGCGAGAGGAAGTTGTTAAGCTCATCGCGGGTTTGGTCCTCATCTCCAAAGAAGAGCCCGGTGAAGTGCACTCCGTCTGGGTTCGCATTGGCCTGCACGTTCATCTCCACAGGCATGGTAGCGGCGTACTTTTGAAATCCAGTGAGGATTTTCACCAGCTGAGCGCTCTTCTGGTACGGGACGGGAACGGTAAATGTAGTAACGACATCGGGAGCTTCGAACGTGTTGAGCTTGAACTCGGTCACGATGCCGAAGGACGATCCAGCACCGCGAAGAGCCCAGAAGAGATCAGTGTTCTGGGTTGCCGACGCCTTCACGATCTTTCCGCTGGCCACGACTACGGTAGCTTCGAGGATCCAGTCCAAGGCTAAGCCGTATCCATGCGAAGCCAGGCCTGTGCCAGTCTGTCAGTTTTGAAAAGCGTGGGGCAGACTTTCGCTGAAACTTACCATATCCGCCGTGTAAGGAATGCCCAGAAATACCGACGCTGACCGAGGAAACCCACCGTTAGCTTGCATCTTATACGGGGATTTAAAGCACCGTCACTCACCCAGGGCATGATCCATGGGAAATTGCGCGGCCTCCTTGGTTGAAAAGCTCGGTGGCCACATGTCCTAGCCTAGCGCCGGCCTGGACAATCGCAGTGCTGTCGTCTTGCAGAGTGACCTTATACATCTGGTCCAACTGCACAACGACATGGCCGTTCTCTCCGCCGAACCCGGCCGAAGAGTAGCCGTGTCCTCCTCCTCTTCCGGTCACCTTGTATCCGTACTGCGCACCGCACTTCACGGCTGCCTGGACGTGGCTCGGATCGGTTGCCACAATAATCACGGCCGGGGTGAACGCGACCCGGAGGTTGAAGGGACGAGACTGGTCGGACCAGTTCGGGGATGATTGGACGCTGATTGGCGCCTTGGCAGCGTTTAGACACCCTTGAAGGGAGTTTTTCGATACTTTCGCGTTGATGTTGACATCTTGAGGGACCGGGTTGGCCGCGCTCAAGGGAATTATGGCGGCGGTCGCCAAGGAGAGAATGGTATGAGACCGCATGTTGTTGTCTTAAGGATAGTGAAAAGGGTATTAAAGAATGAACCCGACTGATCTTGATGACTTTGATAGAACGAACTTTGACATCCTTGGGGATCCTTGCATTGCTTATAATCTCATCCTTCTGATCCCAAGGACGAGGTATTGGGTCTCTCGGGTCCCTTCGTCTGTTCGCTGTTGCCCGGAGCCGGTTGATTCAAGCCGTCAGCCCCGGACAACCCGCCCAGCCCTTAACCGCCACAACTTCTTTCAAAACTTCGTAATTGAAGTGCGATCATCAAGGCAGTGTCAGCTGGATCTATTCAGTCGGTGGATCTTGGACTGATCCGTGCTTGAAGGCGTAGAGGCTAGGATCACGCTGTGAATCGTAGGCTCTGGATCGCGTCTGACTCGGTCTGAGACCACGACGCAAGTGGTCTAGCTTGGGCCGAAATCCACGAGCGTGACCGGATACGAACTAATCTTGAACCATGCGGTAAAAGCAACCTCAATTCAGCCGCAAAAAAGGATGGTTGCTTTTGATAAACGAACGATCGGGCCTTCCAGATCATACGCCACCGGTCGGAAACAGAGGGCGACAAATAAGCTTGAACATAGTCCGCTCGTATGGGGTCGCTCAATACGTGCTTTTTTGTAAGCGGAGAACTCAGAGAGTAGGTAAATGGATTAGCTCTGGATTCTGAAGGACTTTCACTCAAAGCAGATTAGCTGACAACTAACTCGGTGTGACGTAGCTGACTTCTGAGAAATCGTCTTGTCGTAGCATCGCCCGAAGCATGAGCGTGTAATCTGTTAAAAAATAATGGCAATCAGGCCACAGTCAACTTACGTCAGAGGGAGACGCCAAGAGAAAACATGCGACAGAAACAACAGCGCACTTGTAAAAGCTGTATAAATCACTGAGCCTAGGACTGACTTTTCATGTCCGAGTCGAGGTACCAAGGAGTTCAAACTTCTCATTACGAAGCTTGACGGCTGTTCACTACAATTGGCTCTAGAACATTCAACGGGGTTTCGTCTGTTCAAGTAGTTCTGGCTTAACTTGCTGAGTTTGGGGCTATGGACAGTGTAGGTAGGCCTGTATCATTCACAACCTTGGGCTATGTCAAGGACAAACTTCAACAAAAGAAGTCAGGCGAGTGCAGTCTTCGCACTGTAATTTTATCGTGGTTTCTGAATCATCGTTTTCACAGTAAACGAATATGGTCCTTCACTCCAATCGAGTTCTTTCTATTTACCTCTAGCTCCCGACAGTCCGCTATTACGTTCATGAAATTATGAAATGAGGATTCCGTGTGCTACATTACATAGATGTAGCTACTAAAACCAAATGCTTGTATAGGGAAGCTATTAAGAGGATGTTAAGCGGTTACGTCATCTATGCTGGTCGAAGGCGATTTTACTACTGATGCTATTTTCAAGCGCCACCACGGATACCTAAAGCTTATTAGGATGGAGTTTCGGTGTATTTTAATATTATGTAGTAAATGTGCTCAGTAGAAATAGTTAGTTGTCAAATATGCTTAGAAGAAGAAGTGTTATTGTATTAAAGGTATATTTAGCAGCAACTTGCAGTGGTTGTCATCGACCAGACGATTTCGTGTCACACTGTGTTTCCAAGGCAAGGAACACATAGTCCTGGTTCCAATTTCCAAGACTTTTGAAGAATTGTCGTTTTTTATTCCAGTCAATTATCATAACTTCATACTAAAATACATGATTAACTGGCCATCCACTGTCCTCCGTTGGCGCTGACCAGACACCCCGTCATCCACCCGCTTTCGGGGGAACAGATCATGCCAACAATACCTGCAATCTCCTCTGCATATCCAGCTCGGCCGCCATACTGCTCCGCCATTTCCTTCTGCTCGTCTGAATCCCATTCGCGGATTCCGCACAAAGGCGTTAGCGGGTACCACATCGAGATGGCCTTCTTCGCGTCCTCGGAGGCACCGCGGAGCATATCCGTCATCGTAGAACTAGGGTTGCAAGAGTTGACGGTGCAGTGCTCCTTGAGCTCGCGAGCCCAGGTGCGCGTCATTGCCTCAAGGGCGCCCTTGCTGCCGCCGTACAGCGTCAGGTACTCCAGGCCAACCTTGGATCCAACGCTCGACACGTTGACAATACGACCAGATCGATCGTTGGGTAGGAGAGGCTTGACGGCTTGGGTAAGAAGGATAGGACCCAAGACATTGATGGAGTAGACCTTGTGGAAGTCCTCCGTGCTGACGGCCTCGAGAGGCATGGCATGGAATAGAGCTGCGTTGTTGACAAGGATATCGACCTGCGGCTTTCCAGTCTTGGCGTTGGGAGGCATGTCGTTATTCACAGCAGCGACAATCTTGGCGCATCCCTCTGGCGTGCTGAAATCGGCGCGCACGGGGAGTGCCTTGACGTTGTGTGCCTTGGAAAGCTCCGCGGCGAGAGCGGCGGCAGGTTCGTCTGAAGCATCGGTCAAGTAGATCAAGACGACGTTGGCGCCCTTAGAGGCAAGGTTCTGGGCAATGGAGGCGCCGATACCTTCGCAGTTGTTAGCCAGGATCCAGCTGTGAGTAGTAGAAGAGGGAGATCCCACTCCTTGCACCTCCGGTGATGACGGCTGTCTTGCCCTCATGTACTCTGTACGGAGGGGCTTGAGTGATGGGTACGGTAATCTTCGTGACAGTCATGATGTCGAGAAAAGACCACGGCTTGGAACTTAGATTTTGGATGCGGCAATGTCCGTTTCTGACCAAGGAGGATGTTCAGGTCCAGGAAGTTCGGGGAGCCAGGATATTAACGCAAAATGAGCTGGTGACCGCTGAAAACTCTTTGCCGTTGACCCCATGCCTTGGAGAGCTCTAGACTCTTTCCAGAATGTCTCCTCCTGACATGGAAGCAAACATCATGCTGAGTGGTTCCAGCGGCACGTGGATTCCAGTTCCGACAGGTGGAAGTATCATGTCATTTGCGCAGGAACATTTGGGTCGTTCCACAGAGCGGAGCTGGCCACGCAGCTAACCGGGGTATATTCAACGGAAGGACCCTACGAATGCAGGCCATCTCCGCAGTTATACATTCTGCAGCGAGTTACAGATCCAAGACCATGCAATTCCCCTCTGGAGTATTTGTTAGCGCTGTACTTTGACCGGGGCAGTTAGTTATGAGTGGTGTGTTGATAAGTCTGAATCATCATGTGTTCCTCCACCTCAACGCGCGAAACTGGAGAAGTGCAGTCCAACCCATCGGATTATGAGCCTCATGCAGCAGTAAAGTAGCGGTAAAGGAATATTCTCCAGCAATTGATCAACACTAGGAGTCTGCATGACACACTATTCGACTACCTCTACAACTTGCGCAAGGTATGGCCGCAAGCAGGTATTCACATAGCTTCATGTTTATAAATCCACCAAGAGGCAACCCTCAGCAGATGTAATTCTCCGGCTTGCAGGGACGAGACGCAGCCCTACATCTATTAGCTCAACAATACTTATGTCATTTATCTGACACCGTGCAACTATGGAGGAATGATCTCAGCTCAAACCACATCTGCAATTACGACTCCGTGGACTGCTTACATGTACTTGAATTGACCTTCTCAACACCTTAAGCGAAAGTCAAATCAAGCAACAGGAATGTAGACTGGGGTTTGAGATGAGCAAATTAGAGTCCGTAGGATAGAAGGATGTAAACATTTATCGTCCAATTTAGCATACGTATGTTTCGGTGAGAACTTTTAGGAAAGGAGGTAGATTCTGAGCGATGGTTATGACAGTGGTCATCATCTGGCCTGGGCATATGAGCTGGGCAAGAGAACAACCATCGACCATCGGTAGAAACAATGAATGATTGAGTTCACTCTACATCATTCTTACTCATAGTGCGTCGGATATTAGAAAGGTGCGAGGTGTAATTTTCCCATTATCACTGTGATTTAAAATGAAACACTCATAGAGAATCGAATCAACATTGAACTGACGCTGGCACCTTCGGTAATGAGCGCGATGCCAACATCGTCTGGATTGATCATGGGCGTCACAGGGGTTCAAATCCTTCTGTCAGCCGCTATGGCCCTCTGCGACATTTCAACGGTGAGTTTCCATTGCGGCGCTAGACCAGTCCGGCCTCCTTAGCGAGGAAGCCCCGGTACATCGGAGCCGTAACACCGATGCTAGGCGGCTGTTCAGGCCCCGGCCGGCCGGTGGATCGGTATCTAAGCCGCCGATTCTCAATCTTACTGTCAGTTGAACGGGGAAAACCTCTCAGTTGTCCCCGTTCAATATCTGAAATGTTGCAATATATGATCTCGATAGTTTCTATGTGTTTGAGAGGAAAGGTTGTTCATCATACACTGCATTAAATGCAACCTGAGCTCGAACAGTCTCCAAGCTTCCCTCACCTCCAACACTCACAATCCTCCCAACCTGCACCGCAGCTCCAAAAATGAAGCAAATCAAAGGAACTTGTGATCACCGATTTGAGGGACTTCGCACTCAAATGCAACAGTTTATCGACTCGGGAGAGGAAGTCGGGGCTGCCATCGCCGTCAATCTCAACGGCGACAACGTCGTCGATATCTGGGGCGGATACGCCAACAAAGAAAACAACCAGCCATGGGATAAAGATACCATTGTCAACATATTCTCAACGACAAAGAATGTCCTCAGTCTTGCCATTCTCATTCTTATCGATCGACAAGTCCTCTCCACCACCGACAAAGTCTCCAAATTTTGGCCCGAATTTGCTGCCAATGGGAAAGAGAATATCGAGATCCGGCACATCATGTCGCATACATCAGGCGTCTCGGGCTGGGATGCTGATGGACCACTCTCATTCGACGAGATCTCCGATCTCGATGAGGCCACCGCGAAGCTGGCGGCTCAAGCACCGTGGTGGACTCCTGGCTCGGCTTCGGGGTACCACGCTTGGACTTTCGGGCATCTTCTGAACGAAATAGTCCGTCGCGCGACAGGGATGTCGCTCAGGGATTTTGTCATTGAGGAGATTGTCAAACCTTTTGGGGTTGACTTCCAGTTTGGTGTTCAGGATAATGACTTGGACCGGACGACGGATGTTATCCCGGCCCCTCTTCCCAAACTCCCGCCGGGTGTTGGACCACAACCTGGATCTATCACCTTCAGAACAATGAACCCCATGCCGTTCCCCTCAAATTTTGCGAACACGGCATCTTGGCGAAAAGGCAATGTTCTCGCAGCAAGCGGCCATACCAACGCCCGAGCTCTCACTCGTATGCTCTCTATAATCAGTCTCGGTGGCAGTTTCGATGGCAAGACTCTGCTGTCATCGAAGACCATCGATCAAATCTTCGAAGAGCAGTCCGACGGAGTTGATCTTGTCATTGGAGCGCCTCTTCGGTTCGGCATTGGATACGGTATCGCTGGGGAAGGGAACACAGCCGTTGCGGATTGGCTGCCCAACGGACGTGTCTGTTTCTGGGGAGGCATGGGTGGCTCGTTCGCTATCATGGACTTGGACAGGAAGCTCACCATCACGTACGTCATGAATAAGATGTCGAACACTGGGTTGGGGAATGCAGCGGTGAAGGCGTACGTGAGAACTATCTACGATGCGCTAGGTTTGGCGCAGCGATGAGATGAGCAGGTCACTTATTTCATATGTAAACTGTTTCCCATAACTACCAGCCACAATATCCGGGATTTCGCCACTCTTTTAGATCCAAAACATCATAAGATGATTTGGCTTCTGAAAAGAAAACCAAGAATTTGAACTCTTTGGTCAGACAACTGCCCTTCAGGAAAACCTGGAAATGAGGGCGTGTCGCAACGTCTTGTGAGGTTCGTTGAGAGTCTTGGAACCCTTGAATGAGTTCAGTGTTAAACTCGAATTGTCTTTGTTCTCATTTTCAACAATAGTATTGTTACATTGGGTTTCCTCATTCTTCCGAAAGAGTGCTTGTACGAAGTAGATTCTCGTAGGCTACAACCAACGCATTTGTTCAGCCTTGAAGCTGAACAGCGCTGGTTGTTTCTCCAGTCAACAAGCGTGTTGTCGACTAAGGTATGCTAGTATAAGAAACCGCGACGGAACGTGACTCCAGGTGTTTCTTTTGATCATCATAAACTTCATCATCATCATCAACTAATTAACAAGTACCAAAACTCTTACCTCTGTTTCCCTCACACCTTCACTCTTCAGTCTATCACAACTCACAAAACGCACACAAGTCTCTCCACAACGATCCAAGATGTGCCAGCAATTCGAGCAGCTCATCGTCTGCTGTTCCGAGAACTGCACATGGGTGCAACATGGCGTCCGTCTTCCTCTCCTTCGTCTCATCCCTAAGCCCGACCCGATCTACATTCTCTGCGACCGAGCGATTCAGATGGGCTACCGCCCCGAGACCAACTGCGTTGGTGTTCTCGGTCTCAGCTATCCGCCGGTTGCGTGTACCGACTATCTCGCCCATCCCGACCACAAGTCCCATAGCGTCCTCTCAGTGACTGCATCTCGCCATCTCATGGAAGCGTTTGCCAACATCCACATTCTCTGCGCCGTTTGCCTGGGTATCGGCCATGCTGATGCGGTACCCACGGCGAATCCCACCGCCCGTCTTCACACCGGCCGCGGTGAGGCCAATGGTCGCAATATGACTATCTGCAGAATGGCCGACGGCCGACGACGCATCGAAGTTGAGTGGACATGCTGTGCCTCTGGTGACTGCAGTCAAGACAGAATGTGTTACTTCCGCGGTAGCGCTACTCTAGCTGCGCACCGTGAGATTGAGAACCAGCGCCGCCGGGAACGTGAACGCGCTGAGCTTGAAGCTCGAAACATTGCCGCTGCCGCTCAGGCCCAGGAACAGCGTCGTCGCAACATGGAACGCGAGCAAGCTGAGCTTGCAGCTCGAAATGTTGCTGCTGCTGCTCTTGTTCAGTTGAGTCTTATGCATGAAGGACGACAGAATCCAAGTGGACCTGCACCCGTTGCTAACATGGAGCTAGATCAACCTCACAACCCTCGTGAGGCTTCTGTCAACCCTGAGCCGGTTCTTAACGGCCCGGAGCCTCATCCCATTCCAGTCGCTCATCGACAGCCTGCTGCTACTCCTGAGCATCAACAGACCCCGCATCTCAATGAGCCAACTGTTACTGCCAATGTTCCACAAGCGGGTGTTTCAGGGGTTGATCCAGCCAGAGTCGCCCCGCCTGCTGAACAAGCTGCTGCCCAGCAGCAAGAGATCATTCTTGACACGATTGTGGTTAATCCTTTGGGATGCAATGGTTGCGAGAAGTGCAATTTTGGTAAAAATTTGGCTCGCCGCCGTCGCCAGCGCCCTTAGAAAGCTCTTGAAGTAAGTCGTGATTCAAGCTGTGAACGGGTCGTCAATATCGGGGAGGGATAAGGGCATCAACAAGGTAAGTGGCATTTTGTTTCATTGATAAATACAACGGTTATTTTCACTTTCAGTTAAATCAAAAACGGTCGCAGCTGTATGTTTTCCAAAGCACCCAATGGTCGCCGAGTCTAATGGTGGTCAAGAAAGGAGTTAGCTCAGAGTCGGCAGATCCAGCCGTTCAACGTTGATTGCTTTTGGATTTAGCTGAGTTTATGCTCCTACTATGCGCAAGACTCGGCAATTTCCCATTGTCTGCCATGTCTCAATGGTGCATTGCATACCTCCATATAGTGAGCCGGGTGTCCGCGGATAAGAGGCTCGGTACTGCGGTTGCATCATGGTTGCATGCAATGGCGGATTTCAAGATTACCGATTCGAGCAAGATTTTGTCTTGTTGCATCGCAGCGTCTGATGTCTGACCTGATGGACGTCAATGTGGCGGTCTGTCGGGTGAAATGCATGAGCCCGGCGAATCTATGTCGAAGGCAACTAATGTCAAAATCATGTCGATCTGCCTTCCGGGCATTGACGTCAGACGGTCGGCAGAGCCGGAACGAGATTGCCGGTGTCAACCGCCGACGGAGCTTTTTTTGCGGAGGACATGAGCTTGTTCGCGGCGATCCTTGGAGAAGAGACTCGAGCGACGTCAGAATTCGGTGTTTGTGGGGAAAGAGAGATTTCAGCTGCGTCGGTGGTAGGCATCTCATGATGTCAAACCCCAAGTGCAGCTCCGAGTGGCGTCAAAGAATGATGACAAAGTTGTTCGGAAACAAACCAGGCCTTTGAACGCATGTTCGTCTCGTCGGCCTTGACCCGAGCTACAATGCCCTGGAGTGTGTTGGTAGTTGAGCCCCTTTTCTGGGCATTTCACTGCTTTTGCATGGGTCTGGCTTGTTTCCTGTTGCCTATTATTATTCCAAGTGGTCAACAGAAAAGCTTTTCAAATTCTCTCTAAAGGAAAGGAGAATAAGAATTAACTGGGACTATCCTGTAGCCAATCCTTCAGCTGCATTTTCATCTCATGTCAGGGTGTTCATGCGCCGTATTCTGGCAGCGGCAGCGCACGGAAATGGGTTCGCGTTCGCATTGGCGCAGGGAGCGGCCCGAAAATCATGCCCGGCTTCCTGTACCTGAGTCCAAGCAAGCAGGGAGAATGTCAGACGGAACGGAAGGCTTTTCTCGTATATCGCTGGAGCCGCAAGGTGGAAGACATGGGAGAAAGCCCGCCATCATGATCCAATTCTCCCTTTTCGCCCGGCCAGACCGGTGTTCTCGTGGAAAACAAATGAGAGGATGACCCGCGGGATTTTCAGCCTGCCTGTGCCACCTGGGCGCCTCGGCTCAGCCATCTTGGCAAACTGCCGGCAGGCCATGTTGCACCCATTGGCACCATAACTCGGGCTAGTTTGTCTGCAGGTATCATCAGCTGCTGCAGCGGTAAGAGAAGAATGACGGGAGCGAAAGTCCGCCAACAGCTTCGAACCACACTGATCACGTTCGACTGTGCAGCGGGTTATCGTGGTGGTGTGCTAGTCCGGGAGAGAGAGGGTCATGTCCTTGGCGGATCAGTGGAGCCAAGAAGACGGGTCATTTTTGTCCTCGCACTTTTCTTTCAATGCACCAAACCCACTCCTTTTCTCCTCAAATCCATCTCCTATTGGGTGTCTTCTGCGAGATGGTCAGCTTCCCACGAGGGCTGCGATGTCTGCCTAGCATTGACCCTTTAAATTTGCTTGTTGGTTGCAGTGGGGAGGCGTTAGGCTGAGTATGAGTCCAGGCATGTCCTGGAATGGGCTGGGCTGTCAAGACCTGGTCATCTTTTCGGCGTCAGCGTTGACGTTCGTGTTGGCTTATCCGGACTCATCCATGAACATGGGCAGACCGCGGAACCATCGGTCACTATTTGAAGTGGCTACCACCCCCCTTCATGTCATCCTTTGATGGTTTCTCGCGATGGCGTCCCCTTGTCTTACGTCCGGTTGTCGGTCTTCAACATGAGGTTCTCCATTGCCAGCGCCGTCACCGTCCTTGCCTCTCTGGCTCTTGCCGCCGACTCACTCGAGTACAAGGGTGCCGCTGCAGGCCAAGTCATCAAGGAGAATGTCAAGCTGCGCATTCTGCCCGTCGGCGACTCTGTTACCGTCGGCTTCCTGAGCACTGATGGCAATGGCTACAGGCAAAAACTCCAGGAAAACCTGGCTGGTATGTTTACCTCATTCTGCCCACTGATCGTCGTGCTTATCTGACTCTGTTGCAGCGAATGACGTTGTCTTTGCCGGTACGGTCTTCTCTGGCGACATGACTGACCCGTATTATGTAAGTCAGAGACGATTCTCAGGAATTTGAAAGGCATCATACTGACCTATTCAGGCTGCTTGGTCTGGAAAAACGATCAAGTACATCGCCGACAACGTCCCGCCATCTCTGGAGCAGCGCCCGAATGTCATTCTCGTCCATGCCGGCACTAATGACATGAACCCGAACCCTGACATCTCCACCGAAGGGAACGATCCCGCCGCAGCTGCTGCACGGCTCGGCGCTCTCATCGACCAGATGATCACCGCTTGCCCGGACGCAACCATCCTCGTCGCTCAAATCATCAACACCTGCGACGCCAACCAAAGGCCACAAACGGAAGAGTATCAAAAGCTCATCCCGGAGATCGTCGAGGAGCGAAGGAATGCCAGCCATCACGTCTTGGCTGTTGATTTTGCGGCTCTGGGTGATGGCATCTTGCGTGATGACTGCATCCATCCCAGCGACGAGGGCTATCGCACTATGGGTGACTACTGGTATGACTTCATCACGCAAATACCAAAGGACTGGATCACTCAGCCGGTTGGAGATGACCCTGATAGGTCCAAGGACCAGGCCGCGATCAAGAGCCTGTCGGCCAGCGGTGCTAGCTCGGTTTTGAAAGAGAACTGGGCCCTATTTTTGATAATTCAAGTAGTAGTAAGCCTGAACTTAATATGTAATTGAGTTGAACTTCACATGAACCTCTTCTAAGCTCTTGGGGTGGACTTCACATGAGATGTCAACCAAGATTGAGTCTGAGTTGGCGCTGATCTAGGTCGTGTTCGGGGAGGTGAGAATTTTTTCATCGCAGGTCAGACAAACTCATCAACTATGTACCATGCCTACTCACATTAACATACCGGCTAGTCGCTTCATTTATCCATTAGCTTTCCCAGACTTGGTTGAGATTAAAGAGGCGCTTAAGGGTCACCTTCCAACTCGCACAGGTAAGAGGATTCTGTGAGTCGTGGACGTCTCATGAGGAATTTGATAATTGCTAATTACTTCATTATTTCTACTTTTAAATTTGGTTAACAAAATTCGAATGGTCTGTGACTATTTCTTTCGGGGGACAGGCTCGGTCTGGTGCCGGGGTCCATGTTGACCTCGAGATTCATCCAAATGCTTCGTCTCATACGTGTAGGGTGCCGGCTCAAATCCGACGCCTGAACTTCAACGAGAGGAGTCCGTAACGTATCCTCCCCTTCTCCGCCATCGTCGAAGCCATGACCATGACAATGTCACAGCAGTCATCTCTAATTATTTGTTATTTACGATCGCAGTGAAGAATCGGCCATGGTCTGGACCAAGTTGCGCGCGATGGTTTGGACCCCGCCTTTGAACTCCACGAAAATTACCAGATTGTGTTCGGTCATCCTTGTTGTGCTTCTCGGGAAGCCATCATCGATGCGGGGTTGCTCACCGTGCCCTTGACAATGGTGTAGTTGAGACTTTCGCAATCAACCGTGAACCCCTCAATCTGGCACCGCGATGACGTTAAGTCGTCACATGCCCTATAACGAGTAGAAAGTCAATGAAAACATATATGTTAGAGCTGCCCCCTCCACTCTTCCTGTCGCGCAGACTGGATGTTGCTTTAATATCACAGTATTTACCACCACTTGAACAGCACCCATAAAAGCTACACCGTTCACGTATATCATCACACCGTCTCAAGATGTCAAACCGGAAAGACCACGGCCTCAAGCAGCATGGGCTATCGGATGAAGCCGTGGAGGCTGGACACGATTTCATCCATGATGCTGAGGTTGAAGAGGAAAGGGTTTGTTACACTCCGGCTGTTCAGATCCTGAGCACGAGCTATTCTGACACATCTCACAGAGACACAGCGGCGATGCGAGCACAATGCCGTCCATGAAAGCTGCCACCGAGCAAGTGAAGAAGGCGGTTGGTCTCGAGTCGGCACAGCCTGGCAATCTCACCGACGCCCTGAAGGACAAGATCGGCAAGAAAGCTTGAACAATGTCGTGACCTTCGGCTTGCAACTGTTTCGGCCGAGCAATTGTACAAGGCGTTTTGCTTCGAACCCCAGATTGATCAGGAAGTCTTGAAATGGGATTGATAATTACATGAAATGAAGTGCATTCGCCTGTGTAATGACTGTCAATCACTGCGTTCAATGAAACTCGAAACTATCGTCTACACGCTCGGCCACTTGTAATTCAACCACTTGTCCAACGTCGTGTTCCAAGCACCGCTGCCAAGCTGAACGTGAACCCACGTATCCACGAATTGCTTCCATACGATATCTCTTGAAACAGCGTATCCAAGTTCCTCAAAGTTGAATGGCGCATCTGGGTTGGCGATGCAGAGCTCGCCTTCATGAAGCTTCACCTGTAACTCGACCTCAATGAGGTCGGAAATCATGGCATCTGCCGTGCCATCCAAGACGGCTTGATAAACAGCGTTGTTATCCTCCACCAGGACGATCTCGGCAGACTTCAGATTCGCGCGGTCAAAAGCTTCGTTCGTGCCTCCCGGGTTGACGGCAACCTTGACGCCTGGCTGATCCAACGATGCGAGGTCGGTGTACTTGCTCGCATCAGCGCAGCGGATGCACGCGGTCTTTCCAACTCGCTGGATGGCTGTCGAAAAGAAGACCGTTCTAGCCCTCGCGAGAGTCAGGCTGACCCCGCCCATCGCGATGTCGAATTTGCCGGCAACCAGGTCGGATGTGATGTTCGCCCATATCGTCTTCACGAGACGGGGTGGGTTGGGAAGACCGAGGGCATTTGATAAGGACTGAGCGGCATCGATGTCGGCGCCGATGTACGTTGTGTTGATGGCGGTCGTGTTGGGGAGAGTGGTTTGGTTTGTGACGAGGTAGGTGAAGGGCTTGTAGTCGCCCGTTGTGCCGACATTGATGTAACCCCGGGCAAGAATCGTATCGAGAACGGATGTGATGTTGGCGTACGCGAGCGGTTCTGAGAGTTGTTGTGCTGCAGCGCAGGCGGTGAATGCTGCAGCCAGCAGAACCGGATTTCTTACTTTGACCATCTTGGACTTGACAGAAAGAGCGAGTGAAATCTGAGATGATTACGCTACATGTCATGAGTGAGCGAGTGACTGGGAAGAAGTCTCGTTTTATTGTTTTCTGCTGGGGCCGATTCCGGGGCCCCGCAAGCTCATTTCCCGGTGGACCCTTATCTCGTGGGTTTGGAGGTTATTTACGATACCGAGAGTCTTGCTATTGGTCAATCTGAAGTGTCTTTTGATGCCAAGGTCACTAGGTACGCTTGGATGAAAAGATTTGATGATATGACTCAAGAATTCCCACCGAAGTGGTTGGAAGTGACGTCGAGATTGAGAGCATGATGGTGAAGTGAGCTGGGAGACGAGCTGTGTGAACAGTTGCATAGACGCAAGTCTCGGGATTTACAGGCGTTCAACCAACAAGTCAAGGATCCACCTCCAAGCAAGGGTTACCATTCAACCGGGACCTAAATGAACAGTCTGGGGGAGTGATTGCGACAAACTTTGTAATGTACGGCGTGGTCATGGCCGCCGCCCCGGCTTCTCGCCCGAACTCCGACCCCGGACCGGCCGAAGCTTCTTATCGATGAGAAGACCAGGATACTTTATTCTCGCTTCACCTCCAAAGCCACCCTTTGCCATTTGGCGCGTACGCACGCGATCCCATGTCTTTAACGCCATCCTTAACGACCTCCCAAAACCCTTTAACAACCGACGACCTTGCCCACCTCTCCATCACGTCCCGATCACGAAACCGCGCAAAAGTCGTCAGACTGACCTCGTCGTCTTGGCCCCGCAACCCCAAGAAGGTAAAAACGTCCTCCTCTTCTCCGGCCGCCCGACACAACATCTTCAAAGCCCCGATGACTTCGGCTCTCGCTGTGGTGTCTACACATCCGATTTGTGTCTCTTGCATGATGCCACACTCTTTCCTCTGCCCGCTACGATCAAGGAAGCCGCCAACGACTTCGAAGTGCCTGAGGTCGAGACCTGTTGTCATGACGGGAAGGGCGGCTGGAAGGAAGGTTTCGATCATTATCTTGGACTTCAAATGTACATCGTATAGATCCGTCCGCGAAGAGTATATCTCGAAAGCAAACATGTAGGGTGTCCTGCATGGGTTGTCGGCGTATTCGAGCGGTAGGCCAAAGTAGTATGTTATGGTGTTAGGCTCGTTGGGGAAGACATGACTTGCGAGCTTGTCGTATGCTGCTTGCCACTGCTTCGGTTAGTTGAAGCCGGGGTCAAGAGAGTTTCGTGTGAGAAAAGGACTGGACAGACATCATTGTAATGGTCAGGAACAATGTTGACGTTGGCGATGAGAATCAGTTTGCCGTCCAGTGATGGTGCTTGAGACATGCTGAGAGACACTTGAAATGGCTTTTGGGGGCTTGAAGGAGAGCATGCAGTAAAACAATCAGCTTATGGTATTTGGCCAAGAGAGACTTCAGTATTTGAGCATCGACAGTCTGTTAAAAGAACTAGCCGGTTATCAGTTTAAGACGCCGGCGTTCTCTTGGACTCGGGCCCATTTTTCAACTTATGTGCATGTCTTATATTAAGCCTTCTTCGTAGGCTTTGTTAATCTTCCAGAAAAGATATTAACCGCGACCTTCTGAACCCCGCGGAGGCTGGGATTTAGCTGCGACGAGATTCTTCAAATCGGGACATGTTAGCCGGCGGGTTGAGGTACAGAAGTGGGAATCACTTAGCCAGGTATAACCACCACATGCAGACATCCCAGCTGACAGGCTTCGTACATCAAGATGGACTGCGAAGACCAACAAGATCTTTCAATTAGATACTTGATTGGGGTGTACAGGTGTGCTACAGCATACGATGCGCATGTCTTGCACCTCGGAAAAGCTGTTCCAGCACATGGCTGGGTGACGAGCTTCTGAAAATGGACTCGTCCCACAATTACAACGTATCATACGAGCTGAGATGAGATGCATTCAGATGTAAACTGACTACATCGACGTTGCAGGCGCCAAAGTTGGTCACGAATCCAGCCGCACGCATACGTCAATGCAGCTTCGACCTTGGGAGGGGTGCAAGACCATGAAAGCTATGCGAGTGCCCGCCATTAAAATCCCCGACGTCGTCGAAATTGTGTTGTCTTTCTTTTCCTGTTCAAGTTGTCATCTTTTCAACATTCTGTTGATTTAGGGAAGATGAATTTTCGACTCTCCGCCGTAAACCAAGCGGCAAGATATGTGCAATTGATGAGTTCGCCTCATCGAGCAGTCTTGGCTGTGGCAAGACAACGCCATCAACCTGCGCTTCATACACAAGCTCTGTCGCTTCACCATGGTCTTGTGTCTAGGAACTGGGTTATTCGTAGGTCTTTGGGTGTAATCAGAAGAGGAAAGACCGATATTGCCCCTGATCCCTCGAAGATGGCGGATCAAAAGGTTGCGATTGTCACGGGAGCCTCAGTAAGATAATCCGAATACTTCAAGTGTGAAATAACCAATCACATAGACTGACAGGGTTTCAGTCGGGCATGGGCGAGGCTTTGGCCCGGGATCTTGTCAAAAAGGGCTGGCAGGTAGCCATGGCCGACCTCAACAAGAACGAGCCGCTTTCACAGGAGCTGGGCGAGGCGGCCAGCTTTCACGCTACAGACGTCTCCGATTACGACAGCCAGGCAAAGACTTTCCAAGAGGTATGGGGTCGGTATGGCAGGATCGACGCCCTTCTAGCCAACGCAGGCATCGTCGACAAGAGCTCGATCTACATCTTCAACCACCGAGGGTCGGACAAGATCCCGCCTAAGCCCGATCTGATCTGCACCGATGTCGACTACAAGGGTGTGGTGTACGGCACACAGCTTGCCATTCACTTTATGCGTAAGAACAAGATCCCTGGGGGTAGTATCGTTGCGACGGCGAGTATTGCGGCTGTTCACCCCCACGAGACCTACCCGGAGTATGACGGCGCCAAAGCTGCAGTTGTCAACTTCGTGCGGGCGACGTCACGCCTGCTCAAGCTCGTAAGTATTCAGCCAGTATAATCGTAAACCAACTATGACTGCCATGTACTTGTGTTGACTTCAGCTTAGAAGGAGAACATCCGTATCAACGTCGTTCTACCTGGTGTTGTAGCAACCAACATCATCCCTCCTGAAATGGTTGCTGCTGTTTCTGAAGAATGGTGAGTTTCATTTTGCCATCGACCAAAAATCGAATCATCAACTTACCTTTTTTGCCAGCGTAACTCCAGTATCCACGATTGTGGCCGCTTACAATAAGTTTCTAGACGATAAGGATGTCCATGGACAGGGTTTGGAATGTTCTGCTGAGAAGGTGCTCCCATTAGTATGGTCGGAGCCTCTCAATGGGAGAGTCACAAAGAGAGCAGTGACTGTGTGGGATCCGTTGTTTAAGGTGTATCATCATGAGAGCTCCCAACTCCCAGACACCATCGCGTAAGCGAGAGCGGCAACCTGCGTTGGCCAAGCAGACCATCGGCTCCTGAATCCTGTTGCGGGAAGGTTGGTCATGGTCGGCGTAGTACACGTAAATTGCCAAGTCTCTTGGATGTTCATGATAGACACTTTCTCCTGCCCAATACCGGACAAATCTCAAGGGAGGACGGAGTTGAGGGCCACAATGCCGTCTGTCTTAACTTATTTCCCGTCACTCATCAATCAACGCATGGTTCTGTTCCCACAAAAGCCCGCACGGCATTGGCAGTGTTCCGTGCGCTTCAAGACATGTCGATCATGAAGGGTAAAATGTGGGCTTAACATCCCGCACAAACGGATGAACGATCCGATATTTCGAATAAGAAATAAGACGACGCACAGCCGTGGTGCGTCGTCTTCTCGAAAGGCTGCTCATTATCTCACTTCAAGCCGTCCTGCGGCTGAAAAGTCGAACTAAACCATCGGCCAACAGCCCCTGAAATCTCATCACCGACCTGGCAGAGTCAGACTTTCTCATTCAGTCTCAGAAATACAGTTCGCGTCGCTGTTATTGACTCGAGATTCTCATATGGCCCCCACCTGAAAGGCGCTAAAACATATTGCTTCTTGTCTCCCGACTTTCTCTCTCCAAAGAAGGTTTTCCCCAACTTTCAGAGTTACATCACCTGGGACATGGGCACCCATATTCGAAACGACATGTCGTGCCTGGTCACAATTCTCCCCTTAATCAATCTGGCGCCCCCAAATATGTCATTCACTCTGCGAATTTCTTTTCGTCGAATGTTGTCGTCCGAACCCAGTGGGTATGGGGATTTAGGGCGGCCAGCAATGCCGACAACACCCTGGCATCATGACCATTACACGTGGATTCGCGGAGGCAGCGGCTCCGAGCACGTTAAGTGGCCAAGAAAGGTCTTTACCCCCCGACTTACCTGAATTGGTATTATCCCAGGTACCGGCGGCTCGGCGCCAATGCCTTCTCCCGTGGTCCCAGCATCATCCCCGCCGGTCGAGGCCGGCCTCGTTGTATCTCACACGGCCGAAAAAGTAACCTCAGAACGCTGGGCACGGAGAACCGCAGAGATCGTCCCGCCTTCCTTGGTGACTAGGTCTAAGATGAAGGACCGGTGCTTCTCTCCGGGACGACCCTTGAGTCTGCTTTACGGGTACGACGGGGTCGTGTCTTCGGAGTCAGGGCCATCTTTCCAGAGCTTGGCCGGGGGATTCTCTCATATAAGACAGGAGAGTTGGCTCGCCTTGCAAGCATGGGATGATGGAGCAGCTCCAGTTCACCAACACGCCGAGGCCAGTCAGAGATCGCAGGCACGACATTCTTTTCGTTCATCATCCTTCGTTCACTTCTAGCCGCCTTCAAGATGCTTGCTCAGTTCCTCCTCGCTGCTGCGCTTGCGCCAGCTGCACTGGCCGGACCTCTCAAGTCTCGCCAGACTGCGTCATATGACGGAAACCCTCTTGCCGATAGGCAGCTGTTCCCTAACCCGTATTACGCCGACGAAATCAAGAACTTGGCCATTCCCAAGATGAGCGGTGATCTCGCTGCTAAGGTCGCCAAGGTCGCTGAGGTCCCTTCTTTCGCATGGCTGTATGTCTTTCCCGCGTGGCCTTTCGTAGCACTTGCTGACAATCGATCAGGGACACCCGGGCGAAGATCAGCCTGATGAACAGCACTCTGGCCGAGATCCGCAAGCTCAACCAAGCTGGCGCGAACCCGCCGTACGCTGGCACTTACGTGGTCTACAACTTCCCTGACCGCGACTGCTCTGCCAAAGCATCTGCTGGAGAACTGTTGATCGCCGAAGACGGTATCAACAAGTACAAGAAGGAGTACATCGACCCCATCGCCGCTCTTGCCAAAGAGTACTCGGACACCCGCATCGTATTTGTTTATGGTATAGCCTCAAGCATTGACATCTAACGTGGTCTCGTGCTGACTGAGGACAGAACCCGATGGGCTTGCCAACATGATCACCAACATGGGTGTACAGAAGTGCTCGCAGGCAGCGGACACGTACAAGGAGGCGACAGACTACGCCTTCAAGACCCTCAACCTCGACAACGTTGCCATCTACGTCGATGCCGGCCACGCCGGCTGGCTTGGCTGGGAAGCCAACCTCAAGCCTACCGCAACGCTCTATGCCGAGGTATACAAGAAGGCCGGTTCACCCAAGGCCGTCCGCGGCGTCGTCACCAACGTCTCCAACTTTAACGGATGGAAGCTGGACACCGCCCCGGCCTACACGACCCCCAACAACAACTTCGACGAGAGCAAGTTTCACGCGGCGCTGACGCCTCTCCTCAAGGAGGCCGGATACCCCGCCAACTACCTCGTCGACCAAGGACGCAGCGGCAAGCAGCCCACGGGACAGCAGATCTGGGGTGACTGGTGCAACGTCAAGGACACCGGTTTCGGAACCCGCCCGACCGTCAAGACCGGCATCGACACTCTGGATGCCATTGTCTGGGTCAAGCCTGGTGGCGAGAGTGACGGTACCAGCAACTCTTCGGCTACGCGTTACGATGAGAAGTGCAGCTCTGGTTCTTCTTTCATCCCTGCCCCGGAGGCAGGCACTTGGTTCCAGGAGTACTTTGAGATGCTGATCAAGAATGCCAACCCTGCCTTCTAAGCCGGTGGTTTGGGTTCAATTGTTCAAGATGTACATACTTTTTATTCTTCGTAAATAGATAGGGAACCGACACTACTTATGCTTTGACGGCCCAGAATGCGCCTGAAAGTTGTACTCGGGAACGTCTTCAGCGGGGGCGCAAAAAGGACTCGAAGCGAGACCGAGTTCACTGGAATCTCCTCACTAGATGAGTTGCTTTACTGTGACAACACTTACTTCATGAACTCACATTGCTTAGCCTGAGAACATTTGACGTAGATTTTGTAAGAAGTCGGCATTCCGCAATGGCGTCTCGCGCAACTTACCGCTGCAAGTCCGAGGAATTGGGGTACCCTCCTTTCCTTGGAGTAACCTCCAGCTCTGATCTCAATCAATGAGCCGCAAGCCACACACACGTCTTCCGTGTCTACCAGATTGGAAACTGCCTATTTCAGAAACCAACAGCTTCTTTCGGATCATAACATAACCGCGAAGCTTGCAAGCGCCGTGATCAGACAACTTCGGCCGCGAAAAGGAGCCGATGGCCCAACTCGCGGCCCCGCGTGCCCCATCGGAGGACCTGCAATCTCGCCCCTTTTAGGAATTGCACCGCCCGGGGCCGGGCTTCGACTAACACTTCCACCAATCACGGCGAATAGCGATGCGACCGAAGATGGGGAACTCAATGTAATGCAAACGGGCAGTGACGAAAACCTCCCTCCCTGTTCAAATTCCGAATCATCCAGCGCTTTTCTTCAATATAATATGTAGCACCGGTGCCATCCCACTCCAAGCCGGTCTGTTTTGGTTCTTGTTTTGGGCATTGGCTTGTTTTGTCTCTCGTTGGTCCGTCTGACAGTCGTTCACTTCACATTCTTTCTTCGATTCTGATTCATCTGTTGATATTTTGCTGGTACATATCATTCCAACCCGGGAAAACAAAATGAAGTACTTTTCCACCGCTCTTTCTTTGGCAGCCGGCCTGTCCCTGTCCCTGGCCAGCCCTACGTGGCATGTGAGCCGCAGCTCTGCCGTCCTCCCGAGACAGGCCAACAGCTCCAAGAACCTGATCGTCTTGTAAGACTGGAAGACACAATCAAGGTGCAAGAACATGGCTAACTCGGATCCAGCGGCGACTCTTACTCCACCGTCGGCTTCTGGCCCGGCGGCACCCTCCCCGCCGCCGGTAACCCGCTCGGAAACCCGGCGCTTCCCGGCCAGACCACCTCGAGCGGCCTCAACTGGGTCGGCCACCTGACTAGCACCCTGAACACGTCCCTCATCCTGACATACGACTTCGCCGTCACCGGCGCCACCACCGACAAGGACATCGTCGACACCTACGCCCAGTACTGCGTTGACGACCAGGTTGATCAGTACAAGCAGTACGTGTCGAGCAAGGTCAACAAGGACAATGCTCTCGTTGCCATCTGGATCGGCATCAACGATGTCGGCGAGCCCTTCTGGGACAAGCAGTCGGCTCCCGTCGACAAGATCATGGACCGCTACTTCGAGCTTCTGCAGACGTTGGCTGACGACGGCTTGAAGAACTTTGTCCTGCTCAGCGTTCCTCGTATGTCAATCCTGAATGTCAACTCTTCCAACGCGTGCTGACAAGATCGCCTTAGCCTTCTCGGACCAGATTCCTGCCATGATCGGCCAGTCCGAGACCGACCTCCAGCGCCTCCGTGATGACATCAGCTCTTACAACAAGAACCTGTCCGACCGCCTGGCCACGTTCAAGTCCGCCAACAGCGGCGTCAAGGGACTCGTCTTCGATACCAAGCCGTCTTTCGACACCGTCGTCGAGAACTTCGCCCAGTACGGGGCTAAGGATGCCACCTGCTACGGCTCCAGCGACTGCATCTGGGCTGACAACTACCACGCTGGTCTGGCCATCCACAAGCTTGTCGCTGAGAACCTCGTCAAGGGCGTCGCCGCGAACTTTGTTTTCTAAGCAGTGATGACAAGGGTTAGATTGGTGGAAGTGATAAGAACAACAGACGACGTAATTCCGCACCATGAAGACGCATCTCATAAGTGCAACTGTCGCCCGCCTTATAGCCTCCATCAAAACCTTGTGGCACCCAAGAGATGTTCCTACGCCCCAACGTGTACGCGTCCACGTGTCTGATATCTGCGACTGATAAGAGGAAAGCTTGGCCAACATTGAAATCGCCAATGAGCCACGATGCGTCGAATGCTTTTATCTCTTAAATTTTCCGATTGGCAGATGAGATATGTTGTGGAGGGGGGCTTTCGCCCGACTAAACCGCTGTGTCTGACTTTAAAGCTTTCAGATGGCGTCGTAAGCGACGAACGCTAGCCAGATGTGCTTATGTTTGCCAGGGCGGAAGAGCCTCTGGATCTGTGAAGCTGTGCCGCGGGCCTGCCTGCCTTTCGGTATGCCTGGACGCCCAAGACATGCTCTCAGCTGACCGGATGACCACTTCGGCGGTAACAGGGCGGTTTCTGGTCGCCTCTCGGACTTTTCTATTATTTCTATTAAAGCTTGGGGTTAAATCAACAGGTTCAAACTCATCTTCCTGTCGAGTTCATCTGATTTCTGCTAGAACATCCGGTATCTGAGCATCGTTAGTACTTTGTTTCGCTTCGTGTCCCCAAGTTGACCCCGCATACTCTACAGTCATCTTGCGCCGCAACCCCATTCTCACTCAGTAATCTGTGATGCCTTCACTCTTCAAGAGATCGAAGAAGGAGAAGGAGAAGGAGAAGGAGAAGGAAGCCGAAGCAGAGGCCGAAAAGGCTAGAGCGGGCCGTGCTGCGACACCACCGCCGACTTACGAAGATGCGCAGGACCAACCGCCGGCTTTCGAAGATGAGCCGCCGTCATTCGAATCTCTGCATGGATCCAAGGGAGGAAAGCAAGTCCCTACTGAAGCAGACGTCGCAAATGTGACCGCCGCCTTCGCTTCCTTGCGGCTCGGCACCCAAAGAGATCCCGATGTCGACTCTTGCCTCGCGCATCTGAAGCTGCTTTACGCAATTCAGACACTCAAGGAGGAAATCGGTTACACAGATGGGCTCTGGGACATTTGGGACTCGCGTGCTGGCCCCAAAGCTGACAGCGAGGAGGCGGGTTCTAGCAAGAAAACAGAGGATCATGTCAAGGAGGTCCTCTCCAAGATCCGTGAGAAACGCTGGGCGGTTTTCCTGGCGCGAGCAGTCGACCGATACGAGACATGGTGGAAGATGATGCCGGGTGAGCGCTTGAAGGAAGAGGACATGAAAACCCAGTCTGACAAGTACCTCACGTTCCCGGATGGAGGCGAAGACTTTCCTTGGACAGTTGATATTCTCCCACCTCTTGGTAAGACTAGATTGGTGCTCGCAGTCACATCACATTTGCTCACCATTTTCGTAGATGTCTTGATGGTATGGCACGCGCATATGCTCAACCCTAGAGCCTTTCTGGAGGACGCCATGCGCTACGGGCTCAAGACGTTCTGGACAACCGGCATGCCTTGGGCTCAGGTCCACGAGATCATCGACTCGAAGTTCAATTACAATGCCACCGATGCGGCCAAGGCTAACTGGGAGGCGACGACTGGACGTGCTTGGCACAACGTTGAGGAATCTATGGCAAAACATCTCGAGTGTCCCGCTTGCAAGCAAGACGTTGAGGTTCCATGGACAACCTGCGGGTTACCAGAGCTCTACAAGGGCCAAGGGTGAGTACGCAACAACACTATCTATGTGAACAGTTGTTAACGCAAAGCCCAATGTTAGGAGGCCAGGTCTATTTGGAACGGGATACGGAGATGGCAGTTTCGAGCAGCTGTGCACCGCAGGGTGTAACACCCTCATCACCCAACGTCTCCTCTCCGTAGCCAAGATGACCAACGATGCAGAGCAGTACATAGCATCGAACTTCACCGTCCCCAGCTCTGTTCTCGACCCCAAAGTCGGCATGCCAATTCCACCAGGACCACCGTCAACGAAGCTGACGCAAGCTTTGTTCCCGAACAGGCTCCTCGGTCTGGGCATCATCGAGGATCTCAGAAATCTCGTCGTTCCGGGATCGCGGACGCGACCAACTATGGAAACCGTGCGCGATATTATAGAAGCTGCGTTGACCGACAATGATGCATACAGGAGGATTCAGGGAGCGGATGCCGCGTCTTTCAGCAAGAAGGACCTCGCCAACGGCAGGGTGTTGACGCGAGTTGAACGTTTTCAAAGCCGGAAGATGATGTCGCGATATTGGGACAACCATTCCATCTTCGCATTGGACCTCATCGGTGCGACCATGAGACAGGGTGTGTTTGTTGAGAAGATGTATGGTGTAAGTGGCTCGTGGCTCGCCGATCGCCGAATAGCGTTATTGAAACTGACCTGATTCTAGATTGACTGGTTACATGGCCCCAATCAGCGCGGCACGATGGATCGTCTGCTTCAGAAATACTCTCGCTTCATGCTCGTCATGATGGAGAATCCGAACACTCTTTGCGTGCCAACCCTGGATGTCGACCTTGCGTGGCATGCCCATCAGCTGGCCCCGAGGGCGTATTACAAGTTCTGCACCTTCAACACTGCGACAAAGGGGAACAAGGAATCTAGATTCATCGATCACAACGACAAGATTGACGAAGACAAGCTCTCAGTCTCGTTCGAGTCCACGAGCAAAATGTATCTCGAGAAGTTTGGAGACGTGTACTCGGAGTGTATTTGCGGATACTGCGATGGTACGTCTTTGGCCCTCCTTGCTACATGAGGTAGAGATACCAAGCCTAAACTATGAACAGCCGTTCGATCCAACCATGTAGTTAACACGTCGGCCATATTTGGAAGAACCAAAGAACAGAAGGGCAGGTTCCGTACAAATCCCTCCTAATTCCAGCCAAGATCTAACAGCACCTAGCTATCGACGCTTTCAACGCAACCGCGTCACCTTCAGCTCCGGGCACCGAAGTCCACATATCAACCCATAACGCAGTGCACTCAAAAGAGACCTCAGCCCGAAAACACGTCCGATTTCAGCAGCGGCTAGTCTGGAAGAATCGCCTGGACGGTGCTTACGAGCGCGCAGAGAAGCGCGCGGCCAAAAAGGGTGTAAAGCTGCCCCCAAGAGACCAATACTACAACCACTGGGGCAGCACGTATCACCGATACGGACCCTGCATGTATCCCGCGTATCTCACGGCAGGCATCTACGCCTCCGGAGATCCCGGCATCATACACGCCGGTTATCACACCTGGGCCAACTGCGCTCAGGGGATCTGCGGGAACAACGACATCTCTGCAGGTGGATGTGGTGGTCCTGGAGGCTGTACCAACTTGGATGTAAGTCTGGACTCCCGCTTCCTTCTGCTGTGTGTTAACCATGATTTCAAGGGATATTGGGGCGGCAGCAGGATCACCTCGAATGGCCGTAAGTTATAACATTCCCGATTAGAGACTTACCCGTCTAACTTACCTCGCAGTGTGCGGCGGTATGGCAGCAACCACCATTGGGGTCGGCGGAGCTGGTTGTGGTGGAGGAGGTGGCTGTGGTGGCGGCGGTTCATAATTTGTTCTTATCACGACGGTTTTGCATGCTTGCTATTTTCATTTCTCTATACTCCGTATTACACGTTTAATTCTTGCTATACTAGAACCATGTCCCTCACCAGGAAGCGACTGAATTCTTCTGCGCTTAATTCCAGCCTGTTAGGGCTATCTTGATACCATTTAACACAACCTATGCGTCTAAAGGTACCCACGTCTATTTCTTCAAGAAGTAATATACGGGGGTCCGATGGACCAGCGGTCAGTACCCAGCAATCTCGTGATACGTTCCTATCAAAGTCCATAACCGCCCTGAGAGCTATGGGCTCCTCATTCTCGAATGCCAAACTGCCGTGAAGGTCCGAAGGATCATTGTGTTGATAGCGCATCTGCGCCACGGGTCCTCGGATCTTCAAGCAACCTTGCACCTCCGGGGCCGCTGGATCATCCATACCAACGCCTATGCTGATCTGAAGGACCTTAAACAGAGATAGACTCAAGTCGGTCTCATGTCGATGTTGGAAGTCGCCTTTCAATTGGAACTCGACCTGGCCATCGAGACTGGCCCAGCTCCAGCTCGGCGCCCGAGCATGAGTTGGCCGCTCAACGGGGTCCCAGTTCGTGACCCAGAAGATGCCGCGCTCGATATCATGCGCCCACAGACCGGCGACGTACTCGCCCCCGATGCCAACCGACCGGAAGCGGTCGGCGATCCCGGCCAGCGCGGGTAGTTTATCGCTGCCGTAGGAGAGCTTACGTCGGCTGTATTCTTCAACGGTGTGATACCAGTCTCGGAAGGTCAGGGATGTCCCCATGCCGAAGACTTTGCGGACAAGTGTGAAATTGCTCCGGTAGACAATTGGCTCGTCTTTCATGATTTCTTGGTTCACTCCTGTGCGGCATTCCCAGTACATCTGCTCGCGACTAAAGTGCAACAATGACGGCGACAGCATACGCTCCTGGAGGCACCATCCGCGGGTGCTCAGTATGCTCCGGTTGGTTCCATAGTCAAGATTATCTCTGTTTCTTTTGATAACGAAGCCACGGCCGATGACGCCATCTTTGGGCCTAGGCTGGAGGAAGCCGGTCGTGCTGCCAGGCGAGTCTAACGCGGAGATAGTGACGGTTGCGTTGCTATAGATGGCCGTCATCTTCGCCGCCTCCCTTCTCCAGTCTTCATAGGAGTCTTGTAGGATGCACATCGCGTCGATCCATAGATAACGTAGGCCAAGTTCTCTGGTCACAAGGATAGCATCACAAAAGTTCTGTGGTAGCCCGTTTATCGGTAGGGACTGTTGATACTCCTCGAGAGTCTTGGTTGTCGTCTTGCCTGGAATATCACCGCCCCAGCAGTGGCTTAGAGCTGCGTAACGCCCCGATGCCCCTTTTGTGGTATATATCGTGACTGAGTCTCCTGGGCCGGCGCCAAGATCGATAACTCTTGTTGGTAATCTTCCCACATGGGCGGAACAGTCAGAGTGGTTCTCTATGCAGTTTGTCATCCACGCGCGTGCTGTGTCGAGGGCTTCCTGTGACGTGGGGTTTTCGGGAATGGGCCGCAAGAATCTGGTGCCGAGAAGGTCTCCGTGATCGCGTGGTTCATACGCGGCGAAGTCGAAAAGTCTCATCAACGGGTCCCGATATGGGCCATCCAGTCCAGAATCAAACGACAGTGTCATTATTTGGATTGGACCTCGCTGACGTTCGATCACGAACAGCCCGAGATTTGAAATGAGACTGTGATCTTCCGGCTCGAACACCTCCAGGATCGTCCTACATAGAGAACATGACTGTGCATTTGCCGACAGTTCTTCGGCGTTATTGTGGTAGGGGAAGCTGTAGGTTTCACCATAATACCAAAGCGGGCGTAACTTCCAGCGCTTATCGAAGGAATAATTTTCCGAGTGACAGAAATTAGAATTGATGAGGTCTGTGACGAATTGCTGGCAGAGGCCGCATAGCGAATCTTGAGTCTGTTGGTCCGCGTGGGACATGTCAGCTTCGGGGTGGTATTAGATGACGATGATTTTGGCAGGAAAGCATCAGCGAAACCAGACGTGGGCAGTGGTTCTTTATCTGCCGGGAGCAGAAGCAGAAGCATTTGGCCTAACCATTCCTCTATCCTGCAGGCTGAGCTTGCGTGCATTTGTGGCAAAGGGCGATTGGTGGACGATACGACCATGTTGGCGATACGCATGGGACTTTTGCCTGCCGAGTCCTAACCTTTCCATTATCTACGCAGCTCTCAGCGGAGATGGTTCGCATTGTGATCACTCATTTTGTAGTAGCGGTCACATGACGGATATTCTCTTCACCAAGAACACACCTGCCCATCTCCAAGCTCAGGCTAGCGCCAATCAAGGAGCCTATCTTAAGGTATACAGGCGCCCTGCGCTCAAAAGGTTGCTCATCGACCTCGCTAAAAGTAAGGCCAGACACAAAGTAACTTATAATCAGGGCGGCGTGAAGTATACATTTAAGTTTTCAACAGGTAAGGATGATAACCTTCAGAGGCTTCACAAAACTAATAAACGTCAAGGTAACGGTTGGGATACCCTTAACGAGTTTTCCAAAGGGTAGATCTTCTACGATGGAGTACTATTGGCGATGACGTTAATGTAGAAAGCGGTGTGCAGAACAAATGGAAAACGAGATTTATTTAGTTAAAGACTCATTTATCTATTAAACCTACTCTCTATTATTCCTAGTAAGCCCTGCAACACGCTTTACAGAAAGCTGCACAGTCCGAGGCTCATCTTTCAGGCTGCTGGGCATGCAAATTGCAACCTGTGAAGATATCAAATTTTCAAGAAAGGTGACCCAGCTTTTTATGTACCGTTCCACCAGGTGACGGAGGTTACGCCAATCATCGCTGTTGCAGGTTTGCGTGCCGTGCGAAGTTAACCAACTTCGTATGAGTCCTACCAAGCTTCGGTGCTTGGAATAACTTGTGAAGAGAATTTGCCAAGAATGAAGCGGGTTTGAAGACGGACCGCTCGCCAATGCTTGTGGTTTCGAGTTGTCCATAATCCAATCATCGAATGCGGTCATCTGCAAAAAGCTGTCACAAGACCTTTGCATTGAGAGAATGACGGATTCCAAGTAGTCATGCCTGATTGCATCTGAAAAGGGCAGTGGCCCACTTGGAGTAGTTGAAGCGATTGAAGAGGAGGGCGCCGGAGACAGTCTTATACCCAGACTATCAGCTCGACAGGCGTCCTGAGGACTATGATCGGCCATTCCAAGCCTGACACTTGGGCTTGCGTGGCTGAATCGTAGTTTCTGAGAGGTGCTGTGCAGTGAGAGCAGTAAAGTCTGTACATCACTGAGACTAGCCTTCTCGATAAGTAGGTCGGCAGCTTCTATTAGCTCCGAGCACATCTGGGAAAAAACGCCGAGGAGAGTCTCGTAAGCCTTAGGGACTCCATGTAGAGCGTCGTCGTCCCCTTCAGCAGCGAAACTGGTAAAGAGCTCCAATTCTCGTATGTAGATGCCAGCACGCCTTTGGGTGTGTTCCATATGGGATAGTGTCCCCTTTTGCTTCCGTGTTTCCCTAGCTAAAGGGATGACTGTTCGATTCAGATCACGTAGAATGTGTCTTGTCATGTCGGCCACGGCGAATAAGTCAGGTCCTGAGTGATTCGTGAGACCGCTGACATGTCTCCTTGATGTTGACAGAATTTGCTGGGGCACGAGCAAATCTGACTCGGACTGTCTATTTGGCTGTTTGAGGATTTCTGGCGGCGAAGACTCGAGAGGGTTGCCATCTGTTTGGAGCACGCGTAGTGACGTCATATTTCTGACAGACGACGGTATCGTAGTGATGAGGTTGTGTTCTAAGGAAAGAACTTGAAGCTTCGCGAGCTTTGAAACTTCTTTGGGAACAGTTCTCAACTTATTATACCCAAGATCAAGAATTTCAAGGGATGGTAAACAGCATATCTGTAAAGCAGTCAGCTGCATTGATTCCTCGGTTTATCGACCCAAGGAATAAGGGAGACATACAGGCTCTGGAAAGACTTCTATACAATTATGTCTGACGTTCAAGTACCGCAACCTTACGCATTCAGCAAGCCGGGGAGGAAGACAGGATAGGGAGTTATTCGCGAGCGCCAGTCTAGATATTGCTTCGTCAGAATGTAATGAGCAAGACTAAGGGACGAAATGACTCACCTCTCTAAATCGTTTTTGCTAATGTCAATGAGTGTTCCGGGAAGATCGTGTAAAGCTTGGAAACTTAGATCGACACTGAGACCGCCTTCTCCTTGTCGCCGCGCCTTCGCAACAATTTGGCGCACAAAGTGAATTATGCGATCGTTATGGGAGTTATTGATCTGCGGAACCAAAGCATGATCCACGCAAGACTGGCCATCAGCTGTTGAGATACGGGCAGCCATTAATGACGATGATAAGGTAGAATTGTGAGCGGTCAAGATAGATATCCCCGCCATGTTTCTTGAATGGATGGCGGGGGTTACGCCGGACGGGACCTAGCTGCGGTGTTCGGAGCTCGGCTGAAGCTTGATCCACAGTTGTGGTACCTTTGGCTCCAATAGGCTTCGTCTGGCCCTTCAGCTACCCCGGCTACTGGTCATATCAACGCGAGGATTCAGGTCTTGTAACAAGCTCTTCCTTCGGGTCTCGATTCCGCGAGGCGCTTAGAGCTTAATTACAAGCAGGAAATCGAACTTATGCACCATTTCACTGAAGCCAGGACATGTCTGTCAGAAGACGTCAGTAACCTCCCATGCGGGGTACAGTCAATCACAGCAGTTCTAAGAAGGTCTTCAACCACCTCAATTATTCGGGTGTCTACCCCGGAGGACTTTGCCAAAGCAGACTTGGACAGGTCCTATTAAGAAGGATCAATGAGACGGGTTTCACTGAAAACATTGTATTGCACTTCTGAAGCGGGCACTTTGCGGGCTTTGTAACACAGGTCGCAGACCGTGCTTGAGAGGTTGTTCGTTTATTCTCAGTATTCATAGGAACTGCTAGCATGCAGTACGAAGTCAATGGCGTCTGCAGACATACCACAGTAAAATATTGTTCCAGCCCAAAAGAAATATTCTCACATCCAGACCGCCGACTTCTCAGCATGCGGCTCAAAGAACGACGAGTGGGAAATTCAACGCCGAGACCGAGGGTATCAAATGATTCCAACTTATTCCACCAAAAGGGCACTGCCAATCGACTTGAGTGATGGCCGCGGCATCGCAAGCTCGTCAGAGATTTTGGCTCCCTCCTTATCGGTATGAGACCTAACTCTGTGAAGTTGTCGAGGGAGGCGGAGGTGGTGGTGGAGGGTTAAGAAGCCGATCCTGCAGGCTGCTTGTGTCGCTGATAAAACGGTCGAACACGGTAGTATCAGTCGTAGAACCAGAACTCCAGCAAATACCATGTCAGCAAATCTTTCTAAAACAAAATACTGGATAATATGGTCTTACTTGTTTACCATGACGACGGAGTACGTGTTGACGTTCATGTTCACGGTTGGGTATGGCTTTGCGAGTAGGATGTGTAGATGTACTCAGTCAATTGAGATAACTGACGACGATGACTGTTGATATGAAGATGAGATTTTCAGAATGGGCTGAGAACCACACGATGTCTGAAGTCCCCGGGAGGCCTTTTTGTATCCCGAGCTGTAGATGGCAACACTGTACCGAACGGGTTTCTCTTCCGATCAACCAAGTTCATCCCTGATCAACTACTGAATCTTCGGGAAACCGGAACCACACTTACTGCCCAGAATCACCCCTACTCCCTGCGCGTAAACTTCCACTCCCGGGATTCGATCACGCCTAGATTAAGCCGTAACTGAAAGCCCCCTAAGGTAAACTAGGACAACAAACCGGCGGCATCCACGATAGCCCGAATCAGATGAACGAGCCAGCCAACCGGACAAGAGCACAACCCCAAACTTGAGGCTCTGCTGCAGTCATGATATGAGCTGGACGGAAAGCAGGTCGGATATCGTCCACTCGCCGTGACGGACAGTGGTCCGGTGACCCATCCCCGGCCCCGTCTACCACTCCAACAAGGCCGTTCAAGCCCCACGCGCGCGGCCTGTATTCCCAACTACACAGCAATATCAAGCTCTTAAGACACCCCTGTTACCGGTATTCTTCATCGAGAAGGGATGAACTTGGCTATTCCATTTTCTCCCTACATAAACAAGGTACTTACACCCTCCTTGTAGACTGACATCCTCCGGTCAGATGCATCCAACGTCTACCCCCCTCATCACGGTCCAATCATGGGGTCGCTTCGTGCATGTCTGCATAAATTTTGATGCGAAGTCCGTTGGTGCGCCAAGAAATCCTGCAGTCTGGTGCTTTTGCAGCAGCCGTCTTGTCTGTCTTTAGGATTCATTGATGCGGTGTGTGTAGACGATGCCATCATGCAGTCGATGCTCACTTACATGACAGGCCGCCCGCGTACATATGTACCACGACATGGGGATCCCCATTAGCCTTGCCAGGCGTGCCAGGTTGACGACGGTGCCACCGCATTCATCTTATACCTTTTTGCTGATGATTGCAGTTAAGTGGCGCTCATGGTAACTGGGATTATTTTCTGGAAGACCGCCATCAGCCGAAGTTGTCGAAAGATCCCGTCATTCCACGGTGATGCGCGGTGATCATGGCAGGGTGATCGGGAGTTCCGCTGCGTGGCGCATTGATCCCGGAGTCACGCGTTACCCCTCATTACAAGATGAGTTGAGAATACTCAATTCACATGTCATTTGAAATTCAATAGCTATATTGAAAAGGTTCCGAGGTTTTGTTAGATATGACATCTCAAGGCATCTGCGTATGGCAATGCCAAGGGCGAGGTAAGGGTAGCAAGAGCAACGCTTGGCAGTTCGTCTGAAAGAAACAAGCAACGACAGACGAGTCTCGATTCGTCTTGGCAAGGCTGGAAGCTCGCGGGCCGCTGGTGGTACGTCCGTAACGGGAGAACGTACAATTGCCACTTTGGGAATCGTCGTCGAAGCTGTTAGGTGCCACCAGTCCACCCACCGATACATCAGCACAGCTCGATGCGAATTGTACGATCCCACGACATGTCAGAGCCACAATATTGCCCGGTAAGTCACGGCACAAGGCGGAACATTCGAGTGGGGAGTTGAGACAATACAGGAGTTACGGCAGGAGGATTGCAGATCATAGGCCAGATGATCGCATACGAGGTCAAGGATAAGGCAGGATGACGACTTCCACCAACACACGCATGCTATTATATGTCCGAGCTTCCTTATCTGATAGGTATAATTCTCGCAGAGCCGCAGTTAAACACCTGAAATCACATTCAAGTGGGTGCTGGCCTGTGGTGTATGAGATTCGGCGGTCGTGCTGTGATGAGAAGCTACGGTGCAACTCATCTTTTCAGCTACATGTGCTGATTCAATGAGAGAAACCAGAATTATATGACCATTCATCTTCATATTCATTAAACTCATTCCATGTTGTCCGTACAATTAAGGATGACTCGTTCAATTTACACGCGAAGTGAGCGCCTCAAACTGTAGATGTGCAACTATCAACTCCCATTGTCTTCACCCATGGCCTAAGCTCAACGTTCCATAGAGTAGAAATATGAAACATCACATCCAACGAGCCCTGAAGCATCATGATGTTCAATTTCCACGAAAGGGTATCAAATAACTTTGCACTTCCCCCCTTATGTTCTCATATCTCGGCGCGGATCTGGTCCTCCTGGGCTCAGATGCCTGAAAAGTGCAGTTGGCGACAATATTGTTTTGTTATTACGCGGGCGGATTGGTGACTTCCTGAATGGTTGTCTCGCCAAGGTAGATGTCGAGCATGGGGTTGGAAGACTCTCTGTACTTATGTGAGTTTTGTCTTATTTCGTCTCATGTTGGCTTGAATCTCTTACTCGCCAGACATGGTGATGGAAGGATAAGTAGGATAATGTAATGTGGTGTCAAACCAGTGACTTTGGAGGATTTTGATGGTTTGTAAATATTTCAGGGAAGCCCTGCTCCTATGGTTTGCAGCAACTCTTCTCCCAGTCTATCGACGGCTTCAAGGGGTATTTATAACTTTCTCGCTCATATTGATTCAACCGTTCACCCAGCAGTTTAGTAAACACCCGTGCTTGTTTCCCCCCCTCGGACCTTATTACCATCTTGATCTTCACTCCATCCCATCGGATAGTGCTCTTGCTCGTGGGTCAGCTGCTTCGGCGGCGGCAACATGTACATCAATCACATTTCACAGCAAATTTTGCTCCATAATTCTCTTACCCTGGTCTCCGGCCGGAAGCAAAAGCCTACAGCGCCGACGGCAATGGGAGACGGGCCCAACTCGATCCACGCAAGCACGGCATCCATATCGTCTGCATGGCCGGAGAAACTAGCGAGCAGTCGACATGGTGCCCATTAGTTGCGGCTCTGCTCGACTCGTCCTTGTCTGATTCGGTCCCTTCACATGAACAAACATCGCCAAGGTTTCCTGTATGTCAGCATTTGAAATTCCTCTGATACACGATGTCTGTTTGCCATTCTCTAATCCTTGCTTGTCAGGTGCGACATGCGGTATGGGCCGGCAATGGGACGGCACGAAGACATCCAACCCTTTGTGAACTACATTCCAACATCAGGCTCTGGTCCTCCAACCATATTCTCGCTCTCGTATCTTCTTCGTTTCTCGTTTCCGTGTTTCTTTCTCATGCCCCTCACTCTTCTCCTCTTCTGTCTCTTCCCGTTCCTCTATATTCGAGGTGGCTGGGAACCTGATTGAACAGATGGATCCGCCGTACAGATACTTCTCTCAACCTGCATGCATGAAGCATCCATGCAGATGCAGCCCAGACGTACAACTGCTTCCGAGCTTGAGACAAGCCCTCCAATCACATCTCAGTACCATTTTTCGAGAGGGGAAAGTGGTGTTCGTTGTTCGACGTATCTCCATTTCCCCGCTCAAGTTGCTGTGGGCAGATGGCGTGCCGCTTGTCGCGCAACAGATGTTGTTGCACTTTAGCCCTACAAGGTAGAGTTCGCGTGTCCTCGGCCTTCCTTGGCTGGGTTTCGGGTACAAGCCAAGCAGCCTGGTTCGTGCGGCAGGCAGCTCGTCAACTTGAGAGGGTAAGGTCTCGCCAACTGAGTGAGGGCTGTCTATCTTTCGTCATTTCTTCAGCAGCGTTCGACTCGGAAAAGAAGCGGTGAACGTACCCGATGCATCTCTTCCGAAACAGCGAAGTTCTCTCCCTGTGGAGAAACACCACCCTGACGAGTGCCTCTCGACTAACTCGTCGTGAGAACTACTCTTCATGTAACGGTTCGTGCTGTCTACTCACAGATCCGTCTAGTCAAGATAACCCCCCACGGTGCAAAACAGCCCCATTGGATTGGCCGTAAGTGCTGACGGCGTACAGAGACGAAAGCTCCCCAGCTGAAAAATAGACTTGTCTTGGTCTATCGAGATAGAGTCAGATGAAGACGCCTCTCAGATATCTCGGTCGTGGTCCCGCAGGAATGGAGCGTCATCATCGTCCGATGAAACAGTTCACGAGACTGGTGTCGATTCGGGGCAATCCTCAATCCCGATGCCACGTAGGATGGAAGAGGGGCCAGGCCGCGAGTAAAGCCCACCGGTAAATCGAAAGGACGAGGATCATGGTTCAGGAGACATCAACAAGTCCGGGACCGAAACCATCGAGCGAATCCCTTCTTACTCGCAGAGCCTCAAGATACGGGGGGATATCCAGTCAAATAGCGGTGGCGGAAGTTCGCCAGACACGTGGGTGGGATACTCGATGCTCGCGTCGCAGTTGAGAAGAAACGGGAATGGCATCAACAACACTCGCAGATCTCTCGAACCAACCAGGGCAAACTGACTTTGTCGCTTACCCAAGTCACGACAATCGGATCATTCATTGCCCTATCTTGAGCCAATCGCCCTCTCCTTCGCTTCGGAGACAGCACGAAGATGGGGGGAGAGGGGGGTGGAGGGGTGAAGGAGCAGGAGGTGTCGGGTGGGAGGGAGGACAGGGTAGAGGACTGAATGGTCGGCGGGTGAAAGGATTGCAGTGAATAGATTGCAGTGAAATAGCATGGTCTCCTCAATGCGGCCACGGAGGTGGCTGCATCAAGCAACTCGTTCCCAACAGCGTTCCAACGCCATCCTGATACGTACCCTCTCCGTACCCACTGCCACGCATCAACGACTGCTTCCTCTCTGTCCGGGTGGGGTTTCCAAGATCAAGTGAGGCTCTGAGGCTCTGCCCTGGATGTTCGGGGAGGAAGGGATGCCCCCGAACCTTCGAGTTTGCCTGAACTAGAGTTGCTGTGAAGGTGGTCGGAGTGGTTCGCCCACCACGGTTCAGCTTGGTTGCCTTCCTGCGCGGGCAGCGGAATGCTCCTCTGCTGCATCATTTTTGCACTTTCGTTTGTTTTAAACTTCTCTGTACCCCGGTCACATCTCATCCTTCAGATCTTGCAGTGTCAACAGGCCTGCGCGGGCAGAGAAAACGTGCGAAGAAACGAGGGTCCGGCGTGTTGGTTGAGAGGGGTGGGTGTTCTTGATGGGGAACGGGCCGGGGAAGAAGATGCTGACTGTGTGTTGTTTTCTCTCGGACTCCCGGCCGTCAGCAAATACAACTCTCGGGGGGAAATCTGAGTCGCGGTAATCTAACCCTTTATTCGCCTTTGTTTGTCGTATTTTCTAACGTCTAGAAGAACAGACTTCGTCAGATCTTGGATTTGTCGCTCTTCTCCGCCTCCTCCCGCGCCGTTTTCGACTCCTTCTCCTCGCGCAGCACCTCCTCCCGCCCCCGAACTTCGACGCTCCGCGGCCCTTCTCTGGTGAACTTCACCAATACGACCCTCTCCCAGTCCCCTCCGCGTCCGGAGCCCTTCAGCTCCGGCCCCGGCTTGTCGATGCCCAACACCACGCGGTTGTCGTCCTCGCGGATGAAGAGGTTATGCGGGCTCATGACCTTGTCCGACCAGGGGATCTGAGACGTGGGCTGCTTCTTCGCAGCTTCTGACTCGACCGTCGGGATCCTCTCCAGAAACCGCCGGAGCTGCTCCCGCTGCGCCGCGAAGTGCTCGATACCGGCTCCGCTCGACGCGCCCTTGCAGAACTGAGAGACGAGGAAGAGTAGGTAGTACTGCGGTGGGAAGAGAATGATTTCTCCCTTGTCGGCGCGCGAAAGCCACACGGACGCGTCGTCGAACTTGGCGGCTGTGTGCTCTACACCGCCGTCGGGTGTTGGGACAATGATCTCGTGCTCTGTTGCCTCGGCGCCGGTTGAGGCTGAGTGCGGGAGCATGTAGAGGTACATCTGCGTCGTGAAGCGTTTGGGTACATTCGTTGGCGTGACCCATCGCGTGAAAGGGATCAAGCGGTCTGCGTAAAAGGTGAGTCGGTTGATTGATAGATTGATCTCAGCGAAGGCGACAGTCACATACCGACGTCTGGAACACCGCCGACTTTCTCGACCCAGTCATTGAAGCGGACCTGGTTCCCATGGATCTGCTTGCGGGCGGCGTCCCTGTCTAGCGACGGCAGGTTTACGAGCGTAGACGCGTCTTCCGATCCCTTCTTTGTGGCGAGGAGGATTCCCGTCTCCTCGAAGCATTCCCTGATGGCACCGAGGCGGTACGCAGGGCCATCCTCATGCCTCTCCTTCGCTTCTGGTGGTGGGATAATTCCATCGTGATATGCGTCCAAGTTACCGCCTGGGAATACGTGCGCCGATGCGAACGATGTTGATGTCTTTACCCGATGGAGCAGTAATACCTGGTTTGTCGGCGATAGAAGCAAGATACTGTGAGGATGTCAGCGGCGCCGATGAAGTGAGAACAGTCTGATGCGGGTTCACCTTGAACTTGGCCGGGGCGCTTGTACCTCCTTCTTCTCTTTCGTTGACGCTGAAGATGAAGCTCGCTTTTGCGACATGATTGCTATTGTCGCGACTTTGAGATGTATGATCGGAGTTGAGACGCCTATGAGTGGCGTAGTCGGACTTCGGCCTCGGCTCGACGTTGCGGTCGCAATTGAGCAAGGGTTTGAGATGTTGGTGAGTCGAACTGATGCTATTGACGAATGGGTTCGCATGCGAAAGCTGCGAGGAAAGAATATCGAAGACATCGGATATCGTTTCGCAGCACCCGGCTAGTTCATGAGGTGTTGCGGACTAGATCATCGCAGCGGGGTTGTTTGATGTTTTGCCGAGGTTCGTCGAAGCGCCCTGTGACGCGCCCTGTGGCTAATTCAGGAATGCCGTGCGCAACAGCAAATGACACTTGTCTGAATATCGTCCATCGCTGACTGTGATTTCGTTCACAGAATCATGAGACTGTAAGATCATGGACTCTAGAATTTGTTTATTGTTTAGAATAGACATGTGCGTCTCGATGCTGTCTCCAAGTGACGCCGTGAACCAAACGCATAAACCTATTCAGCAGGGTATCTGTGTTGTATCGACTGTAATTCAATACCTCTTCCTCTCTCCTCCTCTTAAGCTCTCGCGCCACAGACAACACACGCTTTTGGACTCACACCACTGCTTCACTTCAGTCGGAGAGACCTCGCCATCATAACCGACCCTGGACAGCTGCCCGGTGTTCAACCAGGTGGCGAGGTCTTCGAGTATAATAGGGTCATACATCAACATCATTTCATGAAAAGAAGGCTTCTTCGGATCTATAGCCGGAGGTGCCGTCGTGACCGCTTCCGTAATATGCTGGAACAAGGCCACATCCTCTTGAGTCTTAGGCGATGCGGCGAGAGAGATTTCCGTGTCCTCGCCGACAGATAGGGAAACATCAACAGGCGGTGGTGAAGAGAAAGTCGGCTCAGGCGAGGAAAATGGCGACAACGAGATGGACCCTTCGGATGCTGAATCAGGTATTTCGATGACCTCCTGTGACTTGCGCCGCTTCCCACGTGGGGAGGCCGCCCGCACGCCCGTCTCTGGAATGACTGGAATGTCTGCCGTCATCTTCGATTTGCCCTTCACATTTCGTGGAGCGGCAGAGCTTTGCGACGGCTCAACGGCTCGTTTGGGCCGTCCGCGTGATCGTTTGGGAGATGGCGGAGGCGGCTGCGCTGACGGCGGCGGCTCACTGGACATGACTTCAACTTCCACAACCTTGCGGGGGCGGCCTGGAGAGCGTTTAGGCGATGCCTCTTTCGGTACGGGTTCGACACTGCCGTTCTTTCTCGGCCGGCCGCGTGGGCGTTTGGGTGACGGCTCACCGAGCGATGGGTCGATACTGTTCTTTCTCGGACGGCCTGGCGGGCGCTTGGGTGACACGACAGATGCGGCTGTCTGCAACTTTGCAGCTGCCTGTGACTCAGAAGTCGTCGAAATCGGGCGACTCATTGGTAGTGACGACAGGGCTGGCCGTTGCTTACTTGCCCAGCATTGGTCCAACAGGGAAAGCATAGCCGTACGTCGCTTGACTGGCTTGAAGCCGTACGACGAGATCTCTCGCGCGAGCTGAACGTCGGTGTATAGCTCGAACTTGGGCTTGCTAGGTTCCGTGGTAGGCCGAGCCTTGATCACAGGGTCAGGTGCCTTTGTCTCCATCACCGACGGAAGCCGCGGGGGAGGCAAGTCAATGTCATCCTCGTCAAAGCCTTCTGCGATCTCATCAACAGGACCAGCCTGTCCCTGTTCTGACTGGGCAGTTACGGGTCGAGCTGTCGAGAAGAAAGGTGATGCCTCCTTTTGGCCCCTAGGCAAATCGCCAGCCGCGCCTTTACCCAAGAGATCATCGATGTCTGGGAAGGAATCCTCCGATGGGAAGTGATTGGGAAGCGGCGGCGGCTGCTTCTCAGCGGCAACATATCCAAATGGATTTGGCCCTTCAGAGGTCGCTCCAGCTGCCTTTGGTGTGTTCGCCAAGTCGATGACTTCGAGATCCAAAACTCTTCCATCTTCGTCTCGCGCACCCACGCCCCAAAGCTTTTGACGAGGTTCCGGCTCGATTGCGTCGCTGTTGATAGGGGTGACAAAGTGGTCATCTTGCTTCAACCGTGAATTCGAAGCCTGAATCGCAGACTGCAGATCTCTGAGAAACGTCGGGGAGTGCTCCCGTGCCAGCTGGCTTGATGTCCCGAAGACGTAATCCTGATTCGCAGCTTGTCTCAGAGCTGCCGTCGGTGATAGAAGTACAGGTTCTGGCGGTGGCATTTTCTTCGGCTTCTTGGCCCTTGACGGCCTCTTTTTCCCCTTGCCTTTTGCAGCCTCTGCATCGCCCTCGACACTCTCAAGAGGAAGTTCTGATGGATCTTCCTGCTCAGTTGCGTCCGGAACTACATATGCTGCTGTGGCCAATTCGGTAATTGTTCGTGGTTTCTTCCTGGTTGCCTTTGGTTTTGGCGGTACCCGGTCAGATGTTGCGGCTTTGGCCGAATCATTTATAGACACCGTCTCGATCAATTTCCTCTTTCGTAGAATAGGATTGTCCCCATCAGGTGGCTCAACAGAGGGCCTGGGTGGTTCATCTTCCGGGCGGCCGAAGTTTTTGAACAGATTGTCGAAGGTCTCTTTGGACGCGACAAAGCTCGAGCTCTTGTCGACTGAAGAAAGCAAGTCCACGACCTGTGCGTTCGACCCGGAAGCAGTGTCCGCTGGTGGTGGTGTCCAATCCATGCGCCGTCGCATAGCCGCATCCAGCTCTAATGGCTCACCAGAGTCTTTCTTTAGTGGCGCGGGAATCTCTTCGTCTTTGGCCTCATCCTTGGACTTGGATTTTGTAAAGTGGCGACTGGCGGTCTCTCCTTTCTTCTTCGACGCCTTGGCCGGAGCCTTGGTTTTCGCGGCTTTTGCCTTCTTCTCTTCCTTCTCGGCAGCATCCTTCAAGTATTTCTTCCATGGCTGGTCGGCCTCGGTCTCTTCCTTCTCCTTGGATGCTTTGGTAGACCGGGCGGCTTTGGGTGGCGGTTGCCCGGGCTTCTTCTCGAGGACCTTCACACCCCTCTTTCGTTTCGGCTTCGTGACAAACGCAAGCGAAATGATCTCAACATCGTCTTCGGGAAGCGGTGGTGGGGGTTGGCAGAAGCTCTCGGTAGATGGTTTGCACGGAGTCGTCAGGTCGATCGCGGACTGTTCTTGGCGAAGAAAGCTCGAGGCGCTGGTGAAGTTGCGATTTGCATCGTCGGGAATCTGCATTGCTGCACTGCCACTTCGAATTGGAGGCCGTGCGGGTGCTTGGGATTGGATCTGGTCCAGTGATGGCAGGCCCGGGGAGGATGAGAGACTGTAGGAGTCATGTTGGAGGCTTCGGAACGGCGACGCCATCGTGAATCTCGGCAGGCCGGTGGTGATGCGCCGGGCGCATGTTTTCGACGCGAGACGCAGCAGGATGAATGTGGAGTGTCTACGAGAGACTATGTTGCTCGGAACGTATGCATAGGCACTGGAACGCCCGGGTAATCTTAGGCGCAGACTCGAGTGGCGATGGCGTTTCGATTGGTCGTCAACTCGTTTACGCTAAAGCAGGCGTGAGTGACTGATGATGAGACTCTAATTAACATGGAAACAAAAACACCACGCGCGGAGCAGCAGCTACCTACATCAGGTCAGCGGGGCAATTGGCCCGGCCGCGCTAGGTACCTTAGACACGCACAGACCCCCCGGTAATCGCGCTTCGATAAGCAGTATCCAGACGCGCGGTCACCTGACTCAGCCGCCACGTGATCCGCGCGGCAGGAGGGCTCACCTCTTTTTTGTTTGGCCCACCGATTCGGCAAGCACCACCCACGAAATCGTGCCAAAATTTCAAGAACTCCCCCCCACCAAAAGTCACTTCCCGCGACGACCTCTTGCGAACGCAACAACAACCAACACACTTGCCTCTAGACAACCCCCGAACGCAAGTCGCAGCAATGGAGAACGACAAGGGCGAGATCGTCGATCTGTAAGCGAATACCAAAAACCCCCCGCGCGAGACGCCGTGTCGTCACCTCGAAATTCTGGTCCGGTCGCTGGTTGGAGAGGAAGAGGAGGAGGAGGAGGAGTAGCTTGGGGAGGAGAGCGAGATGCTGTTGCGGAAGCTCTGCTCCTCCAAGCTTTTTTCCTCGGCGAGTTTGGAGAAGGATCGGGGCCAGAAGACGACGACACGAAGGAAACGGGAAGATCTTGAACAGTCTGCTAACGTGCTGCTCGATAGCTACGTTCCGCGCAAGTGCAGCGCCACCAACCGCATCATCAAGGCCAAGGACCACGCTTCCGTCCAGATCTCCGTCGCCAAGGTTGACGAGAACGGCCGCGCTGTTGCCGGCGAGAACCACGTCTACGCCCTCTGCGGTTTCGTTCGCGCCATGGGCGAGAGCGACGACGCCTTCAACCGCCTGGCCCAGCGCGATGGCCTCGTCAAGTCCGTCTGGTCCGCCCAGCGATAAATGCTGAGGATTTCGTCCTCGGGGGAGGAAATGGTACGTTGCGCGGGGCGGAGTTCACTCTTTTTGGCTCGAGGGATCTGGGTTTTCTTCTCTGCCCGACACGATGGCTGACTTTTTCTCCAAAAGGTCTAGTCGTTCGGTTCGGTCGGTCTACATCATGGATCTAGAGTTGGTTGCATGGTACAAAATCGCCAATTCGAGGCGTCCGGCTCTCTGAGGAGAGGAAAATGGCATAGGAATGGTTCACGACTACCCAACACAATGAGATTTTCCGCGTTCGAGACAAACAAAACCAAGAACCCTCCCGTCCAGTGACTCTTCCTTTCGCCCCCGACTGCGATATCTACATCCCTCTATTCACATCTCTCTTCGTCACCGGCTAGCGAAGGATTCTCGTGCCACCCTCGATGGTCTCCATGGCCCAGGATTCTGGGGCTACCTCGATAGCCTCCGTGCCGAAGATCAATGCAGGCCTTGAAAAAGCCGTGGCGGTTAAGGTGTTCGTCATGGTACAGATACGGGTCTTACATGTTTAGGCACAGTCAGCCAGGTCAATATGATACCTACTTTCCGTCCCCAGTTTCGTTCTTCTGCTGTTTCACTGGCCATTGATACTGTGACGCCGGGCGAGCCAGGCTAGAATGTCGTCTGATGTTTCGATCCCAGACATGCCATTGATATCGACAGGCGAGGTTACTTACAGACATTGGTCACTTTGGGACTCGGGAACATCATGATTGTGAAGTGGCCATACGGCCGTCGATTGATTTCTTTTGCAGACGGAAAACAGTCATGAGTCTTGGTATCTTGGTTTCGCTCCTCCACACTCCAGCAATTCACAAACGCCAACGTCTTACAGCACATAGCGGAAGTTTTGGTTCTATCCATTTTATTAGCCGGGTTCGCATTTGTCAAGCTCGGGCAACTTACCTCCTTATCAGTCAGATCAACCCCCTCATCCTCGTGCTCGGCATCTGGCGCGATGCCCGCCGCCGCCGCCGCCTCATCTCTCAACTTATTGCGACGCATCAACATCACCCTCAGTCCGATGGCGATACACATCTGGGCAACCGAGCACGCCAGAATCACCTTGCAACCCGTCGGATACAGAGGCGCTTCTTCAGCCAGGAAGGCATGAGGGCCGATTATGTTGCCGACGCAGTACGCGGTGAAGACGATGGCCGACGCAGTGATACGCTTTGTGTATCCGCCCAGATTCGTCGCCGGCATCTGCAGCGCAAGAACCAGTGACGCGACGAACGAACCGACGAGGTAGTATCCGAACAGAACGCCGATCTTGTAGTGCTTCCGGTCCAACTTCCAGATCATGCAGCATCCGATGATGGTGGGGATGAGCCAGAGAGCCATGACGGTCGTGCGCTGGTTCTTCAGCTTGGTCGCCGTGAACGCTCCCGACAGGATCCAAAAGACTTGGAACGCGCCTTGCGGGATACCCAGCGCCGTCGTGAGCAACGGGTCCGATACGAGTCCCTTGATGATGAGCTTTCCGAAGTTGGCGACGCCACCGTTGATGATCTCGTTCAGCAGCACAAACAGCGTGAGCAGCCAGACCTGCGGGTCAAGGCATGCCTCCTTGATCTGATACCACTGAATCGTCTTGTTCATCACACCCGTCTTGGCAAGGCGGGCGCGGCCAACGAGCAGAGCACGCTCCTCCAGCGAGAAGCGCTTGGCGGTCAGAATGCTGTCAGGGAGGAAGACGAGGAGAAGACCACCCCAGAGCACGGTCATGCCACCGCAAATGAGAAAGACGGCCTTCCATACGGGGAACGAGTCGATCTGGCCGATTCCGTAACTGAGAATACCACCGAGCATCGATCCGATACCGTTGCAGCAGTAGAAGAGGCCTGCTCTCAGCGGTTGTTCCGATCGAACATACCTAAGGTCTCCTGTTAGACACGATTATTCTTCCCAGGCATCGGCGGGCTTTACTCACCACATGGACACCATGATCATGAACAGAGTCGTAACCGGCGCCTCAAAAGTTCCGAGCAGGAATCTGCAGGCCGCAAGCCCAGGAAAGTCATGGCACGCCGCCGTGATCATCAAGATGGAACCCCACGAAAGCACGCATCCCGCAACAACCTTTCCCATGCGCGTCTTCTGCGCAAGGAAAACCCACGGGTACTCCGCCACCAGGTATGCCACGTAGAAGATACTCGCGAACCACGAGTACTCTGTCTGCGTCACGCTGGTGCTGGTGAAAAGGTCGAAGACGGCCGCGTACGACAGCGCCTGCTTGTCGATGTATTGCAGCACATAGGTTCCCGCGAGCAGGGGCAGGACGATGAGGTCGATCTTGCGGACGAGGCGGCGGTTCTTCTCCTTGTCGTTGACGAGCTCTGCCAGGTACTCTTCGGTGATGTTGTTCTGGTAGAGGAACTCCGCGGAGGCGTCGAGATGGGCGACTTCGCCGGCGGTCAGGGACTTGGTCGGCTCGAGGCCGTCCTCGGCGTTCTTGACGTCCTTCTCGACTTGCGTGTTGTCGGCCATCTTGTCGTATGTCTCAACAACAAATCCAACACGAGGGCAAGAATAGAAGTTGACAGCTCCAAAAGGCCGTTCTCCCACCGCAAGAAGGTCAGAACATCATGTTTTAATGCGTCCTCACCGATTGGTCATTATCTCGAACCCCCGCAGGCTCACGAGGCCTGTTTCCGGGGTGCAGTTGATAGACCATGCGTCCCAGATAGTGCAGATAACCCGGGGAACCTTCTTAGTCCTGGAAACGCATCTTATCAGGAACGGGATCCATACACGGCCCCCATAACGGGCGACTTTACCCGCCAATCTGGGTTCCCTCTGCTTTTGGCTATCGCGGGGTTCAAACCGGGTCATGAGTCGAGGGTCCTTGAAGAGGTCGGGCAAGTCCCGACGACCGCTGATAAGCCCGATATCCTGCATTTCGGACGACAGATCTGGGCCCGAAGTTCATGACCGCCGCCGAGATCGGCCGTCCCATCCCCGCGGGAAAACAAGCTCTCTATCAAACGTCTTGACATCCCCCTACTCATTTAACAGGCTAATCAACTCTTGAGCCAAGCGCATTGGGTGGTCAGTGAGTCGCATGCAACGGTAGTCCGGTACAAACATCCGCCGATATTCAACCCCGAAGCTTCACCAACTCCCCGGTCCGCTTTCTCATTCACCCTTGCCCAGACCAACACCAATTGAGAGACAAACGTTCTTCAAGATGGGTTCAAAGGTTGATGATCGTCCGTCCGTGACCATCGCGCAGGGAACCGTCGTCGGTACCGTGGTCACGGAAGACGTCCCCCGGCCGATTGAAGCCTTCCGCGGCATCCCGTACTGTCTCCCTCCGACCGGCGACCGCAGGTTCCGGCCGCCGGTCAAGGTGGGACCGTCAACGGCGACGATCGACGCCTCAAAGTTCGGCGCCGTCGCCCCGGGCAAGCAGCTCTTCCCCGGCGGTCCCAAGTTCGAATACAGTGAAGACTGCCTGACAGCCAACGTCTTCCGCCCCCAGAGTTATGATGACGGCAAGTTGTTGCCCGTCGCCGTGTACATCCACGGCGGCGCGTTCAACCGCGGCACGGCCATGATGCACAATACCCCCTCATTCCTTGCCAACTCCGGCCAGGACCTGGTCGCGGTCTCGTTTAACTACCGCATCGGTGCCCTCGGTTTCCTTCCCTCGACAATGAGCTACGAGCAAGGCGCCGTCAACTTGGGTCTGAAAGACCAGCTCATCCTCCTGGAATGGGTCCGGGATAACATCACCGCCTTCGGAGGTGACCCCAACAACGTCACTCTGTTCGGCATCTCGGCCGGAGGTCACTCCGTAAGAACCACCCTAGCTTCACATGACCTTCCTCCAACTGACATCCGCAGATCGGTCACCTCCTGATGCACGACGAAGGCCAAACAGCCCCCCTCTTTCACAAAGTCATCCTCGAATCCGGCGCCCCGACATCCCGCGCCGTCCGCCCCTACAGCGCCCCCATCCACGAAGCCCAGTTCGCCGACTTCCTCGCCGAAACGGGCTGTCCCTCCGGCCTCTCCTCCACCGAGACCTTCGCCTACCTCCGCAGCGCGCCCACCGAAAAGGTCCAGGCCGCCCAGATCGCCGTCTTCGACAAGTACAACCCCTCCCTCCGCTGGGCCTTCCAGCCCGTCATCGACGGCGAGATCATCCCCCGCCCGCCGATGGAGTCGTGGAGGCTGAACAAGTGGCGCAAGGTCCCCATCATGACGGGCTTCAACCGCAACGAGGGCTCCATCTACATCAGCAAGAAGGTCTCCAGGTCGGAGGAGTTCACGAGCTTCTTCGCGGACCTGCTGCCGCTGCTGTCCAAGGAGGACGTCGAGACGATAGACAAGCTCTACCCGGACCCCCTGACCGTCGCGGACTCGCCGTACAAGGAGCAGCTGGAGGGCACGGGGCCGCAGTACCGCCGGCTGGAGGTCGCGTACGGACAGTACGCCTACGTGGCCCCCGTGCGCCAGACGGCGGAGCTGGCGAGCAAGTCGACCGAGGAGCCCGTGTACCTGTACCAGTGGGGCCTGGAGAGCTCGTTGCTGGACCGGGCGAGGCACGGCGAGAACATGTACTACGAGACGTGCGAGCCGAACAGGACCAAGATCTCGGCGGCGCAGAAGGAGTTGTGTTTGACGTACAACGCGTATATCACGAGCTTCATCGCGACCGGGGACCCGAATGCTGTGGAGGGGTCTGCGCCGGAGAGGCCCGCGTGGGAGAGGTATCGGGCGGAGAACCCCAAGGCGATGGTGTTTGGGGAGGAGAACAAGGAGTTGATTGGAGGTCCGGCAGGCGTTCCGGCGAGGTTACATGATGATACCTGGGCTAGGAAAGAGTCAGAGTTTTGGTGGAGTAAGGTTGATGTCTCTCAGCAGTAGCTCATTGGTATAAACTTATAGAGAATGCAAACACCGTTAAATATGACGTTGCAGCTGTGTCCTTGGAACGGAACACAACTTATGCTTACTATCCAAGCTGAATCAATGAAATCTTCTGACACAGCTACATGGTCGTGAAGCCATTTCGCTGGGCTACGTGTAGCCCGTAGAAACACCACCGCCACCAAATAACCCAACAACGAACCGACCACCGGATCCAATGTGAAAGATAAACTTCAAGTGACCACAAGCTAAACTCTCGCAAGATTCTTGCCTTATTCAGCCTCACCCAAAGCAACCCCCACCGACTCCAAATGCGGGACAGCGCTGATGAGCAAGTCACCTTTGCTGCCTTCATGTCGGTACTGCGTGACATGATGGGCTAAGAGAGCAAGGCGAGCCCAAGAAGAAATGACGCATCCGGTTTACAAAGTGTCGGTGGAATAAAGCCGCCCATGGGCCGGTGAGCAGTTCGACATGGCCCCAAAGCCGTCTTGCCCCGATCCTCAGTGCACGTAGCCCGGTTGCGAGTTACGAATCTGGCGGGCAGCAAGTACAAGAGCGAGTGCGACGAGCGGATGAATCTCATGTTCGTGGTTTGCGAGAAGAGCCAGGCCATTCATCAACCCGAATCTTCGGAATATGCGCAACGACAGGCGGAGTTTTATGAGAATATATAAAGCTTTGAGATTGTTAGCTTGGGATAGCATCGTGACGGAGTTCGAGTTGGACCACTTACGCCGCATGTTGTCTTCCAAATCGGATGGATATTTTGTAACGATGCATAGCTGCTGTGAGGTTTCGAGGTTTGTGTTGGCAGAAACTGCCAAGGGTGGGCTGATGACGTTGAGGCCTCGAGCACCAAAGGGTCTTTCGTAAATCTGCCGTCTCCCCTCTTGCAATAAAGTGAAGGGGACGGAATCATTTTTTAGACTTTTATCGGTTCCATGGCTGAAGGAAAGCTCCTGCTTAAGGTAGAGGCTCGTGAATGGTGGTTCTCATAGTTCATTGTTGTTAGTGGTTCCAAACTGACACGAATATGTTTGCTGTCGAATTATGAGACCTTTTGCATCAAAGCTTATGACCAGATCTCTTAATGATGCGTGAAGACTTCTCGTCGTGTGTTTCCCTTGCTTAAATTCAGATCAGTTGATATTCAGTAGTCGCCTCACAATGTTCAACTCTCCTCACTCCCAGGTTATATGGTTTTAGTGTGGTTGTCAGCCATGGCATATGAACAGCCACAGGCGCCAAGTTCTCCCTGAAAATACAGACAATTCTCTACATGACCTGACCATGGAACATCCAAACGCTATGTAAAAACCCCTCTACCAACTCCCGACCTTGCTAACACTACCCGCAACCCCCATCTCCCCCTTCGCCTCCCGACTCGCCCCCTCAAACTCAACAAGCTTCAACGGCCTGTACTCAGCCGTCCACATCTGCTCGCGAATCCACTCATCCAGCTCCTCGTCGTCCTTAGGAATCCCCTCCTCCGTCGCCACGCCCTCTTCCACAGCAGCCTTGATCACGTTCCTCGCGACCCGCACACTGACATCCCTCACGACGTCCACCCCGGGCAGCAACGGCGCCGTCTGGTCCTTCAGCGCGGGACTCAGGCTCGCGACGCCTTCGACCGCCGCGACGAGCATCTTGTCCGTGACTAGTCTCGCCCTCGAAAGGACGGACCCGAGCCCGATGCCCGGGAAGACGACGGAGTTGTTGCACTCGGCCACCTCGATCTCGATCTCTTTGCCGTCGGATCCCCAGGGTCCTTTGACGGGCTTGAAGGGGGATCCTGTCGCGACAAGAGCCTTGCCGTCGGTCCACTTGTAGATGTCCTCGGGTACTGCTTCGTGCAGGCGCGTGGGGTTGCTGAGGGGCAGGATGATGGGCCTCTCGACGCCCTCCGCCATGGCCTTGACGATCTCCTCGGTAAAGGCTTTGGGTTTGGTGGATGTCCCGATGAGGACGTTGGGCTTGACGCTCTTGATGACGGATAGTAGGTCGTTGTCCTTATCTTTCCATTCCGACTCATCTCGCGCGAAACCTTTCTGCGCGGTAGAGACTTCAGACTTGGTGGTCAATAGTCCGGGCTTGTCGATCAACCTGTATCTCCATGTCAGAAGTTATCCCCAGAGTAGTGAGATTCGTGCCGTACCAGATCTGCTTCGCAGCATCCTCTTTGCTGATCCCCCCTTCCGCCGCAATCGCATCCCTCACTTGGTCCGCGATCCCAACACCCGCAGAACCGGCCCCGAAAACGACCAATCTCAGGTCAGACAGCTTCTGCTTGGTGACGTGCAGAGCAGCCATGATAGCCGCCAGCGTGACGCACCCGGTGCCCTGGACATCGTCGTTGAAACATGGGATGTGGGGACGATACTGGTCCAGAATCCTCCTCGCTGCAACACAACGTCAGCTCAAGCCCGCCCAGAACCAAAGAGAGCCAAACCATTCGTGAGCCCGAAATCCTCAAAGTGGATGTACGCCCTGGGATAAAGTCTCCTCGCGGCCTTGACGAACTCGTCGACGAAGCGGTCGTACTTGTGGCCCCTGACGCGCTTCTGTCGGAGACCCAGGTAGAGGTCGTCGTTCAGCAGCTCCTCGTTGTCGGTCCCGCAGTCGAGCACGACGGGGAGGGTGCGGTTGGGGTGGATGCCCGCGCAGAGCGTCGTGAGGACGAGTTTGGCGACGGAGATGAGGACGCCGCCGACGCCTTGGTCTCCGATTCCGAGGATCTCCTCGCCGTCTGTCTCTTCGTGTCAGTTGATCTCGACGGAAAGTGTACGTCTGTAGAGGGCGTACCGGTGACGACGATGTAATCAATATCCTCCGGCTGTCCCCACTGCGCCAGGTCGTGATACACCCGATCCACGTCGTTGATGTTCAGAAAGCAGCCGTCCGGCCGCCGGAAGAGTCTCGAAAAGTTCTGGATGGCGTCACCTTCCGTGGGCGTGTAGACGATGCTGAACATCTCGGGGAGGTGATCTTGCAGCAACTGTGACACAATCAGCCCACCGTCCCAAATCGCACATAGCACATTCATCACGATCGTTCATACCCGGAAATACAGAATCTCATTTTGCTCCTTCAGCGACGTCAGGAAGGTGTTCTTGGCCAGGTCGTCCTGGCGGGTGGAGTACTGCTGGTAGGCCCTCTTCAACTGCTGATCGAGCGTGTGGATGCTCTGCGGAAGCAGGCCGGTGAGGTTGAACTCGCGGCGCTCATTGTGAGGGAATGCGGTGCCCTTGTTCAGGTAGGGCGTGTTGAGGAGGGCGGCGCCGGTGACGGCGCAGGGGATGGGGCCGGAGGTGCTGAGGGGGAGGTGGGAGAATTTGGACGCCTTGCCGTCTTTGGGAGACATCTTGCTTGAATATGAGCGATGGTGAGTACTCGTGCAGCCTTTGATGATGCTTGTGGAATCAAGTCTTGGGTACAAAAACCGCCTTGAGATCAACTGGGACGGGGCGTATTTGAGGACTGCACATCGAGACAACATAGCCAGGCACATGCAAACGTGGGACGGTTTGACAGGAGGGAGGTAGGTAGGTTGTCAATTTCCTTGGCAGAGAGGGACACTAATAGCTACGTAAGGCTAAGGAAGTGCTTCGAGACTAACCGCCTTCATTTGGAAGGGTTAGGTGAGGTGAGGTGAGGTGGGATGCTTAGCTGACTGCCAAGTGACGTCAAGGCCGTCGGTGGTGACAAAAAGACGGCAAAGTCCAGCCAGCGACACGCCGGCGAATCAGTGGCTTCGCTGGACTGGGGGAACTGGGTCTCGGGATGGCGCGAACCTTCCAATTCCTTTCATTTGGAACGGCAATGCTTTGCCGGTAGGAATCGATCTGAAGACGACCACTCACTCTCCTTCTGGACTACCAGTTCTAATTGCTAATTCGAGGACATCAAACACACGTCACATGAGGAGCATCACGATGGAAATATGTAGGTACGCCTGGAGCCTCGCCCATGTAGGAAAATAAGATGGGCATGGACTATGATGGTCCGATTTCTCTCGCAGCGATTCTTTCGTTGCCAAAAGAACCTCCAACGAGAAAATTTCGCAAAACCCGGCCGAGACCAGAACCTGCGAGGTTTTCTCGTCGCAAATATCCCCGTCCTCTTCAGATCCTCGTTGCAAAACGCGACGAGGAAAAAAGACCCCCGCTAGGCGAGGACTCGCGAGATGTGCCCGGAGGCGCGAGTGACTGGTATGAAGCTGCTGTGTGTGTCGTGTGTGTCATGTTGTAGTATGTAGCAGTAAGGACGACTCTGGGCAATACATAATGCCGGTCGATCCTCGTCGTGAAGCGCACTTGAGCTTCGTGTTGGAGATGCCAACGTGGTTTGTTGGTGGTGAGTGGGAAAGAGCGACCCGGGAGCTTGATGGAAATTTTCAGAATGGAATTTGGGTGGAGGTGCATGATTATGTAAGACAAGATTCCACTGTGGAACACTTTTCGGCAGGTGGCCGATGGAGAGCTGCCAGTTGGCGCCACAGCTGGCACCATCTGGGATTCAAGCCGTGTTAGTCTGGAAGCTGGGATATCCTTGAAACAAGGAGCACATGATTAGCACCTTGATCGCCGGAAGGGATCATGGAAGCAGGGCGACGGTCCAGATATATCATCTCACGGGGAGTTATCACAATGATTCTGACAATGGATAGATCATATTCCCATGAAATAAGTCTGCATCAATAAACAGCCGTGATATGCCGAATTTCACTGCTCATGAGCATTACCTCAGTGACATAAGTAGCAGGTCGCCAATACCGTGAACCTACGCTTCTAGTTTGTGACCAGCAAACAGAATGCCGGTGGGCAAGTGGATAGGAAAATCAGGTATACCCAAACTCCCAAGCAAATCAAATCATACATCTTCGCCATCCGTCTCGTGTCTCAGATGAGTCCGGCCCGGGCAGCCTCGCCGGCGCCGTCCTCGACGAGCTCGTCCATGCGTCTCTTGCCCTTACCGAGGCCACCCTCACCGACACCCATTCTCCGTGCAACGTATCTCTGAGCGACGACACCAACGGCGAGGCCTAGCAGCTCCTCGATCCACTCCGCAACCCACTCGCGGGGGTCGACGCCACCGCCCTCGACGATCTCGCGAATCTCGTCGGGAATCGACTGGTTCGATGAGATATCCTGACCGTCCTCACCACTGGCGGGAGTGAGCGGGTTGGAAGCATCCAACCACTGGATCCACTTGGCCGGGATCGACTGGCTGATGGCCGAGAACTCGATGTCGTGGACGGGGTCCAGGCAGAAGACGGCGAAGCAAACCATCTCGTCCGTCTCGTCCTGTTCAGCCACCGCCGAAGCCTCCTTCTCCTTCTCAACGGCCGAAGTGCGGGCGAACAGAGCAGAGTCGGAAGTGGTGCCTACAGCCTGGATGGCCAGGAACAGGTCGGAGCTGCGCACCGGGTTCTCCTCGCTCAGTCCCTCCGTGGCGCGGATCTTGGCCTGCTCCAGACCACCATGGGCGGCAAAGTACTCGCTGGCGTAGCCCTCGGCGCCAGCGCGGCAGAGCTTGGTGCCCTCGGTGAGTCCCTTAATCATACCAAGGTCTCGCGGAGAGTCGGCCTGCCTCCACCAGGGGCCATCTTTCCAGCCCGCCCCTCCGTCGTTGGAGTACCTCCTGCTCGTGTTCTCCTGGCCACGCTGGATGACCATCAACTCGCCGCCCTCGACCTGGGACATGACGCGCGAGAAGGTGCCGTAGATCAAGGGGTCGAGGGAGGGGTATCCGACCATGTCGTGGGTGATGTGAATGAGCAGGCGTTCGTGGGAGCTGATCGGCGGAGCGAGGGTGTGGAGGATGTTTGTGAAGGTCGGGAGTGCTTGCTGGCGGAGGTTGTCCCCTGCAGATATGTTGTTAGTTAACACGATTCACGCAACATTGGCCACGTCTTGTCGCGTCATCAGCTGGCTTCGTGTAGCTTACCGAGTGCTCTCAAACCACCAACGTTTCCTCGAACCTGCTCCGCCCACTTCTTGGCCTCCTCGTTCTTCTGGATCTCCTTGACAGCGGCCTCGGCCTGCTTCATAGCAGCAGATGCGGTAGAGAAGACGCTTCCCCACCAGCCACCCCCGGCAGCGGGAGCGGCGGCGGCAGCAGCTGAAGTGGAGGCAGCAGAAGGTTGCTCGGCGGGCTTCCTCTCGGTCTCTTGAAGGTCGGAGCTGGTGGCGCTCGGGGTGAAGCTCGCGCGGAGGGATCTGGCGCTGTCGGTGGACTTGCGAGGGGCAGCAGCCTTGTCGTCGGTGGTGGGTGTCGCTGAGCGTCGAGGAGGGGCCTTGGCGGCGGTCTCCTTGATACGGGGCGTGTGCGGGCGGGAAGGCTGCTCGAGGTCCTTTTCGAGCTCTGCGAGAATGTCCTGGTCGGCCATTGCCTTGGAAGCAGCGGTAGTAGGCTTGGCGGCCTTCTTCTCGAGGGACTTCTTGGGGGCGGCAGCAGCAGCAGCATTGCCGCCAATGCCCTCGAAGAGGTCGTCGATGTCGTCGCCAGCGGCGGGAGCTTTGGTCTTCTTGGAGGCCATGGTGGTGGTTGTTGATGTTGTGGATGGGAGATGCAATGTTGCGGGGCAGACGTCACAAGCTGCTCGGGCTAAGGTAATAGGTAGGCAGGCAGGTACCGCCTTAGGTAAAGGCGGCTCGAGCCTGGAGTAGCTCTCTCAAGGGATGGATGCTCGGGAAGCTGAGTCAGGGGCCGTCAGGAAAGGAAACGGATTGAAACATATGCATAGAGAAACAATACTGGTTGTGAAAGAAACTCCGACGATCTGGCCGTAATGTATGGGCTATTGGGTACACAGTGATTATTTCCGTCTCAACGCAGTGGTATCACGATGAACGTCGTTGTTCATGAAGCACAGCACTGAAGCACCGCTGAACAGTGGACTGAGGCACGTCCATCTGGCAGCTGGAGACGTGCATCATCAGGGACCGTGGACCGTGGACATGCATTGGGTGGAGTCGGATCACGCTATTCCGGATTCGGGAGACTGCATTTCTTGGGATTTCCATTGGCTCGTCTAGCGGGCGTTGTCTTCAGCGGACATCTTGCCTGGTTTTCTCTGCCAGATGGGATTTACAGCGGATGGGAGGTACTGAGATGAGGAACTTACAGTGAGCTGGAAATCTCAGGCCGAGCACACAGGAACCGAATCACCTCCAGCTGACTTCTCATCTCTTCATGGGAAACGGCATGAACCCACCTCAAGATACATCGTCAGAAGATACAGTACTGTCCTTATAAAAATAATGATTTTTATTTAATACCTGCCTTCTAAGTCATCGCACTCACCTGAGGAATAAAGCTGCTCTAGGGCGCACGCGGGCAGGTCAGGAGGAGAAAGATACGTACCTCTGCCCCTGTACCCACCTCACTTCTATTACCGTTTTTTGAATGGTCCAGCCGTGGCTTGCTCGGATTCACAACGTCCAATAAGACAGCGGGACGGAAGTGGCAGGCAATGGTGCCAGCTGCAGCCAGGGTCCGGGCTATTGGCAGATTCGGATTTGCTCAGTGCAGCAAGCAGAGCAGAGCAGCAGGCCAGGCCAAACAGCGTGAGCACACACGGCCGCCTCACCTCAGAAGGCTGCCATGCCATGCCATACCTTCCCGTACCTTGCTCACACTGCAGCTGCGTAAGGACTGAGTGGCAGCAAAAAACATCGCCAGCAACAAGAAAAGGGCAATTCGTCCTCCTTTTTGCGGCCTTGATATTCCCCATCGCCAATCTTGTCGGCCTCTCAAAAATCTAATCGAGGTCTTCTTCGTCTCGATAAGTCTCTTTGAAAGGCGCTCGTTTTTACCCCAGCTTCCTACACGGAGCGCATTCCAAGCCCGACTTATTTTTCTCTCTTCCTTGTCCCTTTTTTTCTCCGAATTACCTTACCTACTGGCTCAGCCAAAACAGGTCCTGAACACCACCTTTCTCTCACCTGAGAATTCAAGCACACTAAGCTACCTCATCGCGTTACAGCGGACACCAGAGCTCAGCCAGTCAGTTGCAAATTCGAGGTACCTGCCGCGAGGTACCTTGTCTTGCCTCCTGCCAACAACACAGCCGGGCCACAAGTCAAACCACATCACCACTTGCACCGTCAATCCTGGTTTTGCCCATATTTTTCACTCTCGCCGCCGTCCCTTACACCAACGGCAGGAGTCCTTCACACTTACTGTCGACATCGTCTCGACCTTGAAAGATACTTGCTCGACTGTCTGGATGGTTTCTTCCTACCTTCCGGCTTCTCCTTGCGGCGCCCCTTGATCACGCCGTCTACATACCAATTCTTCGTCAGCCAGCTTTCTCCGTCTTATTTCAAGTCTACCTGGGCCTGGACCCCCCGGCACCTCATCACCAACACTTTCTCCGTTCACTTGAATCCCTTCACTTGGATATGGAGCAGCGCTCTCGTGGAGGACGTGGAGGACGCAGAAAAACACTTCCTTCTTCCAGCTTTCAGTCAGACACAAGTGTCGGCGCCGACTCGACTTCCACCATCATGACGCGCTCTCCCCCAGCACCGGCTTCACGCACTCCTCAGACGGCGCCTCCCAATCGCCGCGCTTCCAAGCCAGCCCCCATGAACAATCCTTTCACCAACGTCCGCTCATCTCCCAGCGCCGCTGCTGCTGGCCCCGGCAAGGCTATTAGAAAGAAGTCTCGCTCCGGTGGCTTCGAAGGCGCCGCGGATGAGGATGACGAGACCTATCGCAAAGGCCCTCACACATTGCGGAAGCGTACCAAGATCGACTACTCGGCCGCAGACTTTGAGGATGAGCTGCCCGAGATTGCGATCCCGGCACCCCGCACCGCAACTCGCAAAAGAAGAGCAGACAGCGAAGTGGCCGATGATGATTACTTCACCCCTCTCTCTCAGAAGCGACGTGCTACTTCCAGAGATTTTTCCGTCGCCAGTCTCCCCGCTGCTCGTCGCCGGACCCCGGCTCGGAAGAATATCGTCGAACAACAGCAGTCCTTCTACTCTCAGCCATCAGACGAGGATATCGTCAAAGACACCATCGAGGTCGTTGGCGACTCTTCTGACCTGGTGAGCTCTGATGATGCCTCGGAGCATGAAGAGGACGAGCACGACATTTCCGGCCGTCTATCTTTGCCTGAAAAACATGATCATCACTCTTCGCCCACTCAACGGAAGACAAAAGGCATCAATCGCCTTATCTCACCCGTCGAACAAAATGCCATCGAACAACAACACGAGGAGCAGTCTTTTCACGCTCAGCACGTCTCTGCCGCCGCCGCCGCCGCTGCCGAGCACATGGACTCCGGCCCGGTAATTGCTCACCCTCAGCCCATCCGAGTCAACCACGTCTCCATTTTCAACGACACTGCTCCAGCCCAAGAACCCCGGCCAATCCCAACACACCGCGAAGACCTCGTGGAGGATTTTTCATTTCAGCCAAAGCGAGAAGCCAGCTCCCCCGTTCGCCCAACGGCCACCGCTCTTCACCAGGCGGTCGAGCCGGAAACGGCAGAGGCGGCCACCGGACAACAAGTGGTTCTCGGCTCACAGGAAAACTCCGCACCGGCCGTCGTTGCTGACAATTCCGACACCACTGCCGCCGCTCCTATCATAACTCTCAATGAGGTTGCTATTATCGCACAGTCTCCGGAGCAGATTTCAGACTCTATTACCGAACCCGTCATTAACGGCGAAGCTGTCAATGGCCATGTTGACGCCACAGAAAATAAACCCTCGCCTAGAGAGCAGCCTCCAAGCCCGGAACCTGCAGCCGAGGCCGACCAGGTTAAGGCTCATGAGTCTTTCACCTCTCAACCAGAGGAGGCTCTTCCGGTTCAGGATCAGATGGACGTCGATGCGCCCGAGAAAACAGTCACTGAGATGCAAAAAGACACTCCCGTTGAACAGCCGGACGCCGCTCATTCTCCCGAGGAGGCACCCAAGGAACCCGAGATCAAGGAGCCAGAGGAGAAGAAGCCACAATACCCGTGGTCTTATTTGACGCCATACATCTCTGGCGAGTTTGTGACGCATTCTACATTCCCCGTCACAGTCGAAGCCCCTGCACCGACCTCGAATCCCGACGGATTGGATGCCAACGGCGAGACTGAAAACGCCGAGGAGAACGCAGAAGTTGCCGACGCAAATGTCGACGGCCCGCAGGCTGATGGCGAGGGCGATGAAGACGGCAACGCCGACGCCGATGGGGAGGTTGAGGACGTCAACGCCGAGGACGCCAATCGTGTCACCGGCCAGGAAGAGGAGCACCACCCCGATAGCCAGGCCCAGCAATTATCTCAAGAATCGCGATACAATTCTGAGGTTCCCACACCGGCGCTCACTCCTCGCCAAGGGTCGCCCGCTCTGCCATCGACTGCGATTACCGGTACCAACACTCCATCTCTCGCAGGACCAAGGCAGCGCCTTAGAAAGCAGTACCCGTACAAGAAAGTTAGGGACCCTTCCGAGTATATGGAATTCCTGAAAGACACCAAGAAGCTTTCCTACGAAGAATTGTGGGATCTACTGGCCGAAGCCAACGACGCCCTCCTCACCTGGCAGGAGGAATACAAGGAGTGCACTAAGATCGTCGACGACCAGGAGAATGCCCAACGTCGCCAAATTCAAGATGCCGCCTTTGAAAAGAAGACCTCAGACCTCAATGCTTTCAACAAGGTGGAATCGTACATCGAGAAGGACTTTGACGTCCAGGGCTACCGTGCCACAATTAAGGAGAAGGATGCTGGCGTTCTGGAGCAACGCTGGCAAGATAGAGTCATGGCTAGCGTCTATGGCTTCGAGTACGACCCTCATCCTAACAAGATTGGCAACCAGGACCCCGACACCCAAAAGGATGGCGGTGGGGAGGGTCGTCAACTTCGAAGCCAGCCGCAGGCCAGTGCAAAAGCTGCAGAAGGCGACGGTGTCATCGTCTCCGGCAAGAGAGCCCGCAACCCTCCAAAGCCGTTTGAGGGCGTGGTACAGGAAGACCGCTCCGCGACTCCTGGAGGGAACAAGCCTGGCCCTAAGAGGCGGGGAAGGGCGGCTGCCGCTGACAGATTCTCCACCTCTTTCACGCAAGACGAGCCGGAGGCCGAGCCGGAGCCGCAAACCATTTCTCCAGCCAAGCCCGGACGCAAGAGAGGCCCAAGAGGGAAGAGAGTCGTTATCGAGTCCGAACCTAATACTCCCGCACCTGAACAAGACGCCATCGCACCTCCTCCCCCCGAGCCGGAGCCGCAAGAGCCTCCCAAGCGCAAGCGCGGCAGGCAACCTAAGGCAAAGCCTGTCGACGAACCGGCGCCCGAGCCGGAGGAGAGAACACCAAAGCGGGGCCGCGCCGCGAAGAGACAGTCCAACGGCCATGTGCCCCCTCCGGAGACAACCGACGAATCTCGCCCGACTTCCTCGTCTTCAAACGCCACCATCTCGGACGACGGGTCTACCTACGGTCTTCGCCAGAACAAGCGACAGCGCAACTGGCGTGAGGAGGCCGACGTCGACGAGGAGGCCGTGGAGGCCATGCAGCCTCAGAAGCGCCCTCGCATCAGACTCAACCGCAAGCAGAGCACGGCCGACCCGACCCCCCAGAAGAGCGTGTCGGAGCGCATCCTGGCGGATATCAACGACTTCCAATCCGCACCTACCCCGGAAGTCTCGTCGCTGTTCGTCACTTTCAAGCTCATCGGCAAGGACCAGTGGAGTGTCAAGGGCGCCGCGACGCCTCGCCAGACATCGACCGACGAGAGCGAATACAACCTTTCGACTCCCAAGCCCATGCCCGTGTCTGCTCCCGCATCCGCCAAGTCATCCGCTCCCCCGAGCCAGGCTGGCGGCGAAGAGAAGGACTACTCTACCATGACCAAGTCCGAGAAGATGTCAGCCTCCATGAAGAGTAAGTCAATACACATTTCATTTGATCCACGAACATGGCTAACACACCGCAGAGCGCTGGCTCAACGGAAGCATGCAAGGCGCCGTCAATAAGAGAAAGGCCACCCTTGCCGCCAAAAAGGCTGCCGCCGCCGCCGCCGAGGCTCAACAGGTCCAGCAGGCTCAGGTCGCGCAGCAAAAGACGATGCAATTCCAACACCACACCGGCATCCTCCCCATGCCGCCGAACCACGGCCAGTAAACGAATCCTACGAACACACACACACACGAGATCATCCCGCAGAGAGACGGGACAAGCATCTTCTTCCCCAAAGTGAACCGCCAAGAGGCAGCAGCCGCGACGCACTACTATGAACAACATTACCAGCATCTTGCTTTCCAAAGCATCGAATTTTTTCTCGTCCTCCTCTGCCATCAGCATTTTATATACCTCTTTTTCGCTTGACGACTCTCGCATCCGGATGGCGTGGGTCGGGGGCCGGGCATACGAACACGGGACCTGCATCAATCACGCCACACACACACACACACACACACGAACGATCTAATTTTTCCTTCTTTCTTTTCTCCGTGGTCGAAGTACCCGGGCGGAGGGTGGCGTGCGTGTTCTCTCAGATTCAAGCATGGGAAAGCGAGGGCATCCAAAAATTTTTCTTTACTGTTTTGACGTTGGAAATGAGGAGAAAAAAAAGTGTGTATTGGGTTTTTTTATTTTCTTGCATTGCGGGCGGTCGGCCCCACATACTACTCGCGGAGGAGGAGGCATCGTCGCATTCTTCATCGTTTGTTCTTTTCCAATCTGACCCTCTTCTTCACTTCGGAATCTACGACGACGGTTCAAACGTGTACGCGCCTCGATTCGGGCGACGAGATGGTATTCGGGGGGTGGATGAAGAGTCGGATCGCGTACCTACTATCTGGCATTCGGCCTTGGGTGGAGCCTGGTGTGACGGCTCGGGGAGGAGGTCCGATTGAGGACCCCATTGAGACGCCCTGGGATCTGGGGAACAGAATAGGGTCAATACTCTTGATGAATCTGAATCATGATGCCGAAATTTGTTATTCTACGCTCCTCATGATGATGTGTGGTTGATGATCTGGCCTGGGCAACTCGGTCTCCCGTTCCTCATGAGCCGTGCCGTGGACGATTGAGGTCTTATAAATAGATCCCCCAATCTCTTCAAGATTCTCCGTGGGCACACAAAGATATGAGGTTTCATTCCTTGTTTTTCCTCTGGGCTCTAGTCGGCCAAACTTGCTGACTTGGAACCGGACAGCCAGCCTCTCGTCATCGTGGGGTCTAACAAGTTACCATCAAAACCGACGTCTCTGGGCTTCTTCGTTTCTAGTGAATTATTCGTCTCCAATCACCTAATGAATAGACCTCCGCGCTGGTGATCGGGATGCAGCTTCAATGAATGGCTTGATGACAGTGAAATATGGACAGCTGCAAGTACCATGCCCCTCCACGATCCTGACAATGTCAGAGACCATTCTGTTCGATGGAGCACCCTCTCGTTGATTTCCACTCTAATTTATAGGCAACTCTCGTTTCATTATTCGCCTTGAAACGCCGACCTCGTGACTGGGTTTAAAATATCACAGGTTGTCCTGGCAGCCTCGCTGATGGGTCGGCACTCTTGACTGCATGGGCCTCGTCAACGGGATCTCCAGCATCTCGACTTGGTTTGCTGAGCAGACCTTAGAAGTCACATTGAGAGACACAGAGGGACTATTCTGAGTTTGAGTGTACAGATCGCGGTATTTTATTGGTTTACGGCGGAGTTTTGCCTTTCGAATACGCGCAGGAGGAAGACGATGGTAGATGATGAGGTGGTTATCGGCGCACCATGCCTCCATGCCTCTTCAGATTCAGGCCTCACCGAGTCTGTGTCTATTGCGGTTCCCTTTAACTTTGAGAGAGATAGCCGAAGCATCGAAAATCGAGACCCTCCCATGCCATCGCTCGCTCGTCACATTATCAAGTATACGATTCTTCGTCCCCTTTTATACCTTCAAGAAACGATGAGGTACGCCCTTGAGCTGTTCGGGATTGAACTCAACCAAGTTTCGCATCTCTTGGTTTGAACGACAGTCTCTTCTCATATTAGATGGTTCTAAGAGAACAACGATGAGTCGTGTCTTGTGCCAAGCTTCAATGGTATGCGTTGTGACCATGTTCATCTACGGTAACCGGGACCAGGTCCGTTTACCGTGGCCCTCGGCAATTTTTCCGACGCCCGTATGTGAACTTGCACTCAAGTTCGTCGATTATACAGGCATGAACACCAAAGCGTTAACAGAGATGATGGGCGGTGCTGGGGTTGGGCCTTTCCGTGATCAGGATTCAGTCTCATGCCCTTCTCCACGGACAGACAATGCAAGAGGCTCAAGATGTCAAGACAGAGACCGGTCGCAATACTGACTGAAGAGATTCGCATCGTTCATGTCAGAAAGTCCATGAGAGTAGAATCGCTAGCACTTTTATACTCAGTGGATGACGGAGAAGACGTCCTCGGGTTCTGAACCAGGCTGGATGTCAGACAAGTTCGATACTAGCTCGAGTCGGTCTCTACGGGCTCTTCATTGCCCTCGTCTAGGTCTCAACCATACCGAGGAAGACGACCATGGCTCATTCTTATATTGAACACAAGTTACTCCGGCTTTGAACCTTGAGGTTTAAACCATTTCGTTGGCGTCAGGTAATGGGATGAGCCAGCAGTGGCGTAGAGGTTTGTGAAAATATGCATGGAACCTCTCTGGGCGCAAGAAGGGTGTCCAAAGGGGATTCCTTTCGTTTTATGATACTTCATCGGCTCCTATATGTTGATTATTCGATAAATAAGAGGCCAGAGGAAACACCGGATGACGATAATGCCGTGACGCTTATCGAAGCTGTGTAACCCTCAATGCCTTCAACACGAGGAACTCCCTATCGCTAACCATATTATGAATGCGTCTAAATCGGAAGTAAAAAGATACACCAACGACGACGATGTTCCGGCTTCCATAAGCTAGCAGCCGAAGGTATATGTATATATACCCAAGATCTGGATCTGTGTCCAAGCCCAGCGCCACTCACATATACGATGCCTGCTTCTGTTTGGTCTCAGCTGGGCTTCTCGACAGCCACAAGACAGCAATCTGGGTACCGGGGCCATTCCTATATAAGCTGAGTTGATGCAACCACTGATAACGAACCTGAATTCTTCAAGACGAAGGGAGTGATAGAGGGTCCCCTCCGCCTATTGTGTCGCACGAGATGGAAGCGCCGAGTAGTGGTGCTGGGCTGCATGTGGCCAGTCGTTAAGTCTCAACCTTGATGGAGGATCATGAATAACCGGACGGCAGCGGCGACGAACATCGTTGGTTTCCGCTTCAAATAGGAATGAGCATAAACATTGGAAGGAGTATAGGCTTGTTTCTGTGGTGTATATGAGTTTGCTTAGCAGTTAACGACAGGTTCTCAACTACCTACCTGAAAGCCGGCAGCAAGGAGTAGAACCTATCCGAACCATGTATTCTAAGGACGTGGCCTTATGTCAAAGATCTTGATTTTGGTCGGAGAGCAGCATCGTGGACGCCTTGGCCCTTCACACGCGTCAGCCTGGTCATGGGCTGAAGGTGGGATCCGATCAAGACAGGCATGGGCACCATCTACTTCTGGGTCCGTCCTTTCCTATTATGACTTGCTGTTGACATATGATGAACATCTGTAATGGCATCAAAATTGTAAGTCAAGGTATGATTTAGCTGTTTGAAACGAACTTTTAATAGTTGAAAACCCCAAACGTTGAGAATATGCTTGGCGAAGGCATTCAACATGGTCGGCAAGGCTTTCTCGCAAGTACACTAGACTGTATAGAGTATGATTTCATACGTGAAACAAATGAGATGTAATGAATTTAATTGACAGTTACAATAGCATTATGCTCATTTCCGATGCTCAACATTCAAGGATCTCGTCGCAATGTCTTTGGGCTGTCACGATGGGCATCCACAATGCTGCACCAAAGCGACTTCACGGCAATGGGTCCGTGAAGCCTCAACTGAGAGTCAACTGGTACAGGGAGATTGAGCGATGATTCGAGCGGCGAATGGTGGCCGTAATTGCACTCGAGACCGCTCTTAGCATAGCTATCCGAATGTGATGAGCTTCGCAAAGTTCGCGATGACGCCGACCCGCCACTGAAGCCATCCGTCAGGCGGCCTTCACACTTGCACACTTTGCTTGCCGTGATATCGCCTCCACTTTCATCTCCAATCCATCGTCTAACAAGTGGCTGGGTTGGTACCTAGTTGCGGCATGGAGGTGGTTCGCCCCAGGTGAAGTCAGACGTTTTGGCGCCATGGTCAACGCATCTGGTTGCCTTCAGCTTCTATTGGCAGGCAGCCTTTACCCACTTTCAGAACTGGCAGAATGACTTCTTGGCAGTCCTTCACTGCATTCTAGACCACCCCCAAGAGGGCTTCATGGTGATGGATTGCAGAATTGAAGAGGACGTTACTTCGGATGTGCCGTGTGTCCTGCCGGGCGTCTTCTAGGCCCGCGTGTTTGCTTCGCTTTGGCAGCTCGTGAGCTGATTGACCGTCGACAAAGATATCTCGTGCTTTCGCTGATGAACCATACCAAGCGACCAAGTTTCATTCAAGTGTGATGATGATGGCCGGTGCAGTCGGGCTTGGGGCACCCCGATACCCAAATCTCGCTGCATGCTCCGTACTTCTGGCATTTGTCGACTCCAGGAATCAGGAAGCATCTCGAGGTCGGCGGCGACAACAATGACAACAACAACAACAGCAATAGCACCCGCATCAGAAGCAAAGGAAGGGACAGCAGTTGTTTAACGTGCGCAAAGAATCGGATTTTTGTATCTCTCCTGTATGCGAAATGCCTGGTATGAATTTCTTTCCCTGTACACGCCACAGCCGAAATGCAGAGCCCAGCGAGGAAACAAAAATAGAAAAACCAGGCCCATCAACCCTCTTCATTCATTGACCTATCTTCCCGGTGTCGGGTGTTTGTGCCGCGTCGGGAACGAAAGGCAAGGGGGGGTAAAAATCCTTTATTTGCCCATGGTTCGCACCGGTTGACCTAATCCGTAGCCATAACGTCGTCCTTTTCGCCCTTTTTTATGCTTGAAAAAACTCGTTTACATGACAACACCGGAGTTGCTGGCAATACGCTGTGGGGGATGTCAGTTGCTGTTCCGTTGACGGGGTTGTGTCGGGCATGACTTACGGGCCAGAGCTCGGCAGCCTCCTTACCGACGGGGCCGGTGATGGCAGAGCCCTTCATCTCACCCTTGGGGTTGACGATCTGCGTGGATAGGTCAGCGTGATGTTCGGTCCTGCGCAGCGCCAGATCGAGAAAAACTTACGACACCAGCGTTGTCCTCGAAGTAGAGGAAGACACCGTCGAAGCGCTTCCAGGGCTTGGACTGGCGGACGATGACGGCGGGGTGGACCTTCTTGCGGAGCTCAGGCTTTCCCTTCTTGACGGTGGCCATGACCATGTCACCGACACCACCGGCGGGCAGTCTGTTGAGGCGGGCACCGGTACCCTTGACGGAGATGATGTACAGGTTGCGAGCACCCGAGTTGTCCGCGCAGTTCATGACGGCACCGCTGTGTACCAAGTCAGTCTTTCGTTCTTCGGAGCAGCGCGCTGCCCCTCTTCGCGGAGGAGAGCGCGCGTGCGTGTGGGAGGAATTCGTACACGGGGAGACCGAGGGTCATCTTAAGCTTGCCACCAGGGGCACCACGGCTGTGAGACTCCAGTCAGCATCTCTGCATTCAGAAGTCGTTCGAGTTCCTCCATCGACATTTCGCGGCTTTCGGTATCGGCGATCGGTGGGCGGGCGGGCGGACGGTTCACAGGAATCTTGTGCCAAAGTCGTGTGTCGCAATCGTGCTTTCGTCGCAGCCGAGTCCCATCCAGCATTCCTCCGCCAGCATGACGAGTCCCATACGTCGATTCCTCCTCTTTCCCTGCATCGTGGTTGTCGTATCGTTTCGAGGCTCGCCCGCCCGGATCGCCGAGTACCTGCCCACACTTCCCCCGGCGGGAAGAGGGCGCCGAAAAAAATGCGCAGTCGGTGATTCGGAAGCAGCAAGTGTCGACTTACGAGAGTTTGGCCATTGTGAGGGTTTTGGGGTGTCGAAATCAACAACGGGTGGCTCGAAGGATGGTTGGATTGGGCGTCGATGGTGTCGCTGGAAATTTTCCTCCTACTGAGATGTTTTTGCCTGTCTGTGGGGTGAATTTCGTAGGGTTTCTGGGAAGCGAGTGCCATCCGTGGGCGTCACGTGGAGATAAGATAAGCCAACACACGGGCTCCGGAAAGGTGGAGTCCCGTCTATCATCGCGACGATGGATTGTGCCCCTCGGGAGGGAAATAAATCGTAGTGAAGTTCCCCGCGTGTCGCCAGCGCGCCTCGTCGTAAAGTGTTCGACACGACAGCAATTGTCGCGCATCACACGCGTCGACGGTCTTACACCGTCAATGGCTGTGAATGGTCCTAGACACGACACATTACCTGACCTCGAATTTTGACCTGGCTTTCTGCTGTGATTCTTGGTGTTCCCTGAAGGTTTTTCGGAATCGCCCTGGTTACTTCTTTCATCAGTCGTGCTTCTACCTCCTACCTAAAGCGCTCGTGAAAACATGTTATTAGTTATGGTGACGAGTTCCTGGATATAACATCGTTATTTCATGAGCTTTTTTCCTGTTCTTTTCCACTACTTGCTTCTCGTTCATTGCAGCACCTAGTTTTACTATTCATGAGGCTAGAGCTGCATTGTTCGATGGGTTGGAGTCACAAAATGCTCGAGGTTGACATAATCAACGGTCGTGTAGATTCTCAAAACTTACAGAGAACCTAGCTGCAGCGACTTACCTGTAAATTTCGCGTCCCAACCAGATGCCTAGTTGGTATCTCGTCAACGTTTCCCCTTGAGACGTCTAGATTGCAGTGAAGGGTACGTATTGGGGAGTCGTTGACGGGCTGTAATTTCGGCGCCTACCAACCGCCCCGGAGTTGTGCACGCAGGGTGTCCAGTTATGCAAATTATGCTAGCGACTGTGCGAAACAGTGCGGGAACTAGGCATATACTAGACATATGCCCACCTTATACCTACCTACCACCCCTGGGTCCTTGGGAGAGTAATGAATCGCAGTGTAATAGTGGCTAGTTACTAATTACTGGCAGTCGTCACCTGGTGTGGCTTGACCAATCCCGTATGCCTCAGTTTAAAGCCTTCGTGAGAACTATGCGAGGGTTGTTGAGTCGGGTATGAGAGGCCTTACATACTCCAAGAACAACCTTTGCTTGTATTTCGCTGTACGATGATACTACCCTGTTACTCCCCGAAATATTCACGTAGCACCGCGGTATTTTCCATCGCTCTCGACTCTGTTGGTGTCTTCTACAGCGCTCAATTCTCCCTGACTTGCAAGAAACCCCGTGTGGATACACATCCCCGACAAGGCGCGGGTGATTTTGCGGGGGATCATTGGAATCGTGATAGAATGCGCATCACTGTTTTGCAGGTATCTCACTGGCCTTTGCATCTACTCACTTGATTTCACCACATAAGTCTTGAAGCTTATGAGATAGCACCTTGTATTGATTGAAACTCTAGGCTCAATGTCCCAAGCGTTGAGAAAATCGCAGGCTCACTTGTACAACTTGGCCGTCGCAAGGACAATGTCCGGCCCAATACGCAACCAAACCAAGTTACGGCACATCTCGCGCCTCAAATTGATTTCGCGTTCCTTGCTCATTGATGTCTCCTTCAGAGACGTCTAAATTGCAGTGAAAGGGACTTTTCGGGGAGGTCGTGCGTGGCCAAATGCGAGTGACACCCGATCCGGAGGTCCCCGCCTCCGGCATTTGAAGGTCTCCCAAGACACGAATCGCAACTTCATCGCCGCCAACCATGCTTCTTACTCTGATCACTGCCTCAGCCATGCCAACTGACGATCGATTACTTGCTCCTGGGACACCGAATCATGTCAATTGACCCGATGATAAACTGCCAATTCTAACAAGCCAGCTATGGCTTACACGCACTTTTCGATTAGAAACATAAAATAAATCAACAGGAAAAAACGCAATTGCTTACCACTTCAGATTAACGACCATGAAAAGTGACATATCAATACAAAATCTTCAGTAAAATGGCTGTAGGCGCTATTTTCCATTACTCGAGTTTGGAAATCCACCAATCTTGACTATACATCTCATGAAGTCTCACCTCACCACTCACTACCTTTCATCCACCAGCTCTTCAGCTCATACTCAAGCCCTTGTGGATTTATCCTAGCAGCAATCATTTGAACAGTCCATCAAACAATATAAAACACATTCCCCAGAACTTTCTCTTTAAGGCAACTCGGGCCTCATGCGCGCCCACGTTGCTCGCATCAACAGTGAGTGGATGCCATCCCGTCGGACCCTCTCTCGCGAACGAGACCCATGCGAACAGAGACGGCAGTTGCGAGACTTACGATCCCAAGGACTCGGGCATGCCGACTTCATAGGTCGCCGAGTTTATGGGCGAGGCGTGGTACCTTGGGTCGTCGCGTGGTGAATAGAGACCCGGCGGGTTCGATGGCGGGACCGGGCCCGGCGCCGGACTATTCGGTGGCGGTGGATGGTGTGGGAGGTGGTGACATGTGAGATGGATGAGATTCGATGAGATGGTTGATGATTTTGTGAAGCTGTGTGTAGTTCTGATGAAATTGGCATTCGGCGGTCAGAGGCCGGCCATGATGGATGATATTGTCGGCGAAGTCTGAAGGTGGCCACTTAAAAGCTCACCACTCAACCCAATCCAACCCAATCCACCTAAACCCTCGCTCTCCTCCATTTCAAATACTCCTCCATAAAAAACACAAAAACAGCACCGAAAAACCCCCACGAGAACACCTCATACACCCAAGCCCCAAGCCTCCTCCAGACCATCGTCCTCAAAAGCCAAAAGGACAGCCGCCAGCCCATCTTCCAGCCCGGCGGCGGCGTGCCCCACTCCTCCGGCGGCTCCGTCCATCTCCTCCTCCCATCCGCCTCGAAGACCAGAAACGCGATGCTCCGCAGGGTGAAGTACGTGACGTAGGCGACGTAGAGGAGGTAGAGCGTCCACGCGACATCGCGGAGGGTGAGGATGGAGGGGTGGCGGATGAGGTAGGCCGCGCGGGTGAGGGTTTCTTCGGGGGTGTAGCGGCGCCGGCGGCGGGTTGGGTAGCCGTTTATTATGGTCGGCATTTTTGAGGAGTGCGGTTTCGCTTTGCGCTGGGAAAGGTCGGTTTGAATGCCGGATTGGCGGTTGGTGGCGAAGAGGGAGCGCAGTGAGATGGCCCCGTCGCGATGATATGGTGTTGGTGAAGAGGGTAAAGCGCTGTGCCGTCCGTAGGCCCACCAGGCAACGCCAGGATTGCACCACGGTTGCCTACTGTTGGTCCTAGCGATTTCACCGCCTGCGATCCTCACGTTGGGAGCCAACAGTCGTGCACGCAAGCAAGTACGTCAGGAGACACGTGTTTGTGTGGAAAGATCAAGATACCTGCATTAGGCACGGGGTATGCGTGAAGAGAATGAAGCCTTCGCGGATCTACCGGGATGGCTTGAATGTGTATCATGTAAAGACAACCAAATTTCCCACAACCCAACCCAAAGCAATCGCAAGTGCGAGTCCCATTAAATCAATTGAACGCCGATAACTCCCGCTTTCTTCCTAGCTTGAAGGTGATGATGGCTGAGGATCGCTGGCCTTGGGCTCAGCGTCCTTTGCGTTGGCGTTGGGGCGTACGCTCTGCGGATTCGAGAAGACGTCCTTCGGGTCCCACGCGGCCTTGATGCGTTCGAGCGTAGGTAGGTTCGTCCCCCAGTACTTCTCCTGCGCATCGTCCAGCGTCGGGTCCACGTAGCCAGCGTACGTGCTCAGGTCGTTCGGGCTCGCCTTGCGGATCGTTGACGCGACGCCGGCCATGAAGTCCTTGGTTTTCTTACTGAGAGTGGGCAGACCGACGCCGTAGCCTTGGCAGAACATGATCTTGTCGCGGTGGCGGTAGGCGGTTGCGTTCATGGGTACGTCGTTGATGGCGCCTCCTGTGACGTCGAAGATGAGGAACCAGATGAGAGTGCCGCGATCGGCTCCGTCGATGTAGTTCATCAGATCTTGAATGCCTTGCTCAGGTAGGAGGTCATCGCGGGTGAAGGCGAGGCTCTTGGCCGTGAATGGGGACTGGACCTCGCTCAACCACAGGGCCGCATCTTGTGCCTTCTGCGCGACATCGCCGAGCCAATCATTGACCACCACAGATACCTTCCCGGCTGGCATGCGGTCGGGGATGCCCGTCTTCTTGAATTCATCCTCCGTGCCGTAGAAGGTTGCAGAGATGATAACTCCGAGCTCCTGCATGACAAACTCGCTACTAAATCGGCGATCGAGATCCGGGTCGGTGATGAGGTCCTGCCATTGCCTGAAGACGGGGGCGAGGTCGCGGTGGCGGGCGAAGGTGACGGCATAGGAGTACTGCACCACGTCGCCGGGCTCAGGGTGGGTCTTGACGACGAACTCGGTGATGACGCCGAAGCCGGCGCCGGCGCCCTTGAGAGCGAAGAAGAGGTCCGAATTCTGCGTCTCGCTTGCGCGCTGGATCTTGCCGTCTGCGGTGACGACCTCGACCTCGAGAACGTGGTCAAGACAGCTCCCCCACATTCGTGAACTCGGACCCAGACCGCCCTGTTTTTGGGACATGGCATTAGCATGGCGCAGACGCAGAGGTGAGACGGATTGCCACCTGACGCGGGTGTCCATCTGCGGGGTGGACTTACGATGGTGGCATGGCCTCCGATGCCCACTCCCGGACATGTGCCGTGGGACATGGCACGTTTCCCGTTGTCGTGCAGCTTTTCGGTCACGTCGTGCAACTTGTGGCCTCCGCCGATGGTTGCCTGCCAGGTATCTGTGTCCATGGAGAAGTGTTGAAAGTTGGCGAGGTCGATGACCAGGGCGCCATCGGTGCCACCCAAGCCGAAGTTGCTGCGACGGACGTGTTAGTCTTGGGAAGAGTAGATGGCACTGGAGTTTCTCCCAACTCACGCATAGGAATGCCCGCCTGACTTGGGCTGTACCTTCACGCTGTTGTCAGCCGCACACTTGACGAAGCCGGCCACATCTTCCTTGGTCGACGGCTTGGTGACAGCGATGGGCTTGACGGGGATATCAAGGTTGTACGGCTTCACCCAGTTGATCTGGAACAGAGGATCGCTTGGGTAGCCAACGCAAGACGACCTTCCATCGCAGACCTTGTCGAGACAGGTAGCCAACGGGCTGCTGGGCTTTTGACCCATGATGTGGCCGATGTCGATGAATGCTGGCGACGCGGGAACAGAGAAAAGGCAGAGACCGCGGTGGTGGTGATCGACAGAGCAGGAAAAGACTCCATGGAAATTCCGGGTTTATAGGTCTATGGTGCGGATTGTTGGAGCACCTTTTTGGCCTGATCCTCCCGCTTTTCCAGGCCCGCCAACGGCGAATAGACGACGAGGACGAAAGCAGCAAAGAGCCACAGAATCCGTAGCTACGTGATCAACCCATCGTACGTGTGCCATATTGCCATCGGTAAGGTATTCTCTCTGCGCTGGCTGGGCACCTGGTCAACCCTGCTTTTCCAAGGAAAAAAAGGTCGGGATGGCTGATGCATAGCGGGCTAGACTCCCGACGATAACCAATGAGTGGCTGCCAAAGAGAATTGAGATCGCCACTGGTTCCGAATTGGGCAGTAAAAGGGCATTCGCACTGCGGATGAAGAGGTGCTCAGTCCGAACGTCATCCGCGACGACCTTGTCCCTGCTTCTCGTGCCTGGCAAGCATGGTGGAAGCGGCCATCTTCTGGGACGGCCCAGTCAGCGCGCCGGACATTGTAGGTAGCAATGACGGAACAAGCTTGTTTGGCGGGGGTGGGGTGGTATTGCCAGACGTCAAATGAAGTCAATAGGCCTGCGTGGGATCTTGGCGGTCGAGGGGCTTCTCATGCAGACATGGGAAAGACGGTTGAGATGTGCAAACCTGGTGAGGTGAACTTGGGCTTGGTGCAATGACGAGGAGGGGAAAGGTGGCGCACCCGGAGTCGCTGGGGCGGTGCAGGCATGCGCCAATGAGAAAACACCAACAGAGGTGACGGCGGTTATCCGGGGGGCTTGGGCGGGTGATTTGCTGATCTGGCAGGGCCTAGCCGGCTCTCAAGGGTCGTAGTTTTGCAACGGTTTGTCTCACTTTTTGATGTTGGCTGTGGCTTCTGCAGTGGCGAGTGGACGACGGACGAGCGCAATATCCTGTCAACAATTGATATCAGACGGGAGGCTTCTTTAGCAACCTGGAATTGTGCATCACTTTGAACTCGCTGTAAGCTAGAGATGCTCAGCCAGCGGCCTCAAAGCACTTACCGAAGGTACCTACTTCAGTGCCCAGCATCATGGGCCTACTGACTCCAAGTGCCCGAACATCTCACATGAAGTGGCTGAATAAGACAGCTGTAGAAAACATAGAGGCTGAATGAGCAACCTTCAGACAGCCACAACATGGACTTGAGATGAAAGTCTCAGCTCTATCTCAATGCTTGTATCCAGGTCGTCGGATGAATCCTCACGTCACTAGCTCGTCAAAAACAAGACTCATTGCTCATAGTCTACAGTGACCCAAGTCTTACAGCGAGTATGATACTTATAGCGGAAGCTCAAACAAATGATTATACCTAAAAGACGAAAAGACGGACCATAATAAGTATCAGGAAATTGCTTAGACGTGGACAATTCTTTCTTTTTCCCACTCATCTCACTCGTAATCTCAGTCCTTATTGATACTTTTTCGTGCCTTTTTCCTCCATAAGAAAATGAATATTACACTGCACACTATGTACATCAAACTGAATAACACATTTCATATCAGTGATCATTTCACAGACAAATTCTCACAGAGGAAAAAATGATCATCTCTATTAGAGAAACTCAACACATCTACCTAGAAGGAGGAACACAGCAAGTTGTTCCTGCTCGTACCTACCTGTACCTACCTACCTAGGTACCTAGGTAGCCAATGGAAGTCGTACTGTGCTCATCTGGACCCGTACACTGACATAAGCAGCCTGTGATTGGCCTGAAAAGTCTATTGGAGTCCGTGCACCGCACTTTCCCCGCCTTCTCCCTCTGGAGGGCACAGTTGTCATCGTTCTTTCCTACTGTACGTGGCTGCCTGATGCGGACTGTTGACGTTACATGGAACCCAGCATCGCCAACTTCGTGATACCTTCTTTTTACACCTCGCGGCTCGCAGAGCTTCTTTACGCCCCAGACGCCTCGCACCAGCACCACGACCTAACTTTCATCGTTTCTCCCGTCTGTCCGTCTCCCCGAAGTGCCATTCTGCCAGCACAGTCTTCGAGAAGCGGGGAAGCGCCACATGGTCTGCGGCCTGCTCCGACGTTACTACTCACCTCTCTGGCTCAAGGCACCACAATCACAGTCCGACGTTCGACCAGCTATTTGAAATCATATTTCTTGAAACGCCCAAGAATAGAATTGTTTTGTCGCAAAGTACGCTGGAAGGTTGCACCGTCAGCCTCATCAATACCACAACCTGCTGCAAGAATTCATTTTCAGCACTCTCAACACATCTCGTCTGCAACAACCCTTTCTTGACAGGCCGACGTCACATCGAAACAACCAACTCGGCCCTACTAAGTAACACCAACACCAGTTCCCCAGCCTTCCAACATTCATCGTTCACAACCACAACCATGACAACACCGCCGGTATGGCGGCCGCTACCCCCGGCACCCGGCCTACCAAGCTTACTGGTGTCCACGACCTTCTCCACCACGGCCTACACCATCCATTTGACCGACTTGTCCAGCATTTGGGCCGAAACAATGGACCGCAAGGCCATCTTACAACGAAGCTTGAACGAGTCAACAAGTATCGATCCGACGGATGGCCCCAGGAACATGCGAGCCTTCCTGTCCAAGATCAGATCCGTCTTTGATGTCTCACACGAGGACCACGACAAGGCCTCCATGACGCTCTCCGCCGCCCCAAGTCGAGAAGCTGGCGAAGATGGCCTGACGATGCGCATCACTTGCGAACTGGAAAACATGCAACCACTGGAATGGCCCGTGTACCTGCAGAGATGCCCCCAGTCAAGGCTCGCGACTGAGCTAGTCCTACCCATCACCCAAGCAAATTCTGTCAAGACACGCCAAATCGATTCGCTCCTTGCTATTATTAAGCAGAAAGACATTGTTATAACGAAGCTCCTGGACAAACTCGAAGCCAATGGGACACGCCTGGAGAATGTCTTCACCGTGCTCTCAGCCAAGCAAAAACCTACGAGACAAATGGCCGAGGAAAAGGTCAAAGGCCTGGCTCCCCTCCGACCAGACGAGTGGAAGGCCCAGCTGGGTAGTGATGAAGCAGACATGGCAACCGTACTTCAAGACGTCTTCGGTGCATCGGGTCTCGAGTATCGACCCCAGACTGACGCGGAAGACTTGGTGTCGGACAATTGGTGGGCCAAGACGGAGGGCTCACCGATTCCCATCGTTGTGCCGAAGTCAGCTTCCAGCCAGGAGCCACCGATGGCAACCTCTTCTGGACCTCAAAATGAACGATCTGACGATAAAGATACCATGGGTGGCAACCCGGCTGCAGATGAGGACGATGACTTCCAGGTCCAATCAACACCGCCTCATCTAATGTCCACCCGCAATCGGCCCGCAGCTGCCGCAACCAAGACGGCCGTGGCAGATGCAGACGAAAGCACCGAGGACGAGGATGTCTCTCAAGTTCCAGACAGCGTACCGGCACCCCCGCAAGATCGCAAGAGCCAGCCCACTCGCCTAGGGATGACCGGACAGAAGCGGCAACCCACGCCATCTCCTCCCCCGGCTCCTCAAGGCTCAAAGCCGGGAGGTTCTGAGACTGAAACGGAGTCCGAAGACGATGCTTCCGCATCAAGAGCAGAGCCGTCGTCTCCTCCCAAGCAATCCGTACCTGAACGGACAAGAACTTCCAGGAGTGGGCTTGGACAAATTGGCGGTGGAAAGCGCAGATCAGTGTCCCCAGAACCGCTAGAGAAGGCAGAATCACCCAAGAAAGGAGGCCTCGGTCGCATAGGCGGAGCAAAACGTCACTCCAAGTCTCCCGAGCCACCGAAGAAAGTCGGGCTAGGGCGGATCGGAGGCGGTGCTCGTCCGTCAAAGACACCCGAACCCGTCGCCCTCGATGCGGAAGACAGGGGTAGACATCGGTCCGAAGTTAAACAACCAGAAAAACCCCGAGAAACCTCACAGGAAAGGGCGGATAAGAAACGAAATGAGCTGGAGAAGGAACTGCAGAGGAAGGCTGCATCAGGACCCGCGCGGAAGAAACGGAAGTTCTGATTCGAGCCAGATCACAGATACCCAAAAATGCAATGTTGTTCAAGACGTACAAAGCCAACGGCCCATCAATCATACCCCAGGGACTTCACTGTACAGAATAACGAAGAAGACCCGGTTCCTGGGGATACTGATCATCGTGCCGGTATCACCACAGAGGGAGAGGTTCTGACAGCGAAGGCTGGACACTCGGGGGAACCCGAAACAAAACCGAAGAGGGCACCCGTGAGAATCACCGGCATGAGACCGATGCTGATCGCCTCACGATGCGTTATCAGATGCGGCTTCTACCCTTATTAGCCCGATTTGGCCGACTCTTCAGAGACGGATTGCGTCCATGTGGTGCAAATCGCCCCGGCATACTATTCGAAAACTTGGTTCCAGTGAGAGGTACTCCATAACGGCCCGAAACGCTCTTCAAGTCAATCTTCTTCTTGCCCAACCCTGGATGCTCGTTGCCGAGTCCCCGGAGTAGGACGACAGGCTCCCGCACCCTCGCGTGGGGGTTTAGTCAAATCACGCCTAACTCTGCATCACGCGGTGCTACCTGAACATGAGGCGACGATAGTCCATCTCAAACAGTAAGATGCGGGGTGCTCATCGAGGAAAGCTTCCGTGCAGTAGCTCCAGAGGGCTGGGACAGACTTTGAGCCACCGCGGATGGCTCATGTTCACATTTACCAGCCGTTGCGTTCGACATCAGCGACATAATTCGAAGCCAGAAAGCGTCTCGGGCTGTGTATTGCTAGGCATACTCCTTTGCCCTGTTTGCTTAACGGAGGCTACCTGAACGCAGGCTACTTAGTACTGCACACGTTGGACACTGGCGATAATTCCCTACTCAGAGGCTCATGTGGACGAGAGTGGTGAAGTTCCCCATTTCATCACCGTTGTGCGCCGCCATATCCAATAACCACGGGCGCGATGTTTGTGCCGCCTGCAGATGTGACGCCGACTGCAAATGGCATTCCTGACAAGACAGTGTCCATGCGGCAGGAAGACGCTTGCTTGCCTCGTCTATCGTTTATGGCGGCAAGAGTCCCGCGGATAAGTCACGGTCAGATATCTTCAGCAGCACCAGCTACTGCAAGTGATTCAGAATTGGGCATACTAAGACGAAGTATATCACGGCTGGGATCTTGACCGGAAATGCCTTGCGTGCTACCCGTCTCCCGTTCATCTATCGCCAATCCGCCGGCCCGCGATGCGACCATACAGCGTCGTGTCAGAAGGAAAGATCATCTGCATTCTGATGCAGCGGTCCGGCTTCGAGTTTGACAACACAACATCGCATATGCACGAAATTGGATGGCCGAAGGCTGCTGCACACCAATTGCGCAGAGATTTCCCGGTCTTCTGAATGCATGACGAGCCTCTCGGCAGAGTGCTGGACCGGATCAGGACCCGGGTGGCCCGTCCCGTCACCCTCTATGATTTCTTTTTCTCGCGATATCCTGCGCTCCGTCATCACGGGACACCCACCTGCAGATGAACAGTTACTTTGACGAAACGAATCCGTCCTAGAACTATGTCCTGCCGCAAAAGTTTCAGTGGCAATGGAACCAAGCCTACTCGAACGAGTGTTCCCGAATCACGTCGACGAGCAAACGGGCCAAGTTCGGTCTTCGACCCGAGACCGGGCGCATAGCACAGCAGACTCAAATTTAGACCCTGGCCGGGATGCATATAGAGCCTTCAGATGCAAAGATGATCTTGCAATTTGGTGGCGAAGGGTAGGTGCTGCATCTATGTTGTAGTCGTCGACCGTGGCAAGTCCTGCAGACTTCCCGCCGGGCTCGAGCAAACAGAAAGAACTCAACTCCATTCGATATCTTCACACAACTACCATGGACGTGTTCGACGGCAGCGACAGGGAAACTCTTGTAGCTGGAGCTTCGGGTACAGTTTCCCCATCGATAAAACCGGATCACCTCTGGTCTCGAGTTGTTTGCTTTTGGAAACGAATCCGGCCGGCCGCGACCATGCAAGCCTGTGTTTGAACTCTCCACGACAAACGGCAGACGGCCATCAACTTCTTGGACAGATCGTGGGTCGATTAGTGATGTCGTTGGTGCTTTTGTGTGACATTTCACTCATCATAATGACAAGTCGCGCATGTTGGCCCAGCTCTCTTACCTGTGAGAATGCGTGTGTCAGCGTAATGTCCTTAGGGCATACAACGGCCAGATGCCGTCGACGAGATCTGAGCATTCCTGACAGCTTAAGGGAAGACGAGCATCATAGGCCGAGATTCGCGACGCAACCTCAAGGATCGCTGATATGGGCCGACTCAACGGCAACTTGCCTTCGCAAAATGTTACGCCCGACTGTGCGAATCGATGGAGCATATGAAGGGTGGAATACCTATTCTTCTGGCAGCAGGCAGTGCTCGCTCGGCACCACCCAGGCGGTCGCGTTCCGGTTTCGAGAATTCGTGATCTGGGTTGATCCAGCAGGAACAGAATTCAGCCTCGCATCAGTGCTGAAGGCTGCAGATGATGAAGCACCTCCACCTGTCAATGCCGATAGGGGGGAAAAGTTCGTTATTGATCTGACACCACCAGAGAAGAGCTCAAGAGCGGTGGGCGAATATGGCGGGCACAAGTCGGTCCCATTACAGGCGGTGTCGGGTGCTGTACGACCAACCACGGCCAACATACGCCCGTAGGGATATGGGAGGTGCCCGAAGAGGGCGGGACGGTACAGGCTACAGCATCTCGATAACGAGAGATCCGGCTTCTGTCACAAATTGTGGCCATCGAGGCATCGTGGACATATCCGATGTGACGAGCGGGCAGCCGATACGGATAGGCCCGAAATGCCGGCCGCTCTGGTGGGTGGTGTGGTCCTCGACTCCTCCCAGCTGAAGTCTGGATGCAGCGCCTTGCATGACCACCAAGAGAAGGGTGACACGGCCTGTATCGTTGGGACAGTGACCAACTGGTTGAAACAGGCGCAAGCGAGCGCATGGCGCCACCTGAGAGGACTCACCCCGGTTCTGCTCGCCATTGTTTACTCGTCATTCTAAGACAAATGCAACGGCGTTGGACTGACCGTTGGAGGCGTCCGGACGGGGGCGGCTCAGACGGCGGGCGCTGCTGTCAAGCTGCTGTCAACGCTGTGTTAGCCACGCAGAACCTCTCATTCATCCTGGATTGGGACATCGCTTGGGATGTCAGGGGTATCGTACCGCGAATGAAGAGGGGATAAAAACGCCTCCGACTGGGGTTTCGTTTGAAATACCATTCAATGGCGCCAAGGTACTGTCTGGTCCGATCAGCCCATGAGCTCACTGGCGCGCTGCCTTCCCTGCAGTCAGTAATTGCACTGTTGGTACATGTCGGGCGTGTTGATCTCGTTGGCGCGGGGGTCTCGACTTGCTACGCCGTACATTCACATCGAAGTCATTACCCCATTCGGTGGACACCAGTTGGTACGGACACTGCGAAGAGATGAACGGTACGGTATGGTAGCTGTACGTTGGTACACGCCTGGGAAGAGAGCATACCCTGCAAGTACAATTCGTCGGACACTAGCCCTTGGCTAGACTTGTTGTCTCGCTCCATCGTGTTCGGGAAATACGTCAACGATGAACTGCGAGATGAAGGTTTAAATCTTTGACCCGATTTGAAGCCAAGAGGCATCTTGATGGAGGCGGAACGGAGGGGATCGGAGAATGAACAGTCGGATGGCGACGGGCGGTCAGAAACGTGTCCAGCACGGGCACAGCGCAATGTGTGATTCAAATGAGAGGAAAAGAACGACGAGTTTGCAGGAGAAGGCTCCCGATTGTGCTGGGAATGCAACGGCCGAAGCGTCATTGCAAGACGCTGGTAGGGCGTGGGAGGTGCCGAGAGACAAGGGCCCATGTCGGGACAAGTGGGACTCATCGGAGAGGAAGACCGTCTCCGCGAAGGAGGGAAGGGAAAAGGACCCCCAACAGAACGGAGAGAGATCAAGTCTCTTTCGACGTCGACGGTTTTCGAACTTGTGAGGTATCGCCTGTCACAACCAACATCAGACATTGCGCCGCCCTCCACACAACACTCGCAGTCATTTCACCGCCACGGCTGCCATCACATTGCCGTAAACCAATTGAATACCGTCAGTTACGACATATCTGCGGCATATCGCGTTGTACAAGATGGTATCCGCACCAAAGATTCGACCTCCATCGGGACTTGCTGGATCGGCCGACCGCGCCTATCATGCCCGCATGCCTTGACGCTGTCTTCTGGCACTTCACTTCATTTCACCGTCCATCACTGCCAGCAGCGCTCGCAACCATGTCGGCTACTGTGCGGTGTCTCTCTCCCTTTGGAAACACGGTGGGAGTACTCTTGCTCATCCGGACTGAGGCACCCCTGACTGTGCGAATTTGACTCCTCCTTGTCAAAGACTGGCCTAGTCGCCCAACCCTGGAAGATACCAGCCCTTCCACAGGCCTCTCACCGTCCTCGTACTCTACACTGCCTTGGCCTGTTGAAAGGCCGCATATTCGACCAGGCTGTGCGAACCAAGCTGTTCCTAGACGCTTTGGGCTGTGCCGCCCGCGCTTGGTGGAAATCCCACTTACCGTCGCAGCGGCTCTTGACAAAACCCGCGTCATACCCGGTACCAAGGTTACCTTTACCAAGCTGTTTCCCGGTACGTTCGTCCGGGTTTCCGGACCGTAGAGACTGCCGCATCGTCGAAAGGGTGGCACCTGCCGATACTCTGTCAAAGGAACAGTTCTACGTCGACTGGAGTTCCCCAGTATGCGGGTATCTTTGCTCAGTTGAAGATGAAAAGACAAACGACATCGTCGGCGAACTAAAATCCTCCCGCAGCGGGTATCTTTGCTCAGTTGAAGATGAAAAGACAAACGACATCGTCGGCGAACTAAAATCCTCCCGCAATGTCGCCATCCTGGGGCAACCTCGCAACGTAGCCACTCGGAAGAGATGCGCTGACGGGGCTGAACTGATCAGGGGAAGTGGACTGAACAACCGACCTTCAGCATCCCCGAGGCGACAGCGAGTCCTGGCAACCTCTTTCCGAGTTCGTCCCATCGACTTGGCCTTACCACCACACCCTCTCCGTAATGAATGGGCTGCGAGTTATGTTGGGATACGCAATCCAGGAGCAAAATCCTTCTCGCTAGTCTGTCCCGACAGTCTGGTTCACCAATGACAACCTGCGACGGCGAAGAGAACAACGGGGCCTTATCATCCTGAATGGTTGATGCAGCAGGGGACATCCAGAAACACATTGATGGTTCTCCGTGGCTGCATGGCAAAAATCCCCGGCAAGGTCATACGCGCGCGCTCGCGGAAGTCGGATCTGGATCACGGGTCGCTGTTTGCAACCGCCATACTCCCCCTCCTTTGGCGCAAGCCGTGTCCAAGAGATACGCTCTTTGCTTGGTATCTTCAAAAAAGTGAAAGGGGAAGTCTTGCGAATCTGTCAAAGAACCCCCGCACTTGACTGTCTGCAGACTCGGACCAGCATGGAAAAGAAAGCCACATATCCAGCGTCGCTCCGCATTTCAGACTCGAGGAAGACGCATACTGCAGCGAGTGGACCTCGTTCACCGCTGAGACATCTGTTCAGAGCGAGTGCTACCCTGACGCTTGGTATTTCTGCCCAGACCACGCACTTTCGCCGCTGGACTGATCGTCTTGAACCGAACCAGATGTCAAGGATGCCGTGGTCATTCAGCTCGCCCATTTGGAGAGAATATCAGAAGACTCGTCGCTTGCCGCCCTCGACAGGGAACGTCTACAAATAAACCGTGGCCTGTGGAGCTGAGCCGGGGCGGATGGCTGAGTCGAGTGCGAACAGACAGAAGTTGAACTGGGCGGCCGTAAGACTAAGTCCGGTGGCTTTCCGCCCCCTATCGCGGCCCAGGTTCGATTACCTTGTCTGGAGCTGCCGTGCCCCAGTGTCCGTGGCATCTCTCAGCCTTCATCCTGCGCAAATCTCGAATCTTGCCATCGCCAGGCGGCCCCGCACGCGTGGCTTTGGGGCCCTGTTCTCAGAGGCGTCGCCAAGACCCCGAAAGACCACGAGGGAACAGTAATTCGCCAGGAGGACATGAAGAGAAGCTTCTTGAGGACCGCCATCTGAGTATGATCTAGACCCACTGCCGCCCGTTGATGGAAACCTCTCCCACACTTGATCTCAGAGAACCCGTCATGGAGACCTGAGGCCCGCCCCGGTGACTTGGTTGCCTGCTCACCGATCGTTCGAGTTCCCCGACTTTCGCCCATTCTAGATGAACTGCTCTCGGCTGGGCAGAACTCATCTCACCGCGCATCAGTCACTGTCAGTCGTCCATATGACACCGCCTTGCCTGGACGTTTAGAGTTGATCGAGGTATACATGGAGGTTCCTATTGTCCCTTGCCGATCATCCAGCCCTTCCAACGTCCTGTATGTCCACACCCCATGTATGTCTACCCCAACCCCCCGGGAGATGACGGGCGTGTCTGTACCTCACCACCTGTCTCTTTGTTCCTGCCTCCGCCCTTGTCACCCCATCCACTCCGGCCAGATCACTCACCCTCCGAGGGCACCCCAGGACCGGCTGCCCAGGAGGCGGGAGGGGGATCGATCTGGGTCCCAGAAGCCTATCAACGCGCCCATAACGCCAACAACGGGCAGTCTTTTTTTCTGATCGAGTCCTCCCTGTCATGGCTATGTAATTCTCTCTGCCCTACGCATTTCAACCCTCCCCCTGCTGCATACTGCCAGGCGCGTAAGGCCGCGCTGGTCACCCCCTCAAGCCCGTCCCATGCCCATGCCAATAACCCAGACTGGAGCTGCGGCCGTTAGGGAGGCACTAACTACCGTAATTGTCTTAGAGGGCTCTCTTTCTGAATCCTACCCAGTCTGTCGGGACGGTTAACTGGGTCCGTCCGGGTTTGTATGGACAGAACGAAGGGGAAGTCGGCGACCATGAGGATATTCGACGTGATGCGACAGCAGATGTCGGACGGACCTGAACCGGCTAAGATGAGCACCCACAGGCATCATCAGACGTCAGCACCTAAAACGATCCCTTTGTGATTGTTCTCCTTGGAAGTGAGGGGGGCGCACCACCGGGTCGAGTCCAGGACCTGGCTGTCGACTAACACGATGTTTTCCGCCCCCCCAGCAAGTCAATTGAGTCACTGTCACTGGCAGAGCAGCACACATTTTCACAACCACGCACACGGATCGCAATAATGATGAACACATAATCTCGTTTGGACAGGTCGAAATACATTAGAGATCTTCTTTTTTATTTCGGGAAATACAGACATGCCTCTCATCCCATATCGTACCGACTCGACGGAGGCTGGTTGTGACTATCAAACATTGGAAGGGGAAAAAAAAGCAGAGAAAGGACATGAGGGGGTATTCTGCGACAGCGGCCGCACGCGCTCTATGGAAGTGATTTGATGATGTTCTTTTTGAATCATCGACGGATGCCCCCATAATTGATGTTTGAAAAAAAAAAAGAGTCGTGAGAAGAAGGGAAATCTTGAAAACAAAATCAGCAAATCGCACGCAGACTGGAAAAGAGGAAAAAAAGCCAAAGCAGAGCCGCCGCCGCCATCTTTTTTTACGTCGTGGGAAAAGAGAAGAAGAAGAAGAAATGCCGTGTTTCCTCGTGTACTTTGCTCGCCACCTCTTCCCTCATCTCTCATCCGTCATCCCATCTCAAATCTCTCCCATCTCTCTCTCTCCCCATTCCCCTTCCCTCACGCCGGCACAACTCGTAATGTGCCATCGGCTAGCTCCAACGACATAAAATGCTCTCTCTCTCTCTCTCTGAAAAAGAAACCCTTGCAGGTGTCAAGACACGGACACTGTACCCCCCCCCTCCCCTGGCATCATGATGCTGGGTGGAGTGGGGGAGGAGGAGCAAAAAGAAAGAAAAGAACCCCAGGCCGCCCCGGACGCCGACCAATCACGAACAGCACGCCCTCCCCCCCAACAGCCTCGACCCCGGGTCAGATCTTGGCGGGATGGAGCGTTCGTTCGTTGGTGACAGAAAAAAAGAAGAAAAAGGGCTAAGACCAAGAGAGAGAGATACGAAGCATCTTGGGTGAAAGTCTTGTCGTTTCTCGTTGACCAGCGATCACACCCACACACACACACCCAGGATCGGCTGTCGTCCTGCGGTCGGCCTCGCGTCCGCCCACACCACACCACACCCTCTTCTTCTTCTTCTCCCCCAGACCCCCATCTCTATCTCTCGACTGTGCCGCAGTACAAGAAGAGTGAGGAGACAGGACGCACATGATTCGTCCGGGAGAAGCCAGCCGCAGAGAGAGACTGGCAGAGAGAGAGAGCAAAGAAAACAACGACAAGACAACCCACACCCAACACCCTGGTTCAAAACGCCGGAATAGGAAGTGGAAGTCCCCCCCATGCAGAAAGACCGGACAGATAGAGAGAGCAACCGCAAAGAAGTCGAAGAAAAAGAAACCATGATAGAGGGAAACATGATGAATGACCACCACCCTGTAGTACTTTTGCTTTTTTTCTTCGCGCGTTATGCATGTTGGAAACGCGCATCACAACGTACACTCACTCACACACACACCACACCAACGGACCAGGGTAGGTCACTTATATGCCCTGGTTGGCGGTGGAGGTGCCCCAGCCCGAGTAGAGAACCTCTTCGCTTTGTTGCCCCGGCCGAGTTTGCTGCTGCTGCTGCTGTTGGAACTGCTGCTGAGGCTGCTGGGGATGCGGGTGCTGGTAGACGCCGGCTACGTTGGCCATGGAGTAGGCGGGGACCTGGTAAGGCTGCTGGGGAGGAACGGCGGGGCCAGCAGAGCGGATAGGGATGCCCGGGATGCCGTTGGGGCGAGCGGCCTCCTCGCGCTGCCTGCCGTGGGCGCGCAGGAATCTTTGGGCGTTCTGCCCGTGCTGGTGCTGGTTGAAGTAGGTAGGGTAACTGCTCTCGAGCTGGCTGGCGGAGAGGCTTCTCTGGGCGGCAGCAGGAGGAGGCGGGTTCCATTGCTGCTGCTCCTGGAGGTTCGTGCGGATGCGGAGGTCCCTGGCGGCGTTGCGGGAGCGGCTGGTCGCCCGTCCGCCTTTGCGACCTGAGATGGCGCGGCCGGGGATCATGCGGTCCGGGAATTCGGGAGAGGAGTGGTAAGAGCGGCGATGGTTGCCGTTGTTGCGGCGCGCGGCGGAGGGACCGCGGGGGCCTGGGCGGTAGTGGGTGGTTGACTTGACGCCTTCCTCGAAGTCGGGTCTGAGGTGCCATCTGCTTGGGTTCTTCTCTGTCGAAGAGCCGTTGATGGAGTGGCGCGGGACTACTTCTCTCCTCTCGAAGGCCTAGACGCCATCGCGAAGTTAGCACGTTGTGGGTTTGTTGGTGGTTTGGTAGGATCGATAAGGTGGGACCCCCAAGATGCATGAGAAGCGCGGGCGGGCAGGGGGCTGCCCGAGAGGCGCCGCAGACGCCTTGGTGTAGTATTCTAGAGACGATGGGTTTAGAAAGAAAAGAAAAACTGACCTTGTTCATGCTGAGGTTGTGGCGGATGCTGTTGTGCCAGCCGTTACCTCCGGCCTTCTCAGGCTTGTCGGTGTTCGCGAGGAACCACTGGTAGAGCTCCTGGAGTGTCATGGAGCGGCTTTCCTGCTCCTTGAGCGCTCTCCAGATGAGCTGAGCGTAAGGCTCGTCGGACGTCTTCTTCTTGTCACTGTCATCTTTCTCGACATCCATGCTTCCACTGGCGATCCCACCAGGAGTTCCTGAGGGGCATGGGCTTGGGCTCATAGATGGGTGGTTTTCGGGCTTGAATGGTTCTTGGATTGAAGTGGGAGAAGTGACGAAGGGGCTGCAAGTTGTGTTCATCGGAGGCGGAGAATCGTACTTTGAGGGAAACGGGTCATGAGGGCCCGAGAGGGGCGGCTGGAAGCACCCGTTCCCGTAGTCTATGGCGATGTTCAGGGAGCTCCCGCGGAGGTTATCGGAAGTCATCGTCATATGGTCGTTGGTGATGCCATCGTACTGCTCCTGGTGGTGGAAGGGAACCTCGTAGTGGGGAGGAGGAGTCTGGACGGAGTCGGGCCATGTTCGTGGCGAGAGAGAGCCGGCGTGGTATCCAGACGTGGGAGCCGGGGCGCGGTAGGAGTAGTTGTCAAAGTCGTCCACGGGGGAGCGGGGAGATGCCCACATTGTGATTTGGCTCATGGCTGGTGATTGGAATGGCGGGTTGATGGCTGAGAAGTTTGGGTTGTAGAAAGATTGCTGAGAGCTGTTGACTGCGCTCTTGGGGACCATGGGGTAGTAGTCTGGAATGATGTCTGTCTTGACGGCGAGAGGCTCGGGAGACTGAGTGGTCATGGCTGACTGAGGCAAGCCATCGTGTACGGGCATGGTGCCCATGTGGGCGCGCTGTGCGTCCATCTCTGTCATGTTGAGGGAGGGCGAGAGCGATGACGCGGGAAGGAGGATGGAGAAGAGCTGATGCCTGAAACGAGAAGGGCGGTTTGGCGGGATGTAGTTTCAAGAGGGAACGTGAAGGTAAAGATGTTGCAGAAACAGGCTGATGTGGTACTGTTGAAGGAGTGAGGTCGAGGTCTAACAATGACAAGGACAGACACGACGAGGTGTTGTGAAGGATGGTACCAGATAAAGACCGTCTCGAAGTTGTGATGAGAGGGAGACGTCGAGAAGTATTAATGCTGTGAGACTTAATGATATTGGCTTAGAGAGAAGGAAGCATTGACAGTTGAGTTAGCAGAGAGGACCTCGAGCATGGGTCGTGACCCTGTTGATAAAACCCAGAGAGATAGTCCTGGAGATGCCCATGGCTGGCAGGAAACGTCGTGTTCCGCAAAGAGCTGTAAGTCGCTCTTTTGGCTCTACCCTGTACAAGGCTACGTACACAATGAGTGTGTGGAGTTGGAGTGACATGGGAGGGGTGTTCATCGAGGAGAAAATACAAGGGAGGGGGGCGTCTGCATAATCAGCCATGTGGAATAGCAACCCGCGTCTGCCAGCTCAGGCTTGGCCTGGATTAGCGTCCCTTCCCGCAGCCGCGGAGCCATGTGTGTATGTATTTGTGTGTGTGTGTGTGTGTGTGTGTGTGTGTGTGTGTGTGTGTGTGCAGAGCGTGCCTGTACGTATGCACGTTGCGTCGATGTGTGCGTGTGGGTTCTTCATCTGCTTGCTCCCTCTCTGCGTGCCTCCCTGGGTGCCTCTCTGTATGTGTGTCGACTATACAACTTGGCCCCGTCAGAGTATGCGGCAGCTGGCGCGCTGGATGTGCTGATCCGCTGCAGCCAATCTGCGTCTTCCTGACTGATACAAACGGAATGGGGACTTGAATGTGGCTGCTTCTTTTGCTCAGTCTGATGCCGCCAGTGAAATCGACAGGGATGAGCTAACTTCATTTCTCTTTGGCTCGTTGGGGTTCGGTTGGAGAGGGAAAGTGATCTGGGTCTGGAGAACGAGGTAAGTCTCGCCGCCCGTGGCAAGGTCTGCCATCTCCTGGTCGCCAGGGACATGCTGGAGGGCGAGGCTCTGGGCATCCCTCCCTTCTTTCTTCCACTCTGATCTCCCCATACCCCATGCTGCGAAGTCTTGTCCAGCCGTTGGTACTAATAGCGCCACCGAGTGTAGGGCCATTCGTCCATTCGCTGGCCTCTTGACCTATGATCCAGGACGCCTGCGTGCAACACTGGACTTCATAGCAAAGGCGGAGCTTTGCCCCATTGACCACGATGATGGGCGAGCTGACCCACGATGCCCAGCCTTCGCCCAACTTGGGCGGAGGTGGAGAAAGGTAAGGAAAGTCGACGGCAGGTTACTGACGTGCCGCGGGCTCTGGCTCAAGCTACCACCAGGTAAGGACCGTCAGAGACATTGTTGCACACATTGCCCTGAGCCCGAGGTGGGCAACTCGCAGAGGTGACAAAAGCATTGTACACAAGTACAGTTTGACCTGACGATGTATGTCATTGCCAGAACTGGAGTGAGGCCAGTCAGCCAGCCAGCCAGCTGTGAGCATCCAGGAGAAGGGCAGCAGGCCGGAAAGTAGCAGTTCCCCTTCGGACACTTGCATGGGATTTGGCGAAACGGCCAATCATTTGTCATGGTGCTATGAGCGATGCCTCAGAATTCTCAGCGTACCAGCCCAGACGAGGTTGCAAGGCGACCGCAAGATCGCTCCTCTGACACCGACCGGCATCCTGTAGATCATTTTCGGATTCTAGAAGTCCGCGGGACAGAGGTGTCGGTACGGATTTAGAACAGAGGTATGAAGCTGTGGACGCCAATCCCGCATGGGCCGAAATGCCGCCGCCACAGGCTGTATAATCCGTTTCGAATTCTTCACCATCATTGTCGTGTACGGCAGGACTGACCGGTCGTTGCAGAAGGCATGGTACTCAGGGCCGTGTTGTCAACGCTGCTCGTCATCATATCCCTAGCAGCTATTCCACTAGTCGGTGAAGAGGTTGGACCACCAGCCTGATGGCGTGTAGGCGTGGCAGCGCAGGGTGAGTGCGGATTCATCATCTGCGATGGCGTGGAGATCAGCAGAAACTGCACCATTGTACTCCGATTCCAGACTGGGGTTACTCCATACCAGTCTGCTTCAGATTCTATCAGGTCGTCCAGGGTGTCAGCACCTAGTATCGTGGGGACAGCAGCAGTAAGGCCAGGAGAAGAGCACAGCGAGTTTGACCGGGGCAGCGTGGTGCCCCAGTACCGATGGTAACACAAGGAGGTGAGAAGCAGATGATAGATTAGTTAAAGGCAAGAGCTACGGTCGCCTTGTTGTTTGTGCGTCATTGTGTGTGTTCAAGGTCGGCCCGCAGCGGTCAGTCGCGGACGTCGGCGTGAGTATGTAGTATGTTGAGGCACTGCCCGTGCCGGAGTGTACATGGTACCAGCGAGAGTGGGAGCGGCGGCGGATTGGCGAAAGGGTGAGGCGGACGTTTTCCCCGGGTGACTGACAGATACTCTCCTCCCAGCCGACCATAGAGTCATCTCCAAACGCTTTTCCGATATGCCAGACCCGGATGACTTTGGTCATATCTGATATGCGGTCTAATGGGACAGACCGCAGTTGTCCAGTTGCCAACGGCGAAAGGCAACTATTTCCGATAGAAGATCTGCGAGAAGCCTGTTAGTACATGGCAATCAATCGAGAGCTAGATGGAGTGGGACTTGTCCCTTACCTTCTTGAATTGAAAATGAAGCTGCAGGATGCCCTGTAAGGAGGATAAGATTAGCTCAAGCCCAGAATGGAGTAGCTGGGGCTGCAATCTGGAAGAACAATGTGTGCGGGATGGGATGAAGGCAGGGGATCAAAGAGGCGCGCGTGTAGTCGCGGTTGGAGTTGTAACTTGTTGGTGCTGTGGTGGTGTCGACACTGGGCGGAGCCGGCGGTCTGGCGGAATGGAATGGCGGTCGGCCTTCGCGCCTCCCGGCATTGGCCAACGGTCAAGGAGGGTCGCGTCCTTCGAGAATGCGGGAGATGGAGGTTGCCAGGTTGTTGGGGGCCAGAGAAAGGAGAGGACATGGAAAAGAAACGCCAGTCCTGCGGGCGCTCTTTGGCAGCCTGCCATCTCCAATCGGGGGGGGGGGGGGGGCGGGGGGGGCGCGCCGGGGCCAGCGCGGGGCGC